AGACCATCTTCGCAAGTAATCCAAAATGGAGAAATTATTTCTTACTGTCTGTAATGAAGAATATAATGAATATTCTTCAAACTGTTTTGCATAATCTCTCCTTGTGGTACTTATATTGAGGAGAATTTCTTCAACAATCGTGGGATTTGATCTGTGGTAATTTCTCTTTTTCTTATGCCCTTTATGTTTAATTATGAAAGGAATGGTTTTATAAGTACATAAGAAATATTTATACGTGATTTTTAAGGGAGGATTTTTAAGGATTTTTTTTAAGGGTTAGAGTCAAACTAACAAACCTGTGAACACTAGGCCCTGGGTGAGGAAGGGGGTACCCCTCATATGGATTTTACACTGTTTTGGCGTGAAAATGGCTGTAGATTTTCCCCATTTAGGTCTGGAATTGAGTATGGTTTTTGAGGAAACTATTTGAGTATATCAACATATTAATTTTTGTTGTTTCAATTCCAAATGAATCAGAAAGAAAGAGTAACATGTGAATTTCGAAATGGATTGTAAGAAATCGTTTTGTTTGAGCTCTAGTCTAAAAATGATGACTTAATTTAAACTTACTACCAGTTCAAAACCTGGATAGCTCTATCCACTGAATAAATCACTATCGAGTGCATAAGTATTTGGGAACCTAATGCGTCATTCACTGGATAGAGATTTCTCTATCGGACAGCGCTATCCATGGAATGTTGTTGTAGTACTAGGAAAAGCCAATCAGGGATGAGGAAACTAAACTGCTTGCAACAGCGTTAATACAGTGTGTTTGTAGTTTTGTGGCTACATTAGCATGCATGTGCTAATGCTATCATTTATTAGTGAAGAAAAATTGAGGAGGAGAGGGGGTGGGGAGGGAATTAACTTTCCTTCCCTGAAATGGGAGAGCTTATTTTAGGTGGGTGTTGTGGGGGAAGGGGGCTAATAGAGGATTTGTGGTGGTTAACAAAAGGTAGTTCAACAGTTTGCTATGTCTTGTAAGTAAATATATGAAAAGTACTTTTTGGTTAAGCGGGTGACCCATCTACCCGGGATAACTTTTCTCCACAGAAATGGGACCTAAGAAGGGTCTGAACAGAACCTACTGGAATCTTAAATTTGGGTTCATAACTCCATGTAGTTTACCATTTTGAGGTACCTAAATCACTTTCTTTTCTTATGGAGGGCTTATCTCGACTTTCTTGAAATTTTGGTATTTGGTATTTAGACACGATTTTTTGTACACTTTTTCATATATGAACGTATACGACAACAACAACAAAAACAACAACATTTGTTGTTGTTTTTGTTGTTATTGAAATTCAACATTATTATTAAATAAATAATTTTCCCATTTGTAAATCAACGAGGAACTTAAATTGAGGCGGCTGTCATTAATTCACTGTATCTGGGTTTTTCTTATCTCTCAGTAACATGATGATTCATTTTTGGGTATACCATAAACTTCTGATTGCAGTCAACTCCCTTCATAGCAGAAACAATTGGGACCTCAAGTTAGTGTCGAATTAGCGGGAGTTTATTTCAGTCAAATGTCTGTAATATATTTTGCCTAGAATTTAGCTGCTGTCCGTATTATTGAAGTGTCCGTTTTAGCGAGGTGTCCGCAAGGCGAGAGTTGACCTTATAAGCCTTCCCACTTATAAGGCCCCCCCCCCATTTCAAATAATGTCTGAGCCACACCCAGATTGGTCAGTCCTTAAGGCCAAGCCCTGGGCACAAGGTTGTCCTTTAGGGATTTTATTCTGTTTTAAAATTTGTCGCAGAGAATACCCCTGGGAGACATGCAAAGGAGCTCTTCAATGGGAATACCGAAACATCGAGTTTGTACTTTAACTCGAATCCAAACTCGAACATGCCCTACTGAGGGGAACATGGGGGTTCACGTTCTTGCGGTCTTGAGCTTTTTTGATTGGAGGAATTGAGGCCGGGGGTAATTTTCCAGCGGAATTATTGGCCTCGAGCGACGGACACTCTGGAAATCACTGTTCGGCCTTGTCTTTCTCTTAGCAGTGGAACACCAAAATAGCGCTAACTCGCTGAAAACTCTTCAAAACCGCCTGAGATGTGGGCAAACAACAAAGAATACAACAAGGCAATAAGGTAAGTCGATTTTATTTAAAAACATAACATTTTTTCGCTCTTTTAAGAAAAGCCGTTAAAATCCCATACAAGCCTTTGTAAATAACCGTTTGTAACACAACACCGCTCGCAAGCAAGAGTCACGTCTACGTCCATGTAGTTAGCTTGGGTGGCCTGTGCTCGCATTTGCTGCGGTTGATTGCTAATGCATACATGCTTCAGATAAACAAACCGGTCGAGATGAATACAACTTAAAGTACGCGTGACCGATCATGACTGCGGTATCGGTATTTCGTTGATTTTCGACACGGTATTTCAGTATTTGCCAATTTTTCCTACGGTATTGCGGTATTGGGTCCCCCCAATGTCCCCCGCCCAACTCCCCTCTTCAATTTGTTCCGCAAGTCTTGAATATGATATTTCAAAATACTCTGGAGAGTTGAACTATTTGTATATATCAATTTTTTGCTTTCTTATGAATATATATAACTTTGTTAACAAAAGATGTATTCCCCAGAGAACTAACATGTGATGCGATAATTTGGCAACAAAGGAACAGCAGAACAATAGGTTAACCAGTTTGCGAATATTTAAAGAGGCCACCGGGCTAGGAACGTTTTCGTAAAAGTTAGTCAGAAGCTATCATTTCACTGCCACGCAATATTTACCACCGATGAATAAAACAATTCATTTCGTTCGACACGGTCAATCTACATGGAACGAAGCGGAAGAAATCTTCAAATTTACGCGATTTGATAAGGAGATGCAGAAGCTTGATAAGATGGATGCACCTCTCAGCAGCTTTGGCGAAGAACAGGCTGCTCAACTACAGGAGAAAATACAGGCTTTGAATGCTGAGATTGCTATCACTTCACCTTTGAGTAGAGCAATCGAGACCTGTATTCGGAGTTATGGAGTTAAAAATGTGGTGGCCTCACACTTGTGTGCTGAGTTAGGAGACACAATTTGTGACATCGGCATGATGAGAGAAACCCTCAAGAAGAAGTATCCATCGATTGATTTTAGTTGTTTGCCTTCAACTGTTTGGTGGTATGTGGATCAAAAACTGAAGGATCAACTGACAGATCCAAGAAAATGCTACGAGTGGGTTTTACAGAATGGAAATTGCGGGTTGGGAGAAACCGACTGCCATTTTCATCGAAGAATTGAAGAATTTCATGAGTTTCTACAAAGCCGGTGTGAATCGAACATAATAGTGTTTACGCATGGTGCTTTTATGAGGGGCTTCTTTCATAAGTACTGTAATCGACCATTTCGACAAATTGTCCGAAACGTAGAAATAATCACTTATACGTTGTAAAATGAGATTTTTCCTGCGATTTGATTCTGAGTCGTGTCATGTTTATGGGTTGCTATAGAGGCTGTAAGAATTCCAGTTAATTCCGAAACATTGTTGATTCACTGAGTTCAATATTACGGAAATCATTAAAAACCAAGGGATCATTGTCACGCAAAATAAATTGGAAACCGTCCAGTGGAAGAAGCCATGAAAATGAAATGTTATAAAAGACCAATATATAAACAATTTGTCCAAGTCTCAAGTATTTGTGGCCCACGGTTTCTGAATTATTTGCAGAAACGTTTCACGCACCGACTCACGCACCTTTGTGAATAAATAATACATTTCCCATTGCGTAACATTTATTCCAATCTGGTTCTTGAATACCTGTGACATGCCTCCCTAGGGCTTCATGCAGTAAGAGATGGCATAGCCATTGTTTTACAGGTATGCCGTTAGTAGTACAAGCATGATTTTTTGTATAATTTTTTTCATGTTGTGCTGGGAAAGATTGTAGTGGTCTTACAAGCAGAGGAAAGGTTGTACAATTACAGGTGACTGTTGGATAGAGGAGTCAGGCTAAAGGGTACACAATCCCTTTTTGGTTATCCATCTTCGTTCAACAGGCCTTGCAATCATTTGTTTGTTTGTTTGTATCATCATGTCTTCTTACTCTATCCAGACTATTACAAAAAATACAGCTTTCAAATTTCGACTCAAAATCATGGGTTAACTCCTTTTGAAAAAACCAAACGGTTTTTTTTTGGCCAATTTAGGCGTCTTGAACATCGTCAATCATCTTTTCTTACTCTATTTCAACAAAAAATAATAACCGACAGTTTTCCAATTTTGACTCAAAATCGTCGGTTAACCCCTTTGGAAAACCACGCCCAAAATGAACTCTTTACAAGGAGTCTTTTAGTCCTTTTTGCAGTATTAACCACTTCAAACATCTTTTGTTACTCTAATCATGGGTGGGAAAAATCCAATATGACCACCCCAAAATCAAACTCTTTATAAAGGGTCATTTCAGCCTTTTTAGCAGTCTTGACCATCGTCAAACATCTTTTCTTACTCTATTAAAAAAAGTGTAATCAAAAAAACAGTTTTCACATTTTCACTCAAAATCATGGGTTAACCCCTCTGGAAAATCCACGAATATGGCCAACCCAACATCGGACTCTTAGTAGAGGGTCTTTTCGACCTTTTTAGCAGTCTTAAAACATATCTTGTTACTCTAGTTAGACAAAAAATAATCAAAAAGACAACTTTCAAATTTTTGACTCAAAATCATGGGTTAACCCCTTTGGAAAAATCCAATATGACCACCTGAAAATCGAACTTTTTGCAAGGAGTCTTTTTGGCCTATTTAGCAGTCTTAAACATCGTTTCTTACTTTATTTACATGAAAAATAATAAAAAAGACAAGTGTTCAAATTTTGACTCAAAATCATGGATTAACCCCTTTGGAAAAACCCAATATGCCCACCCCAAAATGGAACTCAAACAAAGCTGTCAATTTTCACTTGCCAAACCACACAAGGAAGAGAAAAACACACAGAATAACCAGAGTATGTACTATTTGACAGAAAGACCAAGAAATGACCAGGCATCCTGAGCAGATAACAATATCATTTATTCACATACTTTTTCCCGTTGTCATAAAGGAAGACTCTTTTTCATGGAATGAGTGAATCAATCTGTGGTGATCACGTGACATCTTCCTTCAACCACACCTCCCCCCTGTCAAAATTATTCTCTGACATCATTATTAATTTCACAAAAATAAAGCCAGATCTCCTGTGGAGGGAAATGGGATATCTTAACATGATCATAATGAATGCGAATGTAATGTGAATGATTCTATTTACAAATATGGAGCAACAGTCGTCTCGAAGATAATAGATACATCCAATGATAAATCACCAGTTTTCATATAATAGCCTAGTACAGTATATACACGTTTCATAGAATCACTCTGCACTCTGGGATTAAATTCTAAAGCTTAAAAATGCAACAAAAAGCACTTCTTTGACAGAAGTATATGATATTTAAACACCTATCTATGCGACTCATAACATTCACTTAAGAATACATTATTCAAGATAAAATACTTAATCACACTTTGGTATGCAGTTGGTGTATGTTCTAGTTCTGAGTGAGTCACACTATAATTTATAATCTGAAGTGGTCTCGCTCACATAAAGCACATACCCATTTCAAACCGTGTTTCTCTCATTTAATTTGTTTAAAACGTTATGAATATGGCACTATGAAAAGCCTAGCCCATAAGAATTGAAAGAAGGATCAAATAAATATGCGAGATATATAAAATCTGACTTTTAGTTATTATTTCCTTTCACTACAATAGGGATCTGCAGGTACGGAAAGTCCATTTAGGTACAGCAGACGATCTTTATGATCGGTCTATATTCTTGGCCTAACACCAGGAAGTTCACGCAACCACGACAGCAACGGCAGTGAAAATGTCACTAATAAAACGCGTTCACGTTCTTCTCACTTCATTACGATTAGTTCTTCTCGGTTAACTTGACAGTTAAAGGCAAATTTTGCTGGAGTTGAACAGAAAAGACCGCATTCAAGGCAAAAAAAAAGGAAAAAGGAAGATTCGTCGGCAAGTGTTTTCACAAAAGGTCGCGTAAGGATATCTCAGGTCATAGTCGTGCAGTGACGATAAAATGTTATGCACCTGCATAGTTGTTGTTTTGCTCATAAAACCTATCGTTGCCGTCGTCGTCGTCGTGGACTCGTGGTTGCGTGAGCTCCCCACTGTAAAGTCGTATCAGCCAACACGTGTACACAGTACATCACGTGAAACGTTTGCTCACGTGTAAAGGTTCATAAGCAACATAGACTATGCCTTTTGCTACGCTCCAATCCGCGCTCGTCTCCTTGGTTGCTTTGCGAGTTGTGCTCAGCCATCACATCACATGGATACCACGTGACTTGTAAGCTGTAATATCATATCACGTCATAGTTACTTTTTGTCGATACTGATCATTGGCTGTCACGTTTGCGTTTCTCGGACACCATCTTCGTTTTCTTTGATCGCAGGAAGATGCTGAACCTGGCTGACAGGGTGAAGCCATGACGTTTGCTGTGTCACATGACTGCATAACAAAATACAAGAATTTGACATTATCAAAAAGTGGTTCTATCATTAAAATTAGCCAGGGCTTGTTTGTCGTTTGTCCTGCGACTCAAGGGGCGGGGAGAGAGAATGACATTTTCTCTCCCCTTCCCCTTCTTTTGCCCTTACGCCTACGCCAAGGGTTGTAATTTCTACACTCGCTTGTCTTCCGTAGTAGTAAAATCAAAGATAGCGACTGCTGCATTACAAGTAGAAGCAACTTTCGCTCACCTAAAAATATTTCTTAGAACCAAACATTTTTGTGAATCAGGAGTTAACAAGGCATGAGACAAGGGCTGACTCCTAAATGAAGTGAATTCTCCGCTAAATGAATTTTTTTTCTCAAAACCTGACTTTCTTCCGTCCAGGGAGAACTTTCATGAGTCATAGGTACAAAATTTGCGAATTTTCAAAGCAAGACACAGTACGATATTATACTGGTTGTTCTTATCCCAAACGCACTGAAGCGACAAGCTACGGGTGTAAAAAGGTAAAGTTACGTGAAGAGGCGATGACTAAGTGTTCTCATCTGCACTCACTTGATATAGTATCTGACTCCATCTGTAGTGTAGGCTTCTTCCCAACCAAAAGGAAGAGCTGGTTCGAGAAAAGAAATAAGAGAGGAAATGATTAAGAGACATAACAAGATAAACACCATTTTCTACTGGGGTGCCGTGCTAGTGAATAAAGACCTCTTCAGAACTGGCCAACTTTTGGCAAAAAACGGCAGCACTATTTGATCAGATAGGCGTGTTCTCCGGCACCTCTGCGTTAACCACAAGCAGAATCTATACCAGTAGAGTAGTTTCCGGCGTACGCGCTGCGCCGCGCTGCGCTCTGAGGTATTAACTAAAATCAGAATTACAAATCGTCTGTTTCATTCCAGTGTCCAGGGAGGGGACTACTTACACGGGAAGTGGACCGAAGCACCAAGCCATTTTCACACTCACTTTATGTATTTATATTTTAGGCTACATTTTTTATGATATCAATTCGTAAAAATAAGTTGTGAAATTGAAATCATTGGTTTTCTCTGTAATCAGAGCATGCGTGTCAAGCGTTTGAATGGAGAGGGGGATGTCAGGTGCGTAACAACGATTTCTCTCCCCCAGACTCCCCTTCCCCGCCATCATCGGGGTAATTCCACGCAGGCTCCTGAGATTTGTTTTAAAACAGTGTTGTAATACTCACGTTCTTCTTCTATTAGCGTTTTGACAGACTTCACAGTCTCACGAGCCTCCTTTGCGAGCGAAGCCGGTGTGAACTTGGCATGACGGGATAGGTAAGTAGGTGGTTTTGGATTAGAACTGCCTTCACGACGTACTGACTCTCCTTTGCCACGCTGCGGAGGCCTGGAAACAACATGCGGGAAAAAAAACCGGATACAACATCAACAACGAGTTTCTTTTAAAAAGAATTGTTTAAAGAAAAGATTACATTGCCAGAAAAATTTAGTGGGGTACCGCATTAGCGCATGGCTATAGCTATATAGCATAGCTATATAAGGTAGAAATGCGACGGTAAAACAAGAATGTGTAGAGAAAGATATTTTTTCAGTCAGTGACACGGACGGTTCGAAAGGAAGACTCCTAATAATCCCAACTGGAATCGAACCTGTGTCCCTCTAGTTACTAGTCCAGATGCTCTAACACTGAGCTACAAGACACCTGAGGGAGCTAAAGCCACTAAACTAGGTTCATGTGACAAACATCCTGCATACAGCTGGGACTGGAATGTCGATATGTGTTTATGCGCAGCTGGTTGTACGACTGCGCTCACTAATTCTTCACTAGCTTTCCATCCTACCCAGATCACCTATTGATACGTTAAGTGTAATAAACAAGGTACCACTTACATTCTCGACGCTCCTTCGGTTAAATTTTCATGCACCATCTGCAAAACAAATGAAGGGACCAGTTAGTAAAAAATGCAGCAACGTTCAGTTAAGTTTCTGGGAGGATTGCTTTTTTATGAGTGTTGCTCAGTCCCAGGCCTACCTCGGCAAAGCGTATCAGCTTCTCCGTTGCCACTTCGTAGGTTCGTTTACTAACTTCGGCTTTCCGAAGTTGACAACCCAGAACAACCAATCTTTTCTGCAACTCTTGGAGTTCTTTCTGCAAAACAAAGAACACACTAGTAAGCTCTGGCTTAGGACTAGCGAAGTATTTCCCTCACACAGAAAATACGTCAAGTCTGACAGGTAAAAGGTACTTTTAATAGGAGCCAAATTACATAAATATAAATGATACGGGGAAAAACAGGATGACAAATGGGCAATTAGAACTCACCACATCAGGTTTGGGTTCAGCCTGTTTGGCCTTCAACGAATCCAGTTCTTGTTCTAAAAGACGTATGACCTAAAGAGAAGATAACACACCATTATGAGAAGTCAGAGAAAGGATACTGCAAGGCTTTTTACGTTTAAAGCAACACTAAAGCAAAGGGTGGTAAAAGACAATCAATTTAATACGCAGTGATCGCAGTGAACCAATGAATTGCGCGGAAAAGAGCGGGAAAAAGGCCCTCTGGCAGGCCAGCTGATGTCAAGCGCGGTAAAAAATGGGTCAGGTGCCACTGGCATGAAAACATGTCACACCAGGTGTTAATATACCTTCTGACAAATCAACTTCATATAGAAAGTAAATAAAATCACGGCTTGATGAGGATACTTTCTGCTCACCTCAGCATAATCCTGTTCAACATCCTTAGCAGCCCTCTGAGCCTCTGACGCCAGGTAAACTTTCTTTTCTAATGATCTGCTTTCCTCTAAAAGACCTTGAGCGTCCTGTTAACAAACAAAATATGAGAGAATGATCTTTCGAATCCACTGGAAAGTGGAGACGATCCTGATTCAGCTCTTGTCTATAGAGGTACATTCAACACTGACTATTACTGCGAGTTTCAATTAATTTAGTGTGTAAGGACATTTAGTAATTGCTTTAGTTTTGTATGGATATGGTTTATTTCCAACTGAAAAACCTCGCGCCACTTTTTGACCAATCACAATTCATCGTAGCTTGCCTAGCTACTTAAAACACCAATTGCATTTCCCCTACTTGGTGCCGGCTTTATTTATTGGCTTCGAGATCTGATTGGTTAATTTGATAGTGTTCGCGCATTGTGATTGGCCATAGTAATTACTTAGGGTTTGAAAATCTCTCAACCTCATGGGTGAGAATCAGTCTTGGATAACATCAATTACAAGGGTTTGTATGCATGGGAATTTTATTTAGGTTCCAGGAAGTTATAGGGTAACTGTGTAGTCCATGACTCGTTTTCCAAGGGTTTTGCACTTGGCCTTATTTGAAAATTGTCCTTTTGAGAAAGGTGTAAGGCAAGAACTAACATTTCAGTCTCACAGAGCCCTTACCCTTCTTGCTTTCATGAGCTCTTCTTCGGAGGTCAGGCATTCTTCTTCTTTCTTTTTCAGTAATTTCTTCAAATGTTGCACCTCTCGTAAAGCCTCATCTCTTTCTCGTCTAATTCGCTCAGCATTTTGCGCGCTTTGTTTTGCCTTGGCCTCGAGGGAAGCTAGCTGCGACTGCTGCTGCATCTGAAAAAAACACAATTTCTTCAGCTGCATGGTATCACGCACAAGGAAAGCGGGTTAAACAAGTATGTTTTTTATTCTTCTCACATCAGCAGGGTACTAATCTTTTACTAGTTGGATCTCTAGAGTTTAGTCATCAAAAGCCATAAGCAGGGTGTTGACTTGTGTAAAGTTCTGTTGACGCTTATTCCGTGTTGTTCTTAAACAAGGCCTTAAACAAGGAAGCCAAACTTAATAGATTGTATCTTTTCAATATTAACTCAGTTAACTCTCGATCAGGCCTTTGCTACCCCACTCAAACCCACTTCGGATTCCTTTTATGGACGATTATAGTTTTGCGGGAGTGCCAGGAAATCTCATCTTTGCCTTTAGCAGTTTACGTGCGCGTATGTTAGTGCAAGGAATTTTACAGCGCAATCAATTAACTCAAACTGTAATCAGCAATAATAATAATATTATAATAATAATAATCAGTATATTTATTGAATGGCAGCAAACCTTTTCAAACGCGTTGTTTTCAGCCGCTGTTGCTGCAGCATTGACATCTTGTATCGCAAACTGAACGGTTGAGGTACTCAGCGAGTGATCCTGCAGTTCCAAAGCAAACACGTTTCTCGCTGCATGAACAAAATCTGAAATCAAAACAAAGTCATCAGTGACGTTAAGTTACATAATTCGGAATTATGAGATTCAGCTGTCCCGGAGTAGACCCGTGTTTCGATATATCAAAATTCATACCTGGCTCCGAGGTTTGGGGGAATAAAAAAAAGAAATGTATTATTCATTGCTAAACTTCTTTCACTTTGTTTTAGTTCCCCTAAGCCTCAGTGCCAAGTCTGATTTTAACATATCAAAATTGGTCTATTAAACTTGCGAGAACGGCTTTCAAATGCAGGGTAGTTGTACCACCGTTGTGAGCTCACTGATCGAGCTGTAGCCTGCGCTGTTAGCCTGCTGTTTAATTCAGTTAGCCTGTGAAGCAAGCGTTTCCAATCGAGTTATCGCGCGAAAGTTAGAGCGGGAGCAAAAAAATTCCTCTTTTTTGCTCTCGTCCCAACTTTCCCGATGAACTCGCGCGAAAACCCTTGCTACGCAGGCTATTGCGCTGTTTATGCGCTGAAAGGCAATGTGCGAGTGTAGGACCTGATTGTTATCGATCACTTAATTACGTGATCAACTTACCTCCATAGGAGACGAATCCACCCTGATCAACAGGCAATCTTTGCCTTAATTGTCGCTGTTGTTCCTCAGTTGGGTTGAATCCTAAATACCTCAAAGCCTGAATAAATATTTCAAAAAATCTCTTAGTTCAAAAACGCAGTAGCTACAAAGGATGGATCATGCAAAACTAAAACTGTTAAGAAATCAGGTGAAACCTTTAACAAAAAGAAAGTGGGAACTGACAGGGTGAACAATACATGTTTATACAGCTGAGACAAGGGGTAAAATTTTACCTCCCTTAAGACCGTTTTTTTTTTTTATTAGGCCAAGTCCTGTTTTAAAGAATTCATCGAAACGATAGCATGAAAAACAAGGACAAGTTCTATTTGTATCAGATAAATAATAATTCTTTGCCGCGTTTAAACATGTCTTCGTCAACTGACTGGCAGTTAAAACCTGCTTTCTTTAATCAGATGTAAACATTTTAAACATTTTGGAAGAAACGACTAGCAGATGTTGCGTGCGTGGGCGTTATCATTAACGTGGATGCGGATGCTCCTCGCGTGGGCGTGGAAGCCTCCTTTCCACGCATTCGATACAATGAGGAATATAACTGGATTTTCTCTGCCTTAAATCTTTCGGAAAGTAAGTCCCTGGCTTCTCTAAAAAGAGGAAACCTTAATTGTTACATAGACAAGATGAACGGCACTAAAAGAACACACAGAACTAACCACTTCAAGTTTTTCTACTCGAAGCTTGGTGTAAGGGTCGAGAGAGAGTCGTCGGCTACCGCGACCGTGTCGTTTAACTCTGGGGCTACCAGATGACTGTGCATGTGTAGTCAAAAGTGACCCCTGACCAACAGAATCTGACTGCAGGCTCAAAGGTGGCGACGCGTACTGCTGTGAGATTCGATGCAGAGCTTCCAAGTCCTGCTGTAAGTAGTATGGTACTGATGAAGGCTCAAAAGCTGTTTGCACGGGGCTGATATGCAGAGATCCTAGTGGTAGCTGGTGAGGCTGTGCTCCTGTTACAGGAGACCCAGCTCCTAAAAATGAAACAAAAAAACAGTCATAGTGTGTCATAAAAAAATGAATTTTCCTCTTGTTATCTGCTTAGTTGTTCTAGTCACGCTGGTACGGCCACTTCTGCAACTCATCTTCCTACATTTACTAATTAGAACGTCTAATATTATTACGACACTGCAGAAGACTTTCGTCTCTTAGTATTTTAAGGGCTACTGAACACAATTCCAGGTAAAATTAAAAGCGATTCATGCAGAGGGCAGGGGCAGAATCTTAATAAAAAGTACGAGAAATCACTTAACGCTAGTCACATTAAAACTGATTTTAGAAAAATAAGAATTTTGCACTGCAAAAAAAAGTTTACGTCAAAATGTAATCAAAATAAATCTTTAAACGTTTTAACATTTCTGAGCATTTCCTGAATAATTGATTTGAATTTTTAACCAAAAAAAGATACCTTAAAATTCCCAGTTTGATGACTCACGAGAAAAAGTTTCTTGGTAAAAATTGCAGTGAGTTTACATTATTTTGGAAGCCAGTCACAAATGTAAAATTTTTAAGATTTGTAAGCAAACACCTGGCCCGGCCTGTAAATGAGTTTTTCTCTCTTGTTTTGTGTTTTAAGAAAGATTGTACCACTTACAAAGCAGGATAGTGTCATCTCATTAATAAATAAATCAGATATAGCTACTGTTTTTCCTAAACTTGGCAAATGATAGACCTCCTAGCACTTATTCATTTACACATCAATTGTTTAAAAGAAGAAAACTTGGCTAAGTTCACTGACACTGATTCTATCGTGGGCTTTACTGGTTTGTCTTTGAAATCTAAAATAAGCAATGTTTTGAAATGCAAAAATAATTTTATTGGATCTTTATTCTTTAATAAATAACTCGTTTGATGTATAATAATAAATCAATGTAGATTCAACAAAAAAGTTTCTAGAATCAAAAAATGAGTCTAAAAATGTATAGTACAATCTTTTTTTAATGCTTCAAGAAAACATAGTCACCTCCATCAACAAAGTGTTTGCAACAACATTTAAAGTGCGAAAGAGTATGCTACCAAAAATAAAACTCCAACAATGAATTTAAAGGTAACTGTTTTGAAAATGTTGTAGCCAAAGACAGAGCAAGAGAGAGTGTAAATAACACCCATAGAGAAAAACTGCAGGATTAAAGGTAAAATTCTGGGAACAGCCAGCTACTGCCCCTCCCCTCGCACAAACCAACATTTTGCCCAAAGTGAGAGGTCAATGTTAATGTTGGGTTAGGGGAGGGGAGGGGTGGGTGGGAAGCTTCCCAGAATCTTTGCCTCACCCCAACTGCACTTTAAAGCAACCCTCATCAATGGTAAGCAAAAAAAACTTGAGAGTACAGATGTAAAACATACCATTAGCAGGAAATAAGCCAGCATGATTTCCAAGAGATTGGCCTCCTAAGCCTCCATTAACATATGGTTGACCGTTCCATGAACCACGCTGTTGGTTCAAAACAAGTCCATTTGGCACGCTATCAACAGTTGTAGGTGTTGATGACAAAGCCGGCTGAAATCCTCCATTGAATAATCTTGGAGGAATCGCTGTTGGAGCTTGATAAAAGCCGTTAACAGGCTGTGAGTGTGAACTCTGAACACCTGCCTGGGTTCCTACACCATTTTCCATTCTCTGCATTTGATGCGACACAGGCTGCAAAACTGCTGGTTGCGCATCTGATATAGCAGGAGGTGAGACCTGTGACTGTGGACTGCTTTGAAACATCTCCACCCTGGGTGTACTCTCCCTTGTTTCTGAGTCAGCGGGCTGCCCAGTGCTGCCTGCCAGAAGTCCATGCATAAAAATATCAGTGTTACTCAAATCGGGATCACTTGCTTGTGAACTTCTTCTTGATGACAGTGGAGAGCTAGAGTTTTCAATTCCATTGAGATTCAGTTGTGTGGGGGGAAAATCATTTTCTGAGCGTCTTCTGGGACTGTTATACGCGGGACTTGCTGATCCATTCGGGGTCAGACTCCCAGGTCTGATTCCTCCACGTATAAATGTAACCTCAGCATCTTGTCCTCTGGAAAAATAGTTGAAATCGTTTCAATAAAAAATTGCAGAGAATATCCTCTTTTAGGCATGCTTTACTTCTCAAGCAGCTTTGAAGCATTAATTTAATAATGCCACAGGAAACAGTATGCACATGGTAAAAAGCAGCAAAAGAAACAAGCACACCTTCATCCCTTGAACATCATTCAACAATAAAAAAATAAAGGGTTCACTTGAGGTTTCAATTTGGGTAGAGAGCCAGACATTCCTCGAATGTTTTTGTAATAACATTGTAAATGGTTTAATGGTAACAAACATAATTTACTACAACTGCTAAGAAATATAACAGGAACATACAATCTGATGAGTATCAAAACCACAGAATGTGGAATCAATTTTCCAGACCAAATGATTTTTGAAATACACTGAAGTTCAAGAAACCTCTGTTCTGAAAATAATTCTAGGGAGAAAAAATAACTGGATCAATAGAAAAGAGCTTTCAATCAATGATAGTGGTAGATTATACATATTTTTCTTGTTATAACATAAACTACCAGAAACATTCCGATTCATCCTAGCCTTAAATGTTTACCACAAAACCACTGTAATATTACCAATGAAAATATTGTATGGTCTACTTTTCCATCACCATTTTTACAACAGTTTCAATTGCTTCAAAGACCTGATTTATGAACTTTCAGTGGTTTCAGTGAAGTTTCTCTACTTACCTTTTAGTGTGACAATGACTAAAGCTTTTGTATTTAGCCTATTAAGGCCACAGGTTTATCAATCATGCAGTGAAGGGTTACCCTCATACAATTCCCCTTCATTTTTATTGACAAAAGACACATCAATAAATATCCAAACATTTGCTGAAAGACATCAAAATGCTTTCAAAATGTACAACACTCATCAGGCTTTCAACAAGTGTTTTTATATCTCAACAATGTTTATTTACCTGAGTTTGAGCCTGGTGAGAAGAGATTTTGCCTGTTCATGAGTTACTCCAACAAGAGTCTCTCCATTTATGTACATAAGTCTGTCACCTCTTTTGAGTCTCCGATCCTGAAACAGGAGAGTAGAGCCTTCTGTTTTTGTTTGGTTTTCAATGTAGAGTCAGGTCTACCCCATCTACACAAATAAAGCTGTGTGTCTTACTGTTTTTACCAATAAGCAGGTATTAGCAGGTGCTTGGAAATATCCAGAAATTAAAGCATGAATTTAAAATGAAATGCAAATTAAAATGCAAATTTGATTTATCTAATTTTTGAGGAGTTTGGGACTTTGATGCCCACAATCGTACTCCAAGGAAATCTGTTGATTGGATGAACACAAATCTCTGTCTAAGCTTTAACAAATAGTTAAAACATAAGGTGCAATATATATTGTTTCTTAACTTAACAAGACAATGGTAGACTACATTAGAAGCCAAATTTCACATAGCTTTATAAGAAGTCTACCTTAGTTTGACCACAAATGTAAAAAAAGCATTTGAAAAAGGTTCCAAATCAACAAAGATATACCATGGAATACATCAGTTCTATTTCAGATTTAAAAGTGATTACAAAAACAGTAATGATAAGTTATATCAACAATAATTGTAAATATAATATTAATTAGTAATAGGGTTTTTACTGTTGAGCCAAATGACAGCAATTTCTTTTCCAACAGCAAAAGTCTTAATGTGATCAACAGCCAAAAAGAAAAGGAAAGAAACTTGGAATATGAAAAATGCATGCAACCCTCCCCAATTCTAGTTTCACCCCTGTCGACTTGTACATGTAAGGGTTTATTTCCTTTTTTTTTCAATCTTTTCTGTTAAATAGGGTACAGCAGGAAATAAATTTACCATTGAAACCTTAAGACAAAACAACATCAAATTTCTCCACAAAATATCACTGGTTATTAATCAAACATCAAAGGTCATAAAAATAAGGAGAAAGATTATCAAGAGAAAAAGGCCTTGATTGTTAAACAAATTCTCCTCAACTTAACCATAGGAAATGTATAGAAATCAGAGTGGAGAATATACACCCAGATATAAGCAAGCGTACCTTGTGGGCGTCGCCCCCTTCAATGATGTCATCAATGTATACATGCGGCCCGTCAGGTCTGTTTGTACCTCCAACTACGCACAAGCCAAGCCCTGTTGAGTACCGTATCTGAATACTCTGCAGTTCACCAGGATGATCAAACGTGGGAGACGAACTCGTTGAATGCCTGTCAGTTGGCAAGCCAGAATCATTAGTGACCTCTGAAGAAACACTTTGTTGTTCCACAGTCAGGTGACTGTTACCATTGAATTCTGGAGACCTCTCTTCTGGGGATCTCTGTGGGGAAAGGGTTGCACCATTGAAGTGGCGTGCATACTGCTGTGTTCTGTTTGCTGTTGCTGACAGCTTTTGAAGACTGGAGTTGTAAGAGGGAGGTTCATATGCCCCTGTAAGCAATAATCAAAGTGACTGAAGGTTATATTTGGCTAGAAGCCTGAGAAAAGAGCCAACATTTTGCAACACCACAACTGGTTTCCCAGCAAAATGATCATTGAGGAATGAGTGCAGAAATTCCATACTGATAAAATATCACTACCCAGATCTGGCCAGTAGGACTTGTGATTAATTGTGCCACGAGGAAAATTTGCTTCAACCAATCAGACAGTGTTCAGGCCAAAGAACTGGAAGAAAAATGCTTCCATACATTTTACCATAATTCTAGAGCACATAAAGTAAGTGAGGCACTTGAGGTAGAATTTAATTGTGTGCTCTACAGTGGCTTGAATTTTGTTTTGGTGCACAGAAAAAACAAATGAATTAAAACCATAGGCATACCAGGAGGATGTTGCACTACAGTTGGACCAACAGGAAGAGTTGGTAGATCCATAGAGTACATTCTCTGCAAACTTGCTGAGGGTCTGTCAAGTGATCCTGTGGGAGAAAGCACAGGACTACCATGTCGACCTCCTGCAAGGGGAGACATCTGACCAGCTGTCATCACCCAGGAGCGTTTTCCTGTAAGACAATAAGAATAATTTATTTGGGGTCATAAAAGTGGCTCAGTTCCAAAATTCCTTTCTGAGTTGCTGTGGGTAGTTTACATTGTCATTGTACCTTAGTTGGTTATTCTTATGCTTCCTACCAATGTTCAAGGAACAAGTTCACAAACTCACCTATGATGAGGTCAAGATTGCCATAAGAGATATAAGGTTATATAACCAGGTTCACTTACCCATAGTAGGTGAAGGAGTTGATGCTCGTGAACTGCCAAAACTACTACTTCTTATGAAGCCATTTACAGCAGTGCCATTGGTTATACCAGCAGATGATAGCCCTCCATTCAAAGCCTCCATTAATGCAGTAAATTCTTGCCTAAAGAAGAACAAGGTAAGAGGAGATTTTTATCCAGCGGTGCTTTCCATTTCATGGAAATTCTGGTTGGGAGTTTAAGAGATTCCTCTTTATCGAATGGTACATTCCAATTAGACAGACCCAACCCAAGCCACTGCGCATTTGGTTATTCTCCTTGTAAGCAGGATACAGGAGAGTGGTACTGGAAACAACAATTTTGTCAAATGGAAAGGGACATTTCGGTCTAACCGACCAAAATAACTGGACCGGTCAAAGTGGATCACTTTCAACGGTGGTCCTTGATATTCCAGTCAGACCAAACCAAAATGGCCTGTTCCACTTGATTTTTAACCAAAATTTCCAGAATTTTTGGCTGAATGGAAAGTTGCCCATGTTAAAAGTTCCATGGTTAAAATTAATGTCTGGGGGTTTAGCGACCGGGTGCTATTCCTTTGCCAATAATTTGCTTACCTAGCATGAACATCCCTACAAACCACAAGTTTTGCCTGATTTGATTGAGCAGCATTTCGCAGTAAAGACATTGCTCTGAAAAAGAGAAGAAAAGGAAAAACTAAAAGATGCAGTCAGAGTTTGGAATGCCAACACTATTCACCATTTGCACACCTTGTTTGCTCTCCAAAAACTTTCGCATGAGCATTGCCTTTAATTTCTCCTCGGAAAACTTCAATAACAAGAAGTAGGGTTCTAATAATTAAGTGCTGGCAGCCGGCTAAAAAAACTGGCTGCTTGGAGTTTTTTTTTTTTGGGGGGGGGGGAAGGGTAAAGCGAGAGAGTGATAGCCCGAAATTGCCCACAGTACTATGAGAGCCCCGCAGGAGAAATGAAAAACAAAGGTTATGCAAAACTTTGTGGGGAGCAAACATGATGTATTATGGGGGATGTGCAAATGGTGAATAAGACAAGATAGAGGGAGATGAAATCAAGATGGTGAAAAAAAGGTAAGAAAATGAAAAGGTTATTATCAATAATATTACTCAGTGTGAAACTTAGAAAACTGTGAATAATAACAGAAACATTTCTGGAATGTTATATTTTTGTTGGAAGAAAAGCTTATGAGATGGCAAAAAAATTAAACCCCAAATACATGGGTAAATAAGTTTATGGTATTATGACAAGCTCACATGTCCTTATTTGGAGCTCTGTGATTGGTCATAACACAATAAACGTTCTTGAAACATTTCCGGTGTTCGCCATTTTCTAATTTGGAATTTACAATGGAGCTTTCTTCAAGCTAAACTTACTTATCATTGGACACGCCATGTAGGCTGCATCCATTCACCTCCAACAACTGGTCACCTTCTCTAAGCTTCCCTGATAAAAAGAGCCATCATAGATAATATTCACTGACAAACGTACAACTTGCATTGCTAAACCAGCAAATTACGAATACCAAGCAAGATAACTTGGAGAGCCAGTCTGTGTCCTTATAATGTATTTTCTTAATGTTACATTGGATATGTTTTATGTTTTACAAGGAAATTAATAGAGGATATTACATGGCTGTGCGGAGATACGAAATTTCTATTCGATTGTTGTTGTATTACACAAACACCAATGTAATTCCAAGCCATTTCACTTAAATACTTTTTTGCTGCAAAAGGTGCGATTCATTATGTAGCCATAGCAACAGTGATCTTTTCACAGGTGAAAATAACATGTTACCGGTATATGTTTTTGTGCAAAAGCTCACCTGGTATTTCACTGGTGTTAATATGATAATACAAGTTATTGCATACCAGATTGGCTTATCTAATATGAGATAACCATTATTATTCATCATCATTATCATTATACAAGCCAATCTGCCATGTAATATAGTATAACTTCCTGGCAACTCTGTAATCATGATGTGTGTTTATTCTTACCATCTAGATCAGCAACACCTCCGCTAAGAACTTTCTTCACAAATACCCCAAAATCTGCTCCTAGAGCTGATTTTCCACCAGCGATCTTGATTCCTGGTTGCAAAGTGATAATATTGATATTAACCCAATGCATAACAAAGATATCAACAACAAAGGAAAATATAAATACAATATTAATTTTATTACTTAATTTTATTGTTGTATGCAATGCATGTATATTCAACGAACTTATAATACATTAAAGGCCAGACAAACTCACCCAATCCACTGTGACAGTTCTTGATATTTATCACTTCTGTTTCATGCCTGTCTCTGATATCCACCTGCAATCTAAAAACAACAATATTAAAATATTAGAAAATAGTGTTAAATGTCAAGGTGGAAGTTGATTCCCTGCCTCTATTCATTAAAACACACTGAAACTGTAGAACTGAAGTGTCTCTTACTGTAGATTTCCATAACATGCAAACTCTTAAGCTCAAAAGCCAACTAACGTTTGCAATCTTTGCTGCTGTCAGTCTAGCCTGCGAGCAAGCTCTCCGGGGGCTCTGGTGGCAGGGTGGGAAAAGGAAAGAGAGCTTGCAACTACGTCTCTGGAATTTGAATATCTGCATCAAAAAAGTCTATGTGAAATGCTGATTGGCGGAGATGACATTAGTAATGATGTCATTGCCCAAGGCGCTTGTTTTTCAATGTTTGTTTACATTTGTACTTGTTTCCACTTCACGGTGATTGGCGGAAAGTGAGTGGGAGCCACAGGGAAATTGGCAGATGAGACGCAGTTGCAAGCTCTCCTTCCTTTTCCCGCCCAGCCCCCAGAGTGCCCCGGATAGCTTGCTCGCAGGCTACTGTCAGTCATCTTAGCAGACCTCTCAGAAAAAAGAAGGGTAAAGGTCATGGTTTGTGATTGGTAGATTTCAATCCAGTGTGGCTGGTGATTTTTGAAGGCATTAAGTATCAAAACTTGAAAAAGTAGGCCCATTTTTTTTCAAGTTTCAAACAATGTCCATCCTTGCCATTCACAGTGCTCGACAAACTATAGCTTCTTTAAATTTCAGAGTTCATTTGTTATTGAAAGGTGCAGTAGTGCAGTAGTTAGTGCCACATTGTTTCGTGGTTACAAGACTTAAACAATAAAACTGCATGTGGCAGTGAAAATTTCCCCTATAAAAGACTGAAGTTTTTAAGACAAAATAAATGGTTTGCCACCAGCTGAGCAGTATCAAAAAGAAAACACCTTTAGGCCTGCTGTGAAAAAGCTGGTCTAACCTAAACCCTTCATTCATTATAATGGCTACAGCTTTGCTTGAAAAAATACAGTATTTTGTAGACTTCTAGAAACCAATGATAATGACTTGGCTACAGTGCTAGTTATGTCGATCAGTGGATCTTCAACGGCAGTATTTAAACTACCAACTCTGACAATAACATTGTGGGCATGTCGCTGCCACATAGAAATTAATCTAAAAAAAAGATTATCTTTATCGCTCAGGGTACAAACAGTACCTTGGTGATATGCTGTCCCTTGTCACCAGTGACAGGCCTTCCATGTCCTTCTAGTCTTCTACATCACATTCTTGAATGAAAAAAATTGACAACAACATCAATACTCAACTTGTCTAATTGCAATTGAGTTGACAAGTGATGTGGTGATGGGAAGAGCTAAACTGGAAGTGGAAACTTTAATTTTAACTTTTGCTGTAGTCACAGCATAATTGCTTAGCCAGGAATGCAAAAATCATTACCTTTTCTTACTGGCTAAGACTACGATACATTGGATTTTCCCTGATTTGATAATATAGTTACAGTAATAATTTTTACAAATTTAAAATAATCTAAGAAATGTAGAACCTACTACAGGAGAAAAATTTATAATGTTATATACCAAAATGCTGTTGATCTTCACACAAAATTTCTTATGGGTAGGTGCAATTATCAAAAAATCGCCTTGTACAATCTTATCTATAATTAATAATTCACAGGGGGATGCAAACATTAATGAACAATATTACACAAAAAATTAACGTAAAAGGAGCAGACATGAAATGTGCCAGTTTGAGAGAAAATTAAAATCTGGGAATGAAAGCAAAACAGGACCTAGCTCATACATGAGATCAACTTAAACGCATTGAATAGATTTTAAAGCTAGTAGCTTTCAAAGCTGATGAAATTGTTGTTGTTTTCAAGGCAGATTTACAACTTATGTAAACCTCGAAGCTCATTTTCAATCAGCAACAATGCAAGTACTGAAATATGGTATCAAAGTACAAGATCGGAGGCATGTAGAGCAGAATTGAACACAACGTAAAAGCTCATGCAGGCCGCCATTTTGTTTGCAGCGTATCCAATAATACTACTGCGCACAGCAAAAAGCCGACCTTCGATCATCATTTTATTCTTCGCGCGCGAATTCCCAGGGAATCAAGCCAATATATATACGCTCTAAATATCGATCATCAAAATCAAGAACATAGACATTCACTTTATACGATTATATTACCCTGCAACATACGGCTAAACGACCAGAATATCCGATGATGTAGTAGTAACAAGATTGAAATGTAAACAAAGCACAATCTCATGAGACAAATTTCATTCCCCAATGTTTTCTCACCAAAAATTGCCATTTTCCAGGCCGTTTGCAATACTTGGTGGCAGTTGTGGTGATCGAATTATCTTTTTCTGGTGAAATACCCAAAGAGATGGGTTTCATGATTGGCAAATTATCGTTTTAACTTCAGCTGTTTTCAGGTCGTTGCACAAAATAAGCGGTCTTTAAAATAATGTTTTCGTACTCAAAGTATAAAAATAAAACTCTAAAATGAAATTAAAACATCCAGTTGTCTGAACAAACATTGATTTTGAAATATTAAAATGCAACAAAATGTGGCAGTGGCAATTTTGACGTCAAAATACAGCCGAATTTGAGTTAGCAGAGAAATAAGAATATTGTGAAAAACGGATGTTATGATCACAAAAGATTTCCTCATAAAATACTTACGCGAGAAAATGTTCTCAAGCAGTGATAAAAAGCACATTAGAGCATGTGAGTTACATATCTCGCCATTGGTAAACATTTTCCAATGTCAAGTTCGAAGACAGAGGTCGAGCTAAAACCAAGAAGCTGTCATAAACACTCTAACACTGCGGTTAAACAACCCGCAAAAAAATTAAGAGCCGATTCTCCTAACCGATTTAAATTTAACCGCGTTCTGAACATTTGAAACAAACAGACACCCGTTCCTCACCTCAAACATTCGGTTGAGTTAGTGATAAAACTACTTTTTGATGTGTAGATAGAACAATATGCTGTAATCTCGGTTTTACACACATCGATCGAACGTAAAGGCAACTAAAGCTTACCTTCGCTGAAAGCCGACCGACGCCAAATAAATGTAGTATAGATAGAGCAGTGTTTGTTGGTGTAATAAACCTTCTTCAAGAACTGTGTTTATCCTAGCCGGTGTAAATTATCGTGCAATATCATTCGAGTAGTTTCCTCGGATCTGTTTACCACGCGTGAATGAATGCAGCTTTACAAGCTCTGTTGCATTCCATACATCAAAAGTGTAGTGCCTGCCGCCGTTGTTAATTAGCAACGGGGGTATTCAAATATCCCAGGGATTAATATTACAGTCTGGAGAAACTGTAAGTACCCAGTAGCCAAAAAAAAAAAAAAAAAAAAAAAAAGGGTTAGCCTTATTTATTTATAACAATTATGCCTGAACAGCAAACAAAAAAAGAAGATGAAAAGAAAGTTATTGACCACAACGACAAGCTTAACTACATTAAACTGACTTTATAATTCTATAAATTGCACGTAATTTGGTTCTAGACTACTGGGGTCAAAATCTCCTTGCTATTAAACAAGATTGAAGCAAGAATTTTAATTTTCTAGAACTGTCAGGTATAATAAAAGGAAAACGGCAAAGCTGTTTTTGAATCTTTAGATTTACAATACGTTCCTAGGTATTATTGAAGAAATAGACCCTTTCTTTTGACTGGAACCAGTCAGCGAAAATCGACCCCAAATCTGTCAACACGGCTGGAAAGAACACCTAAAAATCAGTAACGTTGCCAAGTTTTAGGGTCCACAAAGTGGCTGGGGCACAACTTGCCCGTCTCTCCCCCCATACAGACGTGTGTTAAATTTCGCGAATCTGGGCCCGGTTGCATAAAATCTGCACTTAACTGCTCACTTAAGTAGGTCACTTACGAATCCGTTATGGATACACTTACGAGTGTTGCATGGAACGCACTTAGCACTGTCGTAAGTTTCTGTTTTACGTGGTAACTTACGGGCTCACTTAAGGGCACCGTAACCTTGATATAGTACTTTATGATTCACTTAATGATTCACTCATTTTTTTTTAAGCTACCTGAGTGTAAAGAAAGTTAAAAGTCGTTTCGAACACTTTTAAGCCTCTCAAAAAATGAAATTTGCATGCAAACGTTATTTTTCTTCAGTATCTACTGAAAATGATAGTTCTTCTTCTTTGTTCACAAAGTCGGCCTTTAAGTGTCCATGAGAGGTTAACAAAGCGCATTAGAATACTTTTTTTTCACTTCTCAGTAAAAGATCTCGTTAACTTTAGTAAAAACAGTAACGATACGGGACCTACATAGGTCCCGTAAATTTACGTGTTATTTTTCCTGTAAAAAAAGTTTTATGCAACACCCGCAAATTCTGTTGCATAAACGACACTTAAGTGAACACTTACGAAAATCGCAAGTGCAGCCACTTAAGTGAATTCCCTAAATGGACCACTTTACTGATTGAAAGACGCTCTTTCCAGCCGTGCCGATGGATATCCGCTGAGTGGACAAAATTTTAGGCTTTTGAAAACGAATGTGAGGAGAGGACTTTCACGTATTTGTCTGTCAAGTCTCTGTGACTCCTCAGTTCTAAGTCTCACCAGTGTCGCGGGAAAACTGAAATGTGCGTCTTCTCCGAAACAAACACCGGGCGATAAGGGTACTTATTTAGACCTTCTTTCTCTGAACTGGCTAAAACTAACTTGAACTGACTTAATGGAAAAGAAAGTGATGCTATTGAAACTGAAATTCAAAATTGAATCAGTGAAGTTCAAGGTAAGAAAAACTGGCTTTATTCCCGGGAGTAACAGGTTCCTGGCTATCCTTAACATATCAAACTCAACCTACTTTGGATATCGTCACTAGTTCATAAAGTGCGTTGGAGGAGAGAGAAGAGTGGGAAGCCTGTTAAACCGGTAGTTCGACCGAGGGGTTGGGATCTTCTTTTGAGAAGGGCACTTATAGGAGAATCATAATGCACCCGCACAAAATGCATGCATGCATGCACAAGGGATGGACACTGGGCGGCAAAGATTCCCGGCACTGCCGTCCGTGACTCTCACCTACTGCCTTTCTTCAGGAACTCATAACGGGTTGAGCAGTTCCTTACGAGTACCTGGATTAATAGCAAAGATAGATGAGAAAAGCCCTCATTAAGTGTTTTAGATAAAAGACCGTGCCTTCTTGGAGGCAAAACACTCAGCAACACGAAACAAGGGATGCAACTTGACGGGTCGGAGTGAAGTCTTAAAACAAGACAAGTATTACAAACATAGGGTATACATGATGTGTGTTATTCAAAATTATAAGAAACAGGATATATAGAGAGGAGAAGTCGTTACGTCACGTTGCCATGGTAGTATAAATTTCTGGATGACAACAAACCGAAAACGTCACTCAAAAAGCGAGTTCGCACTGTTTCAAACTTCATCTATCTTATTCAATTTCATATAATGTGCCAAATATTGGCGAAATTTTCTGGGGTTGAATCCGAAAGGGCCGTATCTAAGTTTTATAGAAAAGAAAAAAAATTGTGTTGTGCTCACCTACCGAGAATAAAGCGAGCGCGAGAAATTAGGAAATAAATGCACAAAAATCCGTGATGTACGTGCAGGTTGTTGTTTAGCTGATATAAACGTATTGCTTTTTGTCGTTGTTGTGATCCAGAAAATTTGCTACAATGGTAACTTGACTTCACACTTCTCTGTCACTTCTCTCTATTTTAAGAGATATTTCTATAAATACAAAACAAAACTTATATTTATTCTTCCATATAGTAAATATTTTAAAATGCGCTAATGAAAGTTTAGGTGAAGAATAGAAACAGCCGATAAAATATATATCTTCAACCTACTGTTTTCACGCGCTGAGCAGTTTTTTTCAGTCGAAATAGTTTCTTTCCGAAGAACTTTCTTTGATTTCTTTTCGTGCAGATAGATTCCTGGTGCAATTAAATATTAGATTAATATTTTCCCATTTTTTACAGTGCACTATGTGGTCATTTGAAATTTGTTAATTCAAGACAGTTAGCTTAGGGCCGTTGTTGTCGAAATTCTTTCTTACTTTACAGTAACATTTCTTTGTTTCGTTTTCTGAAAAATTTATCATTTTCTATTCAGTGAGTAAAGCCCGGTTCAGACGTCGAACTCTTCACTGAATTAAGTACACGAAAAGTTCGGCGTCAATTAGGAATGCCTGTTTCAATTTGGAACGGCTTAGCCGTTCTTCCCGCCCATCTCGCCTCGACTTTGGATCGGCTTTGATTCAGAAGCCGAACTTTTCATGTGCCGAACCAAATGCATTAATTATTATGTCACGTAGTTTCTGAGCAACTTTACCGAAATGAATATTTTTCACCTTTTGAATCAAGTCCGGCTGGAATTAAGATCGGCGTCTTAATCAGTTCAGCCGGTCTAAATAATTTGGGTCGGCCTTAATTCGAATTAGGTTCGGCTCATGAAAAGTCCGGCACCTGAACCGGGCCTAAAGGTGGTTTCTCCTTAGGTGTTATACGAGAGATCGTCCATTTAACGTTAGGTATGAGCTGGTCTTGAATCTCTGCAACCAGCGGACAACCGCTTCCTTAGAAGTTCATTTCAAGAGAACTCTTCTGTCCAAGACCTTCCCTCCAATCACGCCAGCAACGGTTGTCGCTCATTGTCCGCGTTTATTTCACCATACTGAGGAGGAGGTGTTTGTTTCTCTGGCACTTTAAGACGGTGAAAGGACAAGAACATTAAAATCTAAACAAGAAAGGATGAAATAAGCAAGTGAAAATTGGCTTAATGTATAACAGTTTGTACCGATTTGGGTGATTGAGGTTTCTGAGTTACAAGTGACCACCCACCCCTCCCCTACGTCAACTTCTCACTTAGAGCAAAATTGTGACAAAAGTGGGGAGGGGTAGCTGGTCAGTTACCCAGAAACCTCTTGCTCTACAAAAACTATAAACATGAACGAGGCAAACGAAACCACGTCTCTTGTTCAACTTACGGCTAAGATGACTTCGAGACCAGCCATGACTCCCAACATCAGGTAAAGCCTTTTGGTGAGTGCGCCTCCCCACAAGGGACCCAGGATCATTGCCACGCCTGTGACCGATCTCTGAATACCTTGAGCAATGCCTGGAAGACCACCACAGAATCAACATAGAGCACAGAATAACCAAATAAGAATGGCATATTATAGCAGCCTCATAGAAAAACACAGACCGGTTCTGTAGGGCCCCCTCCCCCGTCTCTGTAACAGATCTCGACTGTGGACTCCGGACAGTGTGAATATCTGCCTTCTTAAAAAATTTCCTGAAAGTTTAGGTAACTAGCAAGAAAAAAAATCTTTTCACAATAGAAATTCAATTTCAATAATTTCAGTTGGACAAAGAAAATACAAATTTAACCTTACAAATTATTTTGCATAATTCAAACCAAAAATTGGCAACGAAAACAACAACAACAAAAAAAACCTAGAAAGAAATCTACACAAAACCACAAGACAAAATTTTCCTACTTTATTCACTACAATTTCTAATCCACTGAAGATTAAGGTCATTAAGGACTTTTGTAGTGGAACCTCGATATAACAAACCTCTATGTAACGAAGTCCTCGAAAAAACGAACGATTTTCTTTACCCCAGTAATGGTAAAATATATGAAAAAGAACCTTGATATAACTAAACCTCGTTATAGTGAACACATTTTGCCAGTCCCTTGGCACTTCATTAAATCGAGGTTCCACTGTAGCATGCATGACCATGTATTCACTTAACGAACCAAACCATCATAAATTTAGGGTGGATGTTCCTAGGGCATTTTTTAATGCCATCACAGTTAAAAATTGAGGGGAAGCAACTTCTTTTTAAACTAGTAATAATTTTATAACCAGCAACCTGCAGTCAGTTGGCTGTTCTGTGTTGCTTGATTTACCTTGTGTTTTCTCATCAGTAATTTTAGAGTAAAGGGAAACATTTGCCACAGCGAAAAACGGCAAACCAAACACAATTACTAAGGTTCCAACTATAAGGGTAGGCAAGACAATTGACTCATCTGAAAAAAAAGAGAGAAAAATACAGTTGTTATTTCTTTATTTATACTACTACATGAGAAATTTCTGGAATTTGATAGGCTTAGAGCAGTGGTATTTCACCTTATTACATGTGAAAATTACACACCTTTTGCGGGTAGTAGTATAAACAAATAATAGCATGCCTTGTACGTGATATTTAGCCTGCGTAGCAGGCGCTTGGAAGTAGCGGGCAAAAGAGAGAACGGGCATGCGCGAGGGAGACACGCAAGGGGTGTCTCCTTCTCGCGCGCCCGTTTTTTCTTGTGCCCACTACTTGCAAGCGCCTGCTACGCAGGCTATGTGATATTTGGCATAAATACCACTAGCGATATTTCAAAATTGTCTCAAATTTCACTCGCCTAACAACTTGTGAAATTATGTATAACAATTTTGAAATATCACTCGTGGTATTTATGCCAAATATCACTACAAATCATGCTATTACCTATACTAACCTGCAAAAGTGGTGTCCTTTCTTGAAATATGACATGTTTTTTTTTCTTGACTGATTATTTAAAAAGAAACTAAAAAAGGCCACTGCACTCGTAACCTAACCTGCAGGTAAAAAGCTGACATTTACTCATTGTTAAATTTGAAGTTCAAGGAGAGAAAAAAACTACTTAATTAGCAAGGTGAAACCACCAAGAAATTCTAATAGGTGTTTCCAGCTCATGGAATGTAGCATTTTCAATTAAATTCCTTTCGAAAATAATAACTCTTTATATCAACAACTTAACTTAACTCAGGCATTGGGTACCTCATATTACAAAAAATTATTTTCCATTTTCACATGACTAAAATTAATGTTTGACAGAATTGCTTGTGTTTAGGTGAGGATTAGAACTAAAGGAGACATTCTCGGGTAAACCAGACATACTTTTGTCTCCTACAAATAATTAGGGTTTGGAAAAACATGTGAATCTGGCTAGGTTAATTACTGGATTAAGCTGAGAATAGATTTTACCTACAAACAAACATTTTTATATTCACTACAATGTTTTTCTGGATAGTCTCCTTTCCTAACTGAAAGCATAGATATAGCTTCTGATCATATGAAGACAATTTCATTATTACTTCACACTGGATGAAAAAATGGATTTGCACAAATTTGCTCTCTGTAAACTTATATGTCACAAATGAGTAAATACTGAGGAGTAAATATATGGCAAACATAGTAAATACCAGGGGGGTGTAGATAACTAGGCAAATGTGGCATTTACCATGTTTGCCATATATTTACTTGTCATTTTTTCGTACTGTGGACAGTAACTTACATGGCTTTGCATTGGCTAAAAGAGCAAGATACCAAACTAGCGCAAAACCCTCAAAAGCAATTCCAATAACTATTAACCACCTACAAAAGACAGAGAAAACAAAACAGTAAGAGGGGAAAAAGAAGAATCTTCTAATCCTGATTTGTCCTCTCCATCTACCCCTGCTAAATACCCACCTCATACTCTCATAACACACCACTCATAATAATAATATAATAGCTGGGGACTGAGTAGGGGTGACTGTTGAGGAAATTTTGACTTTTACATATTGTATTGCAATAGGTCACATGCATTATTGTGATTGTATTGTGATAGTGGAGGTACTACTGCAATAGTAATGCAATAGTTTTCATCATCTCCTTTTTTGTCACTGTCAACAACAACTGTCCTACTACGTTCACCCCGGACGATCATTATACTCAACATACTAACTATAGTGATTGTTATTGATGTTTCATTTTGAATATCGATCCATCGCTATCGCAACATCAATATCATGATTAATCGATAGTTTGATGTATTGTTACAGCCTTAGGAGTGAGTGAGGAATTGAAGGGACGTATTAGCTCACAGCGCTAGGGTAGTAGACACCAGTCAAAGGCAACGACTGTTTGAGGCTTCTCATTAAGTATTTAAGTAGACAGGTAGGATGTGTTAGTAGTCGGCTTGGCAATCCAGTGCTGTAGGCAATTTGGAGCTTTCAGTCCCTCACTTTTTTTTGGCTGGTTACTGGCACTTAATGATAACCCTGAAGGTTGTTGACCATTGTTTACCCCAAGGGGGATCCCATATGAAAGGGGTGAGGATGCTTGTCAGAAATTTTGAAATAAACCCCTAAAGGAGACCAATCTGGGCATGGCCCAACCTTTTTTTGACCCCTACAAGCGATCATTTTAAACTTTGATTGCATGAATCGAGTAAATAAAACGAATGGAAAAGATATCATTTTTTAACATTTCTTCAAGAGCAACCCTAAAAGAGACCTTTACGGCTAAATATAATGGCGTTTTGCCCAGAACACACTAAGCGAGACCAAAATCTGAAATTTACTGCACCCCTAAGTGACACGATGAGCATCCCCAACCCTTTCACATGGGAGTCCCTTCTCCCCTCCCCCCCGGGTTGTTTACCTGTCAGCTAACTTGAGACTTATCTTCCTCACAAGAATAAATACTGAAATAGCCTACAAGGAAACAACAAATGGGTAATCAAAAAGTTAACTCGCATATTTTCAGACAGTTCTTGTATAAGTGGCTTGGCTATCAAATTATAAAACGAGGTTGAATTTTTTCTATGCCATGACACCCGATACCCAACTCCAAATCTTGCAATTTGAGAAGACCACACAGGCCATCTCTGAGTACCCTGTGAGCAGATTCACTTCTGATTCACAGATCCTTTCTGGTATTTCTGTGTTACCTTTAGCCCCTTTCCCAAAGTGAGTCCTGGTGCTCGTCCTTTCATCTGAATAACAGTTCTCATTCACAAGCAAATGAAACTCATTTCCAAATGAAAAGCTGTGCACAGGTCATACCTTAGTAAAGAAGCCAAGGGCAACTTGGAAATGGGCAATTGCTTTATCACACAGGAGCATAGATTCTCCAACAAGGGGGAAGGGGTCACACTGCGTGACAACCAGAGTACATACAAGGTTGTCATGTCACCACCCATGCTGCATTCTAGCTGAATGCAAACACGACCACTGTTCAAAAACATTTTTCAAAAATTAATAGATGGTTGGTTCTTGCATCTATAGGGGGAATGTGGCCAAACTGCAGCCTGAAGGTTCTTAAATGCCAAATTTCTTAAGCTTAGACAAAAGAATTAATAGTCTACAAAAAGAACTTTTTTTATCTAATCCCAACAAAACTAGGTTTCTAAAAATTGGCAAAAATACATTCTCACCTCAAAAGCTATTAAACAAAAGGCAATGCTATTTTCAATTTCTTTCCAACCTAAAAGATACTCTGACAAAGGAGTGAAAATAGACTGCAACAAAAAAGAAACAAAATGAAATTCTTTAGTAAAAATATAAGCACAGTGGCAGATCCAGACAAAGGGCAGAGATAACTAGTGGCTGCTCTAAAAGATAGTTTTTTCTTCTCAATTTGGACTGAAAAAAGGGTGAGTGGAACTCTAGTAGATTTGCCAATAACACTTGTAAGCAACAGCTGCAGGCCAGCAGAAAAGCTAAGGGGATTACTGTTTCAATTAATTTAATTTTCTACTCCAAAAAAGAACTTATCCAGAACTATATATTTTTGTTCTTATTCCAGTCTACATCAGTTTTGGCAAAAAATCTGAGAAATCTCTGGATTTTCATAGTGAGAGTCAGCCCTTGATTAGTAAACAATTTCAACTGTTATTTTTTAAGTACAAACCTCCAAAGCCGTTTCATTGAAAAAGATCATGAACTGAGAAGCTAAAATGACAATGACTTCCTCTTTGACGAGATCTAGCAATGCAAATGTTACAGTGATAAATGAATTGGGGTTAAAGTATATGATGCTGCCTGCAAACTAACCAGGAGCTAATATGACAAAATGTTTGTGGATAAATAATAATTGTTTTCAAGACCCCTGATTGTGACAGGGAGTTGCAAATGGGGTCATACGATAAAACCAAAAAAAAGCCCTTCGACTTGAAGCAAAAGCAAAATTAAATACCTGAACCAAATTTAACTTCACAAAAAAATTCCATGCTGAATTTCAAGAATGACAATGATGCCATGCAAGCGAGTTGGGCAATAATGTATTAATCATCTGATTTTTTTTGTTAAACAAAAAAATATGCAGGTACTATAATTATGATTATATGAAGTTTAATGTAGAGTATGCAGCTTGTTTCTACAAGGTCTCAGATTTTCAAGCAAGAGTATCTAGGAATCTCTTACCAATAGATTTCACCATTCGCCATATATATATATCAACCGAATGCCTGCCACTGACATAGAGTAAACCAACCTTTGGGCCAAGTGCCAATCATCCATTACAGAATTTGTCCTCCAACGTTTGCGATAACTTCCATTGATGTTGTTAACACTGCTATCAGTTGACACACATAACTCATCATCATTTTTACTCATCACGTTTGGCAAATCAAAGTAAAAGAACACCATTATAAGCTCTACGATCAGCCATACAACAGCCATAAAGATCTGCCAAACAAAAAATGAGAAATAAATTCGTTGGTATAGCCGTGTATGTTTGTAAGGTAAAGGAAAAGGCGCAGATGAGCCAAAGGCCCAAACAGCCGGAGCCTATACCAGTTTCTGTAGCATAAAGCCTGCCTACGAGTATTGACCTGATCCTTGGCCAGCTCAAACTATTTGCAAAAACTGTTATAAGAGACCGTGTTTGATATACCCGTTATAAAATACATACTGGTTTCCCACACAATGTATGAAATTAAGGGGAAAAAATTACTAATAACCAAAAAGGCCAAATTCATAAATCAAGTTTAACTGCAAGGCTAACAAAAACAACAACAAAAATTATGGCCATATTGTCCGAAATAAACAAAGTGTATCAGAATTCACAGTTACGAAGACAGTCAGAATAATTCAGAATAATGACAGTTAACAAATGAGGCTGAGTATCTTATGAAGAATTATGGAGATCGAGGAGGGTGTTATCCGTCGAGGCCATATTTTGAGGAGGATAACACCCTCCGAGATCTCCATAATTCTTCATATGATACGAAAGCCGAATTCAATAACTGTTTTATTATTCATTCAAAATAATTCCTAGTTTAAAAACATAACTAAAACGTGCTTACCTCCATCGATCCATCGATGTTCAGTTCATCTTCGATAGTGTACATTTAGGTTTGTCCAGCTCCGCAAAATTAATATTCTCCAAATAGCAGATTTTGCCCTTCGAGTTGTCTTCTTGCTGTTCTTGCCATATTTTAAGCTATTTTTTCGCCTAGTTCTTACTCTTGAAACGAGTGAAATGTCCGCCATTTTTGGAAGTTCACAACCAAAACAACTCAAACTCGTCCCCAGATCTTCTCGGTTAACAGTGCCTTAACCCACGAAAACACTGCATTTTTGACGTCATTTCCTCGTTTAAGTCAAATTTCTTCCAAATTTGGTTATCAGTGACTGGTCATGGTGAATTAAACATGTGCTTTTAGCCAGTCAGAATCAGGGAAATAGTTTGAATGAATAATAATATGTTTTATCAATCAAATCTCAACTTACACCAGGTGCAGTGTACTTGTCAATCAAAAATGGACCTAACTTCACATTGAATTCCCTTAAAAAGAGGTTGAAGCCAGGCCCTAAAAATCACATAACAACAAAGAAAATTGGTGGGAAATATTTTATATGAGGCACAAAAACCATTAAGAGTGCTCAAATAATAAATTAATAATGCAGGGACTAAGAGGGAAAATATATGAATAGAGTATGCCTAAAATAACCCGAGGTAATAACAGATATCAACATACCTACTAACAAACCAAACTGTCGTAAGGCCATTGCAATGGAGTACATCCCAGTTCTTTCCTTTTCGGTTGTTGTCCTTGCAATTTGAGCCATTATACCCCCTCCTATGCCAGCACCTATGCCTATTAAAGAGGTTGTGATCAGCAATCTATACACCAATGAAAGTCATATCTGTTATCTGCACTGATAGATCCTTTGTCTCCTAATCTTACAGTGCGACCACACAAACCGAGGCCACCCCCACCATGTCCATTGCTTAGATCTTGACTTGTGATTGGCTGATTTCAAAATCTGTCTCAAAATTTTGCCTGGGTGGCCTTGGTTCATGTGGTTGCAGTATAACCTTTCATGCAAAATGTTGTAAAAGTAGCTTCTTGACTCCCAACCTTATCTATTCAAAATCATGAAAAATTGGATTTAGGAGAAGCAAGTTAAGGATCAGAATAGGCTAAAATCACTTTAACTTGACTTTCAGTTTAAACTACAACAAAGGTATAATAATTATTATAAATGACTATACAATAATTGTATTGTCATTTATAAGTCAAGTAATTAAATAATAATACAATAATTATTATAGTATTATCATTTAATTACTTGACTTATATCCCCTCAGTCTGCAAACTTCGCATGACTGTATTTGTGAACTTTAATATTACAGTGAAGTCTTAGTGTCAGCAGCAACAAAACCAATCTGATATAGCATTTTACTGCAAAAACTCATTAATAATTCATAAAGAAAAAACAAAAGAACTTATATACCGTATTTATTCGATTAACCGCCCTGGGCGCTTATTAAATTTTTGGACCTTGAGAGTGGGCGCTTATTCGAGGTGGGCGCTTATTCGAGGCTGGGCGCTTATTAAATTTTCACTATTTTCAGCAAGTGAAGTATGTTTATTTTGCAACAAAACAATAAATGCTAATAACAAAACGGGAAGAAGTAACAAAGAAAGGTTTCTGCATAATACTCTGAAGAAAACTCCGTCCTCCGGGAAGTCTCTTATTAGAATTTATTCACTCAAGTGGGTGAGGTGGGGGTGAGCGCTTATTTGAGTTTGATTGGGAGGAGAAGGGGGTGGGCGCTTATTCGAGGCTGGGCGCTTATCAACTTTTTCTGCCCTTAGGATGGGCGCTTATTCGAGGTGGGCGCTAATTCGAGGTTGGGCGCTTATTCGAATAAATACGGTATGTTTAATGAGTGTCTTTTGTATTTCACTTTCTAGCAAAACACTTAAAAAAAATCAATTCAAAAGCAAACTAAAGAGAAAACTCTTTGAAATACTGGAAAAAGAGGACGATTATATTAGAGTTTCTGATATTACAGGGCAATTCTCAAAGTCATAACATGGTGTACTTCCGTATGAAGTACAGTCTGCCTTCCTGTCTCACTCTGGCTATAAACCGCACGACAAACTAGATTGCTTCTAGGATTGTTCGTTTAATATATATATATATTTATATCTATAGAATTTTCTTTTTCTCTTGTACCCGCCTCGAATAGCCTTCGCTAATTCTGGGCACAAGCTTTGTAAGCTATATTTAATCTGAAATAAACTTGTTGTTGTTTATATCTGAAAAAGACACTGCTAAACTTTACGTCCAATTTTTAGACCAAAATATTACCAAATATAAAATTTAATGTTAGTGTAAGAAAGAATAATTGATCTATACCAGAGATTTTGAAACTGTTCAAAAAACTCACAGTCGTGAATTATCAGGTGTAAAAACTCTCTGTTTTGCCTCCAGTTTTTTAAACCTGACAATACACTCCTTCTCATTTTTTAAAGATTTTTACAACAAACCTGCTACAAGTCGTGCACCAAGCACCCAGTACTTGGACCAAGCAATACAATACAAGAAATTTCCTGAAAGATAAAACAAATTGTTGTAAACTAAAATTTTACTCTTTGGTTACAACACTGAAAAAAAGTTTAAAATTTTGAGAGAAAATGATTCTGGGCCCAGAGAGAGTGGAACCTAGAGAAGAGAAAATGGGAGTCCAGAGGAGAATAGAGGAATCCATGAACAAAGCCACTGGATTGTTTTTTAATCACATGTAAAGGGCTCAAAAGTTCAAGCCGCAAGTCATGTTGACCATTCATGCATGTCCTGAGAAAAGATCCAAATCCATACCTGTAAATCTTAGATTTTGTCTCTTTGTAAAAATACAATTATGTTCACTGATTCAATTACACAAGGATTAGTTCACCTTTTTTCAAAGTTTTTGACCAGTCCAAAAAATAAGATGACTGAGCAAAAATTTCTTTTGCCGGTGATTGTGTCCGGTCACCATCCAAAAACTATTTTAGCCCTGCATGTATGTAAAACTACCTTAGACAAATATTTAAGGACTTTGCACACAAGAAACAACTGCCATCAGTTTAAACAGTCATAAAGAACTTTGACATCAAACTTGTGCAGGGAGAAACAACCTGAATGAGCATGATTCAGTCAAACAGGCCATAGAAAAACTGACAATAAAGTTGACCCAAAAGTTTCAATGAAGATCTTGAGCTTGAAGATCTGCAATCCAGCTAATTCTAAAATCCTAAAAGTTTTCCCCAAACCTTTCCCGTAAAAATGAACCCTATGTACAAATGCCAAGGAAAAGGAAAGAAAAAGAATGAGCAAAAAAAAAGGTGGGAAAGGGAAAAGGTGAAAGAAAAAAGTCAAGAAGGCAGCTCCACTTTTAAACCCCCAAAAAGTTTTGCTCTGTTTCCAGTTAGCACGCACAGGATTAGAGCTACCTGGAATTTGAGAAGTACCCATTCCCAGGTGGCCAAGTTTTTATTCCCAAAAAAAACTTACAATGTTGACTCACCTCCTATTTCAAACAGATTTGCAAACAATATGGCAGTTTTGGTTTTCTGTGTGTAGTCCACCCAGAAACCAAACAAAGGACTTGCTATTAAATTTGAGAAACAGAATGCTGAAAACACCACTCCAAAAAACCATGGCTCGGCATCAAATTTATGCTCCAGATACAGCCATAAGGTGGGGAGAATGACAGCTATGGACAAGATTTTAAAGAAAAAAATCAATGATTATTTATTTAACAGTGGTAACCCCACACATATCACCATCAGATCATGCACTTATCACATGTAAAAATAAAAGAAAATTGCATAAAAACATTAGCGAACGCTTCGCCTATTGACCAATCAAAGACCAGCTTTCCTAGATATTTTGGGTGTTACGAAAACTAAGACCAAAGACCTAAGACCTAAGACCCGTCATAGTTTTCGAGATTACGAAAACCAAGACCCCATAAAATCGAATCCATCGAAATATGTCTTCAAACGGTCGTAATTCGACTTTGTAGAAATTTTAGAGATTGTTTTGGTGGGGGTCTTAGTTTTCATTATTACGAAAACTAAGAGGGGTCTTACTAAGACCCCTAAATTTACCGTTAAATTTGACCTAAAACTCGGTGGAAAGGATCGAACATGATATAATTTGACAGATCAGACCTATTTCGGTTACAATTTGACTTTATATTTCGACGGATTCGATTTTAGGGGGTCTTAGTTTTCGTAATCTCGAAAACTAAGACGGATCTTAGGTCTTAGGTCTTAGTTTTCGAGGGTCTTAGTTTTCGTAACACCCAGATATTTTTAGTCTCGTATTTATCTGCTCTTTAACTCATTACTAAACTACAGCCTCTAACCAGTTATTTTGCTTCCATCGCTTTCCAAAGTTTTTTTTCGTGTGTGTTTACGAAAAGAGGTCATCGTGAGTCATATCATGTCCAATTAAGCGCTATGTTTATAGCTGATTCATAGCTCTTAGTGTTAGCTAAATGTACACCTCAGCTACATGTGTTAAGGTTTAAATTAATTTTCTCGGCTGAATTTTGCTACTTTTTCTCAGTTTCAATCAATTTTTCCAATAAAGAATTGGAAAAACTTTTTAAGATTTTTACAACTATTCGGCTTTTCGGTCATGATGGAATGCATAAACGTACAGGTTTTCCTTGTTTGCAGACGTATCAAGAAAAACTCTCACCATATTCGGTTCCTCCAAGTAAGAAAAATAACCCAACACAGACTCGAGTAGACTTTTTCTTGGAGTTTAGGTTCATGTTTCAGTTGTTTTCAAACTCGTAAAGAAGACTCTAATCCGATGTTTAGTGCAAATTGCCGGTCGTGCCGGTAGGCAGTCGTGAGAGACATATTTAATCTATAATTTTGATTGGTTGATAAAACAATGGTTTCTGTATTTGGAAGTCAATATGGCGACGAACAGGGTGGAGGATTCTGGGGCAAGGCACGTGGCGTCTCGAGAATGTATCTAGAGCAAAACAACTTAAAAATGGGTCGGTTTTGCAGCTTATTTTGTCCCAAGTTTGCCAGGGATTAAGTTCTGTTAGTCACTGAGCTACTTGGTAGTCGATCAGAAGCATAAATATTGGGAAACGAACAGGCTTGAATCCGCAACATGGCAAGCAAATCTACCAAGCTGAAGACTGCCACATCCAGGGCTGCGACTCCAGTCTTGTCTGCAAATTTGTCGAATTCGTCGTTTGATTATTTGCCAGCGACCGGATTAAAGGGTAAATCTCCAGCTAGTTCATCCAGGAACGTGAATGTTCAACCTGATTTGGATCTTATCGGCGGGTTTGCCTTCTTATCTTTCGCGTCTTTTGCACAGCTCGAGGCTCACATCGAGCACAACGAAGCGAAGTTTGCCGCTGTTAGCGTTGATGTTGGACAAAAAAGGAAGGCTGGATATCCTGGAAAACAAGAGGGAAGTAGCTCCGAGGTCGATGGTCCTCCAAGTAAGAAGAAACCGAAAGCTTCGAAGAAAAAACCGACGAAGAAAAATCCTGGTGCATCGACAAGCAACTTGGCGGCAAATCCGAGGGAAGCTTCGCTGCCATCCAAGAAAGAAACTCGATTGGTAGATAGCGTCTTCGATGCCGGTGAGCTTTCTTCCTCTTTTGGGCAAACTGGTGTTTGTGGAAGCGTTGATAGAACGCTGGAACATTCTCCAAACTCCGAATTAGAAATTTCTCTACTTTGTTCAGAAACTGTCCCAGATTTAGGAGATGATGAAGAAATTCCCGGACAGCAAGACCTTGGATCAAAAGTTTTGGCTAACAGTGAAAAGCAGGCTGCAGGGCATGGAAGTGCAGATAATTCTTCTATTCAAATTAATGATAACATTGGTGAAGTGGCTAGTGATATGGCTGATCAAAAACCAAAGAAGAAAAAGAAAAAGAAAAAGTCTGAACATTGTGATCAAACAAGCCAGACTAAGTTTAGAATAAAGAAAAAAAACAAGCTTTCCTCCCAAAATCAGAGTTCTGTTGTGGGATCATCTAGTGTAACAGTGGATCAGTTGAAGGATGGCACCCCTCTTGATGTAAATATCCAAGAAATGGGCAACAACAAAGGGCAAACAAAACCATCATCAGCCAAATCTGTCATTGAAAAGACAAGTTGTGCTCGTACAACTACCTACCAAGGGGCTAACAAGAACTGCACAGTCAAAAGTAGAACCTTTGAAATAGGTTCAGCAAGTAGCACTTCTAGAGAAGTAATTGTGGGAAGAAGCTATGACAGAGTTTCAGCGGATGTCTGTACCCCTAACAGTAGTGATAGAGAAATTGATGTTGACATTTGCGACCTAGAAACCAGGAGTAACAGCATGCTTTCTGATATAAGTGATCATTCCTCTGATATTGAGACATTTGATCCTAATCGTTGCTTCTTGTTGAATAACAAGACTGTTAAAATTGAAAAGGAGGATTTTGAGGAGGAAGGTGGAATTGTTGATGTTGACATTGAAACGGTCAGCAAAGAAGTAAAGAAGAACTTTCTGGTTGTTAGTGGTATTGAGTTGGGACACTTTAGTTACCATCCGGCTGAAACAAAGGAAGGAACAATTGACACCTCAATACAAGCATACTCAAATGAGATTGATATTTTTTTACAATGCGCCAAGATGCAGGAGGGGCAAATTATAAAGATTATTCACCCAGATGATTCTTTAGAATTGCCTTCTCCTGGCACGTTGAAAAATCAGGGTCGAGATCCTGACGTTGTCAAGGCAACAAGAAGCGCCACTGAAAGAAGGCGTCGTCATCACCTGGGAGATTTATTTCAAGACATGAAGATGGAGGTGTTCACAGATCTCATGGACTCTGATAATAATTTTATGTACTTTAGTAAACAAGCAATACTTAGCAAAGCAATTAGTACGCTAGAAGAACTAGTACAGGGAAAAACTGACTTAAACAAAGCAAAGGAGCAATTGCTTCAACAGAACAAGGAATTGAAAGAGAAGAGAAACATGTTGATGTTTGGGAAATCATCAGTTGATGTTGATGATGTAAAAGTTGAAGCCATTCTCAATCAGCTTAATATTAAAGTAGAACCAAGTGCAAAAAATGTAGAAGTCTCAGAGAATAAGACAAGTCAGGATCAAGAAGAAGCAACTGTCAAGCCAGGTGCTGACAGCAAAAACACTACTACAGTTGAGCCATCTGTAAGAGGGCGCCCAAAGAAGAATGTTTTGCCTCCCTGGTTGCTTAAACCTGCTTTAAAACCCAACGATGACACAGGTAAAGCTACCACTAATGCGGCAAATAGAGCAAATCCTCAGACAAGACTGGAAACCCCTAAAGTAACGACGACTAGCACTGTATTGTCACAGGAACCCAGTTCGGTGAAAACCTCCAATGTATCATGCGGTGTGCAGACACATGGAGAAGAAACTGCTTTACCAAAAGCTGATAATCCAACTTTGTCAGAAATCATGTTGTTAAGTGGCAGTAAAGTGAAAGGCAAGGCCACTCACGAATCAACATGTCAAGTAGCCTCTGAACCAAGTCAAGCAGAAAATTCACCAAAAGTGATTCATACTATCACTTCATTGACACAAACTGCACCAGCAACAAAAATTTCTGCTGCTTGTAGTCAAAGTCAAGACAAAGAAAAAAGTGTAGAAGCACACAGCAGTGCACTGAAAAACACAGGCATCGACCAGCCATCATCACAAGATGGAGCTGCTAAACCAGGTTTGGTAAAGATTTTACCTAAGCCAGCCATTTTCCAGTTAAATCCTAATCAACAGAAGGCAATCATGGAGTCCCTTGGACAGATCAAACAACCATCAAGTGATAAGATTATCTGCAATCTCTCACGATTAAGCACCCAAACAAACACTAGTGCACCTTCCAGGATTTGTATTATCAGAAGTAGTCAGTTGATGAAAAGTCTGGACAGCAAGGATGTCATGCACCTCAAGATTACAAATGACCCTGTAAGAAATTTGAACACTGGCAGTAGTAACATTAATGCAACATCTACAGTATCAAACATGCCAAATGTAAACTCACCACCGAATGTGCTTGTAATGAGTGCTGCCCAAAGACCTGCATTGGTGACATCAAAACCTCATCTGACTGTATCATCAACTCAACCAGTTTTGTCAGAAATCAAAACAGTACCAGGTGTTCTCTTGCTGAAAAGCATTCCAAAACCTGAAGCACCAGTGTCCACGGTCCATCTGGCTCAAAAATATCCTGAAAAACCTGCGCTAGCATGTGTAACATCAAGCCAGACTGTTTCTTCAGGGCAAAATATTCTTTTGTTGAAAAGTACTCAAAAATCAGTAGCACCATCTCCAATGGCTCAGATGCAACAAATGGTGCATGGGAGAACTTTGTTGACACCTTCAACAATAAACCAGTCTGTTATGCTAGGTACTAAGACAGCAGCAAATGCCCTTTCAGTGAGTAGTACACAACCACCTGGAGTGATGACTTCAACAGTACAAATTCCACAAACACAGTGTGCTAAAACTGTGTTAACAACTGTAGTACCAAGCCAACCATTTCTGTCAGAGAAAAACACAGTGCCAAATGTAAAAGTACCAACTTCAGCTATATACGTCGCACAAAAACAACCAGAGAAAACCACTCCCATGTATGGAACATCAAACCAATCAGTATCCTCAAGCATGCAAACGGAGCTATTGCCACTTTTACTGACTGGTAATAAAAAACCTGAAACGCCAACTTTCACAGCTACAGCAGTTCAACAGGATCACAAGAACACAGCGCTAGGACCTGCAGTAGCAAACCAGCCGGTTTCATCTTCTTTTATAAGAATAATGCCATCACATATTTCAATGGGAAACACAAACAAAAACCTTGAAGTGGGAACCCCAGGCGCTCAAATGCCACAGAGTCATTCCAAAAGAACCATGCTGGTGTCGCAGGTTCCATTGAAATCTCCTGTTACCACATCTTCACCTAAAATGGTAGTTGGTGGGCAACAGATTAATTTGTTGACTGCAGGTAGTACTGAAATGCCATCAAGTACCAGTTCAGCAAGTGCAGATGATGTGACTCTTAGAGCACTTGCATCACTGAACCAATTTCAGGTTAACAAACCAGCACCTCCTCTAACAGACGCAGTATCCAATCCATTATTCCCAAACAAAAACCCTGGGGCTGGATACTTGACGGGTTTGAAAAATGTTGTGATGAATGTTGATGCTGGGGGAACTAAAATTCATCCCACATCATCTGTCTACACCATTCCTATAGTGACTGTGACGTCATCATTTAAGACAGCTACAACAAGCAAAGTTGCGGTATCTTCTTCAAGTCACAAGTCATTAGAGGAGCATTCTGTCATGCCAACCGTCTGCTCAACACCTCTTGTATTCATTCCTACTTCAATTTCGCTGAACAGCTGTTTCACTTCTTCAAGCTGCATGTCGTCTGGGAAGGGTACTGTATCAACCCTTCACTCAACAGGACCTGGATCAGCAGTCATTTCAGTACCAACGTCAACTTCACTAAAGAGCAGTTTCACAATGTCAGCTCTCAACACTCCCATACCAACTGCAAGCATAAGCGCTGATCGTCATCTTAGTGCGATGCCACTGGTTACCAACAGTTTAGATCCATTTAATCTTGTACCGAAACAACTGCCACTGTCTAAACCAGCTATCCCTTCTGAGCTAAAGACCGTAACAAGCGGTTTAAACATTGGAGCTGAAGTTCCAATTCAAGTCAATGAATGTGACACTTCTCTTAGCCCTCTGCTTATTGCAGATGAGTTGTTCAAACCCGAAACATCAAACTCATCAACAGTTTTGACCCAAGAGATGCTGAATATTCCTGGTATAAAGCAAAATGCAGATCTGTCCAGTGTGCTTTTAGATCCATCAGAACTACCCATACCAGATATTCTGCCAAACCTAGATGAAATGGACCAAACTATTGATTCCGTGAAGGTAACAACGCCATCACGTATTGTTAACAAACCAAATACCAGTGGATCGAACACAAGCAGTTCTGGAAGACAAGCTGATGCATCATTGTACTCATTGCGGAGTTCTTCTACTAATGCTAACAAGCAGACCAGCCCACTAAAGGTGGCAATAAAAGACTTCAGGAAAGGTAGGACCTACTTTTAGTTATTGTTTGAGAGTAGGATATGGCTGAGCCTGTTGTTGCCAATCCAGAAGGAAGCTCTCTTGAAGGGGCAGTGGGATTAGGGATGGAGAGGGCGGGTTGCCATTATTTTCCAGCAACAATTTTTAAGGGATGCCTAAAATAGCCCCAAACTGTGCTCTGATAAATTTCTAGATTCTCACCACAAATAACCTTGTATTTGTACCAAAGAGAGGATTTGCCATTGGTCACTCACTAGAGCCTTATTTCACTTTTTTTTTAAATAAAAGATGATGGTGCACACTGGACTATTTCATGTCAGCTGTTCAAAAATATTAACAAGTTTTAGCAACTTTCTTTTTTGGGGAGAGGGGGTGGGGGGGAATGAATACAACAGTTTAAGTATGTACAATTTTTTTGTGTGTTTATAGCTTAACCCTTTAAGTGCCAATGGTGACCAAAAACAATTTTCTCCTAATAATATCCATACATTGTCAAGAGATAAAGTTATGAGAATTAATAAAATGATCACCAAAGGGAAAATGCCTTGATCTTTTATCAGATCAGTTTGGAGAATTTGTATGCGGATATTGGGGCTTAAAGGGTTAAAAGATTTCTTGATTTAAAGTGAGACTTTTCTTCTTCGACAGGTAAATCATTCGTTGAGAAATAATGTGCTTTCCTGGGAAAACAAGAGTGAAGCTTGCAATACTGGCAGGTGACCGAACCAAATGGATCTGTGCTTAACTAACATCTCCACCTTTTCTTTAAAGTACAGTTGGTTTAAGACTATGCATTTATGCAGCACTGGTTCCATAATTAATTGACAGGAGTCTGTCTAAATGTTGCACAGGCTTATTTGTTTGTATGAGATCTCCTTTAAGTGATTGAATCCAGACCAGGGCCTGGCTCCTCAAAAGATGGACAGGTTAAATCCAGGGTTAGGCCAAATTTGAAGCAGAGTTGTCTTTTTCAGGAAGATGTAACTGGATCCTGGTGGTTAATACAAAATGTTACTATGAACAATAAAAAGGATGGTGAATAAATTTTAAACTAAAATTTTAACCCTGGATTAGCAGTAATCACCCTTTGAAGAACTGGACCCAGTCGTTTTTGAAGTCAGATCAGTGGTTCTATTATTAGGTAACATCCATTTGGGACCAGTCTTGTTTGAACAGAAACATTGTTTCTGCAGCAGATTGTGTCACAGAATGTATTGTAAGGTAACAGAAAAGTTTATAAAAGTTTAAGTGTTTCTACGTAAGTGTTATTCTCAAGTGTGTATTAAATGCAAGCCAGCCTTGAGCCATGCAGTCCATTGAAGACTCATTAAAAAAAACACCAAAAAAATCAAAAACAGTAATATGGAAGACATTAACTGAAAGCTAACCATTGTCATTAATTGTTTAGCCCTAAACAGCGCTTAACCCTAGCCCTAATCAGTATAATGAGTGCTCAATTCCTAATCTGTAAATTTGCAGTTTTTATTTGTTTTCACTTAATTTTTATCAGTGGCTCGTGTGACTTACATGGCTCGCTGGCTCGCAGCTTGTCAAGACCCGTTATTCTCATTGTAGTAACTGCATGGCAGAGCTTTCAGACTGACATTTACATGTATAGAAGTTATTTTGAATTGTGCATATTTAAAAAAAATGTGACAAGGCATAGACTGTCCCTTGACGTATTTTGAAAATGAATGAACATGCAACCAGATAGTGGCATGCATAGAATAGTATAATAGTAGAATTAAAGTGTGTGCTAGCTAGCCATAGGACAAGAGGTGTCATTAGGTTTTTTCGCCAATCAAAGTATGGTGATGCGCTATATTGTAAGGCAAAGTTATCATCATGTAAAACTACTTTCTCTGTTCAACTGAAAGGGTAAGTGAGATATAGCACCAAGTGAAAGTGAAGTACAAGATGTACATCTAGTAATGTTGTATAATGCAGCCATACATTAGAAGAGCTCACATAGTGAGTTTGCAGTGCCTGTGAAGTCAATGTTCTTACTGATGTCAAATTTGCCCTTTACTTTATCACATTGAGGCATTTTATTTAAAATCACTTGAGGCTTATTTCATGCAGCCCTTTGACATTATCACAACAATGCTGAGTTGTTTAACATAATTTTTAAGTAACGAGATTGTTGTGATGGCTGTTGTGGTAAATTTAACTTAAGGTTGGTTAGGTTCACTGTATTTTTTGGTGTTAGAGCAGTACTTCTAAGCAAGACATCAGTTCAATAAATTTTAGCGACTGCCTTGCGTTTTCCTCCCTTGAATTTCTAGAACTTACTCAGTTAAACTGAGTTGAAAATATTCCGATTAACATTGGTATTGTTCATAGTATACAAATTTCCTGGCTAATGGCCCTAATGGATTTTTACGTCAGACAAGCAAAGTTCACCACCAAGTACTGTTAAAAAGAATACCCATGGACAAAGACCATGAATGCAACAAATTATCCTTACAAACAAGACTTGTTGGTGGAATTTGCTCCTCTGACACAATCATGCATGAGGAACATTAGGTTTTGAACACTTAAATTTGGTGATGGAGAGATGTAATATATCAAGCATGAGACATTATTTCATCATCAGATGAAACTCTGAGAAGAGAGCTGAAAATACAGTGTGCACTGGAGTATTTTTGACAAACTTCAAGGCATTTCATCTGGTGATGAAACACTGTGTTGAATGCTTGATATTACTTTTCAAACAAAATGATTTTAGAAGGAGAAATTAAGGATGCAAAATTGAACAGTTTTTCATCTGATTTCCAAACACTCATAAAACACTGATTACATTTCCTTTGTATTTTCTTTATGAATTATTGATGAGTTTGAGAAGATTATTTCTTTGTGTCAAAGGAATGTATTATGATAATAGTGGTTACTAAAAAATTCACTAAGTGAACATTAAAGTAAATTCAACAATGGCAAACTGCAATTTTTTTAGTTTCAAGAATAACACTGTTAAGTGTGTTCTGAGGTAGACTATTAAGATGTTCGTGCTAGTAAGTAAATGCTGAGGGAAACAGTCATTCGCAAATTCCACTTTCCCTTAGCAATTTCTATTCCCCACTTTTCCTCTATGTTGCAATGCCATTCTATTTTGACATAATAAAACTGTGAAAGAGACTGAATTGACTGAATTTAAATTTAATTCCAAACGAACTGTCTTCTTAGCACATCATGAAAGGCTTATATGCTGCTTAAGGAACAGGTCAAAAACTCATTATTGTTGAGGGGCAGAATTGTGGAATTGGGTGGAGGAACACTGTAATATTGTTTAAGAAGCCTAATATGAAACCCCTTTTTTCATTATTTATCACAAGTTTTTAGGTATTTAATAAAAGTGTTATGAGAAGGGCAGTCAAGAGAAAATCTACTCAACTGGTTATATTTCACCTCTCAGTGAATCTCAAGTCACCAGGGAAGGGGTCACAGATCTAACTCAGTTAGTAATGTGTGAGAAGCAGTGCCAAGATCTTTATTCTGGGCCCCCTATACAGACTCAGCGAATTACCAGAATTGCATTTTGAATTTCCTGTCAACCTGATAGGCATAGCAGCAGTGGCTTTTTAACAGGCCAATCATGGCTCATACTCAAATCCTGGTACACAGCTGGGGACCCAGAAAAAGGATTTTGGCACCGTTTCACAGAGGGACTAAACCAGAGTTAAGTTTTGTCTGTGGCACAGGCTAGGGAAGGGGTAAGCTCTCTTTTTCTTTGGCTGAGCTCACACTATATACATGAACATAACTCTCAAAAGATGAAGGTCAGACTTGAGTTAGCAATGAAAGTTTGACCCTACTGAATTGACGCATTCTTTTTAAATGGAGAGCTTGCTCGCAGGCTTTGTTTTTTTGAACTGGACAAAGAGGAGTAACAGTTGACACTTTTTGAACATTTATTTTTGTTAAAAAATATGCTATAACATAAATACTCTGATAATAATAATAAATATATTTTTTATAGCACCATTAACTGTTATTGCTGTCTCCTTTACAGAGAAATTTTTGCCACACTTCACTGGCAGGAACAGTTGTCTTTGTACAAGAATTTACAATGTCCGCAATAAGGGTAGCTGAGTCCTGTAAGCATAAATAGGAAAGAATAACTTTTTAAATATATTAGTTGTTACATTGGTTCACAAGGTTCTAGCTCTTTATAATCATGACTAGCATCACATTTCATTCTTAGACTTATTAGATGTTAGCTTTAGCGTGCAAAGAAAGTAGTGTCTGATAGCCCGGGGCTAATGATTTTGCCATCGGGCTAGTGAATTCTGTTATTAACTTGCCCAACGGGCAAGTGAAGTTTTTTGAGGAATTCAAATTACAGAAGTACTGTGAAATCAATCTGCTCATCAAAACATTTTTGGGGCTACTTGAAAAGATGTTTGGGCTGGTACATATTAGTTCCTGTTTCTGCAGATGTTTTCTGACAGGATTTGATCACAGATGCAGTTTACCATTAAAATAATGATCCTTAGTTTCTTTGGTTTTCTCTGAAATGCCTGGACCTGAATGGCTACATGTGAGAAGCTTTTTTTTCGGCGATGAAGATCATGATTTCCTGATTTGTTTTGACGCTAGAATTGTCGGCTAGATTGCACAGTGTGCAGCAGTGCATCTGCAGTGATTGGAAGATGCTGGAAACCCAGTCAGCAAATTTACAAGCAAAGTCTGGCCTTGAAGGAATTCTCTCAAAGCATTTTTTTTGTTCAGAAGAAGGCTTTCAAGTGCAAAATGCTCTTTCATTGTTTACTGTAAACGATCCTACCAACTCCCCTCTGTGAATTTTGACATGTCACTGTGCCCAACCGTCACGCACACATATGAGGCGCATATGAAACCCGCCTATCAGGAACATTCATGCATATGTCTATGCGACTTTGCAGGATATTAGAACAAGCTTTTGTACACTAATTCGCTGACAGACTATACATTCAAGTGGTTTAGACGATGTGTTAGCCAGCTGTAACACAGGCTACTATGTTACTGATCAAGAAAATAATAAAAATTCTTACCCCCAACATAGTTACTCTAGCCCTAAGATTTGAGGGATTCATGAAATTAATGACATATGTTTTTTGAACTAGTTTAGTTTGGGTATAAAATACCTTCTTATACAAGTGCTCCTGAAGCCTGTCTTCAAATTCTGGTCTCTTAACTACCTCCATCTTTCTCTTCAAGAATTCAGTTCTTGCAATGTTAGATTTCATGTTCCTAAAAGAGCAATAATTATTTTCAAAACCCTCATATTATCATGCCATGAAAGGTCGCTAGAGCTTTTTAGAAGAAAGTAACAGGTTATTGAAATGGCTTTATATAAGTAACATGCATGTTTAGCAGTAAGTTTGGACATTCAGCATACAAAATGACCATTGCCATTATATAACCCACCCAGCCCATGATACGAATTACATGTGCAGTGAGTTAGTCGTCCACACCACAGGAAACTTTCACTACTCTTTTCTGACCATGATGTGGGATCTTTGTACGTCTCCTAAAATTGACTAATGAAAGAAGGATAATCAAAGGAGTCAATGCCAATAGCTTAACATCACTGCCCAGAAGCATGATCAACTAAACTAAGACAAAGTCTTTAAATCACAGCCAGCGTGATCTTGCCAGTTATTTGTTGATGCTCCAGTCACAGTTTAAACCCACATCCTCCTTCTCGGCATTCTGGTTCTTTTCCAACTGAGCTCTAACCAGGTGGTGGTATGCGCTCAAGGTCAAATGGAAGTTTCCGATACATGTGCACGCTTGTTTTCTGGAGAAACCAGTGATACAACCATAACCATAGCAGTCAAGTCTAGGCTCTCTAGTATGATGTTTTACAGAAGCAGTAAATTTTTAATTCCCCACTTCCCCCACTCCCCCGCCTCACACCCTTACTGTAGCCTGTATTAACTTGCACAAACCTCACACTAGAGAGTCAAGCTTTCTCAGACACCAGTTATTCTACAAGACCATCTGACACAAGATGATATGCCCTGATACTCATACAGTACCTGCAGTCAGTGCAGTCTTGTGGGTCATGAAAATCCTTCTGTTTTACGAGCTAAAAAAAGAATGTTAAAGGAAAAAAGAAAATTAATACAGAGGAAAAGTCGTTACATCACGTCGACAAGGTAGCAAAATTTCTTGATCTCAACAGCCTGTGGCCCTGCAAACGTGGCAGGAAAAAAATGACAAAAATTACATGTATGACTTTTCCTGTGCATAATAATTATGCAATTATTGCACTCAAGAACAAAACTGTAGCCCTTTCTTCCATCGTTCGACAATGCAAATGGCTGTCTCTGCCAAGAAAGATTGTTGAGATTCAGAACTTTTGCTACCATGGTAACATGACCTCACACTTCTCCTCTCCATTCAGTGCACTTGTTACTGAAAGAATTTGAATAAAACATTACAGCTGCCCACAAAAGCAAACTAATCAGTATCACAACTCCTAGCTGAAAATGACAATATTTTTTTCCTTTCCTTCTTTCCTTATTTTGAGGGGGGTTAGCTTATTTTCGTGACACCTTGATCGACCATTTTTGGTGTCCGTGAATCATGATCTACTGGAGTACTGTTCTGTGAATTGTGATTGAAGGGCATGCTGTGAAACCTGAACTGCCAAAATCCTTGATTGTTTACATGTACATTGAAGATCAATCAAAAGAAAGAAATCGTTAATTTGGCCAAATGACCTTAACTAGCATCTAGTGGTTTGATATAACTTCACTTCTGTGTCTCTTGATGTAACTTCACACTTCAGTGCCCTCAGACCCACCTACAGCTTTACAAAATGGGAATAAAGTAATGTATTTGACATTTTGTACGACCTCTATTTTTGAGAAGAGCAAAAACATAAATATTTGTTTTGTGACTCGTGAAACACAAAAATTGTTGTTCGTGAACTCATGATAAGACCCCCCCCCCCTTTCCTCTGGTCTATGTTCTCCTAGGCATATTACTCAGGCTATGTCAAAATATTCCCCCCAAAAGTGTTTGTTTCTCAGAATTTCCAGAATAAATGAATCCAACCCTCCTTCTAATTATTGTGGTGCAAGATACATTTTTCTTTCACTCTAATTTAATTTTTTGGTAGATAGCTGTTAGTTGGTTTAAACATCTTTGTGAAAATCTGAACCTGAAAATTGCACTGAACATGAAAAGTGAATACAACATATATATGGCCACACTGACTAACTAACAAGACCAATTGATGGTACTGATGTTTTACTGACACTACTAACCTTTTCTGTTTTGCTCATCAAGTTTTCAATCTTTAAACTTTCAATTTTCCTTTTATTCCCTACAACAGACTTATCAGCTTCTTGCCTGGAAGTTGCCACTCTCAGTACTAGTTTACCCGCTTAAATTTAAAAGTAAATTCAATCGCAATGATGTAATTATTACAATGTGCATAAAGCTTGATCATTACAGTCATTAGGTGATGTGTTACCCCAGGCGGGGAATACTCCAGATTTCAAGTAACAGGGATGATCAAATGGGGCTAAAAATCAAAACCCAAAAACCTCCCATGGCTTCAAACATTTATGAAAAAAGATGCAATGTAATGCGATAAATATTAAAACAGGCGCAAAACAAGTTTGGTTTTACTTTATTTGCATAACTTTGCTGCTGGGACACATGGGAAATCCCTACTTAAATCAAGCTACCCCAAAAAAATACTTGCCAAAATTTTTCCTACCCCCAAAAAATCCTAAAATCGAAATTTTCAAACCCCAAAAAATCCTTCAATCATCCCTGTCACTTGAAATCTGGAGTAACCCCACTGGGTGTGTTACAGGACAAGTGGTGAGAACATTACCCTCATGTGCTATACTGATGTTAATTGCAGCATTTTGGAGTAAAGAGAAAATCAATCTATCCTTTTGGTTACAGTCAAGATTAGTCAAGTTGGTAAAAGGACTTTTACCAACTTTTCCTATTAATAAGCTCCTAAAAATAAAATCTTGGTACTTACATTGTGGACCATCAGTCATCAATTTCTTCACTTTTAGTACTTGTATTTTTCTTGAACAAAAGTTATTTATTTCATCACAAACTAAAAATGAGGTATAATAAACAAAAAGACCTATCAATAGTAGTAAAAAAAAGTGTGATTATCTTAAACAGCTCCTTCATAAAAAATTGCAGGTTTTTTGGTTTGCCCATGTAAATGGCAAACAACTGCAAGAAGATGTTGGTTAAATGACATCACCAGCTCAAGTTACTAAAAGCTTACCTACCAACTGTCTTCTTATCCTTGACTTGCCCCCTTACATTCTCTGTTTTGGAGCCGAGTCTTGATGACAGTGCTGCCAATTTCTTTCTGATGTAGGTCCCTTGTATCTCCGTCGCTTGACCTACACCATCATCCTGCCACGAAACAATCAAGTAATTTTCAGCACACTTATTGACAGTGAAACTCAGAAAACTGTGAACACCCAAATTATTTCAGGAATGTTCATTGTGAAGTGTCCAATCAGAGCTAAGAAAAGGACACACAGGCAAACCATAAAACCACCAACAGATGGAACACATAGGCAGACCTGACAAACCTAGCAACTATGCTGCTTGTGGTTTAGTTTCATCGCACCAAACAGTAAGATTTCCAAAGTATTTCTGGTATTCCAAGTTTTCTGAGTTACACAGTAAACTAAATTGACCAACTTAAAATAATGAAGAACTACAGGAAAACTGAACAAAATTAAGAATTAGGCAGCAAGTGTTAAGTCTTATATAATATAATTTATTAACAGGTTTAGGAATCCTTTCATAGTGAGAAGCTTGAAAATATTACAAATCCTTAACTGACAAAATTATGCCAATGTCCAGTCTGCCATCGTGACTAAACAAACTTGGTGAGTAACGCAACTGCATGTGTCTTCTTTTCCTACCTTTGTGGAGAATTCCCCCTGACTTGAACCAGCTGATTCAAACTCGTCTGAATAATCGTCCTCTTCTGTGAGAATCTCAGATTCTGCTACACTTTCGCTTTGAATTGTTTCACAACTCCCGAACACAAACCGTTGGTTGAATGCTTTGGAGTTACCTGAATTTTCTTGATCTTCTACAGAAGTCGAAGCTGAGGACTCGGCGAGAAAAACGCTCTCCTGTCTACCCAAGACTACAGGAGAGCTTTTCTCACCAACTAATAACGACTCTTCAACAGTTTGGAGGCTTTCACTTATTTGAGAGTGAGACAAATTCGAACTTGACAGCCTCCTCTGTTCCGCCATGTTTGCATAAAGTTCATTTTACCATGGAGGGGAGGGGGGAACAGTAGGAGAACAAGAGGGAGGAGGGGATATTTGGTACCCACGTGCCAAGTATGGTCACGAGGCCTTTGCACATGATCATAATTGGGGGGGACAAAAGTTATTAGCGTGGGAAGAGGAAGTGGGAGAAAAACACTAAGAGGAAAGGAAGAACATCTGTAATTTGTCCTTCCTCTTCCATTCCTTTTGACGCTTGCTATAAGGCTCAAAGGTTATAAATTTCCACAAGAAGGTTAAACACCTGTAAACCCCCCTCTCCTAGAAAAGCCTTTTGCTCAGGCTGCCACTTGAACTCCTAATTCCTCCCGGTGCGACGTAGTGGGAAGGGTGACTAAATTTCCCGTTAGTACTACATTACAATCTTGAAATTTCAGACGATTACTTCGTGTCGTTTTTACTCCCGTTTCTACTCCCTCAGAGTAAAAACGACTCGAAGTATTCGTCTGAAATCCAGAATAGCTAGCCTGCGAATTCAACGGGTTTTCATCGCTGACTGTCCGAACGTTTCGCGAAATGTCCCCAGACCTCAAAGATGGGGGCGAGGACAGGGGCGGATCCAGGATTTTTTTTAGGAGGGGGTGCACTCGTCTCTTGCTCTACTTCAACACCTATAAACCACATAATACCAGTTGCAGAATACCAGTTGTATTGGAAAACCGCAGGTCATCTCATGGGGGGGGGGGGGTGCACACCCCCTGCACCCCCCCCCTAGATCCGCCCCTGGAGGAGGTGGCCGGAGAAGTCGGAGAATCAGGGGCACCCAGCGACTTTTTTCTGTAAAATAACTGTTTGAAAGTGCAAATATTGTCTAGAAATTTCTAAGCTTGAGAAAAGCTAAAAATTTCTGGTTAACCGTTCCGTTCGTCTAAAATATTCGAAGGTTTTCTAATAGCTTAACTACGATTTTCGGAGGTTGTGTTATTCACATTTTGATACCAAGATATTGCGATTATTGTTTAAAAAGGTCTCCTAAAATTTTCGGTATAAAGACAAAACGTCCCCTATAATTTTCTAATGAAAGCAAGGCTACTTCTTGTCCTAGAACTTTCACCCGGACCCATAAGGGTAGCTGACACTTTCGGATGAGACGAAAAAGCCACCTAAAACTTTCGTGACGACCAAAATTCCCTTAAGACATCCGAACAGATAAATAGCTTTTAGGGCAACTCAAAACTCACCAAACAGGCTTCTAATGCACAGAGGAAATCATCTGAGACACCTCTGGCGTATTTAGAAACATTCGGTCGTTGGGTGCCCCTGAAGAATTCTGTAACAGGACTGGGTCGAGGTTTATGATGTGCAAGTTAAAGACATTATTCAAGAAGAAGAAAAAAAATCTTACATCGTCTTTCAGGTCTTTGTCCAGAGATTATAAAGGCTCTGGAAACAGTCTTCTTTAGAAATCTTTGGAAACTGAACAAAATTTAGACCACAAGAAGGGGTCCTTGGCCTCTCTTCCCAACTTCAATGCACCAATGCCCACCCCCTCAGGATACTGAAAAAAACAGACTCCGAAAAAACACTTTTCTAAGACCCCAAGTTCTTCCCTCTATAGTTCGTGACCTCACTGTTGAAAGTCTACTTTCTTTTATTATCCCGTGAAAGAAAAACAGGAAGTCTGTGCTTATAGGCAGGCACACGGTCTAACGAGCGAAACGTGACACTGTCACGTTATGCGTTCACGCGTGAGGAACAACACCCCAGCCAAACCCACGAGTCTTCAAGACGCACAGGGGAGGGGCGGGAAACTTTTGTCATTCACGTGAGACATTGAAAAACGTGAGAAATCAGTCACGCGTAACGGGCACACGAGTGCGAAGAAAGATTCTCCAAGATTCCGGACTACTGCCATGATCACGGCGAGAGAAAACAGCTCCAAAATGACGTCCTCATCGACTTTACTCTCATACTTATTTTGACTGGGTTTGTCAACCAGCCCAGCTGTTGTTTTCGAAAACTTGTTTTGTCCCTTCACTTCCACCAGTGGCAGGGAAACCCACTGACATGTGTTGACAAGGCTTTCCCAGAGAAGGATTTCACGCACTAAATCAAAGAAGCAAAGGCGTATTTTCACTCGGATTCTCCTTTAAATAGGAGAAATTCAAGTTTGAACATTCTTCCTTGTTTATGATTCATACGTGCCAGTTATTTTGTCCGTTTCACTCGCGTGCAAAGTATTCCACATGTATGCGGCACGAGTCGAACCCAAAAAACGTGAGTCAGTCACCTTTTAATGAAAGATACAAGTGACTCGTGCCGCAACAAACAAATTCCCCACGTGAGGTGATAACAATAGTGCGCCAGTTTCAACCAATCCTGATCATTGGTAAGGCTTCCACAGATGAGGCATCGCCGGTAAACCGTCTGTTTACACGTGAAATACGGTAAATTATTTGGTTCTGACTCTATCACTCTCCGAACGTTTGGTTGCAAGCACTGGTTTATGAGGGAGATCTTCTGTTCAAAGCGTTCTTCATTTAGGGGAATGTAGCAGTTACAGCAGTTTCGTCTAGTACTCGAGGTTAGAAAAATAAATTCCCACAGACGACAGTGCTAGTGACTAGCCTACCCCAACGATTAAACTAAGTTGTCTAACGCTATAAAGCTTAATTTGCTTTCATCTTTTCCTCAGAGAAAATACAGTTGAAATTCAACGGAAAAACAATGAGTGGAAACTTTTTGAAGAATTTCATGGACTTGGATGAGTTTTTGGCCGTGAAGGATTTGTGCACTGGCCTCTCTCGAACCGAGAGCGACTATGCCGAAGATGAAGTTGAGCAAGACCTTGCTAACTTCATCGACGAGGAAGATATTCCTTCGGACTGCAGTTTGTCCCAGTTCGACAGCAGCAGCACTCCGTTAGCTACACCTACAATTTGCGGTGGAAACAACTCTGACACTGACGAAGGTCGAGGCGAAAGTATCTGCAGCTCTGAGAATATCGCTGCTTGCAGTTCTAGTGAATCGATGTCTTCGATGAATTCTAATGAAAATTACAAGTCACCGCGAAGGAAACGAAAAGTAAAGCACGTTAATAACACGGAAAAGGCAACACCAAAAAAGAGAAGAAGAAAAACTGCGGAAAGTGCAAAGAAATCGACGGCTGAAAAAACCGACGGAGAAAGTACCACGCGATCAAGAAATGACAGGAAATCCGTCGACGAAGATGTTAAGGATGACAAATACTGGGAGAGACGGCGAAAAAATAATCAAGCTGCAAAAAGGTCACGAGATCTGAAAAGACTCAGGGAAATGAACGTAAAACAGAGGGCCGATTCCTTGGAAGAGGAAAATAGACAGTTACGGGAAGAAGTTAAAAAACTGAAAGAATACCTCAAAACACTTGACGAAAAGGTCGAAAACTCATCATAAGAGCAAAAACATAACTGCTTGGTGTAAAGAAAGTTTGGAGCAAATAAGTGTGCAACTGTAAATATTTAATTAACTTGTAGGGCTGACCGCAAATAATGAAATAGGAGCCCACCCCCTTGCTTTAAAAGCAATTTAGCACCCATCACAAGGAAAACATTTGCCCCCAGAGTCCGTGCGTTCCCCTGGAGTAAAAATTTGATAACCAACCCCCCTAAAATTTTCTATACAGTGTGTCTCATTGGTTCACCCAAAAGATTTATTTCACAAAGTTCTGCTGTCCAAGGAAAAAAAAGTAATAATAATCTTTTCCCCATGGGAAGTTTCTCAACACTTTATACAGTAAAAAACATATATCACTTCGAAAGAGTTTAAATGAATTTAATCAGTTAAAATTTTTGCTCATTATCTCAAAACCTTGCACATATACAAATTATTTCAGCCCCAAAATTTTACCATGTAAAAGATAAGGTGAGCACTGAATGGGCTGCCATAAAAAGTGACAGGGAAGCTCATTTTTTTTTGCGTAGGGGTGGAGATTGGAGATATTGTTCGTACTTGTGTTGTGTAGTACAGGAAGCCAACATTTTCCACCCATAAAGGAATTGCGTAGAGTTGTGCATAAATAAGTATTTGTTTTAAAGGGAAAATGCCATTATTTTTTATTGAAATATGGTCTCCATTGAAGGCCAAATAAACTCTGAGCAACACCCAGATTCTTCTTCACAAGTGTCCTTGTCACTTTTATATGGAAGTCCCCCCCCCCACCACTAGGGATGGTCACCTCTCTTTTGTGTGGGAAAATACCCTAAGTAAAAACCTCCATTTTGAATACCAGTACCCTTACTACATATTAGGTCTTATAAATGTTAAGTGGTATGCTATGTACAAAACATACTAAGATGTTGTTGTGTTGCCAGTCTATTTAGGCATTCATAGTCATATAGTCATTGTATCCAGCCACTACTACAAGAGATCCATAAAAGTGTAACAAAAATAAATGTCCCAACCAATGGTTTTCTAGACTGCCGGCCCTCCGAGGGATGAGTAGGAGAGGAGCCTGGCAATGAGGTTGATAATGTCGTAGCTTTATTATAGTTTGGCAGGACAGGAATTTAGGACCTTTATCTGTTGAACACCAATCTCATATAGAACACTATTATTATTGGAAACTAGGATCACAAGTTGGCAGTGAATATACCTGCCCAACTTTTCTTTGGGCCGTGGTTCACCACACAGAACTTGGACTGTGTGTGTGTACACAACACGCTGGCCATGACTGTTGCAGTTAAACACTGGTGTAAAAGCAGAGATATGAGATCTGGAAATATAGCATACAGGACAATGAACCTAGGGTTGCAGAGGTGTTTTTGGCATTGCAGACTTGAGATTTTTATTGGTCCTCAAAACTTGTCAGACTTGGACTCCAAATTTTATTGGGGTAATGCTTGGTATATGAAGGTTATTTGAATTTAAGGATAGTTTTGTTTAGTGGCATTAAAAAACAACAGATTTGTACAAGCAGAAACTAAGCACAGTTTATAAGTAAGAGTGTTGTTTTAAAAAATAGGGATAAAAATTAGTGATTACTTGAACCTCGTTCACAAGTTTTGTTTATGTCACTTTTATATGAGTTTTTTAAAGGACAAAGCAGTAGATTCAACTTTATTACTTCAACTGTTATTAATGTAACATTAACTAATTCATACAGATCAAATACCTTCTCATCCAACAGAAAATATTTAACTTTCCCAACCATGTGCAATGAAAAATCTGTGAATAGAGGTCTGCATGCTGGCATTAATGAAAGATGAAAAATATTATTATTGTATGTCACCACATACAAATTAGCTGATTGTGGATGCTATATTCAGCCAATAAAGGATACGTTTTTGAACAAGAACTGGTATGAGTAATAATTATTTAGTCAAGTAATGTCAACCCTTTCACCTCTAAAGGCAATCTTGATTGGAATGTAGAGTCTATTTTTTTAATTTGTGGGTGAAATCCCATTGTGGGACTATTCCAACAAAACATTCTCAGCAATTCACTTTTGGCAAAGTCAGTTTACTCTATGATAGCCTCCTAGCGAGCTCTCCACTTAGGGGAGTTGCGAGAAGTCACAAGAGAGCAGCACACGAAAGGAGATGCGAGTGCTTCACCGCTCCTTTGTGCATTCTCACACAATTTTCTTCACTCATCATAAATGGAGAGCTAGCTAGCAGGATAACTCTGTAGAAGACAGACACCATCTAAACAGGGACCCTATTGACTGTTTGTTTCTCTACAGCATTATGTAACAGATGTCAAGTGACTAAGAACTGAAAAAGGACCAACACAAGGTGTCCATCTTGTAGATAGTTGACTGACTTATTTGATTTCCTATGCTCCTTCTTACTCATGAGTCTGTAAAGAAAATCTGCTAGTGTGACCATTCAAATGAGACCTCCTTAAGAGTAGTTTTTTAACATTTTTGACACTTGCGTCTGCGGGTGAAATACGCTGGTGTGACCATTCAAATTCATATGATCACAACTCTTCAGCAGTACTTTAATATTGGTCATTACAGTTATTTCTTTTTCAGCATAAAATGCCAAAATTGAAAACTTCTCAAAACTTTGTCTGGGTTGAAATGATCTACATGTGCCCAACTTGTTAAGTTTGGGGTTACAAGAATATGTCCAACTTTTTGACATCAAACAGCAAAGGATCTACTAGAATATTCATGCTTTAATTGCCATGCATCATTCATACACAGGAATCACCAATGCAAGTAATGTTCATCACTGATTAAAATTGCAAAACCTAATCAATAAACTTTTCTGTACATTTTACTGGCTATGTTCTTACCAGGGCAATAATATTAAAATTGGTAATGTTGTTATAACTAGTGTGCATGAAAACAGCCACCAGAATCAAGTCTTGTGTTTTACCTCAGCATAATTTTTGTTGTGAAAACTTTATTATTTTCCCATAATAGGCCTTCATCAAAAAATACCATAATGCTTTCCCTGAACACTTTTGCATAAGCATTGTTTTCAATCATTTCTCTTGGGATGATTAGAAATCCCAAGAGAAATATAAACAAGGCCTATTTATAAGGCAGCTTGTAAATGGCATTTCCAAAATAACAAGAGTTTGACAAAATTTGAGTCAAATTTGAAGGTGTTTGCCTCTTTATTCCTTTTTTAGTATCATTTTTGGGGCAGTTCTGAAGGTCTCAGAGTTTCAATTTGTTTTTTATGTATCTGCTTTGTGTTGTTTCTTTGGAAGGCTAAGGAATTCTCAAAATATTGAATTTTGCTTCGTTTGCATAAAAGCTGGTTTCCTGCTATGTCACTAGAAAGAAGCTAGTTATTTTCTCAACTTTTTGGAATTTCAATGGGCAATTTGACTGGAAAAGTCTGAGAGAGTGTTGAATTATTGGGGCCAAATTTAGCAGACTATTAAGTCTTGGTGTGTTGCAATTCAAAAAGTTTAAAGTCTTGCACTTGTTGGAAAGAAGCCCTCTGTTGAAGTCTCAAAAAGTCTCTAATTCACCATTTGTCACCAAATAATAACACAAAACCTGGCTCAAATTTTCATCACAAAAATATAAATAAATAAAAATATATATTGAGATATTAAATTCTAAAAAAAAAAAATTGGAAAGAAAGTTTTCAAAGCCACAAAATATTATGCTAAGGCCTGTACACAATGTTATCACTTACTATTGCATCAATTTCTTTTGATTTTCAATAAAATATAGTTTTGGCGTTATAAAGTTATTGTCATTGTTTGAAATTTAATATGTAATCTTAAAGCAAATAAATAAATAAATAATAATCAGGAAAGGCTGTTCAAAAATTGTAGAATTTTGGTCTAATTAGCATCTCTTCAACTGTATAATACAAAATTTATTTCTAAATAAAGGCTTACATTCACCTTTGATGCAGTGTGCCCTAATGACTGGAGAACTTATAAAACCCAGCAATTTCAAAAAACATGCAATTAGACTGCAAAGTTTAGTAGTGTAAACTTTTCAAAACAAAAGTAAACAAAATAAAAAGCCTATCAGATAATGCAGGGCGCAAAGAAAGTAGTGTCTGATAACCCAGGGCTTGTGGAGTTTGCTGTTGGGCTAGTGGATTCTGTTCTTAACTTGCTCAACAGGCAAGTGATGTTTTATGAGGGTATTCAAATTGCAGAAGATCTGTAATCAATCCTGCTCATCAAAATTTTGGGGGGGCTATTTGAAATGACTTTTCGGCTAGTACATGCTAGTTACAGCTTGTCCGAATGGCAAATTGTAAAACTGACTTTCTTTGCACACTGTAATTTGGGCTTTCAAACAACTACGTTTTTAGGCATCTCTGTTGATGATTGAAGTTAGAGCCTTTATAATAGCGGTAATATGAAGACTTAAATGACCAAGATAAAACGAGAAAAACCCTGTATCAGCAAGGTCTTCTTCGGGACTGAAGTAATATTTTCAAACCTATAGTTTTTATAGAAAACACCACCACATTAACTATATTACTACAACTGTACTAACAGTCAAAGACAATCCCAAAAAAATTATAATCACTGATTAGCTTTACTTGGCACAGCAACAACACAAGCAGCAGCTCGGCCACAGTTCAGAGAAGCAACTTCTTCCCACTTATTCTTTTCTGGATCATAACATTCTACAGCACTTAAATACTTGGAGCCATCATATCCCCCAATGGCATACAGTCTGTCACCAAGACAAGCTGCTCCGACAGCATCTCGGCAGTTAATCATGGGTGCAACCATAGTCCATTGGTCTGTGTTAGGGTTGTATCTCTCCACAGAGTCAAACTGACGTGAGCAGTCCTGGCTTGCAGGGGCATCATGACCTCCCATGGCATACAGGAAATTATCAAGAACAGCCACTCCCACACCTATGGCACCATAATTAACAATGAGGTCACTTAGCTCACCAGATTGTATAACTATATAATAGGACCATCAAGCATTAATTTTACTTTAGTTGATCTCAAGAAGGTTGTACAACACGGAGCTCCTATGAACAAGCATTCTCATTAATCCTAATCTGACAAAATGCAATTGCTGGAGAAAGTTTTCAACAGAGGAATGTTTACTGAACTCATACATCTTAGTTCCTTTCTTACCACACAACCTTTTTTTCAATAATATTATGATAATATTGATCACTGATGGCAAACCTTAAGCAATGCGATTATTGATTATGGAACCTGTTCGATAGATTATTGTGGAAAAATAAAAAATATAATTATTGACAAGTAAAAGTAATAAAGCCTGTGTTGTATTTTTAATGTGCTCGAAATGCAGCTATATTCCATTGATGACCCTTTTCTGGTACAATATTTTGTATGTTTCCATTCCAACGGCCATGCTCCAAGCTCTCTCAATTGATTTGTAAGGGTTCTGTTTTGTTCACAAACTGATTGTCATTAAAAAAAGTTTCCCACATAGTTTATATTATTTTCTTTGACTTGCACACAAGAGTTTTCTCTGTCCATGGGTTGGTTCAATCCAGTTATTTCCAGAGATTGATTATTTAATCTTGGCCATTTCCCAACACTACTTTTTACCTCTTTATAGTCAATTAAATAACCACATACTCCAGGGGAAGGGATTTAGCCAAATAGACACCGTGAGGGAACAAAACAATCTAAAATCAAAATCTATTGATAAAGCGTGTAGCCAATTCATTTCTCACCTCCTCTTCTCTTTAGCATGGGACAATTCACTGTCCATTTGTTAGTGTGAGGATCATAACTCTCAACTGAATTAAGGCATGCAGACCCATCCCTCCCTCCAACAGCATACAGCCTGCCGTTAAGAACAGCAACACCAACAGTGCTGCGAGCTGTAGTCATGGGCGCTATAAAATTCCACTGTTTTGTCTCTGGATCAAATCTGTGTAGAAAGAAATATTGTAACACTAACGGAACTCCTCTAGTCTTTTTAAACTTAAATTAATGTTTTCTTTTTTGCAGCTAATGGAAGTGGAAACCAGAGATCATGGTCTTCCTGACAATCAGGCCATATCATCATCATCATCATTATCATTTTTACATTGGTGACAGGCAAAGAAAATAAATATTATTCCAAAAGTAGGTTGAATTTGATTGTCCGGGTCAACAAAGTCCTGAATAGGACTGTTGTTGTTGACAGTGACAAAAACCTTGGTATCATCTTCAGAGTGAAAATAAGTTGTATTCTTCAGTTTATGGTAAATACTCACCGATCTGATTGGTCAATTAATCACCATGTTATTGGTCGCCTTCAGTCAAGTTCATGTGGTGTTTATATAAGACTAAAGTAATTGGTGCATTTCGATCTGCCTATTGTCACAGTTAAACAGTCCTATATTGTTAGTCAAATTGTCAACAACAACAGCCCTACGTTCACCCGGACGATCAAATTCAACCTACTTTTGAGATGACTCCTGGGTTCAAACCTTTCACAAAATAAATATTATTGTCTATATCACCATCATCATTGATGTCATAATCATCATCGCCATTATTATTGCATAATTTACCTCTCAACTGTACTCAAGTATGACCATCCATCATGACCCCCTACTGCATACAAAGGTCCACTCAGCGTTGCTACACCCAAACCATGGCGATGGGTACTCATGGATGGTACAGGGCTCCATTGTCTTGTCCTTGGATTATAACACTCCACAGTATTCAATGTCTTTAGCCCATCTCTGCCCCCAACAACATAAAGGCTACCATTTAGTACTGCAACATCAAACTGTAGCCTTCTGGTTACCATTGGCGACACCACTGACCACTGGTTCTTGCGAGGGTCATATTGCTCAATTTGGATTGCTCCTTTTGAGGAATCCATACCTAAATTAGGGAGAAAAGAGCCTTTTGTTCCTTTATAGCATGTCCATATCATGCATTATAGCACTGGTTTATTATAAAACTGTTAGCTTAAATATATAAATCAATAATAAAATAACTAAATTTGCTTGATATTATTTACCAGAATGAGCAGCTCCTGGCTGTAGTTAATAAGCTATTTCTTCTTTTTGCAAGATAAAATACTTGATTGAAGTGTTTTATTGCGACATACAGAGTTACACAGTTGACCCCCAAGAAATTGGAACGTGAGACTTCCAAGTATTTGTCAATTTTCTAAGCCCGCCTAGATAAACCACTTATAAAAATGCTTTGCACGTAAGGTCGAACAAAAGGTTTTTGTTTTCTCGATCAATACATGACCATTCAAGTGCATTTCCTTTCGCAGTAGCGCTTTCAAAGAGACATAATTGTCATGTTTGAAATTAACTTCCAGCTGAATCCTTCAGTTCCGACATTTTTTTCACATTAAATTAAGTTACCGTACTCCAACACGTACAGTCATGACATGAATCAACATATCCACTTATATGTCAACCATTTGACATTTTCATATTGCCGATCGAGCTAAGAATACAAGATTTTACAGATAACAAAAAAACATTATGCTCACTTCTGTTATATTTGATTACAGCTTGACTTACCACCTACGACAAAAAGTTTTCCCACCGTGGATCGTCTTGGAATTGTTCTTGAGTTTTGTAGTTGAAAACGTCTTTTCGGTAGAAGCTGGTATTTCATGGCTTCGATAATGAGTTCCCGGCAAGGGCCTATATCTCGAAACAGCGGTGACATTTCCACTCGATCAACAAGAAAGTCGGGCTCCAATAAAGGAAGACGAACAAGTCCCAACAATCTTGCCAAGAATTTTTTCCTATGTTCTTCATCGTGTTCCGCCCATTTTTCTAATGCGTCAAAAATTTGCGATTCCGAAGTTACGTTTAACTCGTCGCTTGATAAAAGCTGCGCCACGCATTCGCCGCTTAGAAGCACAAATTCTTGGCTTTTCACAACGTCAGGAAAGCGTTCTTTGGTGTAAGCATCGGCTACCTTGAAAAGTTCATTGCAACCATGACCATCGGCAAATGCGCGAATACCAAGGCAGTTTGAAGGATGAAGTTGATGTTTCATGAATTCTGAACAGGCTTCTTTAACTTCGTCAATCTGTAAGATGCAAGAAACTGAAAGCAGGTTTTCTACATTGTCCACTCGTATTTCTATATGAGACGTATAAGCGTACTTTATCAGAGCCTCTACAGCTTGCGGGTCCATGTCCGTCAAATGCACGACATCTTTTTTATTTTCGGAAAGATCGCCAGTAAACATGGCGCTAAAATAATCACTGAAAGCGGCAAGGACAAGTCTATGCGCCTCAATTCTTTTCTCCCCGACAACTAAAACGATGTCAGAAAGTTTAGAATTTTTCCGAAAGCCATCCATTTTCTTGAAGGTCTTTAGAAGATGGTCATTGCAGGTGAAAATTATCGCATCGCTTTCTTCCTCCATTTCACGAACAATATCTTCTCCAAGGAAATTTACGTGGGTGATAAGTGCTCTCGAAGCTTTGAACCATCGTCACGTTTGTGACTTCGACGTTTGCATGCTTTTATATCCTGAGAAATGCGCGATAAAACTTCAACACTGGATACGTGAAGGATCGTTAACACCAACTCACTCGCCCCAACCTTCCCCGATCAAGTCTATTTTTAGCATTTCCACTCCAAGCAAGATGGCGGAATCAGACTGAAAATGTCTCTTAATCCACGCTTTATTTTCCGCGGTTTTACTCGTGTGACGACCGGAAAAAACCTGTTTTCTTTTAAATTACCTAAAAGGAGCCTTTCTACAAACACTCAAAGAAACGATGCGGAAGATAAACGGGAAATTAATCGTTTATTTCAAGGAATAATTGAGGGTCATCGTGGAAGCCTGGCACAAGGTATTACACTGGTGGAAACATTACATCCAACAAAGTATCAGCAAGCGCAGCAATTGCTGTCAAAAGTTGCAAAATATTCCAAAAAAGCACCCTTGTTTACAAATGGGCAGCGTTCTTCATTCCGTATTGGTCTATCTGGTCCACCCGGAGGTGGAAAATCAACATTTATTGAGACATTTGGAAATTTCCTGACGAATAAGAACCATAAAGTTGCAGTTTTGGCCGTTGATCCATCATCTTCTACAACTGGAGGCTCATTGCTGGGGGACAAAACGCGCATGACAGAGCTATCGCGAGATCCTAACGCTTACATTAGGCCTTCACCGTCCTCTGGAACTCTGGGTAATTTTTTAATAAAGATTAAAAATCCCTGCGCAGCACAGTGACTTTACGTTCGATTGAGAGCTATAAAATCCACTCTGTAAGAAGATCTTAAACAGACGTTTTGGCAATGCTACCCTGAAGAAGGCAGTGTATGCCAAAACGTTGTTTTAAGATCTTCTTACAGCATGGATTTTATAACTTTCAAATGAACATTAATAGTTGTTAACAATCTACCCTCTATCAAGAACCAACCATTTGCTGCTCAAAGTGGTGTAAATACCACTGTCATGCCTCTGACAGATGTAATAAAGAAAATAAAAACCAAAAAAGTCATTTTAAATCTCTTCTATCCCTCTGGCTTTGGCTTTAGACATGAAGGCCATATGTGATGCTGTAAATCAATGAAAATGCTTTTTTTACCCACCATTCCTTCCCACCACTGCTTTGGTACACATTTTATGAAAATAAATGCATACTTATTGTTAGCATTAACATCATCATCATCAATCAGAATCATCTTTATCATCATCATCATTTTGATCATCATCATCATCATCATCATCATCATCAAAGAAAACCTTTACCTTGTGCTTCCTTTCAACTCTATACCCCAGATCCTTGGAACTCTCTTTCTCTCATATGTTACATCATGTTGTTCTAGGCCTGGCATAAGAAAGTACTAATTTTGATGATCTCAATTCTTCTCTTTAAGGTGGTGTGAATCGCAGTACAAATGAAGCCATTCTACTTTGCGAGGCAGCTGGTTATGACACCATTCTGGTTGAAACAGTTGGTGTAGGTCAATCAGAGATAGCTGTTGCACACATGGTGGATATGTTTGTCCTGCTGATTCCACCAGCTGGAGGTGATGAACTGCAAGGAATCAAGAAAGGAATCGTTGAGATGGCTGATCTTGTTTTGGTAAATAAAGCTGATGGGGAGCTTGCCATTCCAGCTCAGAGAATTCAGACAGAGTATATCAGTGCGTTAAAACTACTAAGGAAAAAGTCACAGCACTGGAATCCAAAGGTATAATGTGCATCTTACTTTTGCACATACACTGCCAACTTAAGACTACTATAAATCCTGCTGTTGTTTTACAGGTTAACTCATAAAACTTTGTATTGTTTTGTTTGAAACAATTCATTTTCAGCTCATGATTTACAATCTTAGATCTTCTCCCAACCTTCCAAATGAGTTTATTACACTGCTCTTATTTACTCAGTCTGGCATAATTATTAAACAAATAAAGCATCTTACATAACAAGATGAATGAGATCATGCCCACTCCCTATTATCTCTATATATCCCTCATATTTTAATTCCCTTATCTTCTCCTTGCCCCCTCCCCCCTCCCCCCAGGCGGGTTTAGTAAGTGACAAAATCCAAGACTCTGAGATTGAAAGAAGTGCATATGTAACATGAGTTTGAGATTGGTCAGATACACTTCCAAGATTTTTGAGACCCACAGTTTGAACACACCATTAACTAACTCTAGGTGAGCTTCAGTAGACCTTTTAGGCCATCTGTTTTGTTTTTCCATGTGGGATCAAGTATTATGCAGAAACGTGCATAATTTGTTTATAGACAAAAGGCATATTCCCTTGGGAACATTGGATGGTCTGAATTGGGGAAGCAAAACATGCAGTTAGTATAAAACTAAACAAAACTCAAGGCAGGGCTGGCACTGCGGCAAAGGGCTGATTTATTATAGGCCAATATTTCGGCTAACAAAATTAGCCTTCCTCATGGCCAGGGCTGGGTTGTTCGAAGGTGGGTTAAGATATCCCAGAGTTAGTGCAAATTTTGAACTCAGATATGAGAGCTTAAAAAGTCAATTCAGTTGAATTCTCTTTGCCTACAATTTGATGATTGGATATGCTAAAAAAAATACAGAAAATTATCAGAGAGAATGCTTTTGATAAAAAGAAAAAGAAACCCGGGTTAAAATTTAACCCCGCATTAGCCCTAACCCGTGTGCAAACAACTGGGCTCAGAACTATACCAAGAGAAAATATCTTTTAATGGCTCCGAGTAAAAAACATCTATTAGTATGAAACATCTATTGAGTGATTCCTTACCACTAAGATCCTGATGGGCATTTTTTTATAGAATACCTTTTTGATAATGTTACTCTGTTCTTGCCAGGTTCTGCGCATGTCTGCCCATACTGGTGATGGTATAGAGAAGGCATGGGAAACAATGCAGAACTTTCATAACATCATGCTAGAAAAAGGAGATCTTGAACAAAGACGTCGTGAACAACATGTAATCTGGATGTGGAATCACATCAAAGATCAAATCATGGGAAGATTCAAATCCAACCCTGATGTACAGGGAGAACTCCATTATTACGAGAAACTGGTGGCTGATGGAGTAGTGACTCCTGGAATGGCAGCTGATGTGCTCCTCAAAATATTCACTCATTCATCTTTACCTGAAAACTCTACTAATCATGATTAGGCACCTCTATTAAAATCTTGTACAGTCAAACCTTGGTTATCCAGACTTCAGTTTATTGGACTCGTGATTATAAAGACTATTTCTTAGCCTCGCCGCAGACGTCCTTTGGGGTTTGTTCGCCCGTGGGGGAGAAATGAATGCGTGACGAACGAACCCCAAAGGATGTCTGCAGGGAGGCTAACTATTTCTCTGATCCCAAAAAAATAAATATTTAAGAGATTTATAGTCACACTTACAGCAAACATAAATTTGTATGTTGTGACCAAGTTTTCCCTTTACTTTTCTTTTGCTGTTAATTATTTCTAACAAAAAAAATATTAAAATGTTATTGTCCATTGTAAATGGTAAAAGTAGCGACAAAGAACTTAAGTCATTAGTATTCATGTGTTTGATTATCAAGGTTCTTGGACTATTTTTACTCCAGTTCTGCTGGATTTAGAAAATCAAGGTTCGACTGTAACAAGTAGCCTCCTGTAACAATTGTGTGACAAGATAAAGAATTGCTTTGTAGAGATTTTGTGACAGGCTGTTAATTGTCAGAGGCAGATGCAAAACTCTGAAATAACAGATTAGTTAGAACAAGGTCTGTAAGGAGATGTTGAAAGAAAAAAAAGTCTAGGAAAGGAGAAACGCTCTATAATAAACACTATTTAAAGAACACTGATTTTACATTTTTTTACGAGAGAGTTTTAATAGACTGGATTTAAAATCTATGAGTTTTAACTTATCAAGACTATAAAAATAAAGAATATGGTAATTTTTACATTTTTTCTCCTTTACTTTGTTCTCATATCCATCTTTGCTGCGCCGTAAGGATCAGTTGGTTTGCAGTTTCTACACTTATTCATTGACAGGGGTGGATCCAGAAAATTCAAAAAGGGTTGGTTAAATTCAGTTTTACTTGGAGTTCCCATGTTATTGAAAAGCGCAATAAATTAGTTCCCTATAGCTCCCTTCTCTTTAGCTTGTATACAGCCGCCGCTCCTCGCCCCCGCGCCCCACCACCCCCGCCAACCGCCACCTCACAGCCCGCCTGCCTGTGCACAGGCTACCCTACCCCAATCTTTCCTCCCTGCGCCTGATGTCAGCGGTGTTCCACGTTAAAACCAACAATATTTGCCATTCCAAAAGTGATTATAATCTCACCGCCCAAGAAATTTCTGAATTGGAGTAACTCATGTGCTCTAATCATGCGTATTGTAGTCTCTTTCCGTCCTGTTAGCTAGTTTTGATCTTGCGCTTCCAAGGAGCGGAGTAATTTCCGGCCACTCCAAAGATGGAGGACATCTATTCAGCCTCTCGGGAAGGAAACGTACGCTTCGTGAAAACATGGCTGGAAAATACCTCAAACGATCTAAATCAAGGGTAAGCTAATATGTCAACGGTTGTGGAAATTGAAAGAGCTGTCAGTTGTAATCGAGCAAACTACGATTCACGGCTAACGGGTTGCAAGTGAATCATTTTATTTTAGGCACTTTACGCAACTGTTAACGCAACAATTTACTGACCGTATGTTTTCATGCATTCAAACGCCAGACACTTTGCATGCTGTGCCATACAGTTTTGTGAAACAACAGCTTTTTATGTTTATACTGTTAACTTGAACGTCGTGATGTGGCCGAGTCTGGCTGAGATCGCGCGCATTTTCGTGGCCTTTCATTGACAACTCGATTGTTCTTTTCTCCAGAGATGATCATGGCTTCACCCCGCTTCTGTGGGCTTCGAGGGAAGGGCAGACAGCTGTGTTCGATTTGCTTTTGTTGCGAGGAGCCAGAGTAACAGCTGTGAATGACGGAGGGGATAACGGGTTGCATTTGGCCGCCAGTAAATCAAATAAGGAAATTATACAACGGGTACGTGAGAATGTCATGTTGAATACTACAGTGATTTGAAGCATTCTTTTGCGAACGTAAACATTTTAAAGTAATTGGAAATACAAGTGGTGATATGAGAATTAACTCGAGAACTCCTAAAGTAAACAACTGCGAACTCATCAAGCCTCAGTTTTGTTAAGTGGTGTTAACAAGTTAAGGCACCTTTGTCTTGCTGAGAAAATGCGTTCAAATTATCCAATTACAAACGCGTAGCATACACATGCTAATTACGGTATATTACGAAGTTAGTTGTAGTTATGAACACAGCTCTAACTTGTATTAAAAGGCTTTGTTGATCGATATCTCTCAGTACATATGAAGTGAAATCTGTCCCATGGAACAACTCCCTTCTTTTCATAAGCAGTTTTCAATGTCATCATTGTTTTTAGACACAGTATAATAATGGTACTTGGATAAGAGCTGTAATCCTTTGATTCTTACAGGGAGTACAGTAGCTATTAACATGCGATTTTTTTTTTACCATTTGATACAGCACTTACAACCTATTCTCAAGTACGTTTGAGGGAGGGGTGCTTATTATAGAGGGGCGCTTAATTAAGAGGGGGGAGAGGTTAAATTCATTTTCAGGTTAAAAAATGGATACTTCAAGGGCTAAAAAACAAAGGAAATTCTGAATCTGGGTATGTTAACCCTTTCAGCCCCAACAGCAACATGCATCTTCTCCACACTGTTCATCATATGTTCTTTATGGTACTGCTTGCGAGAATTTGTTCTAACATCATAACATTTCATCTTTGGAGATCATTTAATTCATTCTCATGACCTGTATGTTTGATCAGGCAGTGTTATTTTTGAAAGAAATCGGATGTGGGTCACTATAGGGGCATAAAGGGTTAAATAATGGTTCGACCGGAGAATGGATGTTATGTACAATATTTTCTCCTTGCCCCAGGTAAATAACATAATAACTTTGTTTTATAGCTACTGAAGCATAAGTGTCCTGTAAATGGAAGCAACACCCATGGGAATACTCCTCTGCATTATGCTTGTTTCTGGAATTCTGAGGAGTGCGCTGAGGTAATATTTTTTGCCTCTGTCTTTTGTCAGATGCTGAGCACATTCTTAAGTTTACATGGCTAAAATATAGGATCAGCATAAGATTGTGATTAACATCCTATCTACCCCTCCCCCACCCCCCCTCTAACCAAGCATTGACAATAAATAACTTCTTAAGGTTTGGTAAAACAAGCAACGATGATTTGCAACTTGTTTTGTTACATTGCTGCAAAGCGAGTTGAATAGTGATGTAAAAAATTTTACCACCCATGAATCAAACCTGTCTTGCAACAAATCAGGTTGTTGCTGGTTACAAAACATTGTTACAGAAAGTAGAGAGAAATTCTACTTTTGGCAACAAAATCTGTACATGTTGTGCATTTTACGGGCTCAAGGCAAACTTGTTTCGCGGTAAGTGATGAGAATCCTCTGTAAGGCTTGACTCCTGTGTAATTTTACCCAATCAGAAGTCAGTATTCACACAACTTGCAACAACATGATTTGTTGCCAGGCAGGTTAGAATGTTGGTGGTAAAATGCATAACATAGCTGTTTAACTCATTTTGCAGCAGTGTTGCAAAACAAGTTGCGCATTTTTGTTACCTGTTTTACCATAGCTTTACGTTTGGCAAAGGAAAATCCCTTCATCTGTTTTTATGGTATTTTGTATAAATATGAAAGGGGTGGTGATGGTGCACTGGTGTCTTAATGTAATAAATTTTGGATTTTGGTCTCCTTTAGGGTGTTCTGGGCAAAACGCCATCCTATTTAGCCGTGAAGGTCTCGTTTAGGGTTGCACGTGAAAAAAAATATAAATATAAAAATATAAAATTAATATTGTCTGTGTTTTCATATGGTCTCTTTTAGTGGTGAAAAAAAGACTGGGCCATGCCCAGATTGGTCTCCTTTCATCTGTTTTTATGGTATTTTGTATAAATTGAACAGGAACTTGTAAAAAGAGGTGCACTGGTCTCACAATGTAATAAATATGGAGAGACTCCTCTTGACAAGTGTAAACCATACCTCGCAGAGATACTGAGAGGTGAGCCAATATATAAAAAGGAGGAAGTATTTTTTAGCTGTAACAGCGTCAATCTTAAAACCAGGGGACAAATGACCACCATCTAGAATAACTGATAATTAACAATACTACAGTATTTATTTCTATTGCTGTGTTGTATTGTCACTTTTATTAATCTTCTGAGCCAAGCTCCTTAGCTGTATGAAGGATGATTGGTGTAAGTACAAGTTAGTTACCACGACAGCTTACACTGTTTGTTAACTTGGTACAGATTAACAATGACTACTAAAGCTAACCAGACAGCAAGCAACTTGACCCAAATTAATATTTGACCTTTTGTGAATGATTTGAATATGATGCGGTGATGTCTCTAACTATGCCACTTGCTTCGTTCAGACCTTGCTGCTCAGCTCGGACAAGATCTTAAAAGAATACCATTTAAAGGTAAATCAATCTTTCGTATGAATTCCTGTATACAGTCAGTTCTTGCCTTGCGGACACCCCGCTATAACGGATACCCCGATAATACAGACAGCAGCTAAACCCCAGGCAAAAATTAACTACAGACATTTGACTGAAATAAACTCAGGACTGCTATTACGTACTCTTGCAAATGAGGACACTAACTTGAGGTCCCTACAGTTTCCATTATAAAGAGAGTTGACTGTATATGTTACTATGTCTGAAGAGACAGTCTGGTCAATAGACCAATAATATTATTTCAATAGTATATTAAGGTTCTACTTGGCTCTGAGGCTTAGGGGAATAAAACAAGAGAAATCATCTTGAAGCTGAGCAATATGAATAATGCATTTTTTGTTAATTCCACTAAGCCTCATTGTCACTTAAGAGTATTTGAATGTATTGAAATTGGTCTTTTAAAATCCAAACTTTAACAAGCTTAACTACCATCGAAAGACTGTGTAGCATGAAGGACTTCCTCCTTATCCCTCGAGGGTATTAAACATGCTACAACGTGCCAGTGCTGGGACACCCTCTCAATTTCCCACTGCCCATGACCTACATCATTCATATATGGCCACTCAAATGAGGTGACAATCTTTGAATCTTCTTGACTTGATTTCAACACGTACTTGGTTAATACGGTACAGGTCTAAGGTGTCCCTCTTCTATGATTCAAGCCCATAATCAAATTAAAACATGTGCCAATGGTAGAGTGTCTAAGGTAAACCTAATCTAATCTCATTCAAATAATGGTGCCACAACATTTGTTCTTTATATTTTCAGATTATCGCTCAAAGACTGGCAAAAAAGATGGTAGGTGCTTCTGAGTGTCTATTTATTTATCTGTTACTTTGCTGAAGAAACTTGTAAATATTGTCATTCATGAAAATTAAAGTGGCTTATCAGTTCCATCCAGTTTCTTTTAAACCTCCTGGTAAATGATTGTTTTGTGTATGTATTATTTTGTTTTACACTTGCACAGATTTGCGAGATATTAAGTCAAGACATTCATGGATTCAACCATCGGAGATTGATTTGACAAACAAGATTGGCAAAACGGTTACTGGAGAGGTAAGGCATTTTCTTCCCTCACTCAGCCAGGGGAATGATGAAGTTAGTAACCCCAGAGGGCCAAATATAAAATTTGCTGGTGCCATTAAGCCCTGTGGTAGTCCTATAGTATTCCCTTGTTATGGCTGATTTCAGGTCATTGTCCATGTACTCTATTTAGATTATTGGTTGCGCTATTTATGTGTATTTGTTCTGTTTCAGGTTTGGAAGGGAAAGTGGAATGATATACATATCATAGGCAAAAAACTTGCTATAAAAATAGTAAACAAAAGAATCTCCAGAGATTTTAGTGAAGAATATTCCAAGTTAAGGTAATGACTTAATTTCCTTTAAGTTCTGTTTTAATAGACTGCCTACTTATCTAAAGGAATATTTTGAAGTGATAATATCATTATTTTTCCTTTCAGAATATTTTCTCATCCTAACGTTCTTCCTGTGATTGGTGCTGTAAATGATTCTAAGAATTTAGTAGTGTTATCGCAGTATCTACCATTTGGTTCACTTTATAACGTCCTACATGAAGGAACGGGTGAGTACAATTAACATAATTCTACACTAAACATCTTTTTATTTGGGCATCTTGTTTGCTAACATATTGCATTACTGTACTATAGCAGACAGAGGTATTTCTGCCCACCTAGGTGCATATATGAGTTCTAGAAATTTCAGTCAAAAGTGAGGTCCATCATAATTTTATGGTATGGTACTTTTGGCAGGTATTATTGTGGATCAACAACAGGGAATGAAGTTTGCTGTAGACATCGCAAGGGGAATGGAATACTTGCATTCTTTAGAACAGTTGATCCCAAGACTATACCTGAAAAGTACACACATCATGGTGAGTACTCGTGGTGACACAAGGCTAGGGATCAGCCAAATGTTGTCAATCAGACTGACAGTCTACAGGTTACTCATGTCTGGCAAAATATTCGCCTGAGAAAACAGCCAACATTTTCACAATGCCACTTCTGGTTTCCCCGTGAAATGACAATAAGGTTATAAGTGCTTCTGATTGGCTGAAGCAAATTTCCCACGTAGCATAACCAATCAGAAGAACTACCCAGATTTGGGTAGCGATGTGTCATCAGTATATGGAATTTCTGTGCTTGTTTCTCACACGTCATTTTGCAGGGAAACCAGTGGTGGTGTCTTGAAATGTCAGCTGTTTTCTCAGGCTAACAAAATATGTGAGGGGCTTTGTTTCAAAAGAAACTGTGGTACCATTGTTTTGGTGGGGGAGTAAAGCACTAAAGTTTGGTTTTATCAACTGAGTCAGTGATAAATTGAAATTACTTGTACCATTGTAGTATCAAGAAGATTCAATGCTGATGTTTCAGGCACTGGCCCATCCTGTATTTATTCGGATGATGGGCTAGCACTCACAATACCAGCTTTTGAATCTTTTTATGTCCAGGCATTCCCAGTGAAGACTGTTGAAACTGGGTATAAGAATTGCGATGTGTCACAGCGCCATGCTTCATTTTGTGAAGAAAGACAAGAATACACAGTTTCACCTCTTTCGTCTCACTTTTGTATGCCATTTTAACTGTAATTTCAGATTGATGATGATCTTACAGCAAGAATCAGCATGGCTGATTATAGATTTTCCTTTATGAACCTCAGCAAAATAGAAAGTCCAAACTGGATGGCTCCTGAGGGTGATTAATTTTTTTAATAATTTTTCTCAATTTCAAGAGCAGTGTTAAAAGGTTAGAGGTTGATTACAATAAATATTCATGAAATTTGATGTAGTGTCTGAGACCAGGGGGGAGGGCGAGGGGGGTGACATGCCAACCTATTGTTTGTTGTGCTCCTTCAGTAGATAGCGAGGCACACATTACATACAACAAAAGAAACAATAAAGCCCCCAAGAAGGCTCTATTGTTTGGTTTCTTTGTTTCTTTTGTGATGATGGTACCTGCAGAAAGACCTGGTTGTTGACTCGATAAATTGCATGGTGATTTGAAGTGAACCAGATCGTGTGGCTATAAAAAAGCAGATTTGATTTTAAAATACAAAATAACAAAAAAGTCTTAAGGTGGTATTTACAAGTCCATTTTCCCTTTCCTGGTTAAGTGAATTTTTAGTTCATGAACATCAAAATTTTCAAGTTGATTTAGACAGTTTTCCAAATATAGGATATGTCTACAGTAACAATGCTAGTTTGATTTTTTTTTGTCTAGAATACCATACATATATAAGCTAATCTTTTTATCTCTTGTTTGTATTGTTTGTTGCTCTTTTTCTCAGTCTTACAAAAAAGCCCAGAAGAAGTGGACCAGCGGTCTGCCGATATGTGGAGTTATGCTATGATCCTCTGGGAGCTTGTGACGAGAGAAGTTCCATTTGGAAACCTGTCACCTATGGAAGTTGGCATGAAGGTTGGTGGAACCATTTATCTCCGAGAGTGATGAGAATCAAGATTCTTCTTGTGTCAATGTCAATGCTTAGGCAGTCAGTATGTCATAAGAATCTAGGACATGATCACGCACAATTTTTTTATAAGTTTGTTTAAGTTTTCCCCTCTACATCTATTAGACACATGATACTATTATTTGAGCAATAATGGAGAATTACATTTTGATAATCAGGATTAAAGGTTTAAATAATTCTTTTAAGGGCCTGTTACATGGAGGTGGGAGACCCCAGCTACGTGAGGTAACCTGCCTGTTCATATAATCTCTCATATGGTCACCCCACCTATCATGTAACGTGATCAAATGAAAATGAGATACTGTAATATTCCGAAAATAATAAGCCCCCCAAACTCGTAACACAAAAACCCTCTGTTAAATCACCCCTCCAAATATAAGCCCCCTGGGGGCTTGTACTTGGAAATTGCCCTGAAATACAAAGGAAAACAAAGTGAAAACAGTAAATTTCCTTCCAACTATAAGGCTAGCCCAATCGATTTTGAAACGCAAATTTCCCTCCGTAGATAAGCCCCACCAAATATAAGCCCCTCCAAAAATAAGCCCCTCAAAAAGGGGCTTTGAAAAATATAAGCCCAGGGGCTTGTTTTCGGAATTTTAGAATGTTATATGGACAGGCAGGTTACCACACCTAACTGGATTACCTCACCTGACTGGGATCCCCCACCTCCATGTAAACGGGCCCTAAGACTATCATTAAAGAAATTTAGAATAACATTGAAAAAACTTTAAAAACGCCAGATTAAGGTTGACAATTTCTCAAGCCAACAAAAACTGTCCAAAGTAATTCTTATGGATAAAACCAGTGCAGTTTGTGTAGAACTAATGACTAGTTTTTGAAGGGATAACTTGGTCACGTGGTACAAATTAAGGTTTGCCATTTGCCAAAACATGAGTTCTAAATCTCTCTATTGCCAAGCACAGGGCTGTCACTAAGAGCCGGGGGCTGGGGATTTCCCCCGGTTATTATGAATGTGGCCGCCAGCTAGTTGGTTAGGAAAATAGAAGAAAAATAGAAACAAAAGAAATCCCGAGCTGTTTGATTCCCTGCCTACTTGTTGTATTTACCCGGCAACTTGAAATCTTAGCAACATCCCTGCAAGCATCAATTTTTGAATCCCTCTGTGGCAATGATCAATTTTATTGACCTAAATTTTGTCTTTCATTTTTCCATTTGTCTCCTCAGGTTGCTCTAGAAGGCTTGAGACCTTCTGTTCCTCCTGGTTCCTCTACACAAATGTCAAAACTAGTCTCAATCTGCTGGAATAATGACCCAACCAAAAGACCAAGATTTGATCAAATTCTTCCAATTCTCAGCAAGATGGCACAATAAAAATTTACACAGCTATAGGAAAAATAGAAATATTACAGATAGTCACCTCCTCCCCCTGAAAATCTTGATGTGTACAGCTGAAAGAGGCATCTGAAATGCAGCTCCACCCAAAGTATTCATAAAATACTCCAAACAAGTGAGTCTTCTTTCAGGTTTAAGAAAACCATCCATGGTTAGTCACCTTGAGCAACCCTTAAAATATCAAGTGCCTTTTTCTTCATACATTTTACAAAGAATAAATATTTTCGTAGGTTATGATATAGAAATAAATGACTGGCAATAACAGACACCATTGAAAATAAAATTGGGACATGAAACTTGAATGAACTATATGCTGCTTGCAAACATATTGACAGAGAAGCAGCTGTACCAAGCTAATAATTAATGTGAACTTCCTCGCACATAGTATTTGAAACTCTACTAGGGCATTGGTAGTCTCCCACTCAGCCATTTTTGTCTTGTCATTTTTGGGAAGGGGCGTCGAGTGACAAGAGAGTTGTAGTTTTTATACCGCAGTACTTTAATATCAGACAATGATTTAAACCTACTGCCAAGTGTTAGGAAAACCGCAAAAATAATTATAGTGTTTTGGTCTAATATACAGTTTTGTAAAGAAAAATAAATCACTACAACTTTTAAACCATGTGAAATTTTGTCTGGTTTCTACAGTGAATAATTGTTATAATGATAATGATGATGATGATGATGATGATGATGGTGGTGGTGGTGGCGATGATGATGATGATGATGATGATAAAAATAATGATAATTAATAATTTCTTAAATGGTGTCGAACGACATGAAGATGGGTGGAAACTGTGTCGTCTCCTCTTAAAAATTTGTCCGAAGCGTCCAAATTTTGTCGGCTTCTCTGAAAAAAAATCCGAACCCCGCCCCCCCTCCCCCCCATTCGAAAACCTGCCATCCTTAGAGGGGTGCGAATGAGAAATGGAACGTTCCAGAGGGCCATCGTTTCCTCCGTGAAACGACTTGTTTTGAAATACGAGCCCCGTTCTAAGAGAGCCTCAAAAGTGGACCTGTTGCGTGCAGACAGCTTTTTGGGCAACCTCGTTCCCAGGGTTTTCTCCTACCCGCCCCCTGGAGCGAGAAAGAGAGAGAGACCCGTTTCTCTCTCTCTCGCTCCAGGGGGCGGGTAGGAGAGAACCCTGGGAACGAGGTTGCTTTTTGGGGAGACTTTACTTACATACATACTTTACATAAAACTTAATTTGAGTAGGTTTCGAAAAAGGCAGCCATAGGCTTTCGCCAATAATATGGCATTTTCTCCTTGTGTACAGTTTTCCCTGCAAAAATTAATAACGTGTGGTTTTACCGGTTGATGGATTGATGGACAAAAGAAGGGTTAAAAATTTTTTACAACCTTATGCAAAATACGAAAGACAAAGGATAGAGCTTTACTCACTTCGGTTTGTGCAGAGAAATGAATTTTTAAATCTACTTTTGACGTGAATTTCTTTCTTGGTAGGCACCAACTTACTTCAAGCAGGTAACCGGAAGTACGAAAACTAAAGATCTTCCCAATCTCTCTCTTTAAGGCAACCCCAGAAATCCTTGCGCCATTACACTGTTGAAAAGCAATATGGCGTCTGAAAAGAACAGTAGCAAGGAAGAATCTACTTCTTCAACAAGCATAGCTACAAAGGGTGAACATTCAGGCGCTCCAAGCGTCATAAATACCTTTGCTAATGATGGTAGTTTTCTAGAACTTTTTAAAAAAAGGATGGAGGAGGAATCAAAGAAATCGAAGGCGAGTGAAAAATCAGTCTCCGAAGACAACGTCGAAAAGAAAGTCAAAGAAGACTTCGAACAGAACCAAACCGAGGGAAAAGTTCCTGGATCCACGAAATTGTTAGCACAGCAGGTCTGGTTTAGTGCAAAAAAGAATGCTTATATTTTCCCTTTCGCTGGGAAAGATTGAACGTATAGTCTGACAAAAAAATAGTTCACGGGTTTCATATTTCATGCTTGTAAACTTGTCGACGTCCGGAATTCTTTCAGCTTTTGAATTTTCAGTATAAACACACACTTATGGTATTGTTCAAGGAGAAAGAGAAAGCATAAGATTTCTACACAGCCCCATACATTTGTTTAATATGAGCGTAGCAATCTCATACAATTTCAGACAAACAGTTTCTATGAAATATGAACAGAGTCAAAACATGTATGCATAGTAAAGTAATGTATGGGGCTGTGTTTCTTACCAAGTTTAAAACCTTAAGACTTCTTTTTGTCAAAAAATCAATCCTGATATGTGATGTGAAACTGAGATGAAAATGAAAATCAGAAATTGACGTATCAAAGTACCTAAAACTTTGAAAAAACGGGAGAACTTTGTTTACTATTGTTCATCACTGTACTTTTCAATAACATGCAAACCCTGTAATTTAAAAGCCAGCTGACATTTGCATCTTACTCCACTGTCAATCATAATTACAATCACACAAACAATGAACCTTGAAACACAAATACACAAAACAGATTGAAATCCACAAATCACAAATCATGACCTTTTGAACTTGTTCAAGTCAACATCCATTTCTTAATAGGTGTGCTAAGACGATTGACAGCAGCGAAGAATTGAATTTCAGATTTTGCGTGTTTTTGAAAAGTATAGTAAATTGACCGTCTTATCTAAACTTCATGTATGTGGTGGTCAGTGAGGAATACAGGTCAGGAGGAGTTATCACCATCCTAAATAGCATGATGTTATCTTACGGTGTTAGTATTAATCCAAAAAATGTAGGGAAAGAGGACATTTGCAGTTGGAAAGATGGGTGGAGCTTCTAGACAGATGAATGCAAAGAAAAAGAAACAAGAGAAAGAAGCAGCTGAGGCAGCCAAAAAAGCTGAGGAAGAGGTAAAAGTGAAATTCAACAAGAATCTTAAGTGGCCTAAAATGTACCTCAGTCATTAGAAAATTAATATCCTGCTAGGACCCAGAATGTTTATTTTGAGTAACCTGAGCTCAAGCCAAAATTTTAGCAACTCTCACACATTTTTTTTTCTTATATAATCATCGCCCAATCTCAAGTTAGAGTTATACTGAATGTGACTGGGTATCCTTTAGATGCCCAGTTTTGAGAGAAAAAGCAATTTTTTTTACAGCTTGGTTGTACATTACTGACTTGAGTGTTTACGTGGATTCCTGGATAAACCCTGTCCCCTGGGGTGGGGGATACTCCTGGGAATTCTTGGTGGGGGTGTGCCGCACGATTCTCCAAATTCTGACCCGATTTCAGACCAAAAAATGTACTTCCGCACCTGTTTCCGGACCAGACCTCTAAAATCCATACCCATCTTCAGACCTGGCCTTTAGGCAGAAATTATGTCATCGTTACTTAGATTAGAGCGCAAACAAGCAAATTCATCAAACCATTTTGAATTCGCATGTTTCTCTTTCTCTCTTACTCATTCGGAATTGAAACGATAAATACATTCATACTTTCCTGTAGTTCCCCCGAAAACCATACCTGATTCCAGTCCAAAATGGGCAAAGTGTATACCCGTTTTCAGACCAAAACGGCGCAAAAACCTGACACCATGGGACGGCACATGCCTACATAGCTTATGTAAGGGGGTACCCCCCCAGGCCCTGTCCTCCTTGCCTTCTGCCCTCTTACTACAAACTAAGTTACTGCATACTAAGTTTTCTACTGACTAGAGCATTTTCATTAGTAGAAGCTAGCGACCATAACTCCCTCATATAATGTTTAGCTGTATTTTGATGGTCTCTTTTTCTCACAACTAGGCTGAGGGCAAGTCATCGGCATGGAAAGCTTACATGGATGAAGTTCAAAAATACAAAGAAATGAGTTGCTCAGATGACAGTGACAGAGTACGGCCTCTTGTGAAATAACCCTCAACGACACTTTAGGACAATAAACTTTAGACCAATTCAGCATTTTCTTATTGCCCATATAACACCTTATTTACCCCCAAAAAACATTGGACAAGCATTGTCTTCAGTTTCTTTTCTTACAATGTTGTAATACCCAGGAGAAATTGGAAACAATGTTTATGCAAAGCTTTTTGGGGCTGAACAAGGTGTTTTATGGGGAATGTGAAAAGGGTGAATGCTGATTTTTGGAAATGATAGTATGTAAATAATCACAGGTGTCTTGCATGATGCTTTGTTCTACAGTTTCATGTCTACATGTCTCTCTCCTCCACAGAGGCCTCTTTGTGTTATATGGAGGCTGGTGGGAGGGAAAAATAAAGTGTGTGGTGCTATTTTTATTGGAATACCCACCTAGCAAAAACCTCTGTGAGGAGAGAGGTGACATGCCAAAACAAGCATTAAAACTGTTCATTGCCACATGCTATATCATGTATTGCCTCACTCGACTGCAAAACAGTCCGTATTTTTGCATATTGAAGTAGTCTCCCAAACAGTCAAGCAGAAGGTCTGGAGTGAGGCTAAAAACAGAGAGCGAGACTGGGGAGAAACACAAAAAATATGTTTTGTTTTTCTCTCTTTGTAAGGCTTGCACACTTCACGCATTTGAGACTCTTATGCTAAACTGATTTTGCGTCTATTGCGTCACTTATTCATCCATCATTTTCCTGTAATGAAAAGTTCCTACACAGAAAGCCAAACTGGCCATAACAAGTTTGTATCCACTGTAAGACAGAAAGTTTAGAATTTCTGAGGGGTAACACAGACTGAGCCTTTAATATGAAAATCATTGTTTTTTTGGTCAAGTTTTTAAGTTGGTTTGTACACTGATATAAGCCGAAAATGTAATACTTTGCAATACTGGTATTTTTGGAAGTTTGTAATTCCAATGTTCATTTGTAATAAACCTGTCTGCTAGATTAGCTAAATAAATGTGGTCTGCTTGTTTCAGGAAATTTTTTTTTATATAGTATTTTTTCAATAATTCTTTCCAGTTAAAGACAAGAAGTGTTTGTGCAACTACATTTTCATAATCAGGAAATGTTGAGTCAACAATAATAAACAATCGCTATTCAAATTGATTATGATAAATGCAGCTATAGTACTGGAATAACACACAATCAGTAAAATATAAATTCTGACAGCACTTTTGTTTTTTGATTGTAACACTGATTCAACAGCAGGTATAAGGAGACTTTCCAATAATTTTAAGGGCATTGGTGAGCTACCACCAAGAAAACTGGGAGCCACTTGAACCTTTTTCTAGGATGAATCTAGGCATCTGAGCTGTTCTCTATGGTGCTTAAAATTAGCAGTACTAAAGATAAAGTTACTCACTGTTTACGTGACTGCCATTTACCGTGGTCATCCTGGCCATGCAAAGGTCTAGCTTTTTACAGGGCAAAGGAAGAACCTACATTTCTCAGTTCTTTAACACCCTGAGTATTGGTCTGGTTCCAGGAATCAAACCCGTGACCTCCCTTTCTGCAGTCAAGCTCTCAGCCAACTGAGCTACTCCTGCCATGGTTTGAATTAACTTTTAATGCTATCAGTTATATTTCTTAAGGCATATAATAATAATTATTTATTGTTATATCTCAAAATAAACATGAAAAATTTCACCTCAGCAAGAACTGTTCAATTTTATTTCGGTATTAATTCATTAGATAGACAGACAAAGTGGCCATCATCTGTTTGTGCTATTTTGGAAGTCAGGGGGTAAAGGAATTTCAAGACTCGCTGTTTTAGAGGAAGGAGTGCTGTCCTTTTCATCGTCAAGTTTTCGTTTCCTTTGTCCTTTGGATGATCTTACAACACAGCCAATTGCCTTCATGTGAGCTGTTAATCTGCCAATCAAAAGAAATTCCTATTAACAGTGCACTGAGTCTACAAAATGCAAAAATATGATACATGAAGCCTGTGTAGCGGGTAGTTTGTTTGGTGGGATGGAACAAAGATGCAAACACACAAGTTTCCGCCCCATTTCTCTCACAGCTTCACTGCTCATGCCCTTCAAGGATTTTGCCTGAAATCAGGTGACTAACTGTATGTGGAATGCTGAGGCTCACTGAGGGAGCAGGCTTCCACCAGGGGTTCTGAGGACAATAAATACCATTGTGGGTGCCAAAACCCTTTTACCTTTCTGCTTGAGGGTATATTGGTTTGAACCCCTAAACCCTCTGGAAATTCAATTATAATTAGCTTCACAATTTTTTTTACAAATTTGACTTACAAGTCTCCCTCACCTTGCTCTCTCCTCTAAAGAGCCTCTCAAGGGCTGTCACCAAGATTTCAAGTTGCCGGGTAAATACAACAAGTAGGCGAGAAATCAAACAGGTGGGGGTTTCTTATAGTTCTATTTTTCTTGTATTTTCCTATGAAAGTAGCCGGGGGCCACATTCATAGTAGAAGGGGAAAACCTCTACCTCAACCCTCATGACAGCCCTGGGCTCTCACTGGGTATTTCATTAAAAATAGAATAACAAAAAAATAGTAAGCACACGGTGGATGGTGGGAGGAGAGATATGGCTTTCCTCTTTCCATTGTTCCCTGCGCACTTTCTTTTCTCCCTCTCCTCCCAGCCTCCCTATGACACGAAGAGGCCCACACTGCGAAGGAGAGATCTCCCCTTAGAGCCGCCATTAACACTCCATAGTGTTAATGGACAACAGCATGTTCAATTGTCAAAACACAAGACATGTTGACATGCAAGCTTATTTTCCATGCTTTCAGTACCCAAAGTTGGTCTCATACCTTGAATCAGACATGCCAAGATCTTTCATGATCACACTGCACTCTACCGTATACTCATCAATCATCAATACTAGCACTAATATGTAAGACACAAGTTTATCCTTGAGTCTTTTTGGAATTGCTCTGCAAAAGTAAATAAAAAAAATTCATTTCATCATGTAAATAAGGTTTGTGCTCACAAAAAAATGCTTCAGCACAGAGTATCAAAAGTTGCAATTTTCCATCAAATTGCAAATGGAGAGAGTTCATGTTCTGATTCAGATTCCACTGGCTCGTTAATTATTAATCCTACCTGAATTTTCCTTTCTGCAGTGAAAACATGGACAAGAGTTTCTTCTGTATAATGTCAGGCATTCCATACAGAGGATCTATAAAATGAGAAAAAATGACCCAGGCTCATGAGGTTGCAGTCAACTTTTTTTGGCTGCAAGCACAGTACACTAATCTTTGGGTCTCCTCTGGTTGCTTGGGTGTCCTGTTGCTATTTAGGGATTTCAATCTCAATTTTTGTTGGTAACAATGATTCTTAGCAGAAATGGTCAGCAGTGACATCGTAACTTACTTTCAAACACTCTTATCGCCTCAACCTGAATTTTGCCAAGTTTTACACATTGGAGACCTTTAGATTCTAAGACGAGAAAGACTATCCAGTTGCTTTAAATTCTTTACTTATGTTAATGTTTATTTGTTATTTTTTCAATCTGTGTCATATGTAAACCGAGCTGAGTGAAATATATCTTCTTGTCTTCTTCTTCTTCTTCTCACGAAACTGTCACTAGTGTAAACATTCATTAGTTGTAACATATGCATATTGCATTTGTCCAAAAGCAGTAAAAAAATTTTACGGGAAAAACACAGCACACAGCGAAAAAAAGAAAACTCAAACCAAATGCTCTCTCCAAAGTCAGCGGGCTATTTTTTGGTTTTGCAAGCACATGGTTTTTGCTGGACATTCAGTAAGTGTGCTGTTGTCACTTGTCACGATGTGTCACAACAAAGTATCTACATCTCTTTTGATGGTTGCTGAAGTACGCTAACAGACTATTCATCGCCAGTAAGCACACGTCCTCTCAGAAGAAAATTTTTTAGAAATTAAAATGCCAAAAAGCTTTTAAGTTAAATCTCGTCCTGGTGGTCCTCCTTGTCCTTGAATCTAAAGGTCTCTACTATAGCGCACGCAAACAGTCTCAAATTATTGGTATGACTGTAAACTGGCCACTAAAGACCCAAATCACAAGGAACTCACGATTGTATGACTATGTGTATTGTTCGGTCCAAAGCATTCACCTTTTTTCTTCAGATCCTGATAGTTCAAGCCATATAATGTTATCATGTATGATAAATATAAGAGGCAACATGACTGGTGGAGACGTTGTGAAGGATTGATGGACATCACTTCTAAGTGCCGCAAAATATACTCTGGGAACCTACAAGTTAACATAAAAAGGCAAAAGTAAATATCATTTCATAAGAAGGTTGAGGATGATCTTCTGGGTGAACGTAGTTTGGAATAGGACTGTTGTTGTTGACAGTGACTGACATTTCGACAACCTGTGCAGTAGTCATCTTCAGAGTCAAAGTGAGTTGTATCTATCACGTCAGTTGATGTTATTAAACTCTGGTTATTGACCTGACTGATCGATTAAGTCGCGATGTTATTGGTCATCTGTCGGTTAAGCTGTGATGTTACAGTAAATAGTATGATGTAAATATCATAATCATTGCTATATAATATCATATTATATATCTTTGGCACACAAAATTTCCCACGCTGCATTAGCTGCAAATATGTACTTCGTACCTTCTTTGATTTCTCCATGTGCTTATTGTATCTCTGTCTGCATTTTTAAGTTCCAGCGATTTTTTCTGCAAAACTTCATATTCCAAAGGAGTTATAACTTCAATAAGTCAAGGAACGTTGACAAGTTTACTACAGAAAGTTGTGTTGATCTCAACATAAAATGCTATTAACATTTTGCTAAAATGAAACAAAGATCTGGTGCTAGAATTTTGTTGATGAATCAAGAGGAAGTTCACACACACTCTAAAGCACTGTTATCTAAGTTACATCATTCTATGGACAGTATCAGGACTAACCTAACCACATAGCTAACCATATAGTCTAGGGCAAATTTTCATGATTACACACAACAACTTGGGATTCCCAGCATAAGTTTGCCATGTATTTCAGACAGTAAAAGCAGCTTAACAGGTCAAAGCCACTAATGTTCTCTATAGGAAACGAGTAATGGAGAATATGACTATAACAAACATTTTGTACATAATTTGAAATTTGAAAAGGATACTATCATCTAGTTTGTAGACATCAGCAGGAGTTGCCGCACTAGCATTAAATGGAGGAATGGATGAGTACTGTTCTTCCATGCCATCTGCAATCAGTAAAAAATGGATAAAATCAGGGGCAACAGGAAAATACATAAATCACCCCAGGTATAAAGGGGAGTCGGAATCCAGAACGCGAGAAAATTTTCTTATGGAAATTATCCAGAATACAGGCCTTTGGAAGCTGTAATAATCAGCTCAAAGAATCCAAAATCCAGTGCCTGGATCCAGAATCCACGGCATAGAATCCAATCCATAGAATCCAGAAAGACAGTCTAGGATTTCCTAGCATGGGGTGACAAAAAGCTATAAAAAGGAATCTATGTATGCTGCACAAGAAAACTTCTGACACCTTTTGCTAAATATTGCAAAAAAGATAATATTTCAGCATGACCATGCTCATTTAAACACTTGTCAAGCTGAGTCATGTGCCTGATTAAAATTATTGTATTTATCATCTAGAAACTGTATTAATCCGGAACATCAAAATTTAGACCTGTTTTATCCATTGGTTCATTTGCCAGAGCCTGTACAACTTCATTCACTGTGTCATCCAGCCCTGTATTGTCAATTTTATTTCGCAGTCGAGATGCCATGGCTCTTTTCTTTTTACTGCTTCCAAACGCTTCTGTGAGAAGATCATTCTACAAAATAGTAGTGAGCAGATTATTACTGAAAGACAAAAATATCTTTTGAATTTCAAGTAAGAAACAGCTTAGAGACACATGTTTTGGAGGTTAAAAAAGTGGTACATTTAACAATAAAAATGAGCGAAAAGATTTTAACACAACATTTTGATGTCAACATAACATTATTATCAAGTGACAAGATAAAAAATGAAAATCTGCCATAATGTTACATATACAGGTTAAAGTGACAAAACAAACTAAAGAACAAAAGTGACATCAGGTAAGAGTGTTTTTTGTAACAAAACGTTTTATAACAGATCCATGATGACAAAAATGCCAACAAAAAGTTATTGACATTTTGAATATAATGTTAGGACGAGTTCAATTCCTATCTTTTTATCCTTTTGAATCACTGGTTATTTACCTTTTCAATGTAAGAGAGTTCCATCTTATTGTCTTGTTCTCCTTCTGTGTGGTTTAACTCAGTATCAACTGCACCAATGAAAACAATATTAAGGGGACACAATATTCATGAGTATGCATATCCCTATATAACATAAAAAGCTTTTTCCTGCTACAAAACATTTACAGGAAAAAAAAACAGTAAAAAGAGCCTTTTTTTGCCACCAAAAGATGCAAGTATCTACAAGCTGGAAAATACTACATATATTGGAATATTTTCTTTCATCCATTTTTCTAGTATTTACAATAATAATGAATGCTAATGAATTTCTAGAGTTCGTTGCCTATATTCTTATTCTCAAACATTGCCAGTCAAAAATGTATAAATAATTATGTTACAGGTGAAAATTAAATTCAGGTTAAAATATTTTAACCTGGGTCGATTCTGAATTTTCTTTGTTTTCTAGCTCTAATAATATTATTCGTGAATTAGGGCTAAGAGACACAGGAAATTGAGAATCAAACCTAGGTTTAAAAATTTTAACCTGAATTCAATTGTGACCAGTAAAATATATTCAAACATGCCAATTTCCCATTGATGAACTTCCCCCTCTATTTTTGGGTACATATATTTAACGACTCAAAATCACTATGATACAATAATGTGGTTTACTTGTTTTATCGTACCCCCTTTACTGAGCACAGAACTACTGAGAGAGGATGGGCATGAGCAGGACTTAGGTTCTGTACAAGGTAGAGCCCCTACCCATCACAGATAGACAACTGGAGTGATCCCATGCAAATCAGAAGCAGGTGAAGTGAGACTGAAAAGATTAAAGTTAGGGTTCAAGTTAAAAAGACCTATACATTCAACTGTCTCTTAACCAGGGCTTCTGATAGGTCGTGGAAAGAAAAGCCAAATGTTGCCGGATTTTCAGGACAAATTTGTGGAAAGATCTGCCGATTTCACAGGATTTTTGCGGGAATTTTCAGGAGCAAACTTTGCCAAAAAACAATTGGTAAAAATAGCCAATTTTGAGGGAATTTCCGGCACAAATTTTGTTAGAAATTGACAATGTAGACACCTCTTTAAGACGGACAGTCAGGGCTGGTCCCGAAGATGTCTCTCTTAGAGAGAGATGACTGTAGTCACATCCCCCAAACCTACAAATCGAACCCTCTGATAGTTTACCTAGAACTTTAGGCTGTAGTGTAATCATCTCAGTGTCATACATCTTCATCACCTCTGTTCTTGAATTGTAAACCCCAAGGACATATCTACAAATCAAACAAACCCTCTGTTTATAAAACAAACATAACATATACAGGTAGATATTTTTTATCTCAGAAAAAAAGTAAAAGCCTGGGTGACATTTCTCCTAAGAAGGATCACTGTCACTGAACACTTATCTTTTTTAACAGGATAAAAATAAAGAAAGAAAATAAGAAATCTATAAAAATAACAACATTCATTTGTAATAGTACTCACTTGCACAATGTGTTAGATCTAGCAGATTCTCCAAAGTTTTGACCAGCATACTCCATTTTGTCCGTCTCAGCAATCTAAAAAACAATGCTAATAGTGAGCTGAGTTTCTGGACAAATGGGGCCTTTTTAGTTTTTTTTTTAGTTGAAACAACTTAGCTATAAAACTGAAATTTCCATGGGGGTTTCAGAGAAGTTTTTTCCTCTCTTGAACAGAACAGGATGATGATGATGGTTCAGCTGAAGGCAGTGATGATGAGCAGTTGCAGAGGAATGATGATGATGATGATAATAATAATGACTAAGACAATGACGAGATCAATGACAAAAACAAAGATGAAGATGACGTCGACAATGATGATGATGATGATGATGATGATGATGATGATGATGATGATGATGAGATTGATGATGCTGATCATTGCAAGAGCTTTCTTTAGCAGCATGCCCCTTTGTCGAATTTAAAATTGTCTGGGAACAATTTTTAGCAAAAGGAGATCAGAAATGACAACTGAAAGAAAAGAAAAATTTCCAAGACCTTACACAAATAGTATAAAAGCATCAAAAAGGAAAACAATACCACACACACATTTCACTTGGTTCCACTCACCAGAGTTCTTCTCTTCTTCTTCTTTTCATCAGTATGGTCGGCCCATCGATAACAGGCAAATTTGATTTTTTTGTTATCTTTCTTGCCAGATCTCAAGTTTGCATTTGTGAAATGTACTGCATAAAAGAATTGGAATGGTCAACCGAAATCTATCTATCTATCTATTGTCTATGGGACAAGTGGCACAAACTCAGCACGTTTTATACAAAAGCAAAAAGAAAGCACAATTAGCCGACTATCTCTTGACAAAATTTTTTCTAAAGGTTGCTCACAAATAAGTCTAACCAATAAAAGGCTTGACACCACACGAAGAAGAATCACTCTGAACGTATTCTAGTCTTGCAGTCGCCATCTTGGATGTTTCTGCACATGAGGTTCGGTCGATTTCTTACGTACAATTTGATTGGTCACTCTCGCTTATTTTAGCCAATCAGAAACTTGTCTTTTATATGTCATCAACCGCCGTCTGATTGCGGGCGTTTTTCAATTTTTTTTCCGGTCTGGGATTTGTTTATCACGAAGCTTGTGTTTATAATTTATTGTATTCCGATGTAAGCCGCAAAACACAGGTTACCTTGTGAATTTGGCATGAATTATTGATATTCTGGATAGAGATACCTTCGGCTGTTTCACACTTTTTCGCAAAATGTGGCGACTGAACTATAGAAATTGAACGCACAGGACATGTCGATTCAGATTCAAACGACATCTGCGGTCGATGACGATTTTCTGGAGCTGAAAAGTCGTCTTGAGGTTAGTTTAGCAATATAATTCTTTGAATGTATTGTATAATTAATTTTATATTATCATTTCAGAAGAAGAAATCTCGGTCAGTTCGCCTAGGTTAAATATAAAGCTTAAAGCTGAATCTCGTGTTTTCGGGTTAATTCGGACACAAAGTTATCTTGTCAAATTTTTGTAGGATTTGTCAAATATCTTAGAAACAGGAAACTTAATTAACCTGAAGTTGTTCAACATATCATTTTGTTTCTTTTTTCTTTCATTTCCTTGCAGCCACTTTTTGAAGCAGAACCTTTAAAGGTATTCAAATAACTTATTTTTTCTTATGCTTATTCCCCGAATTATTTTCAAAACACAGCAAGATATTGCATCTAGATTACTGTTTTTATGCTATCGCACTAAAGTACTTTAATATTATTATGTTACCTGTTGTCATTTCTTCAGTTCATTTGCATAATATTGACCAAGAACAAAAACTTTGTTAAAAAAAAAATTAATCTCCCATTGCAAATCCAAATTCTAGAAAACATGGTCAAATATTCTATGTAGTTCAATAAAAGGCGGCTTTTGACTGACATTTATCTATAAATTTTATTCTCTTTATGGTAGATAATTTAAGAATTGATTTTAAAAGCGACGTTAGGCTGGAAATGGACTAACTCAGAAATCATGTGAATATGTTTCTTTTGTGCAGGTTACAATGGACTTTGTAAATTTGGTAACAGCTGAATATAAATCACTGTTTGTCACTTTAATAAAAATCCCAATGCAATTTTCATGCAGTAATTCAAAAATATTGTTATAGTAATTCTGCCTTCAATTGGCACACCTAAATAATGGTCAGAGTTAAAAAATTCACTATTAAGATATAAAAAGATAGTGTTTTAAAAGAAATGGTTGTCCTCCAACCTCATTCCCAGAACTGTTACCCTTAGATCCCACCCCTCCCACTTTCCACTCTAACTGTACTCCTAAGACCTACATTTACCATTTTACGAGAAGTTGCATGAGTGGGGAGGGGTTAGCCTGCGAGTAAGCTCTCTAGGCGCTCTGGCGACATGGCGGGAAAAGGAAGGAGACCTTGCAACTATGTGTCTGAAATTTGAATATCTGTATTAAAAAAGTTCATGCGAAATGTTGATTGGTGGAGATGACATTAGTAAAGACGTATTACCCTTGGCACATGTTTTTCAATGTTTGTTTACATTTGCGCTCATTTCTGCTTGGCGCTGATTGGTGGAAATCTGACAGCTCAGTCGACGGGAAGCCACAGGGGAATTGGAGGTGGAATTCAAATTCCAGAGAGGTAGTTTCAAGCTCTCCTTCCTTTTCCTGACCTCAGAGAGCTTGCTTGCAGGCTCAGTCGGGAGGGGTAAGCATGTTTGAAATGGAGCTTATCAAGAAGGGGAGCTGTATAGGTTGTGTGGGGGTATGTAATTTAACAAAACACAGTGCTCATAGCAAAGAGCAGCAAAGAACATAGAGACACTGCATGGTACAGTTAAACTCTGTTTTAACAACCCCCACTGATACTACCCTTTCATTATTATAGCAAAATTAGCTCAGCACTAACTTTAAAAAATGCAGCCATGTTCATTTTTTAAAACCTAGGTTTTTGCATGACCCAGTACGTACTCCAGTTCCTGTTGTAGATGATGGAAATGACTGTCTGACATAGTGTTTTGAGTGAAATCATATTATTAAAATGGTTATATACTTGGATCAAATGTCAAGCATTAACCAGTATACTAATATTGTAGTCTTTTGGTTTATTAGTCTGACTGTAAAAACTTTGATAACACAGGAGGTAGTGCTAAGTTTAATTGAGTGAGGGAAAGGCATACAAAACAGATATATTATTTTATCTATAGGCTCAGAGTGATGCCTGCCTGAGGCGCTTTTTAAGGGCTTTTCAGGATGTTGATGAGGCATACAGTGCGTTGATCAAGTACGTTGACTGGAGAGAGGAATATGGAGTAAACTGTCTGAGTAGAGGTGATGATGACATTGAAGAACAACTGGCCTTAGGAAAAGCAGAAGTGCTGGACTTTCCAGACCACAGGGGAAGGTCAGATTTGAACCACAACATAAATTTCTGATATATTTTAAGTTCAAAAATGGGATTTTTGCGTAAGGAAAAAATCCAATTCCCAGTAAAAGTAACACAGATTCTTTTTTACTGTGCTTACCTAGACCTATTGTCCTAGTGACTGTCAGAAATCATGATGCAAGAAGCAGAGATCTGAATGTTCTCACCAAGTTTATTATTTATATCCTGGTAAGTGCCACACAAGTTAAAGATATAAAAATTGTAGTGGAGATTCTATGGTGAACAACTTAACTATTTTAGTACATGTTATTGCGAAACTTATCACATACATTTGAACTTTTAGGAGGAAGCAACTAGAAAGTGTAACGAGGATGTTATTGACAACCTTTGCATTACGTTTGATTTAAAGGTATGAGGATTTAAACTAGGCATGGTAACTGTGACGTACTCACAGTATTTGTCTTTTATGGAAGTCAGAGATAAGCATGTAGATAACCCAAACAACAGCATCATTTTTTAAATCTAAAGTTAATATAAACCTTTTTTATCTTGTTCTTCAAAAGTACATTATTTGGAGTATAACGCTGGTTTGTTTTGTGTTTCCAGAGATGGCCCAACCCTTCAACAAATGCCTGGGGGATGGGGGGGGGGTGGGGGTGAACTCCACCAATCTCACTTCCCTTAGGTCTTTCCCAGGCACCCAAATGTCAAGTGACCTATTGAACTGAATTGGTCCAATTTTAACCTTGAGTCTTCATTCCTTCCCAGGGATTTTCATTAAGCAACATGGATTATGGTTTTGTGAAGCAGTTAATTTGGCTGCTGTCCAGGAGATATCCAGAGAGACTTGGAAAATGCCTGATTGTAAATTCTCCATTTATTTTTACTGGGTGTTGGGCCCTCATCAGACTGTGGTAAGTTTCAAGATCATGCTGCATCCTCTTATGCAGACATTCAATCGGTCTAAAAAGTCATCTGTGTTGTTTAACCGTGACAAAAGATAGATTGAAATGCACCAATCACTTTTGGAGTCTTCATAAACAATACTGACAGAAGACCTATAAAGTCACAACATAATTGACCAATCAGGTCAACAACCAGAGTGTAATACATGTTTATAAGCCCTTTTTTCCACTAATGTACTGGCTAATTATAAAAGACAAAAGAACAACTAAATATACCATCTATATTATGGAATAAGGTTGACGTAAATGAGGCTTTAAGAAAGTGCCGTCTAGTTGTCCGCGACAGCTGGTGGAGTTTCCTACCAGGCGAGTAACTTTTCCTTTACACTTGCCTGAAGAGCAAACACCCAGGCAGTTCATATGCCAACTTAATTGTTAAAAAAGGTAAATTAAGACTTCCCTAGGGCAAGGAAAGTTTGGAGACCTACGAGCTGCTCGTCCTAATGGCTGTGTACACACTGGTGACTTTTCAAGCAATTCTATTTGTTTGGTTCTAGGTTGCATGAAGTGACATCCAGCAAGATTGTTTTTATCAAGAGTAAAGACCATTTGGCAGAGTACATTCCTCTTAATGTTTTGCCAAATTCTCTTTTCTAAATAATTGGCACTTCATTTAATATCCTTTCTCTGCCATCTATAGTTTCAATTCATGGTGCTCAGTTGAACTGAAATTTATTGTACATGCAAAATTCACAATATGATAATTAAGCTTGCAATACAATATTATTGGAAGTATTCTTAACCCATACCAACAGGATCTTATTGTATTAATAGGTTATACTATTAAGACATTGATATTTAGTGATGTCTTTTACACAAGCATGGCAAATGAAATCCACCTGTGAGTTAACCTGTATAAATTGTAGTGACAATTACCTTCTAAGAAGAAATAGGCAAATAGCAATAATATTGGAAGTGTTTCATAAATTTTGGTTTTAATATTATTATAATTTTATTTGTTAATAAAATGCATCTTTCCAGTTTTTTTGTACAATTTAAATACAGAGATTATTTCGTAAATTTGCAAGGGCTTTAGTTTGAAGTCTGTGGTCTGCCTTTCAGTAACAGCAAGTGAAGTTACTGGTAAGAAAGCTACAATAGTGTATATTTAAAAAAGGGAGTCTTCTCAGTGTTTAGTGGGAAATTCTAATGGATTTATGTAGGAAGACAAATAATTTCAAATAAGCTGTTTTTTCTCCAACCTTTATGCATCATTATAGAATCTTAACTGATTCTTGAAATCAGCACATTAACTCTAGTGAAAACAGGTATTGATGGACATTCCATCGTAATGAAATGCAGTTTTACGTCACTCTACTTTTAAAGAAACTTTTTTATTTATCAGTTTCTCACTCTATTTTCAACTATTAACAATGTAGCAGAATTAAGGGCTGTGCTCAAGTAGTGCCTGGTGACGCCTGGCAGCTAACTTTTGCTCTTGTTTAATGAGGAAATCCTTAGCTTTTTCAAATAAATCCTATCCTGGACACCCTGGGTTTCTCAGCTTTAGAGCACACGGCTACCTTCAACTTTTCTTAGAGTACAGCCTTGGAATTGCTGCACTTAATCAATTAGACACGAAACATACAGAGTCAACACTGCTACACCTTTTAGCCAATTTCTTAATAAACGTTTTCATCTACTTATTTAATTATTTATTCATTTATTTATCTGTTAGTTGCAAAACTGTGTGTAGTGAACTGTATACGTAGGTGGTTAGCACACATTGAAAATAAATCCTCCTTTGACAGCCATACTTGCTGAGATATGAAATCATTGCAAAGACTAATACGAAGTAATTACAAATCATAGGCAAATAAAGATCTCGGAAACACTCTATAAACATCCCACCAACACGTTATAGGCCCAGGGTGGATGACCAGCTTGACCAACACTCACAGTTTTATATAACCACTCAGGAGGAAGTGCAACCTTTCAGATATCATACTCACTTCTGAGAAGGAAATCAGGGAACTAAATTTGCAAAAAACACAATTTTAGGTTTCACAATATAAGATAAGAAAAGATAAGACAATTTATTTAACGTCAGATACACAGGGACTGGTTACTCAGTCTCCAGAGCAGGAGACTCATGTGAAGTGCGTTTGACAGTTATTAAAATGAAAAAAGCAAGTTAGTATACAAGCACAAGGTTTATTCTACAAAGATAAATCTTACTTTCTTTGATAAATTCAGTGTAAAAGGGGTTAATACAAAGAAACTAGCAAAACTAGAAAATTGTTTTCAAAGTGACCTATCCTAGTGTTTCAACATTTCAGAAATGTATACACTAAACATCTCACATTAAAATATCATGTTTTAACAAACATTCTAAAATATTCTAACATCTATATTTCCTGTTTATCTAAATCTACAATATATTAGTAAACAAGTTCATTGCTGGTGTGAACAGCAAGTATAGTGCTTACTAAAATTCCAGTCTCATAACTTTACAAAATTTAATCCGGTCTTTTCACTACTTAAAAGACAAGAAACCTAACCTGTCAACCTCTTTTATGAGTTGGTGGGTTCTTGTAATGACATGAATATTTTTGTTTTGTAGAAAGGGTAAGATGGATTTAAATCCTTTATAGTAGTATTTTTTTGTTGTTTTCTATTTTCTACAATGTCCAACAAGGTTTACAACTTAATTAACAAAGCTTCACAAATTAAGTCAGCTGGTTCTGTTTTGATCCATGTATGACCTATTCAGTGCAATCAAACAGTATTACAGTGTGATTGGGAAAACCGTCAATGCTTGAAATATCTCAGGAATGTTTATTGTGTTATGACTAATCACAGCAAAGATCAGGACATGTGAACCAGCCACAAAAACCCCAAACTAATGAACGTTCTTCCATGCGGTTCAGTTTTCTCATGCCTGATTGGCCTTTTTCTTGCAACACAATAACATTCCAGAAATATCTCTGGTGTTCATGGTTTTCCCAGTTTGACTGTAACACTGCAGTTTCCATGTATGGGTCAATGAAATTTCTCAGTTTTTAAAGTGTTCACACTGAATTCACCATCTACTATAGGATGTACAGTCCCATTTAAAATAGGAGTTGTCACAAACTCAACAAAACAAGTTTCAGGAGATTCACAGGGAGCACCATCCAACTCCAATAATACAACACTGGCAGTTTTCTGCTTGAGTGATATCACATTTGCTGGTACAAACAATGTGACTTGTGGACCAATCACAGGCCAGTAACGACCCAAATTAAAGCCATTTACAAACACTTGCCCTTTACTCCATCCAGGCAGGTGAAGAAATGTGTCATATGAGGAATTTACGAAGAATTCGCCATGAAAAAATGTAGGCGCAAAGCTGTTAGTAAATAACTCCTTTTGGTGTTGCTCAATGTTAAGATAGCCATCGGTAGCTGAAAAGAGATTGTCTAAGTTTATAGGATATGTCTTCCAATTGACAAGAACTGCACCATTTATTGTAACATTACCAATGATCCCTTTAGGCTCAGCGTGACCTTGATTGGCTCTTCCCATATTTTCCACCAAAACATCAAGCTGCAACTCATTCTGAATTATGAGAGATGCAGTCTGATCTTTAGGATCACGGTACATGGTAGCTTGACGAATTTTTCCCACATACACAATGGCACGGTCACGTGCTAAGCTAGTGATATTCAAGACAACTGTCGACTGAGCAAACTCTGCAGGAATTTGTGTTTGGTAAAGAATGAATCCATAGCTTTGTCCAATTTGTTCCATGGTTAAAGGAAAGGTTGAATTTACAGGGCCTTGGGAAGCAGAAAGCTTTGGCACAGCATCAAGGAAGGTTGAAAGTTGTGTCATTTGAACTTTACCATATGCAAACTTTGTCGTGTTTGGTGGGATGGGAATCTCGGGTATTTTCTCGTACTTGGCAATTGTCTCTCGCAGGACATGAAATTTTGTAGTTGTATCACCAGCTTCTGTCAAAGGTGCATCATAATCATAACTCGTAATGCTCGTCAGTAAAGTTTGATGGTAACGTCCACCGTTCATGTAACCAAAGTTAGTTCCCCCCATGTACATGTAAAAGACTACAGATACATTCATTGCCAGCATTTTGTCAAAGGTCTGATCAACTCTCTGTGCAGATCTGGTTTGATGAGGTACACTCCACCGATCCAACCACCCTGGGTAATACTCAGTGACTACCAAGGGTCCCCTGGGGGCAAACTTCCGCTTTGCTACAGATGCCCTATCTAAATTAGCTCCGGAACCAATGTCCAAAGTGGGATACAGAGAAGGGATAGTACCACACTTTAATAAAGACTCACGGGCGCCATTGTTTGAAAAAAGAATAACATCATTGCCAAGGTATTTACGAAACAACTCTTCAAGAAACTTCAAATAGTTCAGATCACATGCGCTGTAATACCCATACTCATTTTCAACTTGGACTGATATGATTGGTCCCCCATTTGAGTACAGCAATGGCTTCATCATGGGCAATAGCACGCTCAGCCAGGACTCTGCATACGATAGGTATTGCTTGTTGTCCATGGTTCTTAAGGAAATCGATGAGTTCTTCATCAATAACCACGATGGATACCCGCCATTTTCCCACTCAGCGCAAATATAAGGTCCGGGTCTGAGAATCACTAGAAGTCCAACGCTGTTCGCGAGTTCTATAAAGCTCACAAGATCTGCATCGCCTTTGAAGTTGTACTGGCCATGAACTGGTTCGTGAATATTCCAAGCGACGTAAGTCTGGACTGAGTTTAAACCGCCTGCTTTCATTTTCATGAGCCTGTCTTTCCAGTACACGCGAGGAACCCTGAAATAGTGAAAGCACCCAGCGATGTAACGAAAGGGTTTACCATCTTTGAGAAAGCAGTTGTTCTCGTAATCTATAACAAAAGATCTTGACTCGGAGTACTTGAGAGCACACAAAAAAATTAACACAACAATCAGCAGTCCCGACACTGTAGCCATTTTGCTGAGCTCTTCGCGTGTTTTAAAACACAATCGTTTTGTCCATCTAATATATGCATAATTTCCGATACTTAATAATGTCACAAGTCGGTCACATGAGTTGTACACCCGCCAAATCGTGTTGATTCTCAGTTTTCTTCTACGAGCCCCTTCTCGTAACACTATGAAACATGGTATGTCACGTTCGCAGTAGCCTCTAACCCAGGCCTGTTATCGTCTATTTTAACACCTATACTGACGTGCCACCGGTCACGCCTTAGACACGCCTACCTCAAAAGCCTTTATACAGCCCCCTCCTCTCAGGAAAAAGTCAGATAAGGGGTTCTTTTACCGTTTTTTCCTCAGGGAAGAAAGGCTAACGGGGCCGGGGGCATATATGGTAGGGCAAAGAAATCCCTGACGCAATGAAAGTCGGTGTGCGCGAATCATCAAAATACCTCTTGAGTTCTGCCTTTTAGTCAAAATGACCCACCTTGCGTCTTTCTTCTGGTGGTGTTGAACAAAAAAAAACGAAGAAAAGCGGGTCACCAAAATACTCCATATACGTTTGGGGTATCTGTAAAAATCCAAATAGTCATAGCCAGAAAAAAATTTAAATGAAAATTTAAAGGTTCAAATTTTCACTGGCGATCATGCCCCATGACACTCCTACAAAAACTTCAATCAGTGGTAACGTCAACTGTTATTGATGGCCTCTAATTGTCTATTTTTAAATAATAAACAACTGAGATGATAACACTGTTAGCAGAGATTTCTTTCCTGCATGGTTTTTGGCATCTGTATAGTTATCGAGTTATTCAAGCCATTGATATTCCTGTAGTTGGCTTGTTCATGTTCCTGTAAACAAGCCAACTATGTGAATGTTGACCTGACTTTTTATTTTTCACTTTCTTCTTAAAATGTAAAAATAGGTCATCGCAACATAAACATCAAATATATATTTAGGACTAAATAGTGGGATCACTTTATATCACAGGAATGCCCTTCAAATCCCACCAGCCTTCCTCCTCCACTGCCACATAAAAGTAATGATACCTAGCAAAGCTGTGTTTACACACTAACCATTTTTTCGTTCCCAGAAAAATTTGTCAAGAAAACTTGCTTTATTGAATAGGGCTTTCGTACAGGTTAAAACACTGAACATTTTTATTTGTAACCTTTTATTAGGCTTTAGTTTGAAGTCTGTGGTCTGTCTTTAACAGCAAATGAAGTTACTGGTAGGAAAGGTAGTATTTATGTAAAAAAAGGGAGTCTCAGTGTTCTCCCCAGGATCTGGGGAAGGCCAGGGGGTATTCTGACAAAATCCTAATCTAGTATAATACAAAATAAAGACTTGCAAAATTCGCAAGAGTGAAGTGTCATGCTGTCTAGGAAGTCAGGCGCGGATCAACACCGGTTTCCACCGTTTTACGGAAATCGGTCAGATTTTTCATAATAAATGTATTTTTAATAAAAAAAAGTTTCGAGGATGAAATCTGGAAAATGCATTGGACAAATGCTTTATCCGAGGAGAATGGAACTGGTCAATATCCCACCTGAATGACACAGAAACCCAGGAAAGGGGACTTGAGGGAGTTAAAAAATTTCCTGGGGGAGCATGCTCCCGGACCCCGCTGGACGCTTCGGCGCTTGTTTAGGAAATCGGTCAGTATTTGTCCTAGATCCGCGCCTGGAAGTAGCCGTTAACCTCCTACATTTTTAAGCCCCCCCCAAGAAGTCCGCTGCTTTCTCCAAGTCGAATTACTCTAGCTTTGGTCCTTCAATAGAAATAATGAAAAGGTTATTCAAGATCCTGTTGCTCAGTCTATTCCGCAGTCATTTTTGGACAACCTTCTGACGCACGTGGAAATTTAGTTTAGTATTCCACTCTGGTATTCCATGTAATATCCCTTGAAGTGTCTTGAATTTATCGCTAACCAAGCTTGTTCAACGAAACGAGCAGACAATATCGTGACAGGTTTCATGGATGGGTAAATGATGTAAAACCTTATCAATCGCGAGAAAAAGCAATGAAAAAACACTGGGCAATGTTTCAGTATCTTTATTGAGTGTTTTTTTTTCTTTACTTATGGACAGGATCCCAGTTGCAGATGTTTAACTACATAAGGTTTCTTCAGTTTTAAGCCAGGCGGCAACGATTTTCCTTGGCACCTAACTTTTGCTCTTGTTCAATGAGGAAATCCTTCGCTTTTTCAAAGAACTGTTATGCTGGACACCCTAGATTTATCAGGTTCTGAGCACCCGGCTACCTTCAATTCGTCTTGCACCTTTTAGCCAATTATTTCTTAATAAACGTTTTCATTTACTTATTTACTTATTTATTCATTTATTTAGTTGTTGAGCGAACTAAATTTACAAAAAACACAATTTTAGGTTTCACAATTGAGATAAGAAAACATAAGGCGATTTATTTAACGTCAAATACACAGGCAGTACGGTGGTTAACTCAGTCTCCCCAGCAGGTGACTCATGTGAAGTGCGTCTGACAGTTATCAAAACGAAAAAAACAAGTTACTATACACACACAAGGTTAATATTTCTAAAAAGATGGATCTTACTTTCTTTGATAAATTCAATGTAAAAGGGTTTAATACAAAGGAAACAGCAAAACTAGAAAATTGTTTTTAAATTTTTAAGTGATCTATGCTAGTGTTGCAACATTTCAGAAATGTATACACTAAACATCTCACATTAAAATATCATGTTTTGAAAAACATTCTAAAATATTCTATCTATATTTCCTGTTTATCTAAATCTACAATATATTAGTAACCAAGTACATTGCTGGTGTGAACAGCAACTATAGTGCTTACTAAAATCCCAGTGCAGTCTCATAGCTTTACAAAATTTAATCAGGTCTTTGAACTGCTTAAAACGACAAGAAACTTAACCTGTCAACCTCTTTTTTGAGGTGGTGGGTTCTTGTAATGACATGAATATTTTTGTTTTGTAGAAAGGGTAAGATGGATTTAAATCCTTTATAATAGTATTTTTTGTTGTTGTTTTCTATTTCCTACAATCTCCAACAAGGTCTAAAACTTAATTAACAAAGCTTCACAAATTAAGTCAGCTGGTTCTATGTTTTGATCCACGGATGACTTATTGAGTGCAATCAAACAGTATTACCCTGTGATTGGGAAAACCGTGAACACTTGAAATATCTTAGGAATGTTTATTGTGTTATGACTAATCACAACAAAGATAAGGACACTAGCCACAAAAACGACAAACTCATTAACGTTCTCCCATGCGGTTCAGTTTTCTCATGCCTGATTGGCTTTTTTCTTGCAACACAATAACATTCCAGAAATATCTCTGGTGTTCATGGTTTTCCCAGTTTGACTGTAACAATGCAGTTTCCATCTATGGGTCAATGAAATTTCTCAGTTTTTAAAGTGTTCACACTGAATTCACCATCTACTATAGGATGTACAGTCCCATTTAAAATAGGAGTTGTCACAAACTCAACAAAACAAGTTTCAGGAGATTCACAGGGAGCACCATCCAACTCCAATAACACAACACTGGCAGTTTTCTGCTTGAGTGATATCACATTTGCTGGTACAAACAATGTGATTTGTGGACCAATCACAGGCCAGTAACGACCCAAATTAAAGCCATTTACAAACACTTGCCCTTTACTCCATCCAGGCAGGTGAAGAAATGTGTCGTGCGAGGAATTTACGAAGAATTCCCCGTGAAAAAATGTAGGTGCAAAGCTGTTAGTAAATAACTCCTTTTGGTGTTGCTCAATGTTAAGATAGCCATCGGTAGCTGAAAAGAGATTATCTAAGTTTATAGGATATGTCTTCCAATTGACAAGAACTGCACCATTTATTGTAACATTACCAATGATCCCTTTAGGCTCAGCCCAACCTTTATTGGCTCTTCCCATATTTTCCACCAAAATATCAAGCTGCAACTCATTCTGAATGATGAGAGATGCAGTCTGATCTTTAGGATCACGGTACATTGTAGCTTGACGAATTTTTCCCACATACACAATGGCACGGTCACGTGCTAAGCTAGTGATATTCAAGACAACTGTTGACTGAGCATACTCTGCAGGAATTTGTGTTTGGTAAAGAATGAATCCATAGCTTTGTCCAATTTGTTCCATGGTTAAAGGAAAGGTTGAATTTACAGGGCCATGGGGAGCAGAAAGCTTTGGTACAGCATCAAGGAAGGTTGAAAGTTGTGTCATTTGAACTTTACCATATGCAAACTTTGTAGTGTTTGGTGGGATGGGAATCTCGGGTATCTTCTCATACTTGGCAATTGTCTCTCGCAGGACATGAAATTTTGTAGTTGTATCACCAGCTTCTGTCAAAGGTGCATCATAATCATAACTCGTAATGCTCGTCAGTAAAGTTTGATGGTAACGTCCACCATTCATGAAACCAAAGTTAGTTCCTCCCATGTACATGTAAAAGGCTACAGATACATTCATTGCCAGCATTTTGTCAAAGGTCTTATCAACTCTCTGTGCAGAACTGGTTTGGTGGGGTACACTCCACCGATCCAACCACCCTGGGTAATACTCAGTGACTACCAAAGGTCCCCTGGGGGCAAACTTCCGCTTTGCTGCAGATGCCCTATCTAAATTAGTTCCGGCACCAATGTCCAAAGTGGGATACAGGGAAGGGATAGTACCACACTTTAATAAAGACTCACGGGCGCCATTGTTTGAAAAAAGAATAACATCATTGCCAAGGTATTTACGAAACAACTCTTCAAGAAACTTCAAATAGTTCAGATCACATGCGCTGTAATATCCATACTCATTTTCAACTTGGACTGATATGATTGGTCCCCCATTTGAGTACAGCAATGGCTTCATCATGGGCAATAGCACGCTCAGCCAGGACTCTGCATACGATAGGTATTGCTTGTTGTCCATGGTTCTTAAGGAAATCGATGAGTTCTTCATCAATAACCATGATGGATACCCGCCATTTTCCCACTCAGCGCAAATATAAGGTCCGGGTCTGAGAATCACCAACAGTCCAACGCTGTTAGCGAGTTCTATAAAGCTCACAAGATCTGCATCGCCTTTGAAGTTATACTGCCCATGAACTGGTTCGTGAATATTCCAAGCCACATAAGTTTGGACTGAGTTTAAGCCGCCTGCTTTCATTTTCATGAGCCTGTCTTTCCAGTACACGCGAGGAACCCTGAAATAGTGAAAGCACCCAGCGATGTAACGAAAGGGTTTACCATCTTTGAGAAAGCAGTTGTTCTCGTAATCTATGACAAAAGATCTTGACTCGGAGTACTTGAGAGCACACAAGAAAATTAACACAACAATCAGCAGTCCCGACACTGTAGCCATCCTGCTCAGCTCTTTGCATGTTTTAAAACACAATCGTTTTGTCCATCTAATATATGCATAATTTCCGATACTTAATAATGTCACAAGTCGGTCACATGAGTTGTACACCCGCCAAATCGTGTTGATTCTCACTTTTCTTCTACGAGCCCCTTCTCATGCCCTCCGGAAATCTCGTTGATTCAGTCATAACACTATGAAACATGGTATCTCACGTTCGCAGTAGCCTCTAACCTAGGGCAAGGGTCGCGTTCAAGGACAAATGTGTTTGGATAGGTGTTTGACCTGTCATCGCTAGCCTCAGACAAGCGCGACCCTTATGTCGCGCTTAGCGACATACGAGCTTCGCAGGACATAAGATCAAAGGATCCGATGTCCTGCCTCGGAGCGGGTTATATCGGGCAAAAGAGGTAAAAAACAATGGAGAGCTGTCAATAATACGTCGACACCAGGTTTGAAGACAGACAGATTTCCTGGTATCTGCAGGGTTTCGCAATATAGAGACTCGACCATACTTTCAGCTCACCATTATGGCGAACAGATATCCAAACGATCCTTTTAACCAGTACTCTCCTTACCAACCCGGGTCTCCATTGAACTTTCCTGGAAGTGGCTCGAGGGAATTTCTCCAATTTCCTGGGTTTTATTATTCTTCAAGTCATGGTATGCAGCAAGGAGCAGAGCAGTTTAATCCCACGGTACAAACGCCATCGCCATCGCTCCTAACTGAGCCATCAAAGCCTGGACCTTCGACTCAGAAGAGCCGCGAGCGTTGGCAAACAAGAGACGAGGCTGTCCTGGTCCAGTTATGGGCCGATAATATCGACCGCCTGGAAAGCAAGGACAGTAGGAAAGCTTGGAATGAAATTGTTAGAGCTTTGAACGATAAACAAGGCATTACAAAAACAGTAGATCAGTGCCAGCGCAAGCTGAAGCACCTCAAGAATCTATACAAAGAAAAGAAAGACTGGAACCGCAAACAAAGTGGGGGAAATATCCAAAAGAGCCCCCACTACGATGCCATAGACGCGGTGCAAGGCTGCAGGGATGTAATAACCTGCATTAAGCTGAGGCAAGTCGGGATCACCACGCCGGAACCAGTGCTAGATGCCGAGCAAACACCAGAAGGACGCTCTACTCCTTCGCCCGCTACCTCCAGTTCGACAAACTCGGAGTCGAGTGCCCAGACCACACGCCGCAAGGAGCGCAAAAACCGACGAAAGCGCACAAGAGCGGCTGAAAGCGAGTCAGAGGAGGAAGGCTTCAGAGATGTAATGAAAAAGCTCTCAGGCGAGGATGACGCCTTGAGTCGAGCCATCGAGGGGATGCAAACCGCCCAGGCCCAACAAAATCTTAACATTTTAACACCTATACTGACGTGCCCCCGGTCACGCCTTAGACACGCCTACCGCCAAGGCCTTTATACAGCCCCCTCCTAGCGGGGCCGGGGGCATACATGGTAGGGCAAAGAAATCCCTGACCCAATGAAAGTCGTTTGAAGCCAGTGTACGTGAATCATCAAAATACCTGTTGAGTTCTGCCTTTTAGTCAAAATGACCCACCTTGCGTCTTTCTTCTGGTGGTGTTTAACAAAAAAAAACTAAGAAAAGCGGGTCACCAAAATACTCCATATACGTTTGGGCTATCTGTAAAAATGAATGAAAATTTAAAGGTTCAAAGTTTCACTAGCGAGCATGCCCCATGACACTCCTACTTTATTATCCTTTCAGCAAAAACTTCAATCAGTGGTAAAGTCAACTGTTCTTGATGGCCTCTAATTGTCTATTTTTAAAATAAAAAACAACTGGGATGATAACACTGTTAGCAGAGGTTTCTTTCCAGTATAATTTTTGACATCTGCATAGTCATTCAAGCCATTGATATTCCTGTACTTGGCTTATTTATGTTCCTGTAAACAAGCCAACTAGACGAATATTGACCTGACTTTTTCACTTTCTTCTTAAAATATAAAAAAAGGTCATCACAACATAACATCAAAACTATTTAGGACTAAATAGTGGGATCACTTTATATCACAGGAATGCCCTTCAAATCCCACCAGCCTTCCTCCTCCACTACCCCATAAAAGTAATCATACATAGCAAAGCTGTGTTTACACACTAAGCATTTTTTCTTGCCTGGAAAAATTTGTCACGGAAACTTGCTTGACTGGATAGGGCTTTTGTAAAGGTTAATACAGTGAACATTTTCATTTGCAAGCTTTTATTGGATGTTCAACAGCATTCATCGTGGTAAAATCCTGCGTATTCTCAAGGCATATGGCATACCTGATGAACTTGTGAACACAATTGTTAAAATGTATTAGAACACTCCGGCACATGTCCTGTCGCCAAATGGAGAAACAGATGGGTTTAAAATCACAGCGGAGGTTTTGCAGGGGAACACTCTTGCCCTATACCTCTTTACAAAAATGTCCTTGACCATGCAATGAGGCAAGGATTAAAAGCCGGCAATCCTGCCAGCTTTACAGTTGAACCAAGAGAGAGCAGATGACACCCACCAATCACAGTTAGCGATATAGACTTTGCTGATGACATTAAGCATTGATGCTCAATGACCTCAGCCAGATTGATGAAACACCTAGTCAGTGCTATTCAGTGTAGAGAATGCAGCTACAAATGTCGGACTACATCTAAATGCAGTTAAAACTTATACAATCGTTCACAATCAAGATCCAGCAGTATATAATGACAGTAAATAATTTATTAAAGCCAAAAGCAATGACGATCAATAAGAACAGTGACCGATTTTATATTTCTAGGTTTTTGGATTGATGATCCTGTCTAAGACATGACAACGAGAAAAGCCCAACCACCACAGATGATCACGTATGATTGTAAGAAAACCACTGCTTGAATGCCACAAAAGTTCAATTTTTGGTAGCTCTGACTAAGTGTCCTGACAGATTATAGCAGTTGACTTATTTACCAAAAAGACAGCTTTACTACAACCTAAAGGCAAAAGAGTGGATTGTAACACTGATGTAAATATAAAAAGTTTTAACAGTTCAAAGCACTTTTCCAGCAATGTACAAGATTATTGTCAGTTGTCTATTTGCCTAAGTTATAGCTTTAAAGGAAATACCTTCATCTAATTATGTTAATCAGTTCAGTTTCAGCTTATTTTTTTTACTATTTTTCCCGTAGACAACCACCTCCCATAAGCGATCACTTTGTCGTGCAGCAAGCTAGGGTGGTCGCTTATGAGAGAGTTAACTGTATGTTATTCTACCAACTGTTAATAACACTAAATTAGAGTAAAGATGATGAAGATAACAATGATGATGGTGATGTTTGCATAATACAAACAGAACAAAAAGCAACTAAAAACATTGCCAAAACGGTTTTTCAATATCATGCTAACATAGTTTAGAGACAATCAGGAAAAAGAAAAATAAGAAAAATTTCTTGTATATGGTTCAATCTTTATGTGGAAATAAAAATTGTTTCAATGAAATTTACCATCTTTTACAGTGTTCACACTGAATTCACCATCTATAGGATGTACAGTCCCATTTAAAATAGGAGTTGTCACAAACTCAACAAAACAAGTTTCAGGATATTCACAAGGAGCACCATCCAACTCCAATATCACAACACTGGCAGTTTTCTGCTTGAGGGATATCACATTTGCTGGTACAAACAATGTGACTTGTGGACCAATCACAGGCCAGTAACGACCCAAATTAAAGCCATTTACAAACGCTTGCCCTTTACTCCATCCAGGCAGGTGAAGAAACGTGTCGTATGAGCTATTTACAGGAAATTCTCCATAGAACAAAGTTGGTGCAAAGCTATTATCTGTGGTAAATACCTCTCTTCTGTTTCTGTCAGGTTTGGGAAGATAGCCAAGTGCATCTGAAGCTGAAAAGAGATTGTCTAAGTTTATAGGATATATCTTCCAGTTCCCAAGAACTGCACCATTTATTGAAACATTGCCAATGATTCCTTTAGGGTCAGCATAACCACCATTGGCTCTTCCCATATTTTCCACCAAAATATCAAGCTGCAACTCATTCCCAATGGTAAGAAATGCAGTCTGATCTTTACGGTTATAGTACATCGTAGCTTGGCGAATTCTTCCCACATACACAATGGCTCGGTCACGAGCTAAGTTTGTGATATTCAAGACAACAGTTGTCCGAGCAAACTCTGCAGGAATTTGTGTTTGGTAAAGAATGAATCCATAGCTTTGTCCAATTTGTTCCATGGTCAAAGGAAAAGCTGAATACACAGGGCCATGGGGAGCAGAAAGATTTGGTGCAGCATCAAGGAAGGTTGAAAGTTGGGTCATTTGAACTTTACCATATGCAAACTTTGTAGTGTTTGGTGGGATGGGAATCTCGGGTATTTTCTCATACTTGGCAATTGTCTCTCGCAGGACATGAAATTTTGTAGTTGTATCCCCAGCTTCTGTCAAGGGCGCATCATAATCATAGCTTGTAATGCGCGGTGGTGACCCTCCTCCATTCATGAAACCAAAGTTTGTTCCTCCCATGTACATGTAAAAGGCTACAGATACATTCATTGCCAGCATTTTGTCAAACGTCTCTGCGATAACCTCTGCAGATCCGGTTTGGTGAGGTACACTCCACTTATCCATCATCCCTGGATAATACTCACTAACTACCAGGGGTCCCCTGGGTTTTAACTCCCGCACCAGTGCAAATGCTTTATCTAAATTGGTTCCAGATCCGAAGTCTAAAGTGGGATACAGAGAAGGGATAGTGCCGGTCCTGACTGCATACCCAACAGCTGCATTGTTTGAAAAAAGAATAACGTCATTGCCAAGGTATTTACGAGACAACTCTTCAAGAAAATACAAATAACTGAGGTTTCTTTCATGCCTCCAGCCATACTCATTCTCCTCTTGTACAGATATGATTGGTCCCCCATTAGAGTACAGCAATGGCTTCATTTTGAGGAAAAGCACCTTGAGCCAGGACTCTAGATACGATAGGTATTGCTTATTGTCCATAGTTCTTAAAGAAATCGATGAGTTCTTCATCAACAACCATGACGGATAGCCGCCAAACTCCCACTCGGCACAAATGTAAGGTCCGGGTCTGAGAATCACCAACAGTCCAACGCTGTTAGCGAGTTCTATAAAACTCACAAGATCTGCATCGCCTTCGAAGTTGTACTGGCCATGAACCGGTTCGTGAATATTCCAAGCGACGTAAGTTTGGACTGAGTTTAAGCCGCCTGCTTTCATTTTCATGAGCCTGTCTTTCCAGTAGAAACGGGGAACCCTGAAATAGTGAAAGCATCCAGCGATGTAACGAAAGGGTTTACCATCTTTGAGAAAGCAGTTGTTCTCGTAATCTATAATAAAAGATCTTGACTCGGAGTACTTGAGAGCACACAAGAAAATTAACACAAAAATCAGCAATCTCGACACAGAAGCCATTTTGCTGAGCTGTTTACGTGTTTTAAAACACATTCGTCTTGTCCATCCAAGATATGCGTGATTTCCGACATTTGATGAGCTCCTGTCGGCAATTGAATGTATCACAAGGACGTCACATGAGTTGTATCACGCGCCAAATCGTATTCTAATATACTTATCATCTGGAAAACCCACACACAAAGCCAAATGAGCCTAATAAATGCAAAAGAGTATACAGTGTATTTCCCTGGGCCATGCCAAGAATTTTAGGAAGTGTCTTGATGCTAAGCTTTTGTGCGTGTTTTCCCTAGAGAGAATTATTAGATTTTCAGTTTTCTTTGTACAAGGGGCCCTTCTCATGCCCTTCGGAAATCTCGTTGATACCATCAAAACACTGTGAAACATGATATATCACCTCCTCAAACCCAGTGCCTGCACAGGTAGCCCAAGCTCGAAATATGAGCATCGGCGAGCATCGGCATTGTTCCGTAACATTCAAAATATAAGGATTTGCATGGGAAAAAACCTATCGTTTCTGTAACCTACGAAAAGGAAAGGATTTCAAACCTCATATAAACCTTATATAAACCTAGGAGCCGATTAATCGGCTCCTGATAAACCCCCGGGGGGGTACTCCCATACATTACATATACCGGTATGTGCCGCCCAAAGGGGTCTTTGAACCTCCTGATTTAGAACGGGGTATCCATTTCAGAGGCGTTTTCTAGAACGGGGTATAATATTTCGAACGCACGAAAGCTCCATTTTTGTTGGCAGCCATTTGAAAGTATTCAAGGACAGATTGCTTTTAAAAATACGGTTCAATGCGTTAACAAGCAAACCGTTGTACTCTTGTTGCACCCTAGAACGGAGTATAAAAAATTGGCCCATTTCTAGAACGGGGTATCAGTTTTGGGGCGAATTCTAGAACGGGGTATAAAAAATTGGCCCATTTCTAGAACGGGGTATTAAATTTAGGGGAAATTTTTTCCAGAACGGGGTGCCATTTTGGAGTCCCGGGCGGCACATACCCACCCAAGAAATACCCAAGTGCCCCCCCCGGGTGATAAACCTTATATGTAGCGAGAAAACCGTTTACATAAAAACCCATACGACGGCCATATATCGGCCCGTAGACTACACAGGAGAGACGTAACACACATTTTGAGTAAGGTAAGCTGTTTTTTATTGAAATCCTTTCATTTTCGTAGGTTACAGAAACGATAGGTTTTTTTCCCATACAAATCCTTATACTTTGAATGTTACGCAACAATATAATGGCGATGCTCATATTGCGAGCTTGGTTGGGCTACCTGTGGTGCCTGTTATCACCCAATGATTACTGCTGTTTGTACTTCGTTTACGGCTATTTCGAGAAACGTTGTCGGAAAAAGTGCACGCGACAATCCCGAAAGGTCACTGCTCTTCAAAGAAACTTGAAAGAATGGCACTAGAGGTCATGGACGTATGTTTGCGACTGCTAAAGGAAAGCAACAAAGGTAGATTCGACAGCTACAGTGTCAGAAACGCTGTATTGATCTTATCCCATATTACCTTTCGGGATTGTCGCGTGCACATTTTTTCCGACAACCTTTCTCGAAATAGCTTTGACGAGCCCCCAGTCACGCCTGAGACACGCCTACCTTTTCAAGCAGTCCAGCCAGACGTGCACAGCCCCCGTCCCTTTCGAAAAAAAATGGGAAAAGGAGTCCTTTTCCCGATTTTTTCCTTTAGGAAAAGAGGCTACCGGGGCCGTGGGCATCGTAGGGCACAGAAATCCCAGACCCATTGTGTTTCAGTTGGGTTCACTGGCAGGGAACACACCATTCAAATAATCTAGCAGATTTATTGAAACTCGCACGACGATCAATGTACACAAAATCAGAAGTACACGATTGCATAACAATATCCGATGAAAAGTAATAAATGTGCATTCTAACATCCCCTTTCTTTTGAAAGTTCATTGTTCTCGAATAAAAAGATCAAAATCGAAATGTGTTATCGCTGATTCTCAATTGCTGGCTATGTGGGTGTTTACATGACACCGGGGCGACTTTCGCCCCGGAGCGAGTTCACTCCGGTTCCCTCTCATGGCTCTATATTTGTTTACATGATACCACCACAAAATGTCATGCCGGCGCTAGTCACCCCGGCGTGAGTTCACCACGTCCGGTACGAAATCTCGCAACGGTATCATGTAACAGCTGATGTAAACGCGAAACGACCACCCGTTTCGGTGCGAGATCGGTCTGCAGACTGGAAGCGTGGAAGGGTAGCGCACGCCTAGCGTTTGCAATTTTGAACCACGCGTGTGTTTTACCAACATGAAGTGTACCTTCAAATAACGAGATATTAAAACCGGTTACACTTCTGTACGTCTCCTGATTTTCTCAGGAGAATGGATCAAGGTTTGAGGGATCAGAATACTGCCTTTTCCAAATATTTGTAGTCAAAATGACCCACCTTACATCTTTCTCCTGGTGGCGTTTAACAAAAAAAAATTAAGAAAAGCGGGACACCAAAAAATACTCCATATAAGTTTGGGGGACCTGTAAAAATGCAAATAGTCAGAGCCAAAATTAAGGCTTTGAAAATTAAAATGTTTAAATCTTCACCAGCGAGCATGTCCCAAGACACTCCTACTTTATTATATATGTTATACTTTACAGCAAAAACTTCAATTCGTGACGTCCAAGTTGTTAAGGGAGCCATCCTGATTAGGACTATTGATTGCTTCCTTATTTTTAACCGTTTTTTTTTAATCGATCTCTTCGTCTTCAGTTACGTTTTCTCATCGGGAAATTGGAAATGAACAGCAAAAGATTTATATCTTGCCTCATTGATCATAGCCTGCGAGGGCACGGAAATACGTCTGCGGTTCTCTGGCTGCATTGATCAGAAACTTATCCGATTTTTGTCATCCACTGCGACTTTTGACTTGATTATTTTATAACTCTATGTGATTTCTTGGAATTTTGAATTGCAAAAGGGGGTTTTGCCGGAATTTTGTATTGATATTGACGTTTTCTTTTTAAGAAAGTATTTTACTGAAGTTCTGAGTGCACCTTTTTATAAGATTTTATCATCATAATAATAAATCAGTGGTAAAGTCAACTCTTCTTGATCGCCTTTAATTGTCTATTTTCAAAATGATAAACAACTGGGATGATAACACTGTTAGCAGAGGTTTATTTCCAGAATGGTTTTTAGCATGTGCAACTCAAGCCATTGATATTCCTGTAGTTGGCATGTTCATGTTTCTGTAAACAAGCCACCTGACTTCTTGTTTTTCACTTTCTTTTAGAAAAAAAAGGTCATCACAACATAACATAAAAAATATTTATGACTAAAACAGGGTGCAGCAAAACCTATGTCCGATTTATTTGTCGGGGACAGGTAGAAATTTAGTTCAGACGTGTAAGCCTTTGACATGACTTGTCCGTGGGACAAGCACATTTTAATGAGAAAAAATACTGAAACAGTTGAAAATTGCCTTCAAAGAACAGTAGAATTGTTACTGTTAAGACGAATGTGTTTTCTTTCAAAGAAACCAAGAAAAGCAAAAATGTTGAATGCTAGCAGAGAATTAAGTGAATCAAGAGATCATTAAATGCCCAATCATTTTTGAGTATCAAGTTTCAAGCAAAAATTTTTGGACATTGGACAACCACATTTAACATAGTGATTGTCTGACGGAGAAGTGGATGAGAAAATTTTCGTCTTAATCTGTAAAAGGTGCACCTAACGTAGAGGAGTCAAGAGGGGTCACTATATATCAAAGGTATACCCCTCAAATCACACCAGCCTTCATCTTCCACCACCTCATAAAAAATAATGATACCTAGCAAAGCTGTGTTTTCACACTGAGCATTTTTTCTTGCCCGGAAAAACTTGTCAAGGAAACTTTCTTGGTTAAATAGGGCTTTCATTGAGGTAAAAACTCTGAACAGTTTTATTTGTAACCTTTTTACTGTCAAACTCAGAACACCGTGAACACCTGAAAAATTTCAGGAATGTTGGTTGTGTAATGGCCAATCACAAAAAAGTTCAGGATACACAAACAAATCTCAAAACCACAAACTTGTTACCGTTGCTGTTTGCAGTATAGTTTTCTCGCGCCTTATTGGCTTATTTCTTGCAACACAACAACATTCCATAAATATTTCTGGTGTTCATGGTTTTGTGAGTTTCACAGTAATAAATTTTACTGGATGTTTACACAAGTGACAGCGTGAATTCCATAATAATTGTGGAATTATTATTTTATACTACTAACTATTCAAACTAACCATTACTGCAAAGGAATGTAAAGAAATATAAGACAAAACAAAATAGTTGAACAAATTCAAGAAATAGCAAACAGCACAAGAATTTTCAAAACACAGTTCATCCTCAGTAACATGATTTTTGAAAGTCATGCAAATAATAATAATAATATCATAAAGGACTTTAATGGATAACACAATTACTGGAAATTCCAGTAGTTTTTATTGTGATCCAGATACAATTATAAAATATCAAAAAGTACAAAAAAACAAAAACAAAAATGATAAATTACAGTCTAAAACATGTTTATGTAATGTATTCATTTTTAAATTTTGCCACGGCACTTAGACCCCTAATGCTATTCTACCAACCATTAGGAACACTAACATAGAGTACAGATGATGATGACGATGATGATGTTTCCAAAATACAATCAAAACAAAACACAACTAAAAATATTGCAAAAACAGTTTTTCAATATCATGCTAGCAGAGCTTAGACTTAAATCCGGACAAAAAAAAGGAACAAAAAATCTCTTTGTCAAAGATGGGATAACATTTCTACACAGAGTCATTAGACTAACCCCAACAATTTATTTTACAAAATTTCTTGTGTACGGTTCAATCTTTATGTGGAAATCAAAAAGACATTTCAATGAAATTTACCATTTTTTATAGTGTTCACACTAAATTCACCATCTATAGGATGTACAGCCCCATTTAAAATAGGAGTTGTCACACACTCAACAAAACAAGTTTCCAGAGATTCACAAGGAGCACCATCCAACTCCAATATCACAACACTGGCAGTTTTCTGCTTGAGTGATATAACATTTGCTGGTACAAACAATGTGACTTGTGGACCAATCACAGGCCAGTAGCGACCCAAATTAAAGCCATTTACAAACGCTTGCCCTTTACTCCATCCAGGCAGGTGAAGAAATGTGTCGTAAGAGGAATTTACAGGAAATTCTCCGTAGAACAAAGTAGGTGCAAAGCTATTATCTGTGGTAAATACCTTTTTACCGTTTTTCTCAGGCTTGGGAAGATAGCCAAGTGCATCTGAAGCTGAAAAGAGATTGTCTAAGTTTATAGGATATATCTTCCAGTTGACAAGAACTGCACCATTTATTGTAACATTGCCAATGATCCCTTTAGGGTCAGCAATACCACCGTTGGCTCTTCCCATATTTTCCACCAAAATATCAAGCTGCAAGTCATTCCCAATGATAAGAAATGCAGTCTGATCTTTACGGTTATGGTACATTGTAGCTTGGCGAAGTTTTCCAACATACACAATGGCTCGGTCACGAGCTAAGTTAGTGATATTCAAGACAACAGCTGACTGAGCAAACTCTGGAGGAATTTGTGTTCGGTAAAGAATGAATCCATAGCTTTGTCCAATTTGTTCCATGGTCAAAGGAAAAGCTGAATACACCGGGCCATGGGGAGCAGAAAGCTTTGGTGCAGCGTCAAGGAAGGTTGAAAGTTGGGTCATTTGAACTTTACCATATGCAAACTTTGTGGTGTTTGGTGGGATGGGAATCTCGGGTATTTTCTCATACTTGGCAATTGTCTCTCGCAGAATGTGAAACTTAGTAGTTGTATCCCCAGCTTCTGTCAAGGGCGCATCATAATCATAGCTTGTAATGCGCGGTGTTGACCCTCCACCATTCAGGAAACCAAAGTTTGTTCCTCCCATGTACATGTAAAAGCTCACAGATACATTCATTGCCAGCATTTTGTCAAAAGTCTTAGCCACATCCTCTGCAGTTCTGGTTTGGTGAGGTATACTCCACTGATCCAGCCACCCGGGATAATACTCACTAACTACTAGGGGTCCCCTGGGTTTTAACTCCCGCACAAATGAAAATGCTTTATCTAAATCGGTTCCAGGTGCGAAGTCTAAAGTGGGATACAGAGAAGGGATAGTGCCGCTCTTGACGGCAGACTCCGAAGCTCCATTGTTTGAAAAAAAAACAACGTCATTGCCAAGGTATTTACGAAACAACTCTTCAAGAAAATACAAATAACTGAGGTTTTTTTCATACCTCCAGCCATACTCATTCTCCACTTGTACAGATATGATTGGTCCCCCATTAGAGTACAGCAATGGCTTCATTTTGGGCAAAAGCACGCTCAGCCAGGACTCTGCATACGATAGGTATTGCTTGTTGTCCATGGTTCTCAAAGAAATTGATGAGTTCTTCATCAATAACCATGACGGATAGCCGCCAAACTCCCACTCGGCACAAATATACGGTCCAGGTCTGAGAATCACCAACAGTCCAACGCTGTTAGCGAGTTCAATAAAACTCACAAGATCCGCATCGCCTTCGAAGTTGTATTGGCCATGAACCGGTTCATGAATATTCCAAGCGACGTAAGTTTGGACTGAGTTTAAACCGCCTGCTTTCATTTTCATGAGCCTGTCTTTCCAGTAGAAACGAGGAACCCTAAAATAGTGAAAGCATCCAGAAATGTAACGAAAGGGTTTGCCATCCTTGAGAAAACAGTTGTTTTCGTAATCTATAACGAAAGATCGTGCCTCGGAGTACCCAAAAATACACAAAAAAGTTAAAAGAAGAAGAAACGCTTTCAACTCGACAGCCATGTTTGTTCATCTGCTTCGTCACGTGCACCACAGGTGACCCAAAGTGGATGTTGTTACGTAACCTTCTGTAGCCTGCGAAAACATCCGTTTCCCCGCGCTCTTCGCCGCTGAGGACGTTTCGGAGGCGAAGCACACTGGAGAAACGGATGTTTTCGCAGGCTACCAAATTTCAGTAAAAGGTTTTGCATGGGGAAAAACGATTATTCCAGGTGTTGTAGGTGTTCAATAGAAAACGGCTAATCTCATTTAAAGGTGTGAAACTTATTTGTTGTGTGGTCCGCGATCCGGTTTACGGCCAGTTTTAGGTAAGAGATAAATGTCGGGACAGCGACTACATTCAAAGCTAAGGCTAACAAAGCATCCCCATTAGGAATTATATAGCCTGAGTATCAGGCCTTCCTAAGGGGATAGGGGAGAGGAGATTTTTGATGGGGAGGGGGGAGGGGGAGAAGAGAAAGGAAGGCCTGACACAAAACCATTCAGCAAATCGTGTGACACATCCAGAATCTGTATGTCCGGGTATTGGTTTCAAACACCTGGACAAAGAAGACGATCCCCTATTAGGAATTATAAAAATAAAATTTGAGCTGCATGATGGGACCCAAGGCTTTAGCTTGAGCCCTGGACGATTTTCGGCCTGAAAATTTTAGCTGCCTTCTCAAACCTGTTATCGCCGCTGTTGTAACTCTGTAAACAAAAGCAGTTTACAGTTTTCCGGACCAAACAGGTCATTTTTAGCAACAAAACATGTTCATCTTGGTCTGATTTCAGCAAAAGGGGCGGATCCAGGATTTTTTTTTAGGCGAGGACACGTGATGCAACCCAATGACAGTCTGTGATTTTGCTCTGGTATCGAATCATCAACACCAATAAACCACATTTCTCTCCTTCAGTTATTTTATTTTTTTTTCCCCAGAAACGCCTAATACTCAGGCAGAATACCAGTTGGGACCCGATATTAAAATTCCTAAATGAAAACCAGTGTTCATCTTGGTCATCTCCAGGGGGGGATGCACTCGTCTCTTGCTCTACTTCAACACTAATAAACCACATAGTTTTTTTTTTTCGCAGAATACCAGTTGTATTAAAAAACCGCAGGTCATCTCGGGGGGGCGGGGTGCGCACCCCCTGCACCCTCCCCCTAGATCCGCCCCTGAATAGAGATTCAATTTTCTTTCGCCCAATTTAATGCAAAGAGAAGGGGTGATAGGGTATTGCAGAGCACTGGTTTGTTTGATTGCAAGGGAAACTGCACACTTAATGTTGACCTTAATGACAAGGGAAACTGTGAGTTTTGTTCCCCTAACCTATGATCAGATGTTCTTCTAAAGAAGGAATGCCTGATCGCTGGTCATGTTTTCCTGAGTTTCTTAATCAATCGCCTAGGAGAACATTATATCGAGATTGTATTGATTGTCAAAAGGAAGCGAATTTTGGAGACAGCTTCGACACATGAGATGGGAAACGTTCCAATCTAATCAAATAACTTTTTCAAGTAGGGAAGTATATCAAACAGGTTTCACTATACAACGGTCGAGTAAGCTTCCATATATACTGTATAGAAGTTCCCAATCTAGAGCCTGAGAAAACAGCCGACATTTGGCGACGCTACCACTGGTTTCCACGCAAAATGACGTCATTTTGCGGGGAAACCAGTGGTAGCGTCGCCAAATGTCAGCTGTTTTCACAGGCTACCCAATCTACAGCTTTCCAATTATTGCCCATATGACAAATCAATGACACATACACAACATCACGTAATCCTGGTTTAATGTTAGCATTCAGAGATAAACGTGTTACAGATGTTACGAAAAGTTAGAACTATTCTATTCAGCTATGGCAGCAGTGAAGTTTGCTAACAGTGTGTTGCACAGTAAGACCAGTTGGAGAGTGTCTGGTCCGCCTGTGAACGGACTCCTGTAGCAAGCATGGACTGAGAGAAGGGATACCAGCGGGATAAGGGACCCTTTCTTATCTACCTCGCCCGCCGATTTTTCATCCTTTACCAAGAAACTGTTCACAGTCTACTATTACATTATTAAGGCTACCAGTTATTAACTCCCTAGACAACGTTCATGTGAAAGGAGTGGAATGCTCATTGTCTTCCTTGGCATGGGGCTGTAAATCACAGACTTTGGATGTTTCTTGGTGTTGCAGAAACTATTGTTGATTAGCTATTGTTTTGTGCTGTGGGGGATTATTCAGTGTCTTTTCAATCTCTCGCATTGCATCATCTGGTGATTGCTAAACCCTCAAGGGTTGGAGTAAAAAAGTTTTTAATTTTCTGACAAGCATACCTGTACCTTTTACTTAAGTTTCCAAGGGTTATTAGCAATTTATATTAATTAAATTTGTACTTACCTAACCCAAACCATTGCAATAAATTTAGTAATATTTATTATTGTCACTCATCAGCAGGAGAGGATGAAATTGATACCTTAACAAAAAGAATTCCACTCACGTGGTGCAACAACAGCATTTCTAAATTGTTATCAAACTTTGGTAGAGGGTCATCTAGGAGAGTGCACATTTTCTGAGCGAAAGTGTAAAGATGTTGTCTTACAACAATACAATTAACAAAGATCATAAAAATAAACAATTATATTAATTTAGTTGCTCTCAGTAAATTAATATGATGGTGATATTATTTTATGAACCCACTTCTTTTCATAAATATATTGCAGTCCACTATTTTACTTCAACTCTTTGCCCACATTTATTTTGTAACAGCTTGAACATTCACAATGTTATTGTACCTGACAATAAATTTTAGAGGGGCACTGTTTACAAGGAAATGGGTTATTTACATATTTTTACTTTCTTATTTATGAGTAGACCTGTATATATTAACTTACTTTTTACCTTTGTGAAAATTAATTTAACAACTACACGAAGAATTTATTACTTTAGATTCATGCCTCTGCTGATGTGCTGTTCCAGAAGATATCAGGTATCCCAGGGAGACGCTATTTCCGGAGAGAAGCGACGATGTTTGCCTTGAGCATCTCCTCCACCCCTCAGTGATTTTGTTACAAATAGTTATGGTGAGTCCTGGGACTCATCTTGAGAAAATCATGAGTTCCAGTTAAAATAACTAGTCCGAAATTGAAAATGCTTAGGCCTTTATGTAACCAGACAGTTTATCTGAAGACAGACTCCAAAGCTCTGTATTAAGGTATACTGAAATTAAAATATAGTCCTTCTATTTTAAAGTGCAACAAAGGCTAAAAGAAATATGCATCGTTAAACAACAGCCATAACAACTGCCACAGAAATTATATGGAACGGGAGATTTCTACAAATGCACATGTTCGGAACGATTGATCAATCTCTGCATCCTACGGGATGCATGCCATGAATTATTTGGATTTTTAGATATAGAACGCAGAGGTAACAAAATCACTGACCCCTCTGAAAAGTTCACCTTATTTAGTTTCAAATGTGGCACAGTCTACTTCCTTCCCCTACACAATTCCCTGCCAAAAATACAGCTATTTTCTGGAACCACATAACTTCTAAAGTTATTACACCTGGAGTGAACAAACAATTCTTGACATGTTTTCCAGCAATCTAGCATTCAGTTGATTAAACAAACTACATTAGTTTAGAACTAATGATGTAAAAATTAATATTTGTGTGCTTGAACAGCAAGTGGAATTGACGTTTTTAGAAACTTGACATTTTTAAGCTGCTTGTTAAAGAGAAATCTTGCGATGTATGTGAATAAATTAGCCTGAGAACTGCATTTACACGAGAAACACAGCCGTGTGTACTAAAACAAATCTAACTTAAGCCTCACTTCCACAGGGAACTACCCTTTGTAGCTTGCTATCACAAAACCTTTCCTGTGCAAAAATATGGGATACAACTTAAATAATATCAGGGATGAAAAAACACGAGGAAATAAGTCAGAAAACCAATTTAAAGATGTCTGTGGAGACATTACAAAGATGTTAGGACATCTGGCAAATTGTATGGAAAAAACTGCCAGACCAAAAGGCATAATGGCAATGTTGTAGCATCTTCATTACCAGTATTCAAACTGTCAGAAATGCTATTATTTATGTTCTTTCTCTCTCTAACATGTTAAAAGTTGTATCAAGCCCTAGGGGTACTCTGGATTTCAAGTGACCAGGAGGATCAAATGGGGGCAAAAATCGAAAGCAAAACAATCCCTAGGGCATCAGATTGTTCTGAACACCCCCAAAAACTCCCCACTTAAATCAAGCCAACAAAATACTTGCCAAATTTTCCTACCCAAAAAGATCTGGGAATTGAAAATTTCAAACCCCAAAAAATTCCATATTGATCATCACTGTTACTTGAAATCCGCAGCCCCCCCTGGGGTATAAAGTAACTTTGGCATGAGAAAGATCATGTGGGCTCTAGCTGCAAAGGAGTAGTAGTAAGTAGACAGTTTGGCAAAATAACTTATAGGGAAAAACTGTTAGCAAATATTGAAACATGCAACATTACAACTCCTCAAAATGCTAATTTACCTTTATGTACACACTAGATACTAACTACTTGTTAAAACACGACCACTCCTTATTAACTTGACTGAGTCCTGCAGTGATGAACAAATTTTTCTACTTTTTAAAGAGAAATAATGAAAATAAGAGTTATCTGTGCAACTGTGCAACCAAAGAATTCATACCAGACAATCATACTCAAATAAACTCTGATATAGTCAAAATACATGTTACATCTTATATGCAGTCAAACCCCGTTAATACGGAGACTGAGGGGGCCTTAGAAAGTGTTCGCTGGCGTATTAAAAGGGTGTCAAGCCAAATTGTTTGTAATAATGTGGTGTCTGTGAAGTGGGGCTTGACTGCAATTGACTGTAAAACATTTAACTGTCACTGACGTCGGTGACGCATAGTTAAAAGGGAATGGAAACTTAATTGACAGTAGCTTTTACGACTAAAATTAACATCACAGCTGTTCATTGCAGCACTCACTCCAATAAATAGGCAATAAATTCACTCACTAACCAAAAAGCTAAAATTATATTGATAATATTCCAGTATCAAAATAAAAGCCATGTTTAATAAATTAATAACAGTAAATATTTAATGCTTTGTTCAAAAAATAGAATTGGCTACTTTTTGCTATCATGTATTTACCAATCTTTTCATCAACAGAAAACGATATCATCAAGGTATTATTAATAAGCTCTACTTTTCACCAGTTCCATAAAGGGTCAAAGCCCACTTTGTTACCCTACCAGCGTAGGCATTCTTAGAATCTTCTTCTTCATCTTCTTCTGTTAGTAGACTATCTAACTCACCTTCGTCCTGGGAAACTGGAAAAACTTGATCACGCATGTAGTCTTCACCAAAGCGTCCATGATGAATTTCATCATGATAATTGTTGTAGTCGTCTACAATTTCATCTCGGCGTGCTTTCAAAAGGTCATGCTGGATCTCAACTTTTTCTCGCTCTTCAATGTCATTGTCGTGCCTGTTGAGTCCTTGGGTAATATCTTGTTTTTTGTGATGAAATTGCAGTTTCCAAGTTCCACTTGGTGACTCATCCCATAGATGGACAGTCATGAAGTCCCAGTTAGTCAGCCCAAATGTGTCTTTGTCCAGGCGGCGAACAGAGAGCAAGGTGCTTTTTGTATTGCCCGGTGAGATGACATCAATGCTAATATCACCACGGAATGCCTTGGACAACCTAAAACTGACTGTGACTTGAACATGTTCCAATTTTCTGACATGATTGTTGCTGCCTCTACAACCATCTGTTTGAAGAGTAAGCTCTAAAGTGCCACTAAGTGGAATGATATCGCCATTATCAAATGAGCCATTTACGATGCACTTATGCTGCTCCCCAACTGACTTCCATTTTAGTGCCTCGCTAACCAACTTGCTAGCACTCAAACGACCATAACCAAACTTGTGGTTAAACCACAAACCAGCAGCATTTTTGATCCAGCCATCATCTTCTGGACTGGTCTTGACTGCTGTTTTTACCACTAGGTGCTGCAGATCTCGCCAGGTCAGATCTCGGTTTGCTTCAAGAACCAAAGCAAAAATTCCTGAGGCCAAAGGTGCTGCTGATGATGTGCCACGAAACCGTGCAGTGCATTTGTGATGGAGATCAGTGGTGACCAGATCTGCCTCACTGGACCCACCACGATGAGTGTCTCCTGTAAAAGTTACTGCCATGGTAGAAGAACACTGCTCATCATAATACGTCGAAAGGCCATATCGACTGACAGCACCAATTGAAATGGTGTAAATGCTTGAAGTGTAACCATCTGCATTGCAATCATCATCGGCTAGGCCTCCATTACCAGTCGCCCACACATAAATTGAACCCTTACCTGAACAGAAGATGGAACACAAATTAATTAATTAACTGATTGAGTAATTTACTTTATTTTTTCTCAAGACACAATTTCTTGGTATAAACAAACCAAACAGTTAAAGAAGAGAACTGTGACGCACTGTTCAATACAAGCTGTTTCTCGGCATTATTGGCATTCCACCAATGATGCTGATTTATTCCTCCAGCTGGGTTTTACTTTCCCCATTCACCTTGCGCAAATGTTTTCAATTTTACAGTGAAAGCTTTTGTTAATAAATGCCCTCAGATGTGAACCATAGAAATAACCATCACTATAGCTGATAAACTATGGGAATAATGCTTGTCAGCAAAACCTCCAAGTGGATTTTGTCCAAAGAGGGGAGTATTTTGGCATTGTTGAAATAACTTCAAGATGAGAATAAAAATAAAATACACATAGTGTGATGAACAAACAACCACAGTAACATTTAATTATCATTTTTTGCATCTTAAAGTAAATTAACCGTTGATGGAAACTTTTTATGCTCAGAATTTTGGGAGTTCCAGTTGACTTCTGGTCCGGGGATTTTTGGGGGGTTTTGATGGGAGTTCAAGAGATTTTGGGGGGGCTTTGATTTCTGCCCCCTATAGATCATCCCCCTGGGATTCATAAAACATCCTTAATGTTTTGTTTTTTTGTTTTTGCTTTTTTTTTTCATTTTTTAAATCTAATTCGGGATTCCTTTTAACTATAAGCTTGGAAAGTATAAGAACTAGTTGAGTAAAAAATTAATTTGTATTGGATGCCACGGATAATATACTTCAACATTAACCTGATCTTTTATAACCTTTTCTAAAAGCCAGGCGAACTTCGCCCGTTATATAATACACTCGAAACATATTTAGGGAGTGTTTCAAGCTATGAATTTTCTCCATAGTACTATCTAACGACGATGAAATCACATTATAACCAAACAAAAGTTAAAAAACAAGGAAAAGGAAAATTTACGACATAACATACGTCAAAGAATCTCAATAGAGACTCCCACTTAAATGTAAATAAGGAAAAAAATTTCCTGTCACAATTTTGATTTTTCGCACTTAAATTTCTGAATATACACCAAATAAATTAGTAAGGATTCTCAATCTTTTTTTCAAGGTTCCATTTCTTGCAAAAAAGTCGCTAGTATTATGTCAAATTTTCTATTTTTTTAGGATCAAAAATTAGCTTTTAAATGATTAATGCGCTGAAGACCGCAGTTTCCGAATACTAAGAGGGACATTTGGCGTATGCATGCTTAAGACAGATCAAAATGTGACCAGGGCAACCTCGTTCATTTTAGTAATACAATTTTATGCCCGATTCGCCCCAATCGGACATTCATAAAAAAAATTTACTGTCCTTACCATCGTACATGACAAAAAGTTTTAAAGAAATACAAGTTCATAAGAAATATTTAGACGTAAAACTTACCTCCACGGCCCTTCTTCGCGCCATCTGCGAACGCTTTTTGACCAAGCGGCCCCGGTCTACCGAACGTTTTCCCATCGTCTTTTGGACCCCAACAATTACTGTAGATGTCGATATAGTCAGATTGAAAGCTCAAAGCGCTAGCTTCAAGTTTATCCGTCGCTGTTCCGTCAAGCATACGAACGCCCCCAAGATTAACGTTGAAAGCGACTCCCACTCCGCATATTCCATTATCTTCTTGAGCTCCAACTTCACCACCGCATTTAGTTCCGTGAGCGTTGTAAGGATCACTGTCGTTTGGAAATGGGTCGTCATCGTTGTCATTAAAGTCATAACTTGCGTTTTTATCGTAGTTTCTCTTCAAATCAGGATGTGTGTGATCTAATCCGTCGTCAAGAATACTCACAACAGTTCCCTTTCCAGTGAAACCGCGACGCCAAACGTCTAAGACTTCTATATCGGCGCCTACCAAGTGTTCATCATTCTGTCCCCAGTTTAGTAAATACCACTGCTTTTCCCATCCAGGGTCGTTGAAAATCCTCTTATACTTCTCCTCGCGAACCTTTCTTTCTAATTCTTTTTCTCTCAAGTATTCGTGCGTTAGATAATCTCTCTTGGTCCTCTCGAGTACGCGTTGTTGTTCAGCCCATTTCACTCTAGGGTGATCGGTGAGTTGTTGTGTTCTTTCAAGAGATCTCTTTTTCAATCGGGAATTCGTGCCTTCATGTACAAATTCGAAAACTCCTGGCATATTACCGATTCTTCCATTGTGTGTAAGATCAAAACTTTTCGCTATTTTAGCGGCAAGATCATCGTCATCGGCGTCAAGCTCCACTGCCCAAATGTTCGTGTACACTGGCTTGCCTTCTTCGAGAAGCTCTCCGATATGATCGCTTCGATATTCTTCTTCATAATTTTCATTCTGGTGAGCTGTTACCGTTAAAACTGCTACAAAAAGTAGGAGTCTTAACATCAGTGTTCTGAGAATCATTTGAGAGAAGCTCACACGGCGCCCTCCGTTCCTAACTTCTGAAAACACCAACCGCTTCGAAGTCGACCTCTTATATCCCTCGCGAGGAAAGTTGTTTATTATGCTGAATGGCTGCCCAACACCCTCGCACAAAATTCACCGGGGGTGGGAGAGGAGCAGATATGCTTTGAAGCAAAAAATTGCCTTCCTTTTGGTATTGAAAGATCGTAAATTGCCTTCACGGTATCGTTTGAAACTAATATTTCACCCAATAAAAAGAAAATTTGTCAAAGCTACAAAAGGGTTTAAAATATATGGCTTGCGTAAATTGTTTTCATCGTATATCCTAAATTTTTCGTCCTTTGATCTGATTGGTAGATACGGACTTCCAATTTAAAACCAGTGGGTGCTAAGAAATTATTAAATCCGGAAACTTATCGAGAAAATGCAAATAGGAAAAAGCAAAGATTGCTCATCAGCTGTCTAGAGGGTCATCAGAAATAATTGAAACTTCAAAGTTTAAAGCAAAACAAGGCACATGCAATAAAAATATATAAATTTATGTTTTAGTCTTGCCCTCTTTTTCGTTGAAAACACCCCTTGTTTCTATTTGTATTATTTTTTTATTTTATTTTATAAAAAAAGTAATACAAATAGAAACAAGCAGTGTTTTCAAAGTATTAGATTACAGAAGGTACAATTTAACTGTAAACTCAGTTGAAAAACGGAAAAAAGCTTTGGATCAGAAACGTATCTCAGAACTAAATCAACTCGAAGAAATAACGGACAAGGAAATTAAAGGACAGTTTCAGAGTGTTCTCCAAATTTTACAAAGTCGAAAACGTTTTCCGTGGCATTATAACTGATTTTTTTTACTCAGTGAAATATAAATTAGAGCAGAAAAACATAGGTCGTGGCAGATGTTCAGTTTCACGATTGTTCAAACAATCAATCACGTTTATGCGTCATGGAGACAGAGGTTATTTTGGTCTTCTATTGAGGACGATTGCCGCAAAAGAAACGAATTCATATTCAGACTCTTCGCATCATAACTCTTGACAAGAAAACCAAGTTTCTTTCGTCTTCCTTTTCGGGATTGTTGTACAGGAGACTCAACGCACAAAAAATATCGTTTCTAGTGGACTGACAGAGAACACTGAACAGTTTTCTGTTTCATACAAAAAAGCCGTCAAAATGTGGACCGGAATGCGATTAAATCGATATGAGTTCATTAAGCCCACTCTTTCTCTTTTGATGTTATTTAAGCTTTGTTCTCTTCACTTATGATCTGACCGGCCCCCATTACATGAAATATTAACGACGAGACAAAGTTTAAAACTACATTAAAAAAAGAAGAAAAAAAATTAATATAACTGTCACCGTACAGAAGACTCGCGCGCAAAGAACAGTCCCACGAGTTCGCTTACCAGATAAAAGTCTAATAGTGACTGATAGTTGCTAAATTTTCTCGGTTTCAGTTAATGTGTCGCTTAATTCTGCCTGCCACGATGAACATTAAGAACTTAACGGGTTTACGTTTCCGAAGCGAAAGCGAAAATGAATGCTTGCAGTTGAATATATTTTGGCGTAAAGAACAATAATCCAGTCTTCGCAAATCTTTACGGAATACCCTCTTTTTATATCGGCGATAATTTGACCACAGCACACGCACATGTGAACAATAAGCGAGTAATTGGCGAGGGATTTGCCTCAGATTGTTTGAGATCGTTTGAGGCAACACTAGCAAGAAGTTTATAAATCACCGAAGTCAGACCGAAGTCAGTAAATAAAGCGGGCTGGGCCATTTCAACAAGCCCTTCTACTCTGAAGGTTTTCAAAACATAAGCTTTGAAATTCATGTCAGAATTTCTTCTTTCATTCACCGACCTATGCAATACAAAGGTTCCTTTTGAAACTACACGTTTATCAACGAGCGGTTAATGATGACCTTGGTAGCGACTTAATTCCCACTAGTTATATCGATACTCTGATTCATATTCGATAAACAAACACTTTCCACGGTAGTTTTCGGCTTTCTGTATCGTAAACGCGAGAAACAGAGGTTATCCGCCCATTGCAACTAACGCTCCCGGTTCAAAAAAAGGAAATGCCGGCAGCGGTTTTAAAAAGCAAAGGTAAGAAATGGTCCACGAAGGAAAAGTGAATAGGCATTTTATAAAAGACTACTTATTATGACCTTAAAAATAATAGTAAATATACATTTTTGTCGATCAAGGTCTAGGGAACGAAAGTAATTGGCAGAGTGATTGCAATTCGTGTTCAATTCCCCGCCGAACTGGCATTCTCTATAGTTAATACATAAAATTCACAATGGGCTATTCCATTTAATATCCGCACCCCCCCCCCCCCCCCCGGTTGAGGAACCATGGAATTCTCCAGGGTAAGTTATAAAAATTGAGGATTTCTTTGGGGTTAGAGTTAAAAAATATGGCATTCTTTGGGTGTGAAGCCTTAATTTTCACAAAATTCTTCAGGGGTAAACCCATATTCTCCAGGGGTATGACCCAATTCTTCAGGGGTGAACCCATATTTTATGGAAGTCTTCAGGGGTGAAAGCAATTTTAGCCAATCTTAAGGGGTAAGAAGAAAAGGTAAGTCCTCAACCGGGGGGTACGGATTTTAAATGCAATAGCCCAATCTTTGCTGTAACTCCAACCGTGTAAATATTCGCTTGTTGTAATATTAAGGACAACAACCTGGCGATCAGCTTCATTTGAAAATTTATAGTGTAACTATTAGTTTGTAAAAACTGTTCGGAATATAATTTACTTTGAATTCTGTGATGTAGCCTGTTGCAGGCGTTCAGATCGTGGCCGGGACAGCGCAAGGAGATACGGAGAAAAAAAATCTGTGATGGTACAATAATGTTTTTAGTTTTAAAATGATAATTCGATCATTAATTTTTCCCGGCTTTCAATGGACTCGGTATCGTTTTCTTATTGTTGGATGGTGTTAGTAAATTATAAGGCTACAAATGCTTCTCATGCAGGGACCAGCCCTTTATATAGAAGCCAAAAACTTCAACCCTTGAATTAGAGCCAAAATTAACGGAACAAAAGAATTACATTAAACTCAATATTTATTATAGTTACTCTGTCTGATCATGTAAGCAATTTAAGCGAAGTACTCCGTTATTTTTGTCTTGTGCGAGTATTGTATCCTGAGAGAGATTAGTCAATTTGCCAGCAAGGAAAAAAACAATCCACAGCCAACTCCCCTTCCCTTTCAAGGATTAATAAGGTGGATATTGGAACAAAGCTTTCAAAGCCGTTCAGTAAACAGCAGTTTGAGTTTATTAAACCCGACAAACAATCTTAAGTGATACAAACACTAGCCTGCGAACCGCTCGTCGCTTCTCTCCCTCCGGGTGAAACTAGAGCCGAAAAACCCAGATGGTCTCGCAGGCTATACAGACACTTCATGAAGTAGTTTTTAATGTTCAGTGTTAAATAACCAGATGGGATAGGTTTGTTTTTGCAGTTACAACAACTGTGCTAGAATGTTTTCGCAGATGTTTATTAGGCTGCTGGCTTTCCAGTGTTTTTTCTTGTAAAGTTTTGAGTCTTGCCGTTCAGATGTCCCGGAAACAAGACAAGAGGAGGCAGCAGGAATAGAGTACTCGTTTGTTTTCGGGTAAAAGCAGAACCGAGATGAACTTAGCTCACTTTTAAAAGAGACGAACAAAGTGCTTCTGAATTTTTTTTATTATAACCTTTCTTCCTTCCTGTTCAGCTTTCTAACCCAAGGTTTTTTTTTATTGTTTTACATGACAAATATAACATGAGCCATAATCGGAGGATTACCTCGATTATGGCTCTTGATTAAGGGGCAGCACTGAGTAGGTTAGTTTACTGTTAGTCATGAACTAGAATTTGTATCCATACTCCTGAATAAACCTTCTTACTTAATAACCAAATATGTGGATTCTTTTTTCGGTAGAAAGTTAATTTAGAAATTTTCTAGGGCTTGGAGTATTTTATATTTACAGGGAAATATTTAGCCTAATTGCTTAACGGTTTCCTAAAAAGAGAGGAAGAAGTATTGAGTTACAGATCGCCTAGATCATCTGTCTAACACGATCAAGGGTTGTTTCTTGTTGGTGTTGAGAGCAAACTGTGTAGCAATGCATTGGTTAGTCCGCTTTTGTTTTTGGTCATTTTATGCTCGCATTTTTCTGCAATGTCAAGAAACAGCGAAGGAGACTCATCCGCTCTCACTCACTCACTCCCTACCCCATGCCACCCTGTTGCTGTTCTTCCTGCCCCGATCTTGTTGTATATTTTTTTTCAAGCTAACTTACGATTGTGTTGTATTTAAAAGTCGGTAAAAGTATAACACCACCTCAAAACGGTAACCGGTCTGGGTACTGATTTGTCCGAATTAACGAGGTCGGACTGTTAATAAATATATTTTTCCATAATTGAATAAATGAAACGTAAATAAACAAAAAACTTCTTCTTGACTCATGTTTTAATAGCCTTTAAACTGGTACAACCTTCCTTCCCCGCTTAACATTCCGAAAAAATTGTCAAGCTAAGCAGTACCATACATGACTATAGACCATTCAGTGACGCAACCTGCGACATCTCCATCCAAGTTTTCCGACGGGGTACACTGAGGCTCATCACTTTTAACGTTGTTTTGTTCACTTGAATCCGCTTGCAATTTCATATAATCTTCCTTGAATCGTCCGTGATTTAATTCCCGCTGGAAATTAGGTTCGTCTCCCCGCTGGAAAACCTCATTTTCTGGAGTCATATAATCTTCTTTAAAGCGTCCATGCGTGAGGTCGCTTTGAACCATGGGCTCGTTATCTGCCAGTCTGGATGTTTCCTCGTCAAATTTTCTGTCTTGTTGATTTCTGGCAGAATAGCTGTTCTGTGACTAACAGAGAAAAAGTTCATTAACGAAATGATTGATATGTTTGACATCTTAGTCTTAAGTCAAAAAGAGATAAAAAAACTTTCACGAAATCCGTACCCATGCATGGGGGGTCAAAACAGGTACGATTTGGGGAATTTTCTTGTACCTATCTGACCGAACACGGAGATACACCTCTAAATACCATCGTGTTTTATTGCTCTTTTCCCCACAGAAAGCACAAATGATCACATATTTTTTCCGATTGTTAAATGAATCAAGCTGTGAGACTTACGCGCAATTTTCACTTAATTATTCGTGGCCACGTTTAATCGAGAAAGTACAGTTTTTTCCAAGTCAGACCATATTTAGTTATTTACCGAGAACTTGAACTGAATTCTCTACCTGTTGATCAAGAATCTTCAGGGTCCACTCCCCGCTGGGATTTTCTCCCCAGAATTGGACAGAGGTGAAAGGCCATCGATCAAGACCGTGGGTAGAGTCATCAGCCGGCCTCGTAGCCAGCAGCTGAGAAGTTGTCCCTTGGGGAGAAGTGAGCTCAATTGACATGTCGCCCCTTCGACGATGGAGAACTGAGAACACTAGCTGCACGTGCTCTAGATTTCCTATAGTCCTGTCATCATTGGTGAGCTATTTTTAGAGACAAAATAACATGAGTTATTAGAAAGGTGAGAAACCCAAGCTAAACAAATTCAAACAAATCTACAGCACCTCGAGCCTACTAAAAAAAGAAAAAAAAAGGAACAGTCCAAGAGATAGTAAAAATACTCGACTCGTGTTTGTGGTGGGTTACCTTCAAAGTCAATATTCCATTGGATGGTATCTTCCTGGTTTCGCGAGTCAGGTGACCTGGCACCTCATGTGTTAGTTGTTCATCAACTTGTGTCCAGTCCTTCGCTTTGTTTATTAAGTCCATTGCGTGCAAAACTCCAAAACCATAGCAAAGACTGTAACTGTGTCCAGCGGCGTTCTAAAAATGCACAACGGTGCACAGATCCGTTAAACTAGTACGTAAGGTCGTTATTAAGATTTAGATTAATTTCTCCTTTTAGAATCAGTCTCGTCCCCAGAGCCGAAAATATACTTTTTCAGCGAAACGGGCGCGCAAGTGATCCTAGCTCAGCTGACCAAAAGTCTCGCAGCTGGGATGTGATCGGTTTGTGGGAAATCCGATTAAAGTGAGCGCTTTGAAATCTAACATTGCTGAGTGAGTCTCAAGTCTTTGCAAACAATTATTTATAATTGGCTGATCATTTCCTATCTCGCACTTTATTTATGAATTGCGCGGAAAAAAATGCGTTGCACGTTAATTCTATTTCATTTTTAGGTGTTTTTTTTGGTGGTCTTACCGTCTTCCATGAAAGTCCATCAGGATCATTTTTTCTGGCTGTGTGCACAACCAGGTGCTGCATATCTCGCCAGGTAAGGTCGGGATTTGCTTTTAAGACCAGTGCGAAAATTCCCGCAGCAAGTGGCGCAGCGCATGATGTCCCAGAAAACGAATCCACACAGTGCCCTTTCGGCGATGTGGTCACGAGATTGGCATATCTTTCCCTCTTGCCTGCACCGACATCCCCAGTATAAACGACAGCCATGGTAGAAGGACAATTTTCGTCGTAAAACGTGCAGAAACCTCCAGGGCTAATGGAACCCACAGATAATGTGTATACACTTGACGCGTATCCATCGCAGTTGCAATTGTCCAGGTTATAGCCGCCGTTCCCATTTGCCCAGACAAAAATAGTTCCTTTACCTTGAGAAAAATAAAGAATACTTCTTATTGACTGAGAAACCGCTTATGAAAAATAAAGCGCAAATTCATAGACGTAGCTTCTTCAACCTGGCTCCCAGAGATTTTCCCTGCCCCCCCCCCCCGGGGGGGATACTTCCTAGTAGTAGGCGACTGGATTGACTATTATAGAGTTGCATTTTTGTAAGAGATACTAGAGTGAGGTTGCACATTTTCCGGATTTTGGCCGTCAGAACATGAATTCGGGTATGTAGGGATTTAAAAATAGGAAGATTTACACCACATTAAGTTTAACAAATGTGTCAGTTGGTATCAGGATGATTAAATTAAAAGGCTTTATGAGGTAGATTCACAATCGGAAAGTGACTAATTTAAGATTTCGAAACTTCCTATTTTTTCCAAAGTGACTAACTGACTAAGATGGGGTCTATAATATGGCCACAGAATAGACTATAATGGAGTAGGGGTTATGAGAGGCCAGCGGCACATACCCAGCAAAAAGTAAGCCAAGTAACACCCCCCCCCCCCGGGTTTCCACCCTCCCATTTTTTAAGGGAAATAAATGTAGCCTTAAAAAAACAGCCTTCTCTCCCCTCCCCTCGCCCTAAGGACCTTTCGCCAGAAGGGTAGCTGCTATTCCCGCAAATCGTACACTCCCCCGAGCATAGCCCGAGAACGAAAATCATTCGTGTCGCCAGGGAGTGAGGGGGTGAGGTCTACTGATATGCGTTTCATGTCGCGGCTTACGTTAAACAGCCAAGACTGGAGTCTAAACTCAGTGGTATAATGGGACCAGGACAGGTCTACTTTTGGCTTTTATCCCAATCTGCAGAATATTTTTCCATAGTTTGGTCAAAAGCGTTGTAAAGTTCTAACGACCTTAATCGTATGGGTTTGTTTTTTTGAAGAAAAAAGAAGTTATTTGTGTTGCGCAAATTACAATTTTTCTCTGAACATGGAAGACTGAAGAGGATAAATGAAAGGCGAGAAAATCGACAGGGTTTGATCCTTTTGTTAGAGCGTATCCTGAAAAACTACTTTGGGAACCAAAACACGGCAAACGCTCAAGGGAGCGCCTAGCAGCAACATTCAATGACCAGCTAGAGAGAGAAACCAGTCTTACCAGGCAAGACCTACCATCTCGGCTGTCACAATGGGACAGACTCGTCACATCAACGCGTGTGCTCCCGAAAAAGATATTAGCGCCATTTATACGAGGAAAAATAAGACACCTCTTACATAAGACGCGTCGTAAATAAGACGCGAACTTTTCGTGTAAACGGCACATTTCGTCTAAAATAAGACGCGGCTTAGCTAAGACGCGTCTTATTAGATAAGACATACTCATATAAATGGTACAGTTCGCGTCTTATTTAAGACGCGTCTTATGTAAGACGCGTCTTATTTTTCCTCGTATAAATGGCCCTATTACTTTATGGTGGGAAGGTAGCTTCTTTACAGTAACGACTGAGAAGATTGAGATGTTCTGCTCAGATCGAGATCAGTCTAATTTTGAGTACTAACCAGCCAAATTTCAACAGGCTTTGGATTTCTCCAACAGTCCTAACCCGCCATCAGGCCAAATTTTAGTTGCTATCAGACAGTTTCTCTTACGTAGTCGCGTAAACGAAAAGCCGCTGCTGGATGTAGTTTTGTTTAGTAAGTCTAGACTTGGGTTAGACCTATTATAGCCCAAAAAATTACTACAGGAAAACACATCTCTAATACACGTAGGTTTGAAGAGATAAGGAATTGAATTAACGTATTCAACGCGGTTTTCAAGTTTACCTTAGTTCACGAATAACAGAATAAGGGCTAAAGACTTCAACTTGTCAGTTCATTCCCTTAAAGAAATTTCAAGTATAGCGTAATGGCAGTTATCTCCTTCTCCGCATTAACGCAAGGGGAAGGAATATGATGGAGATCAAATTAATAAAGAGGCGTCTGTCGGGACTGAGGTGAATGGGGACTGTGGGTTTAAACGTACTGAAAATAAACAAGGAAAAGGTGTATAAAACATCTTATCACAAAAATTAAGAAGAAGATATGATTTCACTGAAATATAATTTTCGTGTGGTAATTTTAAAACTCATCAATTGACGCCATCCCCTTTTCAAACCCCCGCTTATTCTCTAATTTTCTTCTTTGATCAAAATTCAACCTGTTACTTACAGAGTCCCGAGAAAAAGTGGGAATTTCAAGGTAGTTCGTTTTGATAGGAACACTAAAACAATATCCCTCATTGATGCGAAGAATTAAACAAGAACCGAGTATATCTTTTCTATCAAAAGACACTTCTCTTTGCTATCAAATTCACTCTTCCTCTTTGCTATCAAATTCACTCTTCCTGTAATAGGAGCATTCAAATATTATGCACAATTTTCCATGCACCTGCATGGTTGTAATAATATCTCAACTGACTCTAAATGTGAAAGCGTTGTGCTTCTCGTAGTTCCCAGTATCATATTTTGTAGAAACTCTAGAGAAAGCCATTGATTTGATTGTCTTTTTCTTTTTAAGATTGTAAGCTGGGTTGAAAATAGTTAGGTACGGTTCTTTAAAACAGTAGACGGTTCAGCCGAGTATAAGGTAATTGAATCGTTGATGCAAAAAGCTGTCGTTTTGACAACTTGATCAGTAAGGATTAAAGTCAACTATGCGCATATCTTACTTTTATCAATCGGAGAAGATCTACCCTTGGATAAAGGACAAATTAACCCGGCACCTGAATAGCTGATACAAATTTGCGCTTGACATACCTAGAATTAACCTTATCTTTCCTCTGTTAGTTTAACATTTGATAGCATAATACTTGAACACAAACCTTGTCTGCTGTACAAAGCGCAGTTCTTAATGGCTTCCGCGGCAAGTGCTTCCGGTTTGCCAAATGTTTTACCATCATCTTTAGGCCCCCAAGACGCACTTTTGATGTGAATATAATCACAGTTTAAGCCCAGTGCTTGGGCTTCAGTAACGTCCGTGACGTCTCCGTCAAGGAATCGTATTCCGCCAATGGAAGCGTTAGGTGCAACTCCAACTCCACAGATCTCATTATTCGCGGTGGCTGCCACTTCTCCCCCACATTTTGTGCCATGAGAATTTTCAGCAAGTTCGGCTAGTGTCGACATATCCGGTGTGGGATCATCGTCGTTCCCGTTAATATCCCAGCTAGCTTGTGGATCGTAATTTTCCCTTAAATCCGGATGTCTATGATCCAAGCCATCATCGACAATAGTAACAACTACCCCTTTCCCAGTATAACCACGCTTATTGGCTTCCAAAACTCCCAAGTTTCCGCTTGCTCCCTCAAATCCACTATCGTAAAGATACCACTGCTTTGGCCATTCTGGATCATCGAAGTATTCCCTGTTTTGTTCTTCGCGTCTAACACGCGCAAGAGTTTTCTCTACGGCCTCGAACCCTCGCTTGTATCTGAAAAGCAGCGTTTGTTGTTTAGCCCGTTTTACCCGAGGGTGCGCTAGTAAGGGCTGAGTGTGATGGTCCGCACTGCGTTTTTGACGACTACCAGTTTGTCCATGAACAAAGTGAAAATGTCCAGCTAAATTTGCTACCGCACCGCGGTTTTCAAAACCTAAGCTCCTCGCTACATCGTCCGCCACCAATTTCTCGTGCGTATCAAGTTGAACGGCCCAAGAGTTTGTGTAAATTTTGTCACCTGTTCTATCTTCCTCTAAGCTTTGATCAAGATGTGTTGTTACTATTAAGAGTAAGCCATACAAGAGGCAACGGAGCGTCATAATTTACGCCGTGAATATTGAACTGTTTGATAGTTTCGCTTGCCAGTCCTCCTACTTGCTTAATACATTGTACCAAGACAACCAACTCCAGCTGAAAACTTCAAACAACTATGCATAATCTCCAGGTCGTTTTAACACAGCATAATCACTCTAAAATTTACAAGTTAATTGCGAATTGCGTCATTTTTAGTGAGGCGTTTGCATCATAAGTATAAACGATAATGGTATTAAAAAGGGAAAAAAATTGTTTTTATCGCCGCAAGGTTGAATGACAATGAAGGAAACGTTTTTGGTTAACTACAACGTTGGAGTTTATACGATTAATAGAAGGTCCTATTTATCACCTTCAAATCATTATTTCGTGACGTATCTTTATTGGACAAATAGATTAATCACTTGGATACAGGGGACAAACTTTTCGATTGTTCGTTCAAAGACAAAAATTGAATATTATTTTGTCATAGGTAAAGTGAAAACATTCTAAACAGTAAACTTGAGCTCTATACCAAGAAAACATCTCCTAAAATCAGCAAAAATATTTCGCGTGACACTATTCAACAACTGGTATAAGAGAATTTGTTCAACTCGGGACATTTTATTTCTATTCACCTTTTCTTTCGTTTATTCTTTTGACTGACTGTTTTTCATGTTAAAAAAAATACATTACGAAATGAATATTCAATTTTTTATTCATGATCGGTGCTGCAATAGTTAAATTACTAAAAGGGAACTATAAAACAGGTGCTCAAAAACGCACTAATCTCTAAATGATTTTTGTGTGGGTGCGGGCGGATATTTTGAAAGCGCGTATTTTAGCCAAATTCTGCCATTTCAAACTGGCTATCACTAAACTGAACAAAATATGAAAAGTCATCCTTAGAACAGAGAGGGAATATTGAAATAACAGGGAAATACAAAAGAGGACTCACGTATAAATGAAATAAAGAAGATTAAAACGAATGACAATTTTTGAAAACTGTATTATGTCTTAGAAAGCTGTCGAGTTCAAATTGTCGTTTTTGAAATTTTATGTCTGCCAATTGACACCGTTTTGATTATAAGGTTGACAACGGGAGTCATAAATATTCTTCAATGTTGCCAAAAATGAACAAAGTAGCCAGGATAAATTAATTTAGCTTAAAACTATGCCGTATGTATACACAGTTTAACAGACAGCTATATTACATTTATCCCAAACCCCGACTGGCTTTCAAAATAAAAAGAGACCAATTAAGGAAAGGAGGGCGATTTTTTCTTTTTACCCGCTTCATTTTATTCCCATCGGTGAAAAAGAGTAACGAGAAACTGTAATTTCCTTCATATATGACACTGTTGTGCCCCCGCACACATAGAATTAGGTCAGTTTGCAGAGAGTAGTCAGTAGCCTGAATTTCATGAGCCTGCGTAGCATGGCGGTTTTGATTGCTAAGCAATAAAGGCGGGCGAGAGCAGAGAAACCGCGAGGAGATTGGGGCGGGAGCAACTGGTTTATGTTTTTGTCACAGCTGCGCCGCTCGTTCTCGCGCGCTTCGCGCTCGAATTTCGCGTCTTCGCCGCTCGTGCGCCCGACTCGACAAAACAAAACCACCATGCTACGCAGGCTAGAATTTCGTCCGATTGCTTCGAGTCGTTTTCCCCTCTCAGGAGGAGAGTAAAACCTCGCTGAAGGAGTAAAAACGACTCGAAGTAATCGTCTGAAATTCAGGCTAGAGAGTCTGGTGACCGATAAATGGCTTAACGCAAGGGAATGGTTAAGTGTGCGACATCCTTCTTATTTAATCTCACTCGGCCACAGGGGAGGGTGGTCTACAGGACTGATTCATTAGATAAAGAAGCCACTCCAAGCCTAGAAGTGGCCTCAGTCCCAGCTCTCCCTGACCGATACACGCGGCCATGTCAAGCACACTTTTAGACCCTAGAATAGAATAAATCTCATGAATCCCGGCGCAACTTCAGGGACCGCGCAACAGCGCAAGCGGGGGGTAAGGGGGGGCTGTGTTTTATCTCTAACCTCGATTAAAAAATGGAGATCATTAGTAAAGAAACCGTCCAATTTATTTATAATTTTCCCCATAACTCAGTTTAATTTCAAGCCCCTCGTGAACACTCTATTAAGTGGGGGCAAAAGCTCTGGGAACGAGGCTGAAGCAATGGCCGCTTAATAACGTTTTTGTTTTCAGTAAGTTAAAAGTAGTTTTTGTCATCGGGACTTTCGTACCTAGCCGCTAGTTTAAGGATGGCCGCTAATCTCGTACCCAGATCTCACTCTGTCTTAAGCTGAAAAGTGAGTGGCCGCAGGAGATTCGGGTACGAGGTTAGGTGGCTGCCTGAAAGACGGAATTCGATTGTTAACTAAGTTGACGTGAATACCGGTTAGGCTGTTCCATACATGACTATAGACCATTCAGTCAGGCAGCCCGCTATATTCCCATGTAAGTCTTCTGACGGTGTACATGAGGATTCATCACTTTCAACGTTGATTGGTTCACTTGAATCCTCTTTCAGTTTCATATAATCCTCTTTGAACCGTCCGTGAGCTAATTCGCGTGGATAACTGATTTCATCCGCTAGTTTCGTGGAATCTTCTTTGAAACCGTAAGTGAAGTCATTGACACCGTCAGGCGCATTTTTCATTTTCTCGTCGTTCGTTGACTATAGGAGACAGAAAAAACGTATAGGTTAACAAGCGCGCAAACTCGGAAATCGCTGGAGTTAAAGATATAAAAACTATTGACCTGTCGTGATTACCAAAATGTAGAGCTTGCTCACAGGCTGTCTGTCTTTCGAACTTCTGCACTGTAGTGTTAATTTCTTGAGGGGAAGTAATGAAAAAGAAAAATTACCTTGTCATCTTTCATCGCAGCTGGCTCATCAAAAGCAACGCTCTTCGTTTCGCTTGAATCCGCCTTTAACTCCATATAATCTTCCTTGAACCGTCCGTGAGCTAATTCATGCTGGAGATAAGGTTCATCGCTGAGCTGAAAACCCTCTGGCTTTTCATAATCTCTGAAGAAACCGTCCGTGAACAAGTCACTGACATCATTAGGCTCATTTCTTATTCTATCTCTGATTTCCTCGTCGAATAATTTTTGACCTTCGTTCCTTGGCGAGAGACTGTTCTTTGACTAGGAGAAAAAGAAAAAAAAGCCTGTTGGAGACCGCTTTTGACAAAATTATTTTTTCTAAATTCCAGTGAATCCCCAGTTTAAAAAGAAATTTATGCCTGTCAAAACTCGTTCAGTTTTGTAACCTCTCTCGACCCAACCTTTGCGCCTGTTCGTGCCACGCACAAACCGTATCCATACTGACCACTTGCCTTTTGGTGAATCTAAAAAAGCTGAACAAGTTATCTTTACGTTCGAACCATCTTAAATATTTTCTAGACTGCTGTTGCTATTTCTTAGTTATAACCCTCACAGGCAAAAAAAATTACTAATTCCTCCAAAACAGCCTGGTTGCAGGGGCGAAACGCTCGTCTTTTTTCCCGAAACAGATTCCGACGAACTTCTTTACCTCAGCATCCCGGATCTTCACAGTCCAATCCCCTGGGGATTTTCGCCCCAAAATTCCACGGAAGTGAACGGCCATTTGTCAAGACCTCTGGAAGAGTCATCAAGAGGTCTTTTAGCTAGAAGTTGCGAAGTTGTCCCCTGGGGGGAGGTGAGCTCAATCACCATGTCGCCACGACGACGATGCCTTACTGAAAGCACCAACTGTACATGTTCCAATGTACCAACAGTTTCGTCATCATTTCGTAGCTACGATTAGAAAGAAATAATACAACACGATTTTGAGTCAAAACTTTTTGATCATCGTTCATGGTGATATGATTTGACTTAAACTAGCTTGCTCGGGTAGAGGGAGGGATCGTCACGTCAGCGCGTATTGACCAGCTTCGCAGGCTAGACTTACACTTATAAGAATAATCCAATTCAGGGTTTCACCTGGCCGACCACCTGGCCTCTTTATTAAAACAAAGTTGTACCCAGGGAGTTTGGGTGGAGGAAGAGAGAGCCTGGGAGCGACGCTGCTTATGTACAACCAGTTCGTACGAAAGTAACTTTAATTGACGTGTAAAGAAAATTTTATTTTCATATGAAAGGACAAGCGCAACGACTTGCTTTGAAAAAGCGAGAGTTGTTATAGAGTGATACCCTCATGAAGATAGTACTTTGGATCTGAGAATAAAAAGATGTATTTAGTATTTTTACTTTTTTGCGTTCACTGCCAGTCGCTATAGGGGCCTGTTATAACCCCAACTGGGATGGAAACGAATACACGTTTCTTTTCTCTGCCAGGGTAAGTGATTTTTACCTTTAAAGTCAACATTCCATTAGATGGTATCTTCCTGGTTTCACTAGTCAGGTGACCTAGGACCTCATGTGTTAGTTGTTCATCGCCTTGTTTCCAGTCCTTCGCTTTGTTGATTAAATCCATTGCGTTCAAAACTCCAAAACCATAGCAAAGACTGTAACTGTGTCCAGCGGCATTCTAAAAACACGCAAGCGTAGGTTAGAATGCCTCTACTCAAGAGAACTTCGTAAAATATTGTGTAGTTCATGATCATTTTAACGAAACGCCAAACGAAAAATGCTAAAGATTTCAACGACAATACCCACACTTACTTCATGTATCTAGCACTAGATTAACCCAGACCACAAAAAGCTTTCTAACAAAGGAGTGGTCGTGGGCGTGGGGACCAGAGTTGTTTTTTTTTAGAGAGAATTTGGATGCCGATCATTTTATGACAGCTCACACAATGATACTGGTAAAAAGCTTGACTTACTGTCTTCCACGACATGCCATCAGGATCATTTTTTCTGGCTGTTCTCACGACTAGGTGCTGCATATCTCGCCAGGTAAGGTTAGGATTTGCCTGTAAAACCAGCGCAAAAATGCCAGCTGCGAGCGGGGCGGCGCACGATGTCCCGGAAAATCTCTCCACGCATTTACCAAACAACGACGTAGTGACAAGATTGCGAGAGCTTTCTCTCTTGCCTAAACCAACATCCCCGGTATAAACAACAGCCATGGTAGAAGGACATTTTTCGTCGTAGCTTGTGCAGTATCCTCCAGGACTAATAGAACCCACAGATAATGTGTGTATACTTGACGTGTATCCGTCGCAACTGCAATCATCAAGAGCCGAACCGCCGTTCCCGGTTGCCCATACATAAATTGTTCCTTTTCCTTCAGGGGAAAGATAACATGCATTGAAAACACGCGATAATTGTCATGTCACTTGTGTGGGGTAGAGAAAAGTTGTTAAGAGCTCGACAGGATTGAAACTACAGTGGACTACGAGTAATCCATCATAACGGGGGAAGGGGGGAAGGGGAGGGGAGGAGGGGGGGATGGGGATGGAGGAGGGGGTTTGGAGGGATCTAAATCAGTACAGTTAGAATTTAAGTTGGCCTTTAACGACCATAAAAGCTTTTAGAGAAGAATCATATTTTTTGCACCTCTCAGGCTCGGCTCTGACCGCCTTGTTAAGTTTAATACCTTGGAATTATGGGAAGGGAATTCATTCTTTTTTTGTTTTTGAATAGTAAAAAAAGTGATTAAAATGATTGTAATTTTCCCTTATGACAAAAGAATATCCTTTATCCACGTGCACACAAGCGACAATAAGCTCTCTCTTGGTGAACATTCGTGCGGTTGACTTTTTCCCCATACATATCACCAAAATACGTTTTCAAAGATTTGTGCTTCAGTTATGTAACTGCTCAGTCCCTAAATAACAGTAATAATAAAAAATAATCGAGTTTCATCAGCGTTTGTTCATGGAGTTTTCCTTAAGCGACAAGGAAAAACTAAAGCGGAATCTGCGCATCAAAGGATGAACTTTTGAAACAGCGGAGGCAGCAGCGTCAGGGATGACGAAACCATAGGCATCCAAGAAAAAGTTGGTCTCTTTGAAATGTATGATACATAGGTCACTTTGCCACAGAAAATCTACTTTGAAATTACTCTTTAAAAAATGAACACCTAGCTAATATTTATAAATGTTGAAAATAAGAATGCAGCTAACAATAAAGAAGGACAATAGAATACTAACCTTGTCTGCCGTGCAGAGCGCAGTTTTTCATCGCCTCACTGGCGAGTTCGCTCGGAAGGCCAAATGTTTTGCCATCATCTTTTGGACCCCAGGATGCACTTTTAATATCAATATAATCACATTTGTAACCAAGGGCTTCTGCTTCGACAACATCAGTAACAGCTCCGTCAAGCATTCTGATTCCGCCGAGTGAAGCGTTATAAGCAACTCCCACACCACAAATCCCATTTCCAGCAGTTGCCGCCACCTCCCCGCCACATTCCGTTCCATGAGCGTTGTCAGGTTTAGAATCATCTGGAGTAGGATCGTCATCATTATCATTCACGTCTCTGCTGGCCTCTGGATCATAATTTGCGCTTAAATCCGGATGTCTATGATCCAAGCCATCATCGACGATAGTGACAACTACCCCTTTCCCAGTATAACCGCGCTTAGTAGCTTCCAATACTCCCAGATTCCCGCTTGGCTCCTCGCCGTTATCGTAAAGATACCACTGCTTTGGCCATTCTGGGTCATCAAAATATCTCCGGTTTTCCTGTGTACGACGATTACGCGAACGAGTTTGCTCTATAGCCTCGAACCCCCTTTTATACCTGAAAAGCAGAGTTTGTTGTTTAGCCCATCTGACCCGGGGGTGCTTTAGTAAGGGCTGAGTGTGATGGTCCGCACTGCGCTTTTGATGACTACCAGTTTGTCCATGAACAAAGTGAAAATATCCAGCTAAATTTGCAATCGCACCGCGGTTTTCAAAACCAAAGCTCCTCGCCACTCTATCCGCCACTGATTGCTCGTGCGTATCAAGTTGAACGGCCCAAGAGTTTGTGTAAACTTTGCCGTCTATTTCATTGTTCTCGAGGCTATGATCACCTTGAGTTAGTACCCATAGAAGTACACAATTCAAGATGGAATGAAGAGTCATTGAACGCATTTTGCGTGAATGACTTCCCCTCCTCTGAACTGATTGCCCTGTTATCGCAGGACAAGCTCTTTGGTAACTATGCAAATTTTAAACCATTTATTAAATTTACAAGTTCAATTTGCATTTTAAAATCTTTTACGCTAGTAAAGCTCTCCCACACGCATAACGGAACATAACTGAAGACAAGTGAATGTGGATTCGATACATTACGAAGAAGTAAATTATCATCGCATTGCTGTTAAAGGAATAACCCGGCAAAACTAAGGGATATCTTTGGGTGTCATAGTAACTTCTGAGGAACACTTGAATCCATGTTCAGTGAAGTAATTTATTCTATGAAGACACTAAGTACACAACTTCATTTAACGCGCCGAAAGACATTAAATGCAAAGTTCAATGCAAATTAAATTCCTACCTATTCAAATGGCAAAACCATGACAACGGTTACAATAATACAAAAGACAGTAAGACAAAAAGGCGAGTTTACACTTCACCTCTCTTCACCCTGAATGTTAGGGTGTCTAAAAACGATATATCGAAAAGAAAAATAAGGTCATGATATAATCGGTCGACTGGTTTTATTCGTGACATTATAACCGGTTAACATCCCACTTCCAAAGCATTCAAAATCTGACAACTTAATAATAAACACTATTACGTCTATAGAGTAAAGAAGGAAATAAGCAGGTTCAAGTACATAAAGGAAAAACTCTTAGAAACAAGAACAATCCCCCTTCCTTTTCAAAGGCCTGCCACGAACCTACTTATCAAACCGTTGAGGCTTATCGACAAGACAGGGCTACCAATGGTGGCTGGATCTGTTCTGCTTTCAAGAAGTTTACGTTTCGTTTTCTTTCCTACACGTGGCCTTGTACATTCCGCCGAAGACTGTTATTTCCTCAATTGATGGTCTTAATCTGGTTGTCTAAGGGCCTGTTTACATGGAGGTGGGGGACCCCAGACAGGTGAGGTAAAATGCGGCGGGTCACCCCACCTATCATGTAAACGTAATCAAATCAAAATGAGAGATTATGTGGACAGGCGGGTTACCCACCAAAGCGGGTTTTCTCACCTACCTAGGGTCCCCCACCTCCGTGTAAACAGGCCCTAAGATTCTTAGAACACCAAGACTGCACCTACTGGTCATGAACAAGAAACCCAACAGTTCAACACTCAATTAGACAGATCTCGTTAGGTTTAACTAAACCCTCTAAGAGCACTTAACATACTAACTTTGTTTGCGGTGATTACAGTGTCTAAACAGCGTTGTAATCAGTTCTGGGGAAAAGCGACGCTTCTGTTTGTTAGGGGGTGGAATTTATAATAATAATAATAATAACGACATTTTGACAAAATGCAAAATAAGAAGACCCCATGCGTTAAATTTCCCGTTAAATTTCTCACAAACAATTTGTATTCTACTGTTAGGGGTCTTTCACTCGCGCAGCCAAGATTATAGAGAGGAACCGAGAAACCTCTTTTGGTATGATAATCAAACCTGTACAATGTCCTAACCATTTTCTGACTAAACTACTTGAAACCCATAGCTTTAGAGCTGACAACATATCTTAGACTCCGAGCTAACAATCGTCATATACAATTTGTACATGTTAATTCGATGAAAAAGTCACTGGGTACAACCGGTTTAACCAGATTGACTAGAAGACAAACCGGTTAAAAGGTGTAGTAAATCCTGGACCACTTCCGCAATTCCCGGGGGGACCCCGGTTGTTGTCATCGTCGTCATCAGGTGGCTGATAGTTGTGTGACCAAGCCTTTCGTTTAGAAGCGTTAATCATCTGGCGTTCTTGCTCCTGTAGACAAGAGAGGTACATTACACTCCAACAAAATTTTTTAATGTATCCTCTACATTTTGGCCCTGATTTAGCCTCGTCTGCTTCAGTCGCGTGAAAGCCTAGAGAGCCATAGCCTGCGGTACTTATTATTCCTTAACGCACCAATCTTCTCCCTAACGTTTACTCTATGTACTAGTTAATAACAGGAAAGGTTAAAGTTGGGTGATAAATAAGCTCGATATTTCAAAGTCGTACTCGAAGTCAAACCTAAAAGTCACCACTACGATGGCGAAGGCACGGAAACATAAAAAACAAACAAACAAACAAACAAAAACACATTTAGTATGCAAAACAAATCTGTCTACAGGAGCAACACGTTTATCTATAGATTTCTTTACGGACAAGTAATCTTTGCATAACTTCGTAGAGTGAGCCTTCGTGATATGTGCGAGCAGTAGCAAGTCAGCTTTCTTCTGTTCTAAAGCATGACAAGTTACTTAGTCTCAGCAAAAACGGTTATTGACTTACCTGCAGATATAAAAGGTTGTCACGATTAACAATATCAGCAAGCTCCGGCCTTATTTCCTTGCAAATCAAGTTGTATTGTGAAGCATCACTACTGCTGTCGACTGGGGTGACTGTGACACCTCCGACACGCTTGTATATCAACACATAAGGAGTGTCCTTTGGGAAACGCTTAGATACGTCAGCAAACGCGCTATATGCCGAATAAGACACACGACTGTCATTAAAGAGAAACCAAGTGTGCTGATCATCTGTTCTAGAACTAGCCACGCCATCGTCTCTTTCTCCTTCCTCCAACAGATGCGACGATGAACGAGCATAACAATAGTAGTGTCCACTTTCTGAGGAAGTCCCCGAGTGAACAATCACTGAACACAGAGAGTACACTATATCTGACGAAGGTTTCTCTTCAAAAGATGTTATCACGCTATCACTGTCAGCATTGTCGTCCAAAACCTTATGTTCTTGTTTGGTCCTCTTAGACCTAAAGCATGTCTCCTTGATATCTTCTCTTTTTTCTTCAAGAACACCTGTGGTTAAATCATGAGCTTCTGAGTGCTTTGCTTCTCTTGTACTAAGACTTTTCTTCAAATGCGCTTTCGGAAGCCTCAAAATAAGCGGGTATGAAACACCTTGTAATATTTTAGATCTTTGCTGTGTCCGAACATTGTAGGCAAACCTCTTTAGCGTCAACACTAAAAAATCAGACGCTTTGGAAATTGTGACAGTTCTCTCTGCATCTTGTAAACTATGGCACTGCTCGCAATGATATTGATTGGAACCTTCCAAAATTTCCGGCTCAAAAAAGTACTCTAGCAACTCAGTGATTGATACCTCTGGCTTATCGCTCCGTAAACTTGATTCCTGAAACTTTGTCGCTAAGGTTGTCCCCGAACCAAATGACACCGAATTGTCTGATGTTGAAGTGCCCGCCACAGCTTCGTTCTCTTCAATAGTCTTTGCAGCTAATTCAGGTGTGCAAGTTGTATGGCTGATGTCGCCTCCCTTAAGACTTCTTTCTGAGCTACCAGCTGAGCTTGCTGAGGTTGTTACATCTGCATGTTCAACAGGTTCTTTACCTGCTAACGAGTTCTCATTTTCTACTGAATCCACCCTGCCTTCCAGTTCTCCAGCTTGAGGAAACGAGAGGGGCAAATCCGTGAAGACCTCTTCTCTACAAGAAGTGTTGTTACAACCGCGACAGCAGAGACAAACTAGGAGCGTCCCTGCGAAGGTCTCGTCAATGAGTGGTGTTTTTAGCGAATCGCTCTCGTTATTTTCAGAGAGGGATTTGTCTTCTTCACTGATCCTGTCCAGAAGAAACTTGAGGAACTCGGAGCAGTCTTGCTGGGTTCCTGGAGCAAACCATGGTGGCCTGGCAACTTGAAGGAACTTAGAAGGGGCAATAGCTGATCTCTGTCAAAATAATAATCACAACAAAAGAAAAATAAATTACCCATCTTTTCTGTTGTACAACTGCATTTGTTACTAGTCAATAACTTGATTACCCTGGAGGCAGCATGATTGAGAATTTTGTAATTCAAAGGTGTTTGACAAGTGTCCCCCCGCCCTAGTGGTACTCAGAACATTTTTGCGGGGAATGGTGTGCTGATGGCTCTCTGAGACCCTCATCAACTCTTAGCTTTCCCTAAACCACGTTCCGGGTCAGGCCACCCTATAACTAATGTCCAAGTATCAGTTGCTACTCTGCACTACAGTCCTCTTACCCCTGACCAGTTTTGATGCAGTAAATGAAAATTCCTGGATCCGTTCCTGCATCAGTACCCTTATAAAGCTTACAAATGATTATCACTAATAATTCCCCAAGGAGGAATTTATTCTGGTGAAAGTACCTGTGACAGAGTCAGAAATGCAAACACTTCCTGTAGGTGATGTAGCAGTGGCTGGCTAGTGTTAGAATAACGTCCAAATATCATGTAACGGAACCTGCAAATTATATTGATAGTAGTCTTTCAGCTACTGACACATGCTTTAGAAGGAAGGCAACTGAATCAAACAAACGATCAGAGGAGAAATTTTATCAGCTAAGAATTCTTATAACTTGCCATCACTGTTAACCATGGCTCCACTACTGGTTTCCCCTGCGAAAGGGCATCTGAGGAGCAACTGCAGATATTCCATACTGATGACATGTCACTACCCAGATTTGGGTGGGGTTTCTGATTGGTCATGCCGCGAGGAAAATTTGCTTCATCCAATCAGATGCCCACACCCATATTCCGGGTGGTGACATATCATACACAGGGAATTTCTGCACTTGTTTCTCAGACTTCACTTTGCGGGGAAACCAGCGCTGGCATTGTGAAATGTCAGCTGTTTTCTCAAGCTATGTTATCCAGTATCACTGTAATCCACTGGTGGGAGGGTTACAGCCAAAATAAAAACAAAATTAATAAAATAGGTTACAAACGATAACTCACTCCTCTAGCATGTATAGAGCCTGTATAACGCTGTTCATGTAACAAGTGTTACCCAAGTTGACTAAACCAGTTTTTCCAGTTTCTGATTTAGGAGTAAAACCAGTCAATGGGATGCTAACAGAGCGAGCTGACCAAGCACTCTGGGCAAGCCACTTGCGAATCATCACTTCTGAGGGTTTAGGCAAATCCTATAACAGGACATGAATGACATTTAGCAAATTTACAAATTTACCAGGGCTTGAGAAAAGTCTCTTGTCATCCAGAACAAGAAGATTTTCTTGATAGGCAAGTAACTTTTAAAATTCACTTACCCAATGGGTAAGGGTCTAAGCAAGTCATCTTCTGACTAAATCATTAACTAAGACCAGCAAGAAGTGACCCTGGTCAAGCAAAATGTGACAACTGCTTGCCCAAAGGACAAGCTGGAAATTATTCAAGTTTTTTTTGATTACATTCACTACCACAACCACTAGTTTCTAGCTCCAAATATTAATGAACATCCTCTGTTACCTGGAGACAATCAAGAATTGGACCATACAGCTCAGGAAAGCCTGTGTGTTGATACATGAGGCAGTGCATAAGCTCTGCCAACGTTTGTAAAGTAGACTGTGAGGATGCAGAATTTTCTTTTTTTAGATTCTGTACAAGGCTTGGTACATGCTCTACAATCTAGAGAAAAAAAACAGAAATGAAATGAGCTATGATCAATAAATGTTTTTCCTGAATATGTTTATATCACAACTTCCATATTGTACATCAGGTTTGATCTTGCATTTCACTGCAGGCAAAAAGGTACTGATCTGCCAAAATTACAATTCAAGTGTAGACAACAGTTTACCAAGCCTAACATTTTGCAAAAGTGTTTCCAAATATGTGAGAACTCACAAATGCTTTCCTCTTACTTTACCTACGACAAAAGATGCTAGGGACAAATTAGAAATGATCTATACGGGTAGGGAGAACCTAACAACATTTTGAAGCACGAACATTATCATGTTCCTTCTCTAAGTTACAATATGTTAGTCAGTGCTCACAGTCCATTCTACAATGTTCCGACATTGTTTGGTGTTGGCAAGGGGTAATATTCCACATTATCTCGTTCTTCCATTTACGTAGAATAAAGAAACTTGGTTGAGGCAATTTGAATAAAGTATACAGTCAGGCCTTCACATGCAAGCACATCTAATAAGCAGCTAGTCCTCCAAATTAACCACCTCATACAAATGAGCACCAAATCTGGGCATTTGGGGTTGTTGCTTATGGGAATTTTAACTGTTTATCTCCTGGATATGGTGACTAATTAAATTCATTATCATTATTCTAGTGAAGACATCTTAAAAGAATTACCTCATGAAAAGCTTGTGGTGAGTGTTGAAAGCTGAGTAGCATGTGAGATAAAACAACCATTGTGCTCTCACGAACTATGGGGAATAATAATCGACTAAAGACCTATCAATAACAGGAAAGAAAAGAAAACAGATTACCATTACAAGAAATTAGAGATGCTTAACAGAATTTGGTCATTAACAAAATAAAAAATACTTAAAAGCAGGGATTAAAAATTTCTCTCTCCCTTTGAAGCCACTTTGACTCCTCCGCAAATATTGGAGTCATTTTTGAAAGTGTAAAGTCAAAGAGGCAGCAATTTTGTGTAACGGAAGGTAGCAGGTACTTCATACCACCATCACATGAAGTATGTGGGTGAGGGAGTTCTAACTGCTGACCAAAAAGGGATACAATATTAATTAAAAATGGAAGACTGCCAGCTCGTTTGATTTTGTATTTTTGCTTTGGGAATCTAACAAGTTTTAGCATTTTGGTTGACAGAAAACAAAATTCTGCTGAACATTTGGGAACTCTTCAATGGAGACAAAGTGACTCGCTGTGGGAATTATTTGGAGTCACAGAAAAATTTTTGGCGTAAAAAAAGCCAAATTGGGTTATTTTTAATCCTTGCAAAAGGAACTACAAAATTTATTTTCAAAGGAAGATGGCTCGGAAAAGCTAGTTGTTCTTGGGGAAACGTGTGACCACCAAAAAAATGTCAAACAACCCTTGAAACTATATGAAAATTTAGCAAGATCCATTTGTGATTCCACTATTCTGACATTGTATTCATGGATACATTTGAAATGTTTGGTGGACTTTTTCACGTGGTGGTCCCTGATGCCTCTCAGTGCCCTTTGCGACTGGTTGACTGATTATTTTTAATAGAAATCATCTACTGGGCACCCTGGATTTAACAGGTTCAGAGGTTTGCACTCTTTTCAGTTTTTCTTAGAGCACAGCCTTGGGACAGCATATATTTAATAGGACTACCCTACAATGTTACTGATATCCAGTCACTTCATTCCATGGTCAGATCATTCCAAGCCAGATCGTTCCACTTGATAGTCAGATTGCTCCACAGAGCAATAGTTAGAACATTTCATAAGTCTTGAAGCCACCAGCAGAAACAGCCGAGAGGCCAAAAAAGTGCATTTCATATACAGTTATACACTGAAACTGTGGGATAATCTGACTATAAAATGGAATGATCTGGATTGCAAAGATCTGATTTTGGAACGAAGTGACTGTAAACCTAATTAACCATGTTGCCCCTACCTGTGCAACTTCTTTGAGAGTAACAGAAATGAGGATTGAATGTTTTTTAGCACTTGCCAAAGCCTTTAAAAACCCAATAATCCACTGGTCCACCTTTTTAACTCCAGGCCATGAAAGCCAATTAATCATACGACACAGTGAAAGAGACAGATTTTCATCTGAAACTGATGGATTAGAGGCTGCAAGACTTGTTGCAGTGCCTATAATGTCAGTAGAAAAGTACTGCACCACAGAAGCAACGGCTACAGACGGATTGGGGCCTACGTTTGAAATAATCTTAAATATTTCAGTTAAGACAGGAAACAACAGGGCTTGATTTTTCACCCACATCTTATTCAACAGAGCAGCAATCATCGCACAATTCTGAAGACAAGCTTTCATTTCTTCTTTTGATGTTTTGGGGAGTTCTGTTCTACTCAAGGCTTTGATCAAAGACAAGTTACACTGGAGCAAATTTTCCCCAACTGGCCAGCAGTGATCATACTCGATCAAAAGCCTTGCCACAACCGCACAAAAGTCTATATCTGAATTCTTTTCGACCCAAATATGAGCTCTATGACGCACAGCCGTGTACAAGGAGAATATCTGTGAGTTGTGCTGCATTAAGTCAAAGCAGGTGCGTAGATATTCAACACAGTTGAGAGACATTTTCTCGCGTTCAGCGAGGAAGGAAAGAAGATATCCCTCAGTAAAATACTTTTGAAAGACGTCTTTTTGTCGTTTTGCCCACGTTGTAAGGACAAGTTTTCCACTGTCATTGAGAAAGACTGATCCGTCTTTAATCATCCACTCGGTCCCAATTTCAAACAGAGCTCTGTTCTGATCATCAGCAACATTACCGCCAGCTTTCGAGACAAGTTGTTGAATTAAGGACCTTTTGACGTTTTCAGGATGATCTGAAGCCACGATTCCTCTTAAAATTTGGTCCATGACAATGCAAAGACTGTAAAACCTCTGAAAACCTTCGTTCAAATTGTTCAACTTTTTTACATACCCGGATGTTTGATGATAATAATTATTGAAAGGGCCTGGGACAGGGAGCGGAGGGTGGGATGGTGTGACGGTATATCCTAAAATAGAAACAACTTCTGATGGTGGAACAGTGGAACATCTGTTGGTACGACGGGTAGCCGCACCTGATTTTTTAGACGTTCTTAAAATAGATGTTCTTTTAAAGCGGTAGCCGATCCCAGATCATTTCTGTGAACTGAACATTTAACGAACGCCATACGACACGCCATACTACAATCTATCCAAAAAGCCGGCAAAACGCCGGACTAGCGTATCATTGGCACTATGTCCTGGTATTAATGGCAAAATGTTTACGAACGGAAGAGTCTGTTTTCAACCTGGCTGGACAGATCATAATGTTTTCTGAATCTTTTCCCAAGAAAGCATGTCATTCAAGTTTATCCAGAGGGATAAGAGATGAGGAGACTGAACTGTTTTGCTTGTTAAACATTCAAGATACACTCCTTTTTTCTACAAGAACACTGTTTTATAAGAATATCGAGGCTGAAATTTGCGAAATTTTAAGAATATTTTGAGAATAAACCTAAGGCAAAGAGTATTAAGAGGACTATATCAGGGGCACCCAAAGGCAATTTTCCGGAAAATATCTGTTCGGAAGACGATTTGGGAACTAGAATTTTCGGAACATTTGTTGTCAAATTTCTTGCTTGCCTGCCTCTCCTAGGATTTTCGAACATCTGCAAAATGGTATAATTACCCATTTTAAACGGATATTTACCCTAAAAAAGGTCACCTAGAATTTTCGGGAGCCTTTTCCTGGCTGAAATTTTCGAAAAGGTAAGTTTTTATCCCTATAATTTTCGGATCACTAGACTTTCAGCTAGGAAATCCGAACAGATGAAAAGTTTTTAGGGGATAAAAATATGCCTACATTTACCGTTTAAATACTAAAATATGTTCAACAATGCTATGTTGATTTGTTTTGAACTATATCCTCGTTGGGTGCCCCTGCTATATTTTGTGTTTAAAATCTGCAAATACAGTACAATGATATCATTATGTTTTCAACTTAACCGATAACATAATTATTCCTTTTATTAAACGGCAAAACAGAACACAAATCTGGCAACTGAAATCCCAAAGCGGAAATACCATAAGCTATAATTTAAGAATAATTCCAGAATAATTTTCGCCTAAAAGCCACAGAAAAATAAGAATATTCAGCCTGGGCCGGAAAAACAACATTCTTGTAGGAAAAAAAGAGTGTATTTGCTGGGCTTGTTTGCATTCCTTTTATTCTAGGATACCGAAAAAAAGTGTCGTGAACTCCGAGACACATTTCAGGGTCGGCCAGGGTTCTGAGGGTTTTTGGGTATACAGTATACTGGGGTATTTAATTTCAGGTATACAGTATTCATTCACTCATGACTAATTTGGGGTATAAAGTATACCGTGGTTTCCATAATTTTGGTATTTTACACGAGTTTTAGAACAATTTTTGGTATATTGGAAGGTGTATTTCTGGTATTTTGGTATTCCAATACCCCCCCTAACCGACCCTGACGTTTATCCGTGTTTAGTGGAAGCCTCAGTGAAGCCTTGTGTCACAAATGAGTTAATCCTGATTTCTGAACAGTTGCCACCATTTCCGACTGATTAAAAGAAAAATTAAGGAAATTTTGCTTGAAAGGAAGAAGCTTATCAGATCAGTAGCTAATAAGATCGGCTTAGTGTTTAAAGTCGAATAATGTTATCATGTTTAAACTGACAGTGTGCCCTTCCGGATCATTCCGGAGCACAGGGACTCTTTTAAAAGCAGGTATCCTTTTCTGTGACTGGATTGTTTACAGATTTTGCTCGAATTCTGTTTTTTGCTTCTGTAACGTGACTTTAAAGTTAACAGAAAAGCTCCGCATTTCTGTTAGGCTTCTTAATCCCGGTGGAATTCTGGACTGATTTTCTAAAATACCTCACCCTTAAATACAAGCCACCCAGCGAAACCCGCGGAAATCCTGGGTAATCGTAAATCAGTCAAATTGCTTGACTTGAGTGTTTGGTTTTAGAAGGACATCAAACAAAAAAATTTTACAAACATTTTTAAGACAAAATTGTCCTGTTATTTTGTTTACGTAAGTTACAATTCAAAGAAATGTTGAACATTTTCTTGCAGGTAAAATTAGAATATAAACCAATGCAAAATGACAGTAAATTGGCGTGAATACTTCTTACATACCATACTAAGTGACATGAAGTCAATTTATGGCGCCAGTACAACGCGACGAACAAAGTCTTCAATGACAAAATTATAAATCATATCAATTTAAATAAAGAGCTCCTTAAGTGTACCCTTAAAAATCATTCTTCACGTAACAACTTGCCTGTATGTCTTGCGATTCACTTGATCATAGTAATTATCTTTTGATTTACTTTTATTTATATAATAGCTAAACAGAACTGTAGATGATCCTGTCTTAAACAAAAAAACTTCAAACAGAGGGTTTAATCAAATATTTACAAATAACCGCCTTTAAAAGGTTGTTGTGTTACATTGTTGTTCTTGTTGTATGAGCCAATCAGATCACTTGTTGTGAAATTAAACTTTTCAATCAGGGTGTACGATTTCTATTAACACATGCACTTGCAAACGCCCAAGCTGAAATATCACTCTTGTAAGATTGGTCTTTCTTCCATTCTCCTTGCCAAGAGATTTATTAGGACAGTATTAATTGGGTAACAAAGAGCCAAGTTTATTAATTTTGAGCTCATTTAGCGACGCCAAACAGCTCTAATCCTTGTCAAATATGCCGGGGGCACATGACGAGCAATAGGGCAGAACCCAAATATCAACAAATCATATGAACGTGTCAAATTTCACAATGCATTTCAGCTCCCTTGGGACGCGTCGGTTCTCAACCGTCGATCCGCGTGCGAGGTATTTTAGATTGCTGGCACTACAATTTTCTGGTTTTGCTCTGAAGGGCAGAAAAATGGTTGGAATTCTTTAACAGTCAGAGTTCTTTTGAGTTCAACTGGGAACCGAAGCATGGCACAGAATGGTCGCCATTCTCGGCCGTTCTACTGTCGTGAATGGGTGTTCGAAAAAATTCAAGCTTGCCTTGAGCGAAGACAACGAAAAGAAGATACAAAGACTAAAGGAGCGTTTGTTCTAGGTGGTCCTGGTTCGGGCAAAACCACCATTTTACGTGAACTTGTGTCTCCCAGAACTAAAGAGGGCATTCAGATAAAGCTTGCGAGGAAGGTTGTTGTTTCTCATTTTTGCCAAGCCCAAAACGCGCTCTCTGTTTCGGTTGCTGATTTCATTTCAAGTTTTGCCCAGCAACTTGCTAAAGCAGAACCACTCAAGTCTTACGCTGCTAAATTTAATGAACCGGAAATTCAAAATCATCTCACAACTGAACAGTGCGTAAGAAACCCGGACCGATCTTTTAAAGAAGGAGTTCTGCTTCCATTGAATTCACTGCCACCTCCTCCAGAAGTGTTTCTAGTTGTCGTGGATGCCATAGATGAATCTTTCCTGCATTCTTTCGATTCCGGCGTTTCATCTGGAAGCAGAACTGTTGCTGAATTAATGGCTACCCATCACGATCTTTTCCCTTCTTGGCTTTTCCTTGTTGTCAGTGCGAGAAAACAGTCTAAAACAGTAACGAGGATGTTTACAGGATTTCGAAAATTAACTTTAGATGATCTTCGAAAGGCACATGTGGTCAAAGACATTCAACAGTACATTTTAAATCGTTTGGATGATGAACCAAATTTGAGAAAGCATTTGACCAGGGAGACCGCTGAAGCTTTTAATCAGCTTCACATCAAAAGCAATGGCTGCCTTCTTTACTTGGAAAAATTGTTGGATGGTGTTGTGGATGAATTTTTTACGCTGGACGAAACACAAGAGATTCCAGGTACGTTATCTGGTCTGTACATGTGGCTTTGTAACAGGCTATTCACAGAGGAACAAATTGAGAAAATTCGTTCAGTTCTGAATGTGATATTGGCTGCGCAAAGGCCTCTTAATGATTCAGAAATGTTTGAAGCAGTTTGGACAAAAGACACAGAACTAACCATGGAAGAATTTCTGGAAACTCTGGATCTTATGTCGCATCACATCCTAAGTGAACAGAATGGTGCAAAGAGCATCTCTCATTTATCCTTTGCTGAGTGGTTGCTTGACATAAAGCACTGCACACCAAAGTTTCTATGCAGTCCGGCAGATGGACATGCAATGTTAGCATTGTATTATACTCTGCTCTCTCAAAGACAACAACTTACAAATCCTCATGAACTTGCATTTCATTTGAGCCGGGCATCCTTTAGGGAATTTTTTTCACAAGATCATCTTGCTTTGTGGCTTTTATGGAGCGGAACGCAAATTGCTGACTTGCAGCTCAATACAGATGCTTTGAATCAGGAAGTGGTTCAGCTTCTTGTAAATGCTGGAGCCAAAGTGAAGGAGCTTGAAGAACAGGAATCTGCCTTTGCACCCGAGACAGCAGAGTCTATTAAAGCTCTGTTAGAAAAGGGGACATCCGTTGATCGTGTTGACAGTTCTGGGCGTACATTGTTGTGCAATGCCGCATTTAATGGAAATGTTGAAGTCGTCAGGCTTCTTATCAAGCATGGCGCAAATGTAAACTTCTCAGACACATCTGGACAATCACCACTTATGCTAGCATCCAGGCAAGGCCATAATGAAATTGTGTACCTTCTAGTCAACTGTGGTGCCAAAGTCAATCACTGCGCTGATGATGGATGCACTGCATTGAGAGCGGCTGCCTCTGGAGGGCACTCTGATGTTGTTTCTGTTCTTCTGAACCATTCAGCACAAGTAGATCTTGCAGATGATGATCAGCGCACTGCTCTCCGAGGAGCAGCATGGGGTGGACATGCTGATGTTGTTTTACAGCTTCTTCAACATGGAGCTGATCCAAACCTTGCTGACAAGGAAGGTAGAACTGCTCTTATTGCTGCAGCCTACATGGGTCATAGGAAAGTTGTAGAAATACTTCTTGATAACAAGGCTGAAATAAATCATGCAGACAATGATGGGAGAACTGCTTTAGCGGTGACTGTTCTTTGCGTATCGTCAAGTGAGAATCATGAAGCTGTAGTGGATCTTCTTTTGAAACGTGGTGCAGAGGTAGACCATCCTGATTTTGATGGTATATCGCCTCTTTGCGTCTCAGCACTGGAGGGTTACTGCAATGTAGCAAAGTTGTTGATAAGCGCAGGAGCAGACACCGGCCACTGGGACAGAAATGGAAGGACACCTTTGTTTGCTGCCGCTGCTAATGGTCACAAGGATATTGTTGATTTGCTCTTGACAAAGGCAGAAGGTTTGTATTACACTAGGGTGATTAATGAAACTAGATGCATATTGCTAGTAAAAAAATGTAGTCAACAGCTCTCATTTTTTAGTGCTAACTCTTTTGGAACTTTTACTGTATCTCTAGTTGAACAAAAAACTTAAACCATGTAATAAAAGTAATGCTTTCTGTTTCATTGAACAATCTCTTAGAGCACTCTTTTGTTGAGGAACAAAACTGTTCTGTGAACATGACATGGTTTAAGTTTTGATTACAGAATTTCAAATCATAGAGATAGAATAGAACTGACATAGTTACATTAAAAATCAGTAAAATTTACACATTTAATGTGTGTCTGTATTGATAGAAGACATAGAGAGAGACCTTGATGATACTACTGAAATTCCTCTCTGCCTTTTAACACTTATGGAATGTTGTTTTTTGAACTGTTTTTTTTTTTCATCTCTTTTTTCAGAGGGGAAGCCTGATCCTTCTGGCTGGACATCACCAAGGTTTTCCATGTTTCGTCCTGATCACAATGGGTGGAATCCGTTGATGGTGGCTGCACATCAAGGTACTAAAGATCCTTGGCCAGATTTCTTAAGTGCTTTGAAAATACAGTGGAGGCGTGTGTGGCCGAACGGTTAACACCTTGAACTCCGGAACTGAAGGTCCGGGTTCAAGCCTCACCTGTTGCGTTGTTTCCTTAGGGGGTGTTTACACGACACCGGGGCGACTTTTGCCCCAGAGCGAGTTCACTCTGGTTCACTTTCATGGCTCTATATTATTTTGTTTACATGATACCACCACAAAATGTCATGCCACCGTGAGTCACCCCATTGTGAGTTCACCTCGGTTCTCGTACCGGGGCCAGAATTTGACTCCGGTATGAAGTCTGGCAGTGGTATCATGTAAACGCGAAATGACTATCCATTTTGGTGTGAAATTGGACTGCCGGTAGACGGGAACGGGTGGCGCATGCGTAATGTTTGTGATTTTGAATCACATGTGTATTTTATCAACATGAAGTGTACCTTCAAGTAATGAGATATGAAATGACCCAGTCATCATGTAAACACGATACAAAATCAAAAAGTCATCCCGGTATGAGATTCGTGCTGGTGTGAGTTTTCTTGTGTAAACACCCCCTTAGACATGGAACTTTACTCCACTTTGTCTTTCTTCACCCAGTTGTACAAGTGGGTACCAGTGAAATACTGCTGGGGGGTAACCCTGTGATGGACTAGCATCCCGTATGGTGAGGGGTAGCAATGCTTCAAGGCATTCTTCATGACAAGGAAATCTGGATAAGCTCCAGCTGTTTGGTTCTTTGGCTTTTGTGCACCTTTACCTTCACCCTTACCTTGGGAAATATAGGCCTGTATTTTATATATGTTGAATCAAACTTTCAAAAGTTGTTTTGAGTGTAAGCCCTTAATCATCCCATGTTATCAAGGGGTTGCGGTTTGGGTGTAGTATAGTTGGTAAATTTATTGGTGCAGATTTGCTACTGGAAGAGACATGATAACAAAAATAGTGGGAGTAAAATTACTGCATGTAATTTTTATTATTATTGGATTGTATTATTTTGTTGATTGTGTGGGGATTTAAAGGAGTGGTAATTTACAAGTGTGTGGGTGCTTGACTATAACCCACCTTGACTAGGGGTGAGCTGTGGAGGACTCTTCAAGATCTCACCCATCTGAGCAGCCTGGGAGATAAAATTCTTAAGCCAGGCCCTCAAAATTTGAACTGAAGCTTGCATTACCAGACAAACAGCTCATGGACTTGTTAGTTTGCTGGTAGAGGGAAGATATGCAAATGACACATTAATAGGGAGCATAAGCAATGATGACTGCGACGGCAACAAGAGCGGCAAAAAAGCAATAGGTTTAGATTTTAGGCAAAACAACAACTTTACACTTTCATCATGCTATTTTGTACATTTCTTTGCCATCACTGCACGACTACAACATGAAACTTTCTTAATTTCACATTTTATGGAGGATGAGAATGCAAGACAAGGAGTTTCTTTTTTTTTTTGTGAACTTAAATACATTCCTTTAGAATTCGACTTCCTAAAAAAATTACCAACATTTGACAAATTAAAAGAGTTGGAATAGGAGCAATGAAGTTGGAAACAGCGTGAATTCACTTCTGTTACCTTGCTCATTGCTTAAGCTCTCCAATGTCAGAAGGGCAAGGTGGTTGGAGCCTCTGGTCCCATCTTTGCACAATAATTTTGAAAATAACCTGTGATCAGGTGCTCCCTCTTCCTTCTTTTTCCTGAAAAGGCCTGATTGCAGGTTATTTTGACAACTTCCCTCAGGGAGATGAGCTAAAATTAATTTATGTAATGACAGGGCACAGGAATACAGTTTTGTCACTCATAGAAGCAAATGTTGATATCAATGCACTGGACCCTGATGGTAGATCAGCCCTCATGCTGGCTGCTCAAGAAGGCCATGATGATGTTGTGTCGGTACTGATAGAACATGGAGCTCCCATTGAACAAGCGTCTTCTGATGGCCGCACAGCTCTGCACTATGCTGCTATGGAGGGGCATGAGGCCTGTGTCCAACACCTTGTCAGTCTTGGTGGTGATGTAAATCATCAAGACAGCCTTGGACGTACTCCTCTGTTTGCTGTCTCCGTTGAAGAAAACAAGTCAATGATTGAACTTCTGTTAGATCTAGGAAGTTTCGTCGACACCAAGGACACTGAAGGAAGAAGTCCCCTGCATGCTGTTGCTTGGAAAGGTTCTTATGAACTAGTCGAGTTGTTGCTTGACAAAGGAGCGTCAGTGAATCACGCGGATTGCGAAGGTCGCACAGCACTGATGTCAGCAGCCTGGAAAGGTCATGTGTCTACAGTACAGCTATTAATTCAACGTGGTGGCAAGGTGGATAAGATGTCTAATGAGGGTGCCACAGCTCTTTGTATTGCTTCACAAGAAGGGCATGATGAAGTGGTGCAGATTTTATTAGAACATGAAGCCAACATGAATCACGCAGACAAGCTTGGAAGAACTCCAATGCAAGTCGCTTATGAAGCAGGTAAATAGACTTCTTTCAGTGTACTTTCTTAACATTGTTTCATGAGCAAACCTTTGTTTACAATTTTTCCCACATTTGCAGATGCTTCTCATTTTGTAACGAATTTACAACAATTTCAGTTCTCAATATTCTGTGAACAAAGCACATTTAGGTCTTTCCGAATTGTTGTCTATAGTGAAAAAAAAACTTGTCAATTTTATGAAGAATATATGGGCTCATTAACAAACTTACCACCCAGAACTTTTGTTTATTCCAACCCTGATATTTGACATTTGACATTTGAAGGGCTGTTTATATGATGTCGGACTTTCATTCTGGAATGAGTTTTGTTTTGTTAGCTGTCAACAACCATCACTGTATGCAGACCGGAACATAAATAATGATCCAGATACAGTTCGTTGAATTTCAAAAACATATATCATGTACTTAGTTACCATTTGCCAACTTCACTAAGCTAATGCTTTTCTTTGTAAATATTTCAGGTTTTTAAGCTTAAAGTGCTCTAAAACACAATTGCATGCCACATCAAACAACACCTTTGCATCCACCATTTGAAATGTGCTCCAGGAAAATAGATATATGCTGCCTGCTCAATTTGAGCAGGCAACGATGTGAATGGTGGTATTTGACAATAGCAAACTTATGTGTCCAGCTGTGTGGTTGGGGGGGAGTGTGAGCTCATTTCCTGAGCAGCAGCTGATAATTGCGCCTAACACCTGAATTAACTAGTTTTCTTTCTCTAATTGACCAGGTCATACAAGGGTAACTAAAGTGTTGGAGGCATTCAGTGTAATGAGACTTAATGATGGAAACTTCACCAGTACACTAAAGAGAAAGTTGTCATCAGCTCAATCAGAGAGTGGTAGTACGGTCTCAAACAGCAGTCTCACAGAGAAACCTCAAAGATCTGATAGTGTCTCTTCATCAAACAGCTCTGATTCCCTGGCTGCATCAAGAAAGGAACTGGAAGTTCCAGGATCGCCACAGTTTGGGCCGCACGGAGAGTTGTTAGAAGAAAGACGTTACTCAGCCAGTTTCCGTGACTTGCACTCTGTTCAAGCAATGAAAGAGCCTTGGGGTGGAGCTTGCCCCCCTTATACGTCAGAAACGAATGTCCTTGAACCACCGCCATATACAGAGAAGCCAGTGAGAAGTTCCCTTGTGGAGGATGATGTAGTTGCAACTAAGCCCTTGCCACAGAGCAAGCAGAAACAGTTTTCCCTACTGCACAAAATGAGGCAGAAGGGTAAAAGTGCTTTTACATCAAGCAGCTCTCAGGGTCAGGAGAAACGTGGAAAAACTGTTGCGAAAGTTAAAAGTCCTACTGAAAAACGAGGATTTATTTCTGGTATCAAGAAGCTGGGAGTAAGTTCATCTCATAGCGCTAGCTCATCAAAATCTCGTGATGGAAAAACTGGTAACTTAAAAGACCCAAAGGAGTCATTTGAAACAAAAATATGAATTTACTGAGTAATTTTGAACTTTTGGTGGTAACATGTGGTGAATCAATGTTGTCAAGTGGAAATTACAGATTTATTTGTGATATTATTGTTAAGTCTTGAACTTAGGCTTTAGTTAACAAAAAAGCCAGTTTATTATAGAAAGGAATGAAGACCTGTTTTTTGACTGTTGTGTCTTAAGGACACAAGGGTGTGTTTCTTTGGGACAATCTAAAGGTTAATTGTTGAATACAAAAGCAATTTGTTTAAACACAGACTGTGGATTCACTAGATCAAAATTCAAATCTGGATTAGTCTTATATGAACCATGATGTGATTCTTTAAGTGCTTATGCAAGAAAAGTACAGACCTAGAAAGTGAATTTTGGGAGAAAATGTGACAACTGCCATGCTGTAGTTTTGTTCCAGTATAGCTGTCACTTAAAATAATTTCTTTTTGGATTTTATGTTCTTATATCGTAATGAGTCCATCTAATCTTGGATCTCCCAAACAAACACAACCTTACCGTTTGAGTTTTATAGGATTTTTGTTGGTCAATAAATTGATTATTTGTTTCTAGACTTACGTAATTAAGCTCTTATTTAAATGATCTTGACCAAACATTATGGTTTGGTTTCATTGGCTGTGTATATTTTCTAGTCTTGCCATGAGATCACCCAAATTTTTATGGGCCATTTGAAGCCAAACACAGAGCTGCAGTAGGTCCTTTAGAACATCTGAAGTTGTTTTTACATTGTGTGTAAGAATAATATTCATAGCCTGAGGAAACAATAGTCACTTTGCGATGCAACTGCTGTTTTCCTTGCAAAATGATGTCTGAGGAACAAGCGCAGAATTTCTTTACTGATGACTTGTCTCTACCTTGATCTGGGTAGTGCTTCTGATTAGTCATGCTGCAAGGGAAACTTGCCTTCAACCAATCAGAAGTACTACCAAGATCTGGGTAGTAACATGTCATCAGTATGGAATTTCTGCACTTGTTTAGACCTCAGATGTCATTTCGTGGGGAAACCAGCAGTGGCATCATGAAATGTCAGCTGTTTTCACCAGCTGAAATATTCAGAGCTGTAAATAACAGATGATCATTGAACTATGTCTTCCTGAAATATACCTGTCATCCTATAAAATCCTACCTGTGGTCTAACATGATAAGCAGACATTGAACACCAAAACAATCATCTTGAAGCTGGAGATTTGCAGACTATTTTTCATTGATAATGTGTGTCTGAGAAATTTGCTGTTGAGTGAGACCAAAATCTGATCATGGGTATGTCCTTTTATTAAGTAAATGAAATTATTTGCAGCCCTGAATGTTGACAAAAACAAAAGAATTTGCTAGTTTTCTCACACTGTTTTTTCCCCACAAAAAATGTAGTGACCAGCAATTTTGTTAAATAACTATGATGATTATTAAAAATGTTATTTAAGCATTTGTATGCTATCTTTTAAGGAAAAAAAGTAATATGGAAGCAGGAAAAGAATTTAATGTGGGTGCTTCTTTTGTATTTTTCTAAGAATGTTGTGTTATCAAGAGCATTTTTTATGACATGATGTATAGAATTTTAAAGACAAGGCTAAGTTTACATAATTAAGTTTCAAGGCAGTCTACTGCAATGCCTTGCAATTTAAGTCAAAAGAATAATATTATAACACAATGCAATGAAAAAAAAATTCCGAGCTTTGCTTACCAGTTACATTTTCTAAAAGTTGAATTAAGGGTAAATTTTTCTATATCATGGTGATTTTAAATTTGAATGTTCTGTGCAAAAATGCACAAGAATTCCCTGCAATCATAGACCCTTTCACCTTCCGAGGGCCTCTGCTTGCACGACAAGGTAATAATAATATTTTATTAGCAACTCAAATGTGTGGTCAAGGTATGTTACAAGAATTGATCATTATATGAAAATAATGGAAATACAATTTAAGTGAATTTAGACCCCATATCAGTGCTTACTTAAGAGATGGTTCAGGAGCTGTAGTTAGGTTTCTTGTATGTGCAGGTGTACTAAAATGCATTTTCTATAGGGTATTATGAATATTAAATTATTTTAAAATTTCATTGACTTGAGTTATTCACTTGTCCATGCAACTTCTATGCTGCACGCTTAAACTTTGATACATTAGAGAATCATTTTTGGGTATAAAGTACCAGCTTTTGAATCTGCAGACAGAATTTTGTAGTATTTCTAATACTTGGTACTATTCTTACAGTACTTGATTCCTCTAACTTATGAGATTCTGTGGATATTCAAATAAAACCTCTGTCAGTACTCTATATTATTTGATTCTGGACAGATCCTTTCCTATCAACGTTACTGGTAGGGGTAGCCCATGACATAAATATTTCCAATTTTCTTTTCGGGGGGAGAGGATTACTCCAATCTATACAAGGGCTAGATAAGTACTTTCTGCCCGATAGGGTACTCAATCTGTAATAAGGGTATCATTATTTTATTTTGCCCTTTTTCAGTTTAGGGTCAGGGCTTTAGACCCAGGGCACCACATACCTATCCGAAATTTATGGGTGTACCCTCCTTTCCCAATCCCACCTCCCCCAACCACTAGACCATTCCTTGACATTCTTACTACACATCAATGCGTGGTACATGAAAACGTTGTGAAGTCAGCGGTATGTTGTGGGAAGTTCAAATTTCCAAGATGGCGAATTCGTTAACCACTTTTCCTTCGCTTCTTCCTCGAATCGCTGATGACCTTTGGTTTACTTTAGAAAAAAGATTAGATGATGATGCTGCCCTGACAAAAGAGGAGGAACAGTATACTGCATTGGTGCGTCTTCCAATCCTTAGCTTGTTGATTTTTTGTTGATTTTTCTTTGGATAAAAAATAAGACGCTAATAATTGTTTTGGGCACATTACAAATTCTTTTTACGGTTAGTTGTTGAAGTCTTTTGTGTATGTAAGTGTCAACGATGAGCTTCATATTTGTAATACCCGGATACATCTATCAGCGTCTTGTAAAACGAAGAATATAAAACAGAAGAATCTATTATTGATGTGGAAAGCTAAGTTGTGGCCGGGTAGTTTATAAATGAAACTTAACATTATCTGCATTATTCACCGATGCAATGAATTGCCCAAATGTTCGCTAACATTATTTAGCATTATTAAACGCGTATTATCTTAGCACTTATTGAATAATTTTTGAACGAATTTAAAATTCCCTAATCCTGACAGTGTAAGAAGATTCTGGATAAGGGCAGTGACATTCCTCCAATTGGAACAAAAAAAAGCAAAGATAAACAAGAGGTAAGCTCTGATTGAGTCACTTATATTTTTATGGTAAACAGAGAACCTAGGGGTTGTCAGAGATGCCAACCTTTGGAAATCTAAAAACTTGGATACTCTCTCTATTGCATTACCCCCACCCCCAAATATCAATGACCACCCCCCCCTGATCCTGATCCCCCAGTAAGAACAATTCGATCCTGTCCCTAATTTATCACATGGGAATGGCTTAGGACATTATATGAAGTCTTACAAGTGGTACAGACCAAAATTCGCTTTTATGATTGTAATGGCAAAATAATCTTTGTCAGTGATGAAATACGTGCAAAAATGCCCCAGAAACCGAAATATGAATGGAAAAAAAATTCGAATTTTGGGAGAAAATGGGGTAACTTCAAAATTGAAGCACAGAAAAGCTCATAACTCCATTTTCCCATTTTATTTGGGAGATTTGGTGACCCGTCCAGGAGACCAGCAGATTGGTGTTGTATCTGGGAGATTCCCAGATAATCCAGGAGAGTTGGCATGTATGGGTTTTGTACTTTCCTTGTGAGTCCCATTGAGAGGCCTTACACTAAGAAGAAAATCTCTGAGGGGGCCATGGAAAGTGTCTGTATTGATGGGGTGAATAAACTAAATAAGTAAATAAATAAATAACGATTTGCAGGTAGCACATCCACATAGTGGTTCTTCGTCTACCTGATTCCTGGTCGAATTGGAATTTGGAAATGTTGGTTTTTGAGGAGAGGAGAAAACCGGAGTACCCGTAGAAAAATCTCTCGGAGCAAGGGAGAGATCCAACAACAAACTCAACCCACATATAGCGTCGATGTTGGGATTTAAACCCGGGCCACATCAGTGGGAGGCGAGCGCTCTCACCACTGTGCCACACTTGCTCCCCATTAAGTGGGTTTAATTTGGAGAAAATTTAAGGGCTTTCTTTCCCCAGGGACAAAGCAAATTGTCTGTAATAATGAGGTGTCTGTATTAAGCAGATGTCCATAAAGCGGTGTTTGATTGTACTTAAAATTAGGTATCTGCTACCCAACTGTTATTAAGATGCATCCTAATTTTGTTGTACTTTTTTCCATTGATAGAGAATGGAGGAAGAAGATGATGATCTTGAGGATGATGATGAATCAAATGATGATATGGAAGATGAAACTGATGACTATGAAAGTCCTGCGACACCTGATGTGGAGTCTGTTGAAGGAGAGGTGATTATGTTGATTTTTTGTGATGTGATTTTAAGTATTTTTACATCATTACAAGGAAGGATGCTCAACACTATAGTCTCTTGTAAACCTTGAACTTGCATGGGGATAAAAGGTTTAATGTTAAAGGTTTGATTATAGTGGAAAGTGCACGTAGCTTATCCTGCTAGTTTACAGGCACTCCACTCAAATACTTAGAAAGAAATAATTCAAATATAACATAACAGGATTAAAAATCCCAACTGGCAGGAGACCCCAGTTGGTGGCTATTTACCGTCTGTTGCATCTAAGCATGTGCATGTGAGGAAATAACATGTTCTAATTGGGTGCAAGCATGACATGTTTTGCCACCAAACATTTGAAGTTTGGAGTAGGCAGCTGTTGTCGACTTGATTTGTTTTTGCTCAACAGAATATTCTTTGCAAAAATTTTTAGACTTTAAGAAATAGCAGGTCTCGAATCCTTGCCTGCATGCAGACGTCTCCTATTTCCTTTGTTGCACGCGGAAAGGACCATAAGATTCCCTTTTCCGTGAGACGTCTGCACGCAGGCCACTCGAATCTAGGACCATAAGATTGTGAGTCTGACACGCTGACCTGTCGGCCATGTTGCCTCAGACAAAACCTAGAGAGCACATCTTACACCTCATTAGGGATGTCTGATGATTGTCCTTGCATTATTTCGAGCCTAATATCCACTGTAACCGAAGTCACGCGTATTAGTGTCCAACCGCTTTATTTTACAAATCACACTCCTACGGTACTGTACAACCAAAAATACAAAGAATACGAAATTACCAAAAATGTAGAAATCAGTACAAAATCACAAATACATCAAAGAAAACGGAAAAGTGTACAAATGGCGTATGACTAAAATTTACCTTAACGGTTTCTTGACTTAACGTTAAAAGGAATGAGCTGTTCTTGACCGATAAAAACTGTAAAAAACACTGACCGACAAGACTAAGTTTATACCAAAAAACTTGACAGATTACATAACATTATGCAACGATGGTGGCACCAAAAAGAAAGCAAACAATATAACAAAAGAAAACTATAAACAATTACAACTAATTGCAAGTAGACGCGAACAAGAAAAACAAAGAAAACTCTAAGTTCTAGAAGTTTCGCTTTAACATCCACTATCTGAAGTATCAAGCATATGCTGACATAATACTCACAATTTTAGCTCGATACTTTTATAATAAGATCCGGGAAGGGTACTCAACAACATTTTACACAGGGAGGCTCTGCTCAGATGTGCGACCCCTTTCGCTTTTATATACCATTTTTGACAGAACAGGGTAGTCCTTTTATATACCTTTTATTGACAAATGGTACCCCTTTCACATACTTCAGTAATAACAAGCAGGGGCACCCAACGATGGTTTCCTTCTAAATGCATTGAAACACTTTTTAGGCTATCCAGAGTACTTTGAGATCTCTAGAAATGCATTCTAATCGGCGCTATAAAATTTGTATCTGTTCGGTCGTCCCAGGGCAACTTGAGTCTTTCCAAAATTACAAGGGCCTCCATATTATTTTTCCTAAAATTTTAGATGCAATTTTAAGTTTTACGAAAGAGTGAATTTTTCTGATTCCTCTCTTAATCGCATTTCTGAATCCGAAAATTTTAGGTTTCCTTTTCCTACGGAAAATAGGCTAACTCGCAGTACTGTAATGCAAAAAATTAAACTTTAGAAAATCTTAGGGAATTTATTAGATATGTTAAGAAAATTGAAAATGAATGGAACGGCCATCTAGAAATTTTTAGCCTTCCTCAAGCTATAGAAAATTCTAGGCAATTTTTGCTTCTCCAGACAGATATATTACAGAAAATGGTCTTTTGGTGCTCCTGAACAAGGTGTCCGTATTAAGTGGGTGTCTCTAAAGCGTTTTTGACACTGCTTAATCTTTACATTGGGAGCAGGCCAGACTCTCAAGCCCCTTTCTACAACATACATGGACCCAAAAATATCGGTCTTAAATGGATGTGGCTGTACATCATGGAAAAGCCAGTCTACATCATGTTTTGTTTATCACATGAATTGTGAAGTGAACATTAAAATTGGGGACAGCATTCGAAACAAGAAGTACAATAATATTTTTATTATTATTTTTTTATATCCAGATTGAAATGGATTCAAGTCAAATTTAGAGGAGCAAAGTTCAGCTGCTACAACTGGTGTCATTTGCAGTGTTCCCATGTAAAGGATCTGACACTGTATAAATGTCCACTGTCACACATTGAACATTGTAAAGTGCAGAGAAAAATTGCCGGAATCAACACTCTGCTCAGTCGATGCCAATCATAAGTCTCTCTTTTAAACTTGACTGTGAATATTTATAAGAAGGAGCTGTTCATATGGTGGCATGCCTGAAACACCGATATTATCACAGGAGAAAAGAAGATGAAATTCCAATATTGCAACTGCCAATACAACTAGCAAATGTTGACACTGCACACCTTTCTCACCTTGTGTTTTGATTAAAAACAGATATGTCATTCACTAGGCATATAATCAACTTCTCCTTCTCCCGGAAAAGGTATAACAGATGCAAACCAAGAGTTCATGTGGAGTAAATAATGATTTGAAAGGCTGTATATAAGCTGCACTCTACAGTCAGTGTATAAAATGAAACACCGTTCAGAATCTTTATCTATACGTGTTTTGCTCCAATAAAACTCACTGTTACGGTATTTTCTAGTGAATTACTTCCTACAGCAAAAGATTTGCAGTTGCCCCATGCTAGACGATTCTTAACATAAACAATTTGACCCAAGCCGTCTCGTATTACGATCTCAATACTTTTAACTTGCCCTGCTAAACATGATGTTAGACCTAGGGAATTTTTCTAGGCATTAACGGTTTTGGCGGGAAGCACGAACGTCTAGCTCTTAATTAAACACAAAATCAGCATTGGCTAAGACTTTTGAAAGATTTGGTGGCTCCTAAAAGAGCCGTTGTAAGGTGGGTTGCTGTTCTTAGTCTCTAATATTCTTGACTCTGGGAAGACGTCTTGGATCCTTTCTTGTCCGTTTTCTTTGGAAGGAGAACAGCCTGGATGTTCGGAAGAACGCCTCCTTGAGCGATCGTAACACCAGCGAGAAGCTTGTTCAGTTCTTCGTCGTTGCGAACTGCCAGTTGAAGATGGCGTGGAATGATTCTTGATTTCTTGTTGTCTCGAGCAGCATTGCCCGCCAATTCCAAGATTTCAGCGGACAAGTACTCCAAGACAGCAGCGAGGTAGACGGGTGCACCAGCGCCGACACGCTCAGCGTAGTTTCCCTTGCGAAGAAGACGGTGGATTCTACCGACTGGAAATTGAAGCCCCGCACGAGAAGAACGGCTTTTGGATTTTGTGCCCTTGGCTTTGCCTTTACCGCGACCAGACATGATGAACTTTAGAAATTTCCTTTGACCTCCTTACAGCTATCAAACTTGTAACGAATAATGGCACGATTTATGGCAATGTTCATTTTATGGCCTTGACTAGGATCGAAATGCACCAATCAGATTCCGTCTTTTATCCGAAAATCAACCAATAGAAATACACTCCTGTTTCCTCTGAGGTCCGTTTCCCAATTATGCAGGTTGAAACGAAATTATTCACGCGATTTTGTTGCGAATTTCGGCAAAACAGTCCTGGGGAAACTTCTTTTTTTAAATCTGCAAATTCACATTATTTTGAACGACATCCTAACGTTCTTAGCCCTCAATGATCTGTGTTTCGCTCTCATCCATCAGATTAAAATTGCTTTTGTTTTGGCGCGTACGAATAACTGAAGGTTAGCGAGGGTCATTGAACTTATTTAAATTAGACAAATTGTAAAATAATTTAATTCGGAACATGACCACTCAAAAAAAGCGGAAAACTGTGACTTTCTGTTGCTTGTTTGCCTTTTCCCTAGCGCTCAATCACGTAATCTCCCTGATATCTCTTGTGTATGTCTGTGCCCGTGTCTATTCTAAAATAAAATCCGAAGGCCTATTTCAAGATCTAAAAACAAATATAGATCAAACAGGGTCAGATCAACTTTCCCGTTTTCGTCAGTTTATATACTGTAAGATGATTTGGGCTGTAGTGATGTGGACTGATGTGAGATTCGGTCACTTACCATTGAACAGCAAATGAATACGGCAGGGTTATTTTGCAGAACGCCGAATGACTCTGAGTTAAATGATTAGGGTTAGGAAACTGAGTGAATTGAAAAATCAACAGAGTGGAGGTTGAACATGCAAGAAAAGTTTTACATTGGGGGAAGGAGTAATACATGATAACGAGTGAACGTAACAAGCAAAAGCCATTCCCCACTCCACTCACTCCCTGGGACACATTTCAATTTCCATTTCTATACTACTGGCGCCCACGCATTCGATTCTCTACCTTTTCATTTCAGTTTTAATATCAACTTATGAATCAATTTAAAAAATAGCGTTTATATTATATCCAGCCGCGCCTTGATGATCTGAAAGTTTTCCTAACTTGAACGAAAGAAAGTTTATGGTTTAACACCTGCTTCAAACTTTTCAGGTAGGCAAACCAACGGAATAGGCATCATTTCAGTTTCTTTACATACATATCATCAATCGTGATGAAAGCTGATTTAATAGGTTAGAAAAAGAAAGTATTCTGAAACCTCTTGAATTTTCTAGTACTTGATGTTTGCTAAATTTTCTTTTTCCATCGACACTACAAATAAATAAGCGAAAAGAAATTGCAAAAATTAAATAAAATACAGAACTGCGGAACACAGATGCCTCTCAAAGTACGGAACTACTTATTAAGAGTTTCCGACGGTACTGTCTGACAGCGTCTAGATGCCAGCATTTGTAGACTGCCTCATAAGATACTTTCCCGATTTCCTTCAGTTTAGTTATTATCAATATTTTGCACAATGTATACATATACTAAAATAATCAGCTAAAGTAATATGCATAAACAAACATCGGCTTTTTTGCGGCTGACATTGGCTGAGAAATCTTTTAAAATTCTGAAACACTTCACTAAATATTCTCTCTTGAGTTTCGGTTTTAGAAAATTTTTCGCCGCCCAGTAATTGAATTTACAGGGATTTTTATGTACCAACAAATCGGAACTGAATCTCTCTCCCAACAGAATATACGGAGGACAGAATTAGCAGAGGAAGTTTAAAAAGTTAAAACTAGGTGAACAAGTCCGTATATTTTCCGGAATTAAGAATGAGAATTCTTGGAATATCATTTTGTACTTCCGCTGTGTTGTACAGTATGTACAAGACATGACTGGTATATATTAAAATGCTTTGTGTACTTAAAAGTAAAACACCACACTCCTTAATAGGAGCCTGTAGATAAAGCTATATATAGATAAGATAAAGTCATAAGTTCTATTGCACTTTTGTTTGCTCGTTTGTAGTTTGATGTGCACTACTAAGGAGGGCTTGTCATTTGAATATCACTTCCGGCTCGTAGTCTAGTATGAAATGTCTAAGTGTTATTTACCCACAAGATTTGTTGATCCTGCCAACAAGAGCTTGAAATTTAAATTTAAAGTTGTCAGTTGTACAGTTCGTCGAAGAAGGCCCCGAATAGTTGACAAATCGCCGGCGATCAGAAAAGTTGAATTAACAAAGCAAATGGAAACTATCCTCCAGAGAATCTCGACTCATGAGATGGCAGGATGCTCAGACAAGAAGCCGATAGTTCGTTTAGTTAAGCAGCAAAGTCCTGAGAGACGATGTTCCAATCGAACTACTGACAAGATAAAAGCCGACACTAAACCAAAGAGAATCACTGCTTTGAGTGGGAGACCCTCGCACCATCGCAGGTTAGAAGTGAAGCAAGAGGACTGTACACGTGGACGAAATCTAAACCCTGGAAAAACTCTACCGGCTCCTGCAGTTCGTAAACCAAGGAATGCGGTTAGAGAGAGACGCGTTGGTCAGTGCTCCGCAAAGAGGTAAAGCTCAGCCATTGAACAAAGACCCATCGGGTTGTTGTTATTATTATTATTATTATTATTACTTTATTAGCATTATTATTTTGTTTCGTCCTGACCTATTAACGTTCTGATTTGTTAAAACTTGAAGAACTTTGCTGGTTCACTAAATAAAATATTCGTAATTGGCCCTTTTTTGCTACCGAGGAGAGAGAGAGGGAGAGAGATTCCTTTTTACGGATACTTTCCGTAGTAACTATAACTTTTTTCCAGGCAGATTTTCATCTTCTATCCAGGTCAAAGCTGTTTTTATTCCTTGAATTAAGGGGTAGGGAGAGATCCGCCCTCGTAATTACTTTCCTCCCGATTTTGGTCTAAAAATAACCGCCGTAGGGGGCAAGGCGGGGAATCCCCCGGGCCATTCTCTATATCGGGCAATGAACTCGTGTATCAAGTGGTAAGTTTGTTAGTTGACCGCTTATATTACTTGGAAAATTTCTGCACGATTTAAATTTTGTACGAAAATAGGGTCAGAAAGTAAAACTGACGGTCTGTTAGTATGGTACCCATACTTCTGCATTTTTCGTACACAGAAACCGGACTCCAGAATTACCTCAGACCTGTCCAAAGCAAAAAAGTCCCGAAAGACCACGTCGTCCTCCAATTTTTTACCAAAAACCTGCAGTGATAAAAGATACAGGAGCAGCAGCTGCTTCGAGCACACAACCTCCAGGTTGGCCGAGGTTTCAAGTCCCGAAAGAATATATTCATGCAAGAGAGGGTGTTGGAAATCGAATCCCTGAGAAAGAGGCGGAACCGGTTTCACCTCCAGCTTCTAAACCACGCCATCAGGCTACGAAGAGACATGTTCCCCAGTATTCCCCTAAGAGGTAAGGATATGAAATCAGTCCGGTTGGCTTTCTAAAAGGGTAAACTGAGAACAGGCTCCTTGGTGGAGAAAAAAGGCGAAAATTATTTGAAACTGGGTGCAAATCGAGAACTTGTGTGAATGAAACGCTATAGAAATTGCAATGGAACACCCTTGAAGAAAGACAAAAGAAGAATAGACCAACCATGTTCTATAAAATCTAAAATGACCAAACTGGGATAGGCATTGGGAAATATCTGAAGCCATTGGGTCGAGTTAGCCGTTATGTTAATAACCAAACTTACGAGGATACTCCTATTTTTATAGAACAATAAGAGAGCGAAACAATTTAGCTCTTCTTTGATAGCATTTACAAACTGCCTTTCATTTGATTTATAATGTTGTTTAAATATTTATTTTTTATTTATTTATTGAGCGCTGGCCAATTTGCAAGAATCGTCAATTTGATGGAGGCAATTTTGGCAGATAGATAGACTGGGGAGGGGGAAAGGGCGGCGGCCGGTCCTCTCCTTCCTCAATCCCTGCTCGGTTCGCCTTTTTATTCCCCGTTATTCGTCCTTTTACCCCAGAAAAGAGCCAGGTCCTAGGCTACTAAAAAACAGAGAGATTCTTGAATAATATTTTTACCCTACAATACATTTTCCATCTCCCTCCGTAAATAATGACCCGTCTTGCTAATACTGAGTAAGCAGAAATGGTTATGGTCCGACTGGTAAGTTTACCACGACGTTCCCTTCACAGTTTCGCAGCCATTAGTTATGTAAAGACTTTTTAGAATAACGGGCAGTTTCTTTCTTGTATTTTGTGTTTTTAGGCCTTTGGATCTGACCAACCTACACACAATGCAAGTCCCTAACGAATCTGCATTTTCAAAATTTTTTAACGAGAAGGTCTCTTTATCTCAAGCTGATATAGAGCGGAATTCGAAAATTGTAAACAGATTCATTCCGGAGATCTTAGATGCGGTACGCGAGACAGACGCCCGCAAGAGACACCCTGAAAGAGAAATTTTTGCTTTAGATGTACTACGCACAGGTAACACGTAATCATAACTCGTTCTTAAAAATCTTACCCGGCGATGGGGTAGTTGCATATATTATGTTCTATTTGCCGCAAATCCATTTTTAGCCAGGGCGATTGCTGTGAATACGCTCCCCTCACGTTTCTCATACTTTTGTTAGACTGAAAACCAAAACACATTTGTGTTTTCTACCCCAGGTAGCTATTACGAGGGACTGAAAGTTTGCCGTCCGGATGAATTTGACGTTATGGTTGTGTTGCATGCTCCTCGTATCGAACGGTTTTTTGACGTGAAGTGCCCATCAAGACCACGTGACACATTAGGTTACGCAAGTGTTGAATTGAAGACATGGGTGGAAGGAGGACGAAGGATGTGGGGAGAATTTCTTACGAGCGATGGAAAATATCTATCGCCTAGGAAAGTTATAAGGCGTTTCTTTTCTTTAGTACGAGAAAGCGTGGCAGCGATGGATAAAAAGCAAAAACAACGTATCTCCAATCTGAAAGAGCCCAAGGGTCCAGCCGTAACGTTTACTATAGACGGCAAAATTGATGTGGATCTTGTGTTGAGCTTGGAGATCTCAGGCTGGCCGAGTTGTGCAGAACGCTGGGGAGTCTTTGCTACAAACAGGACTTGGCCAACAGAGGAAGAAGTGGAGAAAATTAAGCTGAAAGATCGCAGGTTTCATCTAGTTGCAAAACCGTGTGCTGCAGAGGAGAGCAAACCCACAAACTCTCAAAAGTTCTGGCGGATTTCTTTTTCGGAAGCAGAGAAGACACTCTTGAGCAAGGCTAGCGACGAAAAAAAATACTTTAGAATTGCAAAGGCGATTTTTGAAGGCAAGAAAGACCATTTAAAACCTCTTACGTCGTTTTATTTGAAAACATTATTCCTTGACTTGCGTTCTGAGAATCCACGAGCCATTAATAAGGAGAACCTCCTGGGAATTAATGTAGTCAAGTTTTTTTCAAGTTTGATTGCTCGTTTGAGACGAGGACAACTTCCGCATTATTTTGTTCGTGACGAAGACCTGCTTTCCAGCCGGATTAAGAATCATGAAAAGCGATTAGATCTGGCGTCAAAATTGGAGGTCATTGTTAAGGAACTCATCCGCGACCCGCGAAAAATTCTGGGGGAACTTAAACTGTAAAATAGAACATTAAAGGAAATTTTACAGAAAACGCAAGTAAAAACGTTAAGTAACAAAGTTGACTAATTGCCCTTGAAAGTTTATGGTTGTTGTTGTTGTTTTGTTTTTTCACGAGATCTAATAGCCTCATTACAAGGGCAATGTACTTCTTGCGGTTTAATTTTAGATCTGGTTCAAATGATTTCTTAAACCAGTTAATTCTTTTTGAACAGGTTATTTGTTAACTACACTTAGACAGGGTCGACCAGTCGGGGGGGGGGGTAGTGGTATACCAGTATACCCGAAAAAAATTCGCCAAAATACCCAAAAATACCCAAAATTCATCCAAATATACCCAAAATTATACCCAGGTATACTTTATACCTGAAATTTAAAGAGAGTGATATACCGAATACCCGTATTTAAGCTGCAATATACCGTATACCCGATTTAAAAAGCCCCTATATACCGTATACCCAAAAACCCTGGCCGACCCTGCTTAGTGAAATAGAGTTATATTACACAGCCCTCTCTCATGTGAAAGTTGATCAGTTGGATAAAAAAAAGAACCGGAAAGGAAAGTTATAAGTTTCTCCAGCACTGAATTTTTTAAAGTAGATTTTGTCACTTGGAAAGGTGTTTGAAGAGGGTCAGGAGAAAACATGGACACCATTTATATGAACCAGAACTAAATTTTGAACTGCAGCATACTGAAAAGTGAACACACATACTTCTAATATCGACTACTACAACCCACAGGAAATAAGTTTTTAAGACTTCACAGGATAAAAAAGTTTTTTTCCCATCTAAAAAGAACTCTTGATTGCACGATGTTCTTAAAAATAGTACCAGTTACAATGCCACTGTAAAATTCATGAAAGAAAAAAACACACACACACTTAGAGAATATTGCTAAATAAAGAGTTGTTTTTCCTAGCTGGTCTCTCTAGATTGGTCAAAGAAAATCCCTTCTCTAAGGTGTTTTAAAAGAGAATATGTTGATGACCTAATAATAAGTTAATAAATAAATGTAGTTTTAAAAGGAAAATAAATGTGTAAAACAAGTGACGAGGAGTGCCAAATCTACATTTCAAGGTAAATTGTAAAATAATTTAATTGAGAGCATAACCACTCGAAAAAATCAGAAAACTGTGGCTTTCTGTTACTTCTTACATGTAGTTATCCTTAACTGAAATAGGCTGAGAACAGCCTCCTCCCCTCCCCTTCCAGCTGGCCTACGAATACCTTCTCCTTTTCTCCAACGAAATGCATGGTCAGCGTGCAAGCACATGGTACATTCGAATTCGCGATCTTTGATTCAGGAAGGTATCCTGTGTACGGCTTCCCCCTCCCCACACAAAAAAATCTCTCTTCCTTATTTTGTTTGAGGGGAGGGGAGGATGGAGGCTAAACATGTAAGAAAAAATGGTTTTGCTTTGGGGAGGAGCAATACATGATAACGAGTGAACGTAATGCACCTATCAATGGTTTGCCCCAGGACGGGGGGGCCGGGCAACCCACGGGAATTAGACTTCGTAAAGCGCACGTGGGTGGGGATTTTGACATCCACAAAGGTCCCCAGGGTGGGAAATTTGACTCAGCCGCCATCTTGAAAAGCGGAGAGAACCTGGGAATGAGTGACTGGTCCGCCATCTTGGAAAATACCCAGAAGTCATTTGTGCGAGTTTCCCGCGTCCAAGGATGGCTGAAAGAAAGGTAAGGAGTGTCGTGTTGCTTTTTTTAAAGCAAAAACGTTGTTTTTTATGCCCATCAGTGCTCTGTCGTTAACGTTCTAATAACATAAGGTATTTTTCGTTCAGTTTTGAGAAGAAATATTCGCACAAGAGCTCATTTAGATCAAAATTTACTTCCTACTTACCTGTCTTCAAAGTATGCCACCCTGCCTCAAGTTTTCGATACTCTGTGTTTATAGATTTGCTAGTATACTTCAAATGTTAAAATTAAATGAAATTCTGGTCAATTTTGGACCCGAGTTACAAACATCAGTTCGATGAAAGCGGAATACGACCTATTCCAGTCGTGGCATAGAAGATGAATCCAGAAACCTGTGCCAAATCTCACCAAATAATGACAGTAGTGCTTTATTAAATAATCTTATTTTTTGATACTTTCTATGTCAATTTTTAATAATTCTACCCTAAAAAATTTTTGTCTACAAGAAATACAATTTGGAGTGTTTTGAGAGGATCTTGTGTAATCGTTGTTTGTTCAAATCAGTGTTGTGCAGCTTTTGATATAGTGCTACTTTGTTCAGAAGAGGGCAACTGTATGGTTAAACTAATAAAGGATGCATTTGGAATTGAAGGCGAAATATTGTTACAGAAATTTGACAAAGAGTGGGAAGAATTTATTGATGTTGATTCGAGTGTTGTTGAAGACAAGTCAAAGTTGCGTGTCATTTCAAAGGTGTGCAATATGTGATAGGATTTGAATATTTAGCTATTGTTGTAGTTGATTTATAAAGTCTGTATGATTTTCTTTGTTTGATTGGCTGAATTAAGGAAGTAACTCCAATCAGAGACAGTCACAATGAAAGGGCTGCCAAATTTCCGAATGATTTTTAGAAAAATATTTACTCATTAAAATATAATTATGTGGTATTTTGCTCTCTGGCCTCAATACATCTCTGTTGTTCACATTAACTGGGCAGTACCACTTCTATTGTGTGACAAACGCTAATTAACTTTGTTTGCTGATATATACAGCCGTCAAGCCATGTCCCAGCTGTTGAACCCACTATATGTGCGATATCAACAACCACAGGTAATCAAATTTATTGACACCTTTCATACCAGACAAAAGCTTGAACATTTTTCTCTACTGAAGCTGTAAATAGATAGGCTTAGAAAATCTGTTATTCTTCCGCCACCTTCGACGATCTGCACACTTCCACAGTTTCATGAATTTAGTAAAATAGAAGAAGGCTTATCAGGCATCTGCTAATGAAACATATTAGATTACATATGCCAGTAGATAAAATAGTGCCATTATAGTAGTAGTGTTTATTCTTTTATATTTATAGTTTGCTCAGGAAGTCAATCAACACTTGTCATAAACAATGGCAAGATAGGGATTGGCCCCAAAGTAAAGGTCAGTGATCCTTGTGAGTGTATTTTGTTCAATGGTAGTCTGGTTCAGTAATTTTATGGTTAATGAAGGAAATAATGCCCATGCCTGTCTGCAGCAAGTAATTACTAATAATGGCATTCCATTGTTATAAATTCAGCACTTTGAGTTTACTGAATCATGGTGAACGTAACAAGGAAAAGCCAAATAGATAGTTCTTTTTGTTTGTGTCAAAGGTTTAAAAAAATACGATAGAAAAGACAAGGTGTTAACGATTTCAGTAAATGAAAAACTGTACCTTCCTGCTTGACCAAAAGGGGTATCCTGTATGAGAAAGCGGATCTGAAAAATTTGAGGAAGTAGAACCAGTTGTTTTTTCTTGAAGACCGTTTCTATACACAGGCATCTAAAGACTTGATAAGCGCCCCACGGAAAGAAAAGAAGTGTAAGTGGTACAAAAAAAGGCAAACCAAAGCACTTTTCGATTCAGGAAAGGAACCAACAAAGTGAATCAGTCAGGCCCCTGTGTTCATTGTTTAAGGCTTTATCAACTTATGGAAAAGCCCCGGTGTGATAGCAACACATGCCAAAAGAAAACTCTCCAAATGAACTAAAGAAAGATCGAGAAGATTTGAATTTGACATCAAAGAGCATGTCAAGAAAAGTGTAACGCATTAAAGCTGCCGAGTCAGATGCAGAGAGGAAAGGATTACAGAGTTTTCACGGTTTTGAAGATATACAGAGAAGAAAGGAAAGAGTAGAAAATGCAGAGTAGGTAAACCAATCATTCGGAATCAGTGATGATAGTGATGATGATGAAGAAAGTGAAACTGGAGAATGAGGAGGAAGACATCATTTCAATGGCACGACTTTTCAGTGGTTTACAAAAAAATATCAGGATCATTCATATCATCAATCTTAATGAAATCTAATTCGGTTAGAACTGAAAAGCAGAAAGTATTCCATTCCACTCACTCCCTGGGACACATTTAAAATACGATAGAAAAACGATAGAAAAATGTACTATACGGATCTGAATTTCCTTGTTTTTTCCGTTTCTATACTATTGGCGCCCACGCATTCGATTCGTCACTTGTTCATTGTTTAATATCAACTTATGAATCAATTTTAAAAAATAGCCTTTACATCCAGCCGCGTCTTGATGACCTGAAAGTTTTCCTTCAATAGCTGAACTAAAGAAAGATCGAGATTTACCACGCAGCTGCTTCAGAGTTTTCACGCAGGTAGGTAAACCAACGGAATCGGCATCATTTCAGTTTCTTTACAAAAATATCATCATTCATATCATCAATCTTAATGAAATCTAATTCGGTTAGAACTGAAAAGAAAGTATTCTGAAACCTGTTGAATTTTCTAGTACTTGATTTTCGCTAAATTTCCAGCTGTTTTCATCGGCACTCTACAAATAAACAAGCGAAAAGAAATCACAAAAATTAAATAAAATGCAGAACTGCGAAACACATGCCTCTCAAAGTCCCGCTCAAAGTAGGGAACGGGTCAGACGGTACTGACTGACACCATCTGCTAGATGCCAATATTCCTAATACCTCATGAGATACTTTTCAGATTTGCTTCAGTTTACTTGTTATCTATATTTTACACAATATACACACTTACTAAATTAATCAGCTAAAGCAATATGCATAAACCAACATCAGCTTTTTGCGGCTGAAAGTGAGTGAGAAAGCTTTTAAAATTCTGAAACACTTCACTGAACATTCTCCCTTGAGTTGAGTTCGGTTGTAGAAAATTTGTTACCGCCCAGTAACTGAATTTACAGGGTTTTTTATGTACCAACGAATCGGAAAATATCGTTCTCATAAGAATTAGCAAAGGAAGTTTTAAATGTTAAAACTTGGCTGTTTACGGCTGTAATTACTAGTTAGTTCATTTCCGGAAGTAAGTATGGGAATTCTTAGAATGTTGTTTTGTACTTCCGCTCTGCTGTACAGTATGATAGATATACACTTAGAAGTATAACGCCACACCAAAACAGGAGCCTATACCTAAAGCTGTATATAGATAAGATAAATTCATAAGTTTTATTGTCTTTTATTTGTTCGCTTGCAGTTTGATGTGCGCTGTAAAGGAGGATGCCTTGAGATTTGAATATCACTTCCGGTAAAACGCACTTTGCTTTTAGGGTCATTCCCGTTTTTGCGTAACATTCATGTAAATTTGAGAAGAGGGCCATGGATGGTGATATAAGTTTCTACACAAGCTCGTAGTCTAGTATGACAAATGTCTAAGTGTTATTTAACCACAACATTAGTTGATCCAGCTAACAAGAGCTTGAAATTTAAAGTTAAAGTTGTCAGTTGTAAGGTTCATCGGAGAAGGCCCCAAATCAACGTTGACAAATCAGCGGCGATCAGAAAAGTTGAAGCAGTAAAGAAAATAAAAGGGACAGAAACTCTCCACCAAGGAATTTCTACTCATGAGGAGGCAGGATGCTCAGAGGAAAAACCGAGATGTCATTTAGTTAAAGCAGAAGCGGACATTAAACCAAAGAGAATCACCGCTTCAAGTGGAAGACCTTCGCACTGTCTCGGGTTAGAAGTGAAGCAAGACGACCGTATTCGTGGACGAAATCTAAAACCTGGAAGAACTGTACCGGCTCCTGCAGTTCGTAAACCAAGGAATCCGGTTAGCGAGAGACACGTTGGTCAGTGCTCTGCAAAGAGGTAAAGCTAAGCCATTGAACAAAGACTCATCGAGTTATTATTATTTTGTGTCGTCCTGATGACCACTTAACGGTCTTATTTGATAAAAATCGAAGAACCATGCCAGTGCACCAAATAAAATGGTCGTCTTTTCTTTTTAATAGTACTGACAAGGAGAAAGAGAATCCTTTACACGGATACTTTCTGTTGTAACTGTCTTTTTTTTCTAGGCGGGTTTACCTCTTCTATCCCGTACAAAGCTGTTTTTATCATTTGAATTTATCTGGGAGAGAATCGCCCTTGAAATTATTTTTCTCGAGGGTTTGGTCTAAAAATAACCGCCTTAGGGGGCGAGGCGGGGTATCCCCCGGGCCACTCTATGCTCGTGTATCAAACGGTTAGTTAGTTAGGCGACCGCTTATATGAGTTGTAAAAATTTCGGACGATTTTTATATAATTGTGTACGAAAATAGTGCCAGAAAATATAATAGACGGTATGTTTTAACCTGATATGGTACCTATACTACTGCTTTCTTTATGGACAGAAATGGACCTCAAAAATTACCTCAGACGTGCTCAAAGCAAAAAAGTCCTGAAAGACGACGTCGTCCCCCAATTGCCGGTGACCCAAAACCTGTGATAAAAGAAACAGGGGCAGCAGCTGCTTCGAGGAGACGACCTACAGGCCGGCCGGGGTTTCAAGCCCCGAAAGAATATATTCGTGCAAGAGAGGGTGTTGCGAATCGAATCCCAGGGAAACAGGCTGCACCGGGTTCAGTTCCAGCTTTTAAACCAAGCCATCGGGCTACCAAGAGTCATGTTCGCCAGTGTTCCGCCAAGAGGTGAGAATATGAAATCCCTCAGTTAACTCTTTAGGTATGTCTAACTTAGTTGTAAGCAACGTAATGGCAAGAGGGAAGATACTACATACGTTTCCTTGGTCAGATTAATTTATGCGATTCTTTTGAGCTAACAATTTTAGCCCGTTTGATACTTATATGGAGAAAGAGGAAGAAAAAAAATGGCGTGGGGGGGAGGTATTTAAGAGTGGTTAGAGGTGGCCTGTTTTTAGAAACTGGGGGTCATATTTTAGTTACTGCCTGATGTCATGAATTATTTGTGTTTGGGTAGAAGGAAAAACTTCTATAAAGGCGGGCCTGGTAACAGACTCTTGGTGGAAAACTGAAAAGGCGAATAATCAGTCTGTGCTCGGTCGGTTCGCCTCTTTCTTCCTGTTGTTGGTCCTTTTTCCCCAATAAGAAACCTGGTCGTGGGTTACTAAAAACAGAAGAGATCCTTGAAGAATTTTTTTTACCTTGCAATAGATTCTACCCTCTCCTTCTACAGATAATTATAATGACCCGTTCACTTCGTCTTTCTCTTTCAACACTTTCGCTCCATTAGTTATGCTAAGATTTTTTAGAATAACGGGGGTTGTTTTGTTGTGTTTTCTCTGTTTTTAGGTCTTTGGATCTGACCAACAACCTACAGACAATGCAAGTCCCTAACGAACCATTTTCAAAATTTTTTAAGGAAAAGGTCTCTTTATCTCAAAAAGATATAATGGAGAATTCGGAAACTGTAAACAATTTCATTCAGACGATTTTAGCTGCAGTACGCGAGAGAGACGCCAAGTTTGCTCTAAGAGTACTTAATGCAGGTAACAATGACGTAATCATAAAGATCTTAATTAAACGCGGGGGTTCGGTCATAAAAAGGTTCCCCTAGCTCAATCAAATTAATAATAAAGATTTGAAACATGTCAACGGTTGGCTTCGCGATAGGAGAATCCACTAGCTTTACTCTCATACAGTCGCATTTCTAGCCCAGGCGATGTTTATGTGAATATGCTGCCCTCTTGTTTTCCGCTTATATTACGCTGAAAACTATTAAAAGACAAATTTGTGTTTTCTGTCTCAGGTAGCTACTACGAGCGACTGAAAGTTTGTCGTCCGGGTGAATTTGACGTTATGGTTGTGTTTGATGCTCATCGTATCGAACGGTTTTTTGACGTGAAGTGCCCATCAAGACCACGTGACACATTAGGTTTCGCAAGTGTTGAATTGAAGACATGGGTGGAAGAAGGAAGGAGTCTATGGGGAGAATTTCTCACGAGTGATGGAAAATATCTATCGCCTAGGAAAGTTGTAAGGCGTTTCTGTTCTTTAGTACGAGAAACCGTGGCAGCGATGAATAAAAAGCAAAAACAACGTATCTCCAATCTGAAAGAGCCCAAGGGTCCAGCCGTAACATTTACTATAGACCGTAAAATTGATGTGGATCTTGTGTTGAGCTTGGAGATCTCAGGCTGGCCGAGTTGTGCAGAACGCTGGGGAGTCTTCGCTACAAAGAGGACTTGGCCAAAACAGGAAGAAGTTGAACAAATTAAGCTCATAGATCCCAGGTTTCATCTCGTGGCAAAACCGTGTCCTGCAGAGCAGAGCGAAGCTGCAAAGTCGCAAAAGTTCTGGCGGATTTCTTTTTCGGAAGCAGAGAAGGCAATCCTGAGCAAGGCTAGTGATGGCTGCGAAAAACAATACTTTAGAATTGCAAAGGCGATTTTTGAGGGCAACAAAGACCATTTAAAACCTCTAACGTCGTATTATTTGAAAACATTATTCCTTGACTTGCGTTCTGAGAATCCACGAGCCATTAACAAGGAAAACCTGGGAATTAACGTAGTCAAGTTTTTTGCAATTTTGATTGCTCGTTTGAGGCCGGGAGGACAGCTTCCGCATTTTTTTGTTCGTGACGTAGACCTCCTTTCGAGGATTACAAAAGAAAAGCGATTAGATCTGGCCGAAAAATTGGAGGCCTTTGTTAAGAAACTCATCCGCGAGCCGGAAAAAATTCTGAGCCAACTTAAAATATAACATCAAAAGACACGTTACAGAAAATGCAAGTACGATCTTGAATATTCATGGTTGTGTTTTTCACGAGATCTAGTGGCCTTGCTATTAGAGTAATTAGTAAAAGTGAACACACATATTCTTTGCGTTGGTTTTAGACGTTGATTGGAGGAAAAATAGCTTTTTCCTGGTTTCTTGGCCTAATCCCTTTGTTTATATTAGCTTCATTATAACACCTTATTTGTTCACTATATTTTTACAAATAACAACCGTAGAAGTTATTTACTTCTGATATCGACTACAACCTATAGCAAAAAACTTTTTAAGACTTTATAGGATAAAAAGTTTTTTTCCCATCTATGAAGAACTCTTCATTACGCGATGTTCCTAAAAATAGTAGCAGTAACAATGCCACTGTAAAATTCAAGAAAGAAAAAAAAAACACTCAGAGAATATTGCTAAATAAAGAGTTTCTTTTCCTATCTGGTCTCTCTACAATGGTCGAAGAAAATCCCTTCTCTCAGCTGTTTTAAAAGAAAATACCGTATTTCCTCTAATAATAGCCGGGAGCGACTGGAAGTCGTGCCCTAAATGTTTTGTTTTATTTTCCCATTAAATCAAAAGATAATCACATCAAATAAACTGAACAGTGGCTTTTTAAGTATTCCAAATCTCAATTCTTGATTACTTTTCAGAGCTTGAATCGTCATTGATCAGTTTTGCTGAATCTCATTGCACTTCAACTTGACAGGAAGGGGATAAAAGGAAGAGAAGATGACGAAAGGGCCGAGGGAGGGGCGCTTATTCGAGGGGAGCGATTATTTTAAATATTTCCATCAAAGGGAGGCGATTATTCGAGGGAGGCTATTACTCGAGGGACGGCTATTATTCGAGGAAATACGGTATGTTCATGACCCAGTAATGAGTTAATAAATTACATGTAATGGAAAATAATATGTAAAACAAGTGACTGGGAGTGCCAAATCTATATTTCAAGGATTTTTTAAAACTAACATAATTTGACACAATTTGACACATTTGATCACTAAACTAGAGGATAAGTCAACAAAGATGCCATTATACAGCAAGCTTGAAAAAAGGGTTTCTTCTCTAATCCAAAGCATCTTCAGTTTTTTCCGTAATTCCTGAGCTGAGAGTTTGCTTTTAGGATAAACATCTCTGAATCTGAATTTTGCACATTCTATTCTATCTCTGAGAAAAATGCACCCCAGCTAACAAAATCTACAGAGTGTCATGGATTTGGATGAAGTAAATATCCGGGTAAACAGGAAGTTAAAATCCTGATAGAAGATAGCTGAGAGTGTTTTTTAAAGCAACATAAAATCAAATCTGAATGTGATCTGTCAATTTTCGACATACTAAACTATAAAAGCAATGCATTCATTCTACAATAATAATAATAATAATAATAATAATAATAATAATAATAATAACAATAATCCAGACATTTGTGCTGCCATAATAATATGATTTAACAAGCCTAGCTAAGTATGGACAGACTAGAGGACTGCCTTTTCATACCCTTAACCAAACTTTCCTTTTTACAGTATTAAAGTTTTTTTGGAAAATGTGAATTTAAACACCAGTCTTAACACTATTGATCATTCCTTCAGATTGTCATCCTTCATTATAAACAGGCCAATTTTAATTTTTTTTATCTTTGTGTATACAGCCTCCCCAGTCTAAGCCACTGCAAGCTGCTGATATGATAAAGTAAAGAATCACCTGAAAAATAAAAAAAAAACAGTTATGCTTTTTGATTACAATAAGCAATAAAGAAATATAAAATTAAGACAGTAGATCCCCGCTGCAAAATAAGAAGCGAGTGGTTGTCCGTCTTTCTTCAGAGCCACGTACAGTGAGTGCATTGTTCCTTGTGGATTAGGCACTTGCCCCTCACGCACACTCTCAATCTACTGTGACTCTGAAGAAAAATAAGAGACTGCTCGCAGACTAGCTGAAAAATGAAAGGATTGCTCAGCTGGTGATAGCAATGAGAACAAGCAAAACAAGAACTCTGCATGAACATCACACTTTGCGATATATTTCTTTGCTGTCACTACACAAATATTCCTAGACTACGAGTAGTCCCCATTTTTCCTCAGGGATAGTAGAGAGAGCGAAACACGAGCGCGCGTGAAAATCACCCCATGCAAGAAAAGGTGACACGCGGAGGGGAGAGAGTGTCATGTCGCCTTTTCTGGTGTGGGGTGATTTTCACATGCACTCGTGTTTCAGTCGCTCTACTATCCCTGAGGAAAAATGGGGAACTACTCGTAGTCAAAAATATGCCATGAAATTGGCCTGAGGGATGTACACACACAACCTCGTTCCCAGAGTCCTCTCCCACCTTTCTCCAGAGTGACAGAGAGGGGAAACAGTGCAGGAGGACCCACAGTGGGAGTAACGTTGGTGCACACACTGCGAAAAATTTTCCTTCTTTTTGTCTTGTTCCGTTTTCATCAGGGCCTGGCTGTTCCAACATTGGATAGCGCCATCCACTCGATAAATCACCATCCAGTGGATAAGTATTGGGGAAACTAATAATTATTGCAATATCCACTGGATAGAGATTTATCCGCGGGATAGCGCTATCCAGCCTTTGAACAACTGGGGCATGATCAAGAGTGACACGGCAAACCCCGCCCCCGACCCGACCTGACCCCCCTCCCTTGTTGCGCCCGGGAGTGATATAGGGTTTATTCTCTCTATTGTACACTTACAATGATAACAATGATGAGTATAATGGTGATTTTCACATTTTTCCACCACATTGCTCTGGCCAGGCCTTTGCTGGATTTCTTGAATGTGAGAGACTGAGAGATAAAATGTATTTGAAAATTAATTATCAGAAGGCAAGGGCAAGAGTCTTTCAAATGTTGAGTTGGTGGACAAATTCTAATGGTGTGACCATTCAAATGAATCCTCTTCAGTAGTACTTTCACATCGTGCTATTTGTTTTGTAGTACTGTGTAGTTCTAACTTTTTAGTCTGTGGCTGGAATGCTATGGTACGTTCTTCGAGATTTTTATGCAAAAGTGATCTAAGATGTAGGAATGACAAAATAACTGAGCTTTAATTTCAGCACTTAATAAAAGAGAATTTGAGATTTTTTTATGTAACCAATACAGCAAAAAATAGGAAACTCACTGAGGTATTGAGGTCTTCTGCCTTGTCAATTAGCAGTTCTAAACGTTCTCCTCTTTGTGCAATTGTATCTGTTGATTAAAATGGCAATCAGATTTACCCTTTAAAAGCGCTACTACCATCAACATGCCTATTCAAACAACTGTAATTTATCACTGGCTGGGATTGAGCTTCTGTCCATATGATCAGGGTGTCTGTTAAAGCAGGGTTTCCACAAGGTGAGAGTAAGCTGTACATGCACTTGTTTAAACCCTTTTACCCCTAATATCCATTTACAAATTCTCTATTCTCAATTCTTAGTGGAAGTTAATTTAAGAGAAGACTTGAATTCTAATAGTTTCGCCCCAAGTTCACCTAGAAATTTTACTTTGTGCAAACCCTACCCAGATTTCATATTTACTCTTATTTCCTCTGCCTGAGTTCATCAAGTTCTTACCAATGTTTTTCACCATTATTCCTCTGAGTTCATCTAATTCTCCCTGCACCTTTGTCAAATTATCGGCACTTGCTCCAGTGTCTGAGAACCGCCTCTGTGAAAAACAGCAGTTAACATTATCAGCATCACCATCAACACAAAAATGCTAAAAATTCTACCGATATGCTATTATGGTTCACATACCACTAAGTGTACTAACAATATGCAACAACAACTCACCATTTCCCCTGACAAAACTCTTGAAAATTCACTGTTCATAGCATACGGCAAAGCTGTCTGAGCTCGTCCATGATATGCAGTTTGAAAACTGTTAAAAACGTCACAAAAATGCAGATTATTACAATAGACATCAGCATTAATGAAAAAATAAACCTCAGATACAACAAGGTCATTATTTACAGTGTGAATAGATATGGTGACTTACCGCTTTTTAATCTCTGTCAGGTACAAAAATGCTCTTGATCTTTCAAAATCCTTGTCAGAAAAGAAACATGAGACAAAAGTCTTATGTGGTTGCAAAATAATATTTAAAACAAAAGCGATCAGTGACTGGTGTGCTTTTATAGAGCTTGTGACTGTATGAAATGGCAAATATACAGTGAGGAAAAACATTAGTGACTACAAGAGTTTCTGATAAATGAATAAATACATTTTCAATAATTCATTCTACTTAATAAATACATAAGTAAATCAACTAATCAGTGATAATGTCCTCATCAGCTATTTCATTGTATCTTGATCTAGTCAAGATATAAATAATAATATTATCATTATTTTACAACAAAAACTCATTCTTAACTTCAAATCCAAGTAAACATTACTGTCTTAGAGATAAATATATTTAAACAGGTAGGAATAAAGGTTAGTTAATATCTTACATTATCTGTAATGCATAAGTATATAATTCTGTCCTCTGATATGTAATGGAACAAATAACTGCAAGAAAGTTTACAAGTATCAGGGTTAGTAACGACATGTAAATTACACTGTAACCTGTTTTGAAGTTACCGTTAGACACCTTTAGCAATACATTATTTCCGTTTACATTACTTCTCAAATGGCCAAACAATCCCTTTTACTTGCACAGAGGTTTCTTATTCAAATAAACAAGTAAGTAATCTTAACGACCTCCTAAATTAATTTTGATCAGTTACTGGTGTGTAAGGTTGTGGATGTTGGAAGGACCTGCTACTGTTTTCAGGATATGTTCTCCTTTCCTTAGTCTGGGTGTATCAAAAACACATGCAATAGCCTACCAACTTTTTTGGAAAAAAAGGCACGCGATTTTTACCCTGAGAGCACAGGAGGATCCTTGAAGATGTTTTGAAGAGTTCCTAAAGTCTCAGTTGCAGAGCTTTCCCTTCAAAAACTGAGATTTCTGGGAAACCATGATAACAATGTCTTTATATTAAAACTCAAATAGATCCAATATTTTCACGAGGAGCAAGCATTATTGGTCAGCATGTGAGAGAGCAAAGTTTTCAGTCTGCGGGTGAGCAAGGCTCTGCTCTAAGAAAAATTGAACAGAGCCCAGTGCTCTGAGCCTATAAAATTCAGGGTGCCCTGCATATCATTTCTGTGGAAAAAACTTAGATTTTCTAGTCGCCCAAGAGCAAAAGTTAGGCTCCACGGGCCACCAGGTGCTGCTAGAACACAGTCTTCCTCAGGTGTGGGAGTCACACCTAAAGCATGACAGTTAGTAGGTAAACATGCAGGATTAGTTTTACGACTATGACTACGACTACGACTACTGCTACTGCTACTGCTACTGCTACTGCTACTACTACTGCCATTGCTACTGCTGCTGGTGCCACTGCCACTACACTACCACTATTACTACCAATACTAATTTTAATAGGTGTTCTCATTTATATAGTGCTTTTCCCATATATATCCAAGGCACTCTCTTCAATCTGCATTATATTTCACATCACACCCAGCTGCTTCCAATAATTACCATTGTTAATAATCTCATTCTTACCTGCCCTGTGTGTACGTGAGTTTGGAATTCTCTGGTGGAATTCTACTCAAAATTTGTTCCGTAACCTCTGCAAAGTTACCAGCACATGAGGCAAATTTAGCTAGGACTGTTGTTCCTCTTGCTACAACACTGTATAGGATCGGCATGGTTTCTGAAGTAAAGTAATAACATAATGGTGAGCTGTTTCTGTACTTTTTACCCACAGAACTTGTGTAATTCAACACTGTCCTTGAAAATGGGGACAATAGGGGAAAGGGGTACTAGGGGAATTTTGGGGGGCAAAAAAAATCAGTAGTTTGTTATTGACCAGCTTGTCAACTCCGACACTCTTTTGGTGGAGCCCTAAAAGGAATTTGAATATTTGAATATCAAAAAGTCCATCGATGCAAAATGCTGATTGGCGGAGATGACATTAGTAATGACGTCATTAACCTTGGCATGTGTTTTTGCAATGTTTGTTTACAAGCAAGCATTTTCACATCAGACTCAAGATCACGCCTACAAAAACATGTGAGGTGAGATTTGACAGCCAGCAAAACACCACCACCACGCCTTCCAGACCTGTCTTTCCGGTAGATATTATAGTTGTACAAAACCAGAATTCGCACTTGTTTCTGCTTCCTGCCAATTCGCGGAAATCTGACAGCTCAGTCAACAAGGAGCCACAGGGGAATTAGAGGTGGAATTCAAATTCCAGAGATGTAGTCGCAAGCTGTCGTGCCTTTTCCCACCCTGTTGCCAGAGCGCCCCGGAGAGCTTGCTTGCAGGGGTTTTTATGGACCAAGACAAACACAAGGTCAATAAAAAAGCAAAAGAAAAAAAGAGCAAACACAATATCCAGTAATCTTGCTTGGTATGTAAAGGATTTATTGCCGTGAGAACAGTTTTTTCTAGTGGGATCAAAGTGGGAATTCTTGAGCAGGCAAGAGAACCATGCCTCGACTGCTTGGGCCGGCAGCCAATCACAACACAAGATTCATTTCACGTTGCCCACTTGCAGGACCAACCATAGAATCATAACGTTGATAATATCAAGCTTAAATAATGATTCAAAATATTAATAATATAAATTTATAAATACATCCAACTCTCTGTAAGACAGACACCTTTGGTACCAGAAACAAGAAAGACAAGGACCAACTCTGGGTGTCCGTTTTACAGGGGCGTCAGTGTTAGAAATAGTCGACTGAATTTAAGAGACAGCTTTTCACTGAATCAGGAATATGTCCCACAAAATTAAGCCAAGTTACACAGCGAGGTTGTTATCTTGTAAAAGTTTATACTTTTGCACATTTTCTAAAGAATTCTGTTGGCAAAACAGAAAAAGAAACTACACAAGACACCTTAGCACTGGCTGCACAGTGTTAAAGCAGATCTATTCATCATCAGATATCAGGGAGAAAAAGTGATACTAACGCTAGCTGAAAAAAGAATAGGATAGCCTGAGGATAATTTCCAATAAATAAACACTATACCTTACGTTTCAGCGAACAATAAAAAGAAATTTTTTTCTTCCTTTGAACAAGTTCAAGCTTCGCTGCTCTACGCCATTGATGGTCACTGAAAATGACGTCATTTAAAATAACCGCTGACAAATATGATCATGTTGCTCAATCCTGCTCAATCCAAAATGGCGGCCGGCGAGGCAGGAGTCGAGCAAGAAATAAATCGACGGTTGGAAGTGGTATGTGGGGCCCTTTGGGAATAGAGATTAACAGATTATCTAGAATTGGTAGCTAAGGATTGATTTTTTTTCCTGTAGATGCCAACAGGGGACCCTGACGATGAAACCTGTGCCACGTTTGTTCTGCATGAAGAAGATCACACTCTTGGAAACTCTCTAAGATACATCATCATGAAAAAGTATGAGGCGGGGGAATTAAATGGGAAGGCCCATTATATATTTTTTTAGCTTTCAACTTATAGCCTCAGGTTGCCGTGCATGAGTTTTAAGTCTGCCCCTTATGATATTTGTTCAACAGGTGAACAGATAGCCCATCCTGTCCCCCCCCCAACAGCTTTATTAGTATAATGGCTCTTAGACATAAAGGCGTACAGCCAAATGGGAAGTCACCAGATACCAACTATTGGAGTAACTACAGAATACCCTGCTGCTTGCAAGCAGTAACCCTTAAAGAGCTGATTATGTTGATAGGCAGTTATTATTTTAATGCACTCTTCTACCATTAGTGGCTATAAGGATGACAAATAGATGTGAGAGTGTTTTGCACGCTATACCATTATACAAGTGTTTTTCCCAACCTTGATCCCAGATTCTCTCTCCTACCCGTCTCTCTTGCTGTATTTCCAAGTGGATGTGCGGATACTTGACTTTGTGTCCACATATCTGCGCATTGACCTATTTTTAGGTGGCTGCTGCCTAACCTGTCCAGCATAGCCGTGGTTTTAGTTTTACATGCATAACACTCAAAAGAATGTCAGTGACCCTAATTTCTCTTATGAAATATCAATGAGCATACGAACAAAAAATCATTTCCCAATAAAATTTATAAAATAATATTATGCCTTTCGTTACATTGCAGTCCTGATGTTGTGTTCTGTGGATACAGCGTGCCACATCCATCAGAGAACAAAATCAATCTCCGCATACAAACAAATGGTAAATTAACATAAGATTAATATCATAATTGTGATAATAACATCAACTCATAGACTTACATGTCTTTAAGTCTGAAGCATTTTCCCTAGTAATGGTGATTTCTTTCAGATTTTCAGACATGAAGGACAGATAGATATAAGACCACAGAGAAAGTGCCTTTATTATCTCCAGACATTACTAGCCTGCGCGCAGGTGAAATTAAACCCTGGTTAACTACTAATCAGAGTTTAGTTATCGTCTGCATGCAGGCTAGATATTACATGCCCTTATGAAATACAAAATATCAAATTTTAGAGTTTCATTGCTTTTTAAAAATTATTCTAAAACTGTGTACTAAGTTCTCCTACCATAAATCCTCTATTAAGCCCCCCCTCTCAAATAAGCCCCCCCCTTTTCAGAGGAGGAAAGTTAATAAGCCCCTCCTCTCTATTAAGCCCCCCCCCCTCCCCCTCGTCCAATCCATATTCTTCACAAAAACATTAACGATTAACGTGGACTGATCAGTTATGGTTTATTCATAAAAATTACCGAAGAACATGAGGTCGAAAGCACATTTTTGAAGAATAAGAATTTTGTTTTTGTTACTTTTAGGCTCCCACAAGTGAATTAAATACTTTTGATGGTGACTTTAATTGTACAATGCGTAAGTCTACTCTGTCTCATACCACAGTATTTTTGCTACAGGTGATGCGTTTCACTAAATTAAATAAGCCCCCCCTCTCTATTAAGCCCCCCCTCAAAAGTGCTTGAAAAAAATAAGCCCCCCGGGGGGCTTAATAGAGGATTTACGGTATTTCAGTGCATGGTGGCAATAACCTTTTACTCTCTTTAGGTCCTCCTGCTGTAGATGTCCTGAGAAGAGGGCTATCTGAGCTTACTGCCTTGTGTGAACATATGCTGGCAACATTTGAGGTCAGGCATTGTCCAAGTTAATGTTTTCTAAACATGTTAAAATAGGAATTTGCTTTGATATAAATGGTAAATCATAACGGCAACTTCTGAACTTTTCTTATTAAATTTTGTTCAATTCTTCCACAGACAGCTGTGGAGGAGCACAAGGACTCAAAGCAAAATGGTGATTTTGAAATGTCCACCACTGAAGACTAGAATCTGCGTGCAAAAATGGGATGCTAAAACAGCAAATCAGTCCAGAATTATTCCAGAATGTTGTTTCTGCTCCAGATGACTGGTTTACAAAGTATAGAGCTTTTTCATGTGAATGAAACCAGTTAGAAGGCAAAGGGAAAGAGGCCTTTTTAGGGCTATACCGTGTATCTGTTTTGTCAGAGAATATCGGTCCCGAAGCATGTGTTTTAAAATTCTGTGAGACATCGTTGGTATTTAATGTGATTCTGCATACAGACTGTGGTCTTAAATATTTGTAACAGAAAAAAGTGTTCTACTGAGAACAATAAAATGACAGAGTTCCCCAAGAAAACCACTCTTTGGCACTTGCAAAATATTTAAAAACTTATATCTTTGTCTTTCTTTTGAGGTTGTTCTGTCTCAGGATTCAATAGCGTTATGTATATATAGCTTCTTACAGTAAGACCCTACATTTTCATACAACATCAACAAATATGAAATCAATAAAAATAAAGAGTAAAATACTGTCTGGTTATCAAGCTACACATGTTGCCTTGCTCAATCTTCTCAGCTGCCTGTGGGGAGGGTGTTCTTCCTGCTACTTGTGCCAGCTTGCATACAAGCATTACTGCTCGAGTTATTGCGCAAAAGTTGGAGTGAGAGCAGTCAAGTGGAATTGCTTGTTATACAGACTTAAGACTTGTCTCTGTCTGGTATGCACTTCAGTAAATATGAGGGATTTCTGCTGAGAAAGCAGTGGAAATTTGAAAGTGCGAGTGAATGTTGTGTTAGCGGTAGTCCAGTTGTAGCCTTTTTTTTGTTATGCAACTTGCCTTCAGAGGGCCAAAACTGGATAAGTTATTCAGTGGGAGAGGTCCAAATGCAGATGTTGGGGTTCAATATTACTTTATCCTTGGTTTAACATTTCCTTTGTTTTTGGGTGTGGTAATGTATCAGTTATTTAGGAAATGACCATTTTTCATACTTTGGATGCATTGGAGGTTGTGCATATTTTGGTAGCCCGTGGAGATACAGGCAGATCATCACGCATAAGGTTTGTCTTTCAAACCGAAATATTGGGCAAATTTGTTAAAATATATATTTTTTGTTTTATTCTTTTGTTTACTTCTTCATTGCCTTGTGATAAGGATCAGTTTGCCGTTTCATGATTTTCTACAAGTTATTATTGTACTGATCCAGGTCTACTACTGGGAGATCCGGCACCACTCAACGGTCAAGTAACCATGGACTAGCTGATATTCTATACACATATCGTGGGTGGAACTAGGGGAGGGGTCCAGGCACCCTCCTTATTTTTAGGCCTAACTGAGGCCCGCAGGGCTAAGAAAAATGATTTTGAAAGCCAGTCCCTCTCTTTTCTTAGGCTCTGCATGAGTGCCCCCTGCCCCCCAGGCCCCCACTAACTTGAAGATCTGAATCTGCCTCTCCATTTAATGCTGGTGGCAAGCCCCTCTTTTTCGTTGCGTGAATGCATGTGAAACAACCTGGTAGAGGTATTAAAGTGGCTCTCTAGCTCTGTTCCTCCGCATCGAGGCTTCCAGCCTCTCACAGCTCATCCCCAGGGTCTTCTCGTTTTCCACGCCATATTGGAAAACGAGAAGAACCTGGGGACGAGGTTGCACCCTTTCCAGATTTCCACGAAGACGGTAGGTAACACGAGAGTTGTTAGTAAACAGAGGCAAGTAAAAGACAGGTAAGATTTGAAGCTATACTTTATTTGGTTCATTTTCACTGCCAATATAGCTTTTAGTTAGAGAGATGCAGATCAGTCTCTGTGGGTATGCTTCGCCTATTGTCACGCAAATCAGTGTAACACGAGCGGCGTGTCTGTTTGTCCATGTTCCGAGTGAAGAGTTTCAGATTCGTTCTTTTCATCATTTTCTGAGTCATTTTGTAGGTTTAAGGCTGCAGAAGTGTAGTTGAGATAGAAAAGAAAGAGTAGATGTAAAGGGGTATTTTAGTTCTGTAATGTTTCAGCCTTAACGAGCTGTTCATTTTCAAGCATATAAAGTTTTGCATAATCCGGCTTCTATGAATAATCAAATTGGTAAGGATACTGCAATTTCGAAACTGAAGCAGCTGTACATGTTCTTATTAATATTTTTGATAGCTCAGATACTAATCTTTTCAAGTACATGATTCAAGGGTTTAGGTTGTTTTAATTTAAAATTCTACAATGTCCACCTTTGCATATTCACTGTTATATAACCCGGTCCCTGATAATTGCTTTTGAATTTCATCCATAATTTGTATATTTTTGAAATTGCAGATGATTTCCTTTCTTTGCTGATCCAAGTGTTAATGGAATGGATGTTTTTTGTTTGCCATCTTCTGGTGATCAGTCGGCATGTAATAATAACATAATCATTCTCAATCAAGGTAGTGGTGAACAAACCTTCAGCAATCTTCCTTTGTATATTAATGATGCAGAACAACCCATTGGTTTTGTCACTGTTCCAAGCAATGGTGCTCTGCAAAGCAATATACAATTTTCCTTGCAAAATCTTAGTCCCGAAAACAGCATTCTGCCGAGCAGTGGACAAGAAAAGAGCTTCGAATCCCCGCAAAGAAGTGAAGATGTGAAACCTCCTGTGGGACTTGTACCCGCAAGAACTGGTGACACTTTTGCAGTTATCTCAGAAGACAGTAACATTAATGTTTTAAGTGGAAGTGGGACGTGCAGCGGAAGGAATGGTGAAGAACAACTTGGGAGTTCTGGAGTAACAGTGACACAGACTGTCCAACCCAGAGGTTCTGATGATTTGCCTTGTGATAAAGATGGCTACAAAAATGAAGGAACCTTTGAGCTTACTTGTGATGAAAATTGCTACAGCAATGTTGTACATGTACCATCTAGCGCTTTGAACTTTAACATGGTAAATGGCATTCTGCCAAGCAATGGGCATGAAGAAGATTGTGAATTTACTCCAAGGGACAGTGAAATTGAAGATGTGAAACCCCTGGTTTGTCTTGCACCGGAACATTCAAATCTTGAACCTAATTGTGGCAATCCACCCCAAGGGAATGAAAAAGGCATTCAAACTGAATTGACAGATGTGCAGAATGAACGTTTTTATGTCTCAGAATCTGGTCCTGTTTCCAGCAATGTACCAAGTACCAGTAGTGAAAATAGTTCCAATGTTACAATCAGTTGTAATAACATTGAAGTGATGGAAATATCAGTGTACTTTGACCCTCAGTGTTCAAGGTCTTCTGAGGTATTCTCAAGTCAAAACAGAACATCCGTTGTAAGGAACCCTGAAAGAGCTCTTGAGAGTCACGAAGCTACAGTGCCAGCACAGGACTCGCAATCTGGAGAATCTCATGATATTTTATGTTATGGCTTGAGCAGTGCTAATCAGCTATCTTCTAGCCCTTTGGAGCCTGGAATGTTAATCAACAACAATATTTCCCCAATGGGGGATCCAAGAGTTAATGGTTTTCAGAACCAGCCTGTTACTGACAACGTTACCAACCTTGTGTTGAATTCACCAGCTCCAGATTTCTATGCCAGTTCCTCCTCCCAGCCTGCCAATAGAAGTAGAAACATTTGTCCTTATTGCCAGAAATGGTTTCGATCAGACAATTTGAATCACCATATCCTTGTTGTACACTCGACATTTAAACCCTTCAAATGCCAGATATGTCCAAAGGAATTTGCTGCAGAGTTTGACTTGAATAAACATGTTGAAAGACACACAAAGCTAACATGTCCATATTGTACAGAGGTGTTTCTCAGAGGCAGATCTTTACTGAAGCATGCTGTTTTGCAGCACAAGGATAAAGATCTTTCCAGCTTACCCTTCTGGTCATTCAAGAGAAATGCTTTACCATGTATGTATTGAGAAAAACCTTGTATGTTTGGTATTTTATTGCCCTTCTTGTTTATCAAATTTTGCTTTCCTTTTTTTCTGGGTATGGTAAAATAATTAATCTGTAATCTATTTCTCTGAGTTTGAAATAGAGAAAAATAAAAATTAACAAAATAAGCTGATCATCATTGTCTTTGCTGTAGTTAATTTTTTATCTCAGGTAATGACTATTTTCCGTTTGTTTCAACGTCATTAGCATGCATTACCATACCCAAAAACAAAAGAAAAGCAAAAATTGCCTGAGATAAATGAACTACAGTGGAACCCTGACAGGAAGAGCTAATACGTTAGCATATGATTAGGGTTACAAGAACCAGGATTTGAGTTATCGGGGTAACTTTCAGTGAAATTTGGATGCGAGTTAGTGGGGAATTTGAATTTTTCGAGCTTGAGCTAACCAAGGAAAAATGACTGAAAGGTGGGATGAGATCCAAGGGAAATTGGACTTAGTTCGAGTTAGTGGGAAGTTCAACTTATCAAAGTTTGAGTCATTGAGGTTCCACTTTACAAACTTTTAACACAGTGGAACCTCGATTTAATGAAGTGCCAAGGGACAGGAGAAAATTTGTTCATTTTATCAAGGGTTCATTATATAGATCCCCAACATTTAAAAAATTTTCAGGACAACTATCAAAATATTTGTTATATCGAGGTAAAGTTAATAATTAATTTACAAAACCCAGCATTTCCAGATCTGAAAAATTACTGTTACAACATTTCAGTACCGAGCCAATACATAGCTACAACACTAGAAACTCAAGAACAGGCAAACAATACTGCTTAAAACTACCGTACACATGAATTTTATCCTTGTTGGTCTGATTGGCATTCATCTTTTATCACATGCTGGCATTTATTTGTTATATCGAGGTAAAGTTTATGTTTGTACTTGTGGATTGTGTTCATTAAACAAGGATGCCATTAAATTGATATTCTGTTCCATACATTTTACTGTAATTTTGGCGGGGCTGAAGAAAATTGTTTGTTGCACTGAGGATTTCGTTATTTAGAAGTTCGTTAAATTGAGGTTCATTTTAATTATTTTTGTGCATCTACAGGTTCAAGCCCAGGTCATTTTAGCTGCAGCTCCTGTTTGGTTGAATTTGACTCACTAAGGGCCTGTCTTGACCATTGTGTTCGTAGCCACTTCTTCAAAGAATGCTGGGTTTGTCAGAGGTTATTTGAAAAAGAAACACAACTCAAGAGACATATAAAAACTCACACAGGTGAAAGAACATTTCCCTGTGACCACTGTGACAGGTCTTTTTTTACTGATGCAGAGAGAAGGATGCACTTGAAACGTCTAACTTTGGAGAAATCTGTCAAGTGCAGTGTTTGTGACAAAGGTTTTAAAACACAAGCACAGAGAGATAGACATGTTTTAACCCATAGCAATGACAAACCATACCAGTGCACAAGTTGCACAAAGACTTTTAAAAGCCAGAAGGCATATGGCGTTCATGTTCGATTACACACTGGAGAAATGCCATTTGAATGTCAATATTGTGAGGAAGGCTTCAGAAGTTGGCGTCGTCGGCAAAGTCACCAAATGAAGGATCATCCTGATCTGGTTCCCAGGAAAGAGTACAATTGCAGCTACTGCTTGAAGTCATACTCGAACTCTTCCTCATTTGCATCACATGTAAAGAGGCACACTGGCCAAGTTCTTCGATGTACGTCATGTACTTTTGTCACCGTTTCAAAAGAGAACCTTGATATCCACATGAATAGCCATACAGGAGCAAAGCCTTACAAGTGTCGTTATTGCCCCACAGCTTATGGGCAACCTAATCGCCTTACTATTCATGAACGGTCTCACACTGGTGAAAAGCCGTACGCATGTGATCAGTGTGATAAGGCGTTTGTAGATAAATACAGCCTAGTCAGACATGTTCGTATACACACTGGAGAAAAGCCTTACAAGTGTAGCTACTGTGACAAAGCATTTGCTCAAGGATGCCAGCTGCAATTTCATGAAAGAACTCACACTGGAGAAAAACCGTATGAATGCTCCCAATGTGAGAAAAAGTTTACTCGTCGGCAGGAACTCAATAAACACATTGAAACTCATAGAAAAAGGCAAGAAGACGATCAAAGCGAGAAGAAGGCCGCTGAAAAACATTATGAATGCACCTCCTGTAAAAAGAAATTTTCTTGTCAACAGGAGTTAAGCAAACACGTGGAAACCCACAGAAAAAGACAACAGTTGGTGAAAAGGAAAAGGAAGCGAAAGATAGCAGAGAGTGATTCTGGTTCAGAGTTCAGTGATGTGGAAGTAGAAGATTTGGGACAGAATAAGGAAGAGAGACTTGCAAGTTTAAGAAGTTCGAAGATAAAAACCAGACGTAAATGATTGTAAGTTTATAGGCCAACAAGATAATATTCAATGAAACATGCTATGCCAGCAAATGGCTACCATGGAACTCAAAAACCCGGAACGAGCAACTCCCATGATGGGCTTATATCATGACGTTTTCGTAGACCGGTTTATTTTTAGATACATTTTTGAGCACCTTTTTCCCCAGGAAAATGGAATCTCTAGAATCTCTACTCCATTTAAGAGCTCATTTGCTCATTTAAACAAAATTATTAATACAATGAAAAGAGAACTAGCTAGTAATGTCTGGTCATTACAAGAAAATAATGCCCACTTAGCAACCAATCAGAGTGCACATACTTAATTGTAGCCATATAATAAAAATGGATATTGCATCTTTATAGACTGTTTAATTTACAGTATGTGCCCAAAAAAGCCAAGAGACAATTCAGTGGGCCTCACAGAATTACAAGGATCTATTTTTAAGGGATATAGAATGGTTCCTTGGAAAATGTAGGTCCCAGAAATTTTCAGCCAGATCTCGAAATCTCAGAAGCATTTGTAATAGGTCTGGAAGTCTTATTTTCGGATACCTTTGCATCTTGGAGTATCGAGTTTTTTTAAGTCTGGGTCTCAAATTTTGAAACCAGAGCCTTGTAGTCTCGCAAAGTCTTAAATTTGCCATTCTATACCCCTTTTTTATAATGCTGTAATACCATGTCTGCTGTAGTAGTTATAATCATTTTGTTAATTATTTATTACAGTAATATTAACTTATCTGAATTTTTACCGTATGTTTTTGAATTTGAATTTTTTTATTCATCCATTGGGTATTTCATATCCTTGTTTTTAACAATTGTATATATTTTTAAGAATTTTGCTGAAGATTTTGCTAAGCCAATCACATATATATATATATTTTTAGTGAGGGCTGTTACGTGTTTTTTTTGCTATTTCCAGGTGGATATCCAATTAACGTTACTAATGTATTCAACATACCTTGTGATATTGTATTTGAAAACAATTTTTTGAAATTTATTTTCTTAATACTGTGATAAGAATTTTAGTTAAAGTTACAAAAATTAGTTAACAGTTTTTTAAATACCATTTTTACATCCTTGTTTGAACAGAAGTAGATAGGTGATTTAACAATAATATTCCTTAAAAATTTAGAATTAATATCAGTCACAATCTTTTCAATTAGGGCTTTTTGAGGGTCCGCACTGTATTCCTAGTTAGGTGTGATATTTTTAAAATTAGTTCTGCACCCAGGGAGATGGGAAGGGGGGGTGGTACAGGGATTGTCAAGTTAAGACAAAAATCAACCCCCCCCCCCAAAAAAAGATATATATATAAAAAAAAAAAAAAAAAAAAAAAAATATATATATATATATATACTTGTATTCTGGGTAGAACGTATATATCCTTGGACCAAAAATTAATGCCTCGCCCTCCCCTGAAAAAAAAAAAACATTCTCATGCCAAAATTTCTGGGCTTAAAAAATGATTCAATGATTCTTCACAACAACAACCAAAAAATGCCTGCTAAATTTTCCTCTTCCCCAAAATCCAGAATGCTTTGATCATCCTTGTCACTATAAATATAGGGTGCCCCCCTCCCCCCTCTCCACTGGGATATTTTATTACTATCAGACTAGAATAACCACAAACATTAGAAATACTTCTGGAATGTTTCTGTGTTGTAAGGAAAAAGCTAATTGGGCCCAAAAGTCTAAACTGCGTGTGTTAGTGGTATATGATTGTGGTTTTATCGTAGTCTTGTGTGTCCTGATCTCTGGTGTGCTTTTTCATAGCACAATCAACATGCTTGAAATATTCCAAGTGTTCACCATCAACTTAGTATGAAAGTAAAAGATTGAAATAAATTGTATCATTTCTTGAGTGGAATTTTATTCAGTTTGTTATTCACTTGTAAGCCTTAAGTATCACCAGTGGTTTGAGCTTTATGCTTGTTCCTTGACAAAATGCTGAAAGAGAAATAAAATTTGTTATTTTTCTACATTGAAAGAGGAATGTGACCATCCCATCACTAAGAAGTTGTCCAGATATTGGATGAAATACTGAGTGGAGTGTTTGATTTATCTTCTCAAACAATAATTCTTGAACAAATTCCGAGTTAAAGCTGCAAATGTTTGGCACTTCAGGGTAGTTTGCCTTCGTTTTCCTCTCATAAAAATAAATTCAAGAACAACATTTGTTCCTACTTTGGTCATAATACTGCAGCATAACTATCACTTTTTCAAAGGAGTATTCTTCTAGAAAACTACTCAACATTCTTGTTGGCATTTTTTTTTTCATTTTTGATCAATAAGTAGTCTGCGTTGCAGCCTGCCCACGCACTCGTCTAAACTATTTAGTATAGAGGTTTATACAGAAGGTTTAGAGTGTCTGCGACGCAGGCAAATCAATAAGAGGATATCTCAAGGTCTATTGGTTCAGAATTTAATATCCATACATATTCAAAAGTGTCAAGCATACAGTCGAACCTCTGCCAACAGCCACCTCTCTACAGTGACCACTTTTTTTCGTCCTGGTGGACAAAAAAGGCCATACATTGACTCTTGTTTAAAGGTCGGTACACGCTAGGCGACAAGTTGCAGCAACACGGTGAGGCAACACATCGCAGCAACAAATCGCTTCGTGTGTACTGGAGAATTTTTGTGAAAATCTTTGTCGCTGCAACAGAATTTTGTCGCCACAACAAGTCGCACAGATTCAGTCTTATTTGTTTTTTTGCGATTTGTTGCAGCGACAAAATCCCGTTGTGGAGACAAAGATTTTCACAAAAATTCTCCAGACACACGAAGTGATTTGTCATGATTTGTCGCTGCGTCATGTCTGTCGCCTCACCGTGTTGCTGCAACTAGTTGCCCGACCTGTTCACATGGAGTGATCTGTCGCCACGACATGTGGCTACAACAATACTTGTCGCCTAGTGTGTACCGACTTCAAAACCTCTTTACAATAGGAATCTCTTTATAATGGCCACTTTCTTCTGTCCTCAAGGTGGCCATTGTAGAGAGGCTCAATAGTAATTTTTAAAATCCAGTGGTAGAGTTGAAGAGGTTATACCGGTAATCTGTCGGTCATGGGGATATTGGTGTGGTGTTTTTTAAGTCAATTCTATGCAAGTCATTACTTTTGCCTTTACTCAAAAATATGCTTCTTTAGAGATATGAATATCTCAAACAATTTTCATCAAATGCACTAACATACAGTAGTAAAAAATAAAAACTTGAAAAAGTTGCCCCACTTTCAAGTTTCAGAACATGTCAAGCTAACGTTGCCATTTTTGGAATTCAATTGACGTGAAGACAAGTTTTAGCTTATTAAAAGATGCTAATACCGTGACACATAGCTCCGTTTATTGAGGCACTGACAAAGGTCAGAAACTCAAAGGTACAATACTATCTTTTAATGAAGTGGAGGAGGTATTGCCCCAGCGCAGCCCCAGCTATGGGCTGCCTGTGCGCTTTGAAAACAAATCAACCGAATAGGGACTGGGCACCAGCACAATATCTGCTTCCTTTTCGGCGAAGAGGGTCCTTGTTGGGTCCTTGGAAAATTGGAACGATGGGGCAGATAAAGAACTTACTCTTGGTTTTTATAGCCATAATTTTGACTGCGTTGCTCTTAAGAAGATTTCTAGGAATTTATGCCATTATAGTTCCTCTTCTTTATATGTTTTTCGACGTAAACTGGAGTCTACGCGTGGCATGGATGATTGTGAAGAAAGGCTTGCTCTACAGGAAAACAATAAATTCCAATTTCCTTGATGTATCCGATACAACTTTCATCGTTCTTCCTTCCGATATGGACCTCAATATGCACATGAATAATGCACGGTAAGGGCAAAAATTCTATAAATTACAATCTACTTTTAAGAAACTAATTTAAACGGTGCGATTCAAGTTGAAGCACCTTATTAATAATGAAAATGGCATTGTAGCTCAAGAGCATGAAAAATCTGTTTGCCAACTCTGCTCTTAATATTAGTGAGTTTACACGACGGGACGGCAGAAGGAAGAGGACGGCAAAGCGCTTGTGCGTGACAAACGTGACAGGGATATTAACTGAGTGTTTTGTCGTGATCTTCACTTAAATTAATGTTGTCTGGTCTTTAACAAAAAGATCTTTTTAAAGCAAGTTGAAGTTTGGCGGAAAGTTTTTTCAAACGAAACTATTGTCACGCTTGTCACACAAGGTTTGCCATCATCTTTCCTCTCCCATCCTGTTGTGTAGGCTGACTATTACTTTGGGGAGAATTTGGCTATTGATCAGGGTTGTTTACTAGAATAGTAGAGGAAAGTGCAAAACTTTTTTTTCCTTTTGGCCTATGCAGATGTTCTTTTGGCTCGTCACGCAACCCTCCCCAACGAACGTTTGTGGGTAAGGACAGCATGACGAAGCCCTAAGAAAGTCTGTGGCCTCCCACCTGTCCTTTGTTTTCCCTGTTATGCAACGCTCCTTAAGACAAAGAATGGCTATGTGGGATACTACCAGCTGCACTATTTAGTTAGGGGAGGGTACTATAGGAATTTTTTTTGTCGCAGGGACTCTGGAACCCCTGGCCTTTACCAGACCAATTTTTCAACTGCAATTTCTCTACTCTGTTTTTAGACACCAAAAGTCCATTCCCTAACCCAGACAAACATATATACCCACTGATCATATTATTAATGCTCTTTTACTTGCACAGTTAACTTGTCAACAAGCATCCACAAACTCACACAGGAAATAAAATTTTGTTTTATTTTGAAATACATTGTAAATCAAGTATGTTCCATATTTTTTACTGGTGTAGATATTCCATAAGTAACAGAGAGCTACCTATAGATTCCCTGTGATCTTAGAGATCAAGACTTTAGTCAAATCTTTGACTGATGTTGTAGGGTAGTTTTTAGCAATTGTTTAATTCATGAGGTTGCTTCTATTTTTAACTATGATCCCTTTTTCTCCAACAGATACTTCCGGGAATGTGACTTTGGGAGAATTAACTTTTGGATCGCAAGTGGAATGATGAATGTGATGAGAAAGAATCACTGTAGTGTCACCATAGCTGCATCCTGTGTTCGTTATCGCAGATCATTAGAACTTTTTCAGAAAGTTGTCCTAAAAACCAGGGTGTTAGCGTGGGATGAAACGTCTTTCTATCTTGAGCAGAGATTTGCTGGTAAAGATAACTTTGTTTACGCCATTGTGTTGACAAAAAACAAAGTGATTCAAGCGAGCAAAAAGGAACGAGTTGTTTCACCAGCTGAATTGGTACAATCACTGAGTGGATGGAACATGCCAAGCCCTTCAATACCTCATGACTTGCACTTTTGGTTACAATATAACTCTGCTTCAAGTGCAAAGTTGAAAAATGCATTGTAAACAGCAGACAAAGCCTTCTAATGGATAAAAAATAATACTTTAGAAGCAAACTCCCTTGAAAACTATTTGTAGTTGTTTTCATGGAAGGTGTTCACTTGCAAATTTTTTTTCACCAGCACCCATGCAAGAAATATTATTTATTATTGTACTGGTGTTTATCATCCTTTAAATAAACTAAAGAAATAAATGGTTAACAAATTCCCGGACTTTTAGGGATAGAACTGTCATTTTCGTGTGTCAAATCTTATGCCCTTCTCTTGCATTCCAGCTCACCTGTCTCTATTTTATGCACGTGTTGACTACTTTCATTCTCACGAAGAAAAGTGAGGCGTCTCCTGAGTTTTTTTTTTTATTACTGGAACTCTGAGTTGTTTCCAGTATTAAATCAGCAAAAATAGAATTGAACAAGTCTGTAACTATTAAAATAAGCATTCTTTTATACCAATAAAATTTTAGTGAAACATCACAGAACAAAGAAATGCTTCCTCACCCTAGCTTTTGTTTTGAAGCCGACAGCAAAGTAAAACCTGCCAAGGCTTTGAAATTATTGAGATACATCTTTTACACAAATTTGCCGAATTGACGTTTCGAACATTACTACCTTGCGGTAAAGCTATTCTTTGCACGTAATGCGGACCTACATTTGTGTTACCCATGACCTGTTTCGGGGGAAGTACTTCATGTCAAGCCTTCATATAGATGCTTTGCTTGCTTGAGGTGCTTTGCTAACTTGCAATTGAGGTGCTTGGCTTCCTTGAGGTGCTTTGCTTGCTTGAGGTGCTTTGCTTACTTGAGGTGCTTTGCTTGCTTGAGGTGCTTTGCTTACTTGAGGTGCTTTGCTCACTTGAGGTGCTTTGCTTACTTGAGGTACTTTGCTTACCCCTGAGGTGCTAAAATTGCTTATCTCTATAAAAATAATTGTTATTTAGTAAATAATTAATTGGGCTTTGGTTGTGAGAGCCATGCCTGTAGGGTGAAGGGGGTGCAATGAGTGCGCTCGCACGCCTCCCCACACAACCACCACAGGCCCCAGAGGTCCACTTTTTTGTTTACCAAGGATTAATTTGAATCAAAGTGAATTAATAATATTTTCAAATTCTTGTTCATTAATTGTGTAGTAAAGCAGAATCACAAAACGTGTTTTTGTTAGTCTTCGTCTAAAAGTATAGAAAAGGGTCTTTGGTATGCCTACAAGGCATTTACTTCTTGTTAATACGTCACAAATGTTATCCTTAAAGAGTAAAGTCTGTTTTAATTGGAGAATTCGTTGTGCGGATTGAGCAAATGTTTTCTTGCCGAGTTTCCTTTTTACTGGGAGCTTGTGGCCTTTTACTGATCAGTGGTTGCCTGTGGATTCTTATCTTTACTCCGTCAGGCTAGTTGAAGGTGTTCGTTTTTTCTCTCTTTTTTTAAAAGTGGCTTAACAATCTTTAGGCTTCGTTTCTGGGCCTTAGTTTCCTCCGAGCTGGATCTGAATTGCTCTTTTCACAGTAATTTCACAGCAAGTCAAAGGTTATCTGGGATAGTTTTGACATGCTGGGCCCAGCCCTTTTGCGTTGCTTGCAGGATATTAAAAATCCTATTTTAGCTACTGCTGCCTTCAGTGTAGTATAAAAAAATTGCACTGCCACTCGGTCAACAGTGTTGCTTGCATCAGTCTGAACTCCAACCGCTTTAATGTAATTTGAAAATAATGCAAGTCTTACGACCGGAGCTTGATGATGTTATTATTTCTCCATTTGCGGTTATTGCGACATTTGCTAGCCAGTGAGCAGCATTACTATTAACCAGGGCCCGGTTGCATAAAACGCCCGTAACAACTACGGGTATACGTACGTGCACTCGTAACTTAAGTGAGTTGCATTAAATCACTTAAGTGGTCCACTTAGGGGTTTCACTTAAGTGGTTGCACTTACGATTTTCGTAAGTGTTCACGTAAGTGTCTTTTATGCAACAGAAATTGCGGGTGTTGCATAAAGCGTTTTTTACGGGAAAAATAGCACGTAAATTTACGGGACCTATGTAGGTCCCGTATCGTTACTGTTTTTACTAAATTTAACGAGATCTTTTACTGAGAAGTGAAAAAAAGTATTTTTCTTCACGTAGTTCGTTCTAATGCGCTTTGTTAACCTCTGATGTACACTTTTGTGAAAAAAGAAGAAGAACTATCATTTTCAGTAGATATTGAAGAAAAATAACGTTTGCATGCAAATTTCATTTTTTGAGAGGCTTAAAAGTGTTCGAAATGACTTTTAACTTTCTTTACACTCACCAATGGTTAGCTTAAAAAAAAAGAGAGTGAATCATTAATAAAGTACTATATCAAGGTTACGTGTGCCCTTAAGTGAGCCCGTAAGTTACCACGTAAAACAGAAACTTGCGAGAGTGCTAAGTGTGTTCCATGCAACACCCGTAAGTGTACCCATAACGGATTCGTAAGTGACCTACTTAAGTGAGCACTTAAGTGCGGGTTTTATGCAACCGGGCCCAGAAGCCGATTACTTTGTGTTGTTTTTGTGGCGTGAGCAACTACAAGGGGTGGATCTCGGGTACTTTTTTTTCTTGAAGGAAAAGGGCATTGTTTCTGTTTTGTGAAAGATTAATTTCGTTAAAAGAGGTTGACAGGCTAAACACGACTTCCGCTGTTTCGCGATGTCATAGTACTTTGACCTTCAAAGTTTAGCTCTAACAACTATGCAACCTCGTTCCCACGGTTCTCTCCGACCCGCCCTACGAGAGAGAGAGAGAGAGAGAGAGAGAGACCTTGGAAAACGCTGGTCACGTGGCTCCAGAACAAAATTCAGGGAGGAGTCCTTTGTCTAACATTTTTCTGTCTGGTTTATTCGCAACGTTGACGTTCAAATAAAACCTACACCATTTGCGGTCTTAGCGGTTCACAGGCGGCCCAAACTCATTACATGAACGCGGACGTGACTCTTGCTTGCGAGCGGTGTTGTGTTACAAACGGTTATTTACAAAGGCTTGTATGGGATCGATCGGTTTTTCTTAAAAGAGATAAAAAATGTTATGTTTTTAAATAAAATCGACGTACCTTATTGCCTTGTTGTATTCTTTGTTGTTTGCCCGTGTCTCAGGCCGTTTTGAAGCGTTTTTTGGCGAGTTAGCGCTATTTTGGTGTCCCACTGCTAAAAAACGGCCGCGGTGGGACGCGGGAAACAACAAAGAATACAAGAATACAACAAGGCAATAAGGTACGTCGATTTTATTTAAAAACATAACATTTTTTATCTCTTTTAAGAAAAACCGATCGATCCCATACAAGCCTTTGTAAATAACCGTTTGTAACACAACACCGCTCGCAAGCAAGAATCACGTCCGCGTTCATGTAATGAGTTTGGGCCGCCTATGAGCGGTTCGGCGTGACAAACCCCGGGACAAAACATGGCAGTTACATTGAGAGCAAGGAATTCAGTTAATACATTTACGATCAAAGTCATATTTTAGATCTAGTGAATTCACGGAAAGCTATAGCCTAAAATGTCAGCATTTTCCATCCCCTAACCTTTGTTATGATGCGGCAATACAAAAGTGGTAAATAGATCAAAGATAAAAATAATTATATAGCAACGCGACGTGGAAGACAACAGGAAATACTATAAACAGAGACAAAACAGACAACATAACTTGCGTAATAGTAGTCTTGAAAACACATACAGATACTGTACATTTGTTTTCTAAAGTGGCCTCCACAACATATAGATACGGCAATTCAAATCTAGTGCGTTTCGGTATGAATACTACTACCAGGCAGACCAGGATACCTAAATTATTTTTGACTGCACAAACGGTGAATCCTCCGCGATTTCTGTTGCATGTGCCAAATGAAAGCATCGCTGATAAAAATCCGACTAACATCCAGATATTCTGCAAAAAGTTACGCTTTCGCTGTCAAAGGATTTTGTGCATTATTATCGGCGTTCAAGATTAGGTCAGGTACACAGTTTCGTGGCTCCACTGACCTGTTTACGCTCTGTAGAGACAAATCTCACACTTACCTGCCCCCCAAATCGTTTGTTTGTAATCTCCCAGATTCTGGGAGACACGTGACCAGCGTTTTCCTCTCTCGCGCTTCGTAGGGCGGGTAGGAGAGAACCCTGGGAACGAGGTTGACAAGTATGTCCTTTGGAGACTTCCCTCTTCCCTAGGAGATGAGAGGTGGTTCTGATTTTCAACTAAATGCCACTTGTCTATTAATTAGAACCTTTTTAAGACTAGGCACTGATGGGTTGTACTGTGTAACAAAAGGCGTTAGTTTTGTTCCTTTCTCCTTGCGGTTTTGCCGAAGTGCGGACTTTCTATCCGTAAATTTAACTTCTGCGAGGACTTTATTTACCAGATTATATAGCTGGATATCCTCGGACACCCAAGTGTGACTTGAAGTTGTTAATGATTTCTTCAAATAAATTTTTTGAAGAGTTGGTTCTCAGAATCTCAGAATCCTTTTTTCACGCCCGGAGCGTGACAACCTCGTTCCCAGGGTTCTCTCCTACCAGCCCATCCTCGGAGACCCAGGGGCAGGCAGTCGGGCCGGGTTAGAAGGCGCGACGAAAGTTTTCAAGCACAGGCGGAAGAGCCCCTGGGCCCAGTTGCATAAAACGCCCGTAACAGCTACGGGTATACGTACGTGCACTCGTAACTTAAGTGAGTTGCATTAAATCACTTAAGTGGTCCACTTAGGGAATTCACTTAAGTGGTTGCACTTACGATTTTCGTAAGTGTTCACTTAAGTGTCGTTTATGCAACAGAAATTGCGGGTGTTGCATAAAACTTTTTTTACGGGAAAAATAGCACGTAAATTTACGAGACCTATGTAGGTCCCGTATCCTTACTGTTTTTACCAAAGTTAACGAGATCTTTTACTGAGAAGTGAACAAAAAAATGTTTTTTCTTTACGTAAGTCCATTCTAATGCGCTTTGTTAACCTCTGATGTACAGTTTAAAGCCGTCGTTAAGAAAAAAGAAGGAAAACAAACATTTCC